ATGCGACATCTTACGATCAGGACATCACCTATGGCTAGCTCGGTGCAACCACGGACGATCTTAACGCCCAATGCCGAAAATCTTTTGTGTTCACTTCTGACATCTGTTTTACTTTCAAGAGATCCCAATTTATTTCATTTCCTTTTATGTACTTTTCTTTGTTTGAACTCACGGCCGAACTGAACGCGCCAGAGTCCTGTCAGCAATGCTCATCCTTAGCTCAGTTACGAATGTAACTTTTGTTTTCCCTCACTGTGGGGTTTTTCTTTTCATAACAATTAGCCAAATTGCTGAATCTTCAAATAAATTTTATCAGGTTCGATTCCCCGATTCGGAGATTTTTTTGCTAGTTTTGCGAAAACTAGCAAAGCAACGACAAAGAAAAGTTATATCAGTAAAGAGTCCTGAAGAAGCAGCACATTTTGATACTACTCACATACCTGTGCGATGGCAAGTCAACATTCTGTTCGACATTCCAACAATTTACATTTCGAAAATCGAGCGGAATTTTTTCCCACCAGCTTAGCCGACATATAAGTTGCGAATAGCCAGCAAAACGACATTACACAACATAGTCATTAGTACACCGGTGAAGTCATTTTCGTATTTCCTCAACATATTATCATCTTCTACAGCAGTATCAATTAATATCCAACGAAATGACAAAAACATAGAAAAAGAGAAAAAGAAAAAAACGGTTCAAAACATGATTCCACCCATTCAGTTTACGCCAAACATCACGCATGACCCAACACCACACGGTCGCACCACCACAAACAATACGACGCCAACCGACAGTCCGCGCACAATTCCTACAACACGTACGATCTATTGTACCGTGGAGACGGCCATATTTCATTGTCCAACCTGTGTATATACCACCTTTATCCCGTGATCGCTCTCTTACATAACCGATATTTACATCCATCAGCCTTCATACCAGCACCTGTAACAAACCAAGGTATCATTTGGCTGCATATTCGCAGTATAAACAGATCTTTTTGGTGTCATTCTTTTGCTGCTCGTCAATAACGAATCTATTCATTGTATGTTTTGAAGTCGCGAAATTTGAGGCTCTGACATTTCGGTCGGCCCATTTCTAGCTGTTTTTACCTAAAATCACCAAAAATTGGGCCAGATACTCCGCCATGAAAATGACAAACGTCAATTTTTACAGGAGAATAAAGAGAGTCCCATCATCCAGGAGATTTGCTTGTTAACAAGCCCCTGTATCTGCCTCACAGCCGTTTATCATCATATACCATTCTCAATCGGAAAAGCTTGACTAAATTACAAACATATTTTCCTATCTGTTGGTTACCTCAGCGTTATCGTGTATAGCAAGTTTAACCCGGCAATATGCAATTAAACCTTCAAAGATAAAGCCGTGTAACCTGCAACTTTTCGTATCGTATGTTACAGCAAAGATACCAGTGCGCAGTCGAGGGCTGTGCTAGTGTAAGATGGCTAACATGTTGCTTTTGGCTAGCTGACTCTTCAGAAAGGAAGAATACATAGGGACTGGGGGCTTTTGTAACCAGGTGAGCGTGTTTGTTTCGAAATCGCTCTATTATACAAGATGTTTGTACCCAGTAATTTAAGTTTCGAAACTGCGATTGTCTTTGTACCCTCTTTTTCTCCTGCGCCATCTATCGATACCACCTTAAGTATACAATAGATTCCCCGTATCAACCCGGGAAGGGGCATGCGCCTTATAATAGTCGGCACAAAATTTTCTTGAATTTGGTATATTCCTTTGATGAGGTTCTCAACTTTGATTCCTGGAGCATTGCTCACAGCAGCATTACTCTCTGCTGCTGCTCCATCCAGCCATAACAAGCATCCCTCTCATGAAGACCACAGTCCTATTTCGCCAAAAGCCTTTATCATTTCCATGGTATAGATACAATTCATCATCACGAATGACTTTCATGAAAATAAAGGGAGTGCACTAATTGAGCCGGCTACTCATCCAGTTTAGTTATGAGCAGGATATATGGTTTGAGCCACTCAAGTTGACCAAAAATATCACAGTTCCTGGCTTGTCTCCCATCTATCCTCAAGTACATTGCACTGCAGATTATTCTATCTGTCAAATGACCACAGGCGAAGGCGAAATCAATGCTGCAGTTTCAGCTACGGTAGGTGAATTGAGTCGAGGATTCACCTGTGAGAGACATGGTATTGCTTTATTTTGAAAAGATACTAATTTATGATGGCGACGCGGGTTCTCAGGCACTGACTTTTTCACCCCTCTTTGACCTCCGCAAAACATATTTTATGATTGCGGGTATTGCTGGTATCAACCCGTATGTCTCCACTATTGGTGCAGTAACATTTGGTCGCTTTGCTGTCCAGCTGGAGTTAGAGTATGAATTTGATGCTCGTGAGATGCCGTCCAATTTCTCTACTGGGCTGTGGGCATTGGGCACTACTGCCCCTGGACTTTACCCTACTTCAATTTACGGCACGGAAGTTTTTGAGCTAAATGTCAATCTTCGAGACAAGGTAGGCTACTTCACTAGCATCACATAGAAAGTTAAATGACGATAACTAACAGGCTTGACATTGAATCATGATGTGAACAGGCCATGAAGCTCGCTCATGGAGTAAAGCTTAATGACAGTGACACCGCTGCTGCCTACCGCAAACAATACAATTATTCTCCAGCAAATCAATACCCCACCATTGTGGCGTGCGATACAGGTTCCAGCAACGCCTACTGGTCTGGAGAACTGCTCGGCGAAAGCTTTGGTAACTTCACCAAACTCCTCACCAGTGGAAAGTATGTTGCCCAATCTTGGTATTCGATAGCCTTTGGTTTTTATCACCGTCTGACGTTTCTGCTTTTAGGGGTACATACTGCGCTACCGCTCAAGAAGATAACGCAACTTTGGAGGCTATGTTAAGAGCTCATTTGGCAAAGAGAATGGACTTTGCTCGAGTTGTTCTCTTACGATCCGCTTCTGACTTTGATCGTCCACCACCCGGCGAGTCGCCCTTATTTAACCTCGTGTATGCTGATCAAGGGTCGTTTGGAATCTCTTTGGAGAACATTGTTATTGCTGGTTCGCCCTTCATCAAGGATGTCGTTAAGAATTGGCATGAATACGAGAGCGGTATTGCACCTAGTAATTATATTGGAGATATCTGGGGAAGTTTGGGAGGAAAGCCTGATTTTGGCCCATAATAAACTGCACGGCTTGTTCTTTCTTATTACTGTGAACAATTGACTCTGTAATGAAGCGTGGCATTTCTTTTAACGCATGTAAACAATGTATATGTAGAGAGGATTAATGCCAAAAATTTAGTAAAAAAGGAATATGAGAGAGAGATAGAGAGTAAATACAAGCAAAATGGAATGGCTATCAACAGCTATGGCAGCTGATGGTAAATGGTATTCTATACAGATTATTTTTTGTTTTTGAAATTGGCACGAAATAGATATTTAGAAACCAAAGTGTGTTTTGGACAATGGATGAAGGGCTTTCATGATACTTGTAAAGTATCAAGAGAAGATGAGCTACGTCATTCATGCAGTGACAGCCTTTGCGACTTTCACGGATGCCTCATCATCTTTCTTTTCTGCAGCTTGTTGCTCAAAGAACCGAGCAAGCTCCGCTTCATTAATGGGGTAGGTATTTTCCTTTGCAGGGAAAGCTCGAGATTTAACTTCTTCGTGATATTTTTTCAAACCGTCCACCATGATTTGGCCGATGTTTGCATACTGCTTGGTGAATCTACAGAAAAGAGTATGAACATGTTAGCCTTTTATCACCATGCACAAGTGAATGTGTCCCCGGCCATACTTACTTTGGTACAAATCTATCAAACATGCCTAGTGCATCGTTTTGTACGAGAACTTGTCCAGAACATCCGTTACCAGCACCAATACCAATGGTAGGGATGGTCAATTGCTGGGTGACATAGGAGGCAATCTCTTCGGGAACTGCTTCGAGAACCACGGCAAAAGCACCAGCTTCTTGCACAGCAAGTGCGTCCTCAAGAAGTGCTCGAGCTTGTTTGGCTGTCTTGGCCTGAACTCTGAAGCCTCCCAAAGAAGCTTGTCGCTGAGGTGTCAGTCCAACGTGTGCGAGGACTGGGATACCAACAGTGGTGATGCGTCTAACAGTTTCGGCCATTTCCTTTCCACCCTCAAGTTTGACAGCCTGATAAACATGTATGAGTACACCCGTAATTAATCATTGTCTGTACATTGAACCAAAGTGACTTTTACCTCGACATTGCCCTCCTTAACAAAACGCAGAGCCACCTTAACGGCATCTTCTGGATTAGATTCGTAACTACCAAATGGAAGGTCGCCAATGAGGAAAGGAGCCTTGCATCCACGAGCAACAGCTTTGCAATGATGTATCATTTCCTAAAGAAAAGAATTAGTCACATTTAACAAGGGTTTACCCCTGCCCCCTCCACTTACGACACAACTTACATTGACGGTGACAGGGTTTGTAGTATCGTGTCCTAACGTGACCATGGCCAATGAATCTCCTACCAAGCAAGTATCAATTCCCGCTCTATCTACCATGAGTCCTGAAGGGTAATCCTGAGCAGTCATCATGGAAATAGGTTCCTTTTGCTTGGCCATACGTCGAATGGTGCGAATGGTGACCTTGGGACGCTCTTTGAATTTCCAAATTAGGGTGCGAAATGTCAAAGCTTTGTGACGGCTATTCAAAGAAGCACTTACGGAAAGGGTCGGTGGGTTTTTCTTGTGGCCTTGCACTGTACAACCTTTGAGAGGGAGTGATAAGGCTTGTACGCAAAGCAGTGCGTACTGGAATGGTATATCGAATTGGCATGGAGGAAGAAAATATTCTTGAGACCGGGATTACTATACGATGTGTCATGGTGTTTGAAGAGATGTCAAGAAAGGGAGAGCGTCCAATAGCATGACAAATTTTTTTTCAACTTTTATATTGGCACAATTTTTAATTGCGGGGTGGCATTGACCAATCACCTTTACCCGCGCCACTGACAAAATGAATAGCACATGCGCTTACTATGATTTTTTTACCATTCCATTTTGTCTATAATTCTACCAATTGGGCGGTTGGAGTAACTGGCTACTACAAATGTAGCAATACGTATTTTCACTCCATTCTATCGCCAATTTCTATCGTCATTAGCTTAAGTCGGACCATGTAGCAGACGGATAGAGGCACAACAGTGTCCCTGTGCTACCAGGAGGGTAATCGTATGAATAATCGACGGGGACGTATACCGACTTTTGCCCACATTTAGGAGAAGGGGCATTGATAGGAAGCCGCAGCATATGAGTCAGGGCACATTGGAATAGAATTTACATTAAAAAAAATATGGCATTATTCGTTCATTTTATAAGGAAAGAATCAAAAGGCGTACGAGGTGGTGTCTAAATATCAATATCATCACTAGCGAACATTCCGGCATTAATGGTAACACGCTCTCCTTCTTGGAAAGCAGGCATACCAAGATAAGGACACGTAGAGCAACGGAAAGCATCACCCAACGCGCAGCTGCCACAACCACCGACCTTCTTTGGTGTTGGGTCCACCTCAACGATTTCATCGTCGGCAGTTTCGTCCATCAGATCCAAGGTAACCACGTTGTTAGATTCTTCCTCATCGTCCATCATATCAGCTCGACCGCAAGTACAATTTTTACATGCTTTACGGCGACCGTCTGTCATTTCACAATCATCTGGGCCTATTAAGAAATGAATGGAGGTGAGTAGTTGAAAAAATGCTGTGATAAATTTGTCGCTAACGTACGAGTCAAAGCTTCTTTGCTAGGTTTAATCTTATCTTCTTCATCCAAAAGTAGGTCTTCATCCTCCAATTCCGCATCATCATCATCATCAGCAGCAATGGTCCACACCTTCTTTTGTTCCTCCACCTTGACTGGCTTCTTCTTGAAATTAAGAGCAAACTTCTTTCCAACTTCATAAGCGGGCTTTTTGGCAACAATTTGTACCGTTCCAAACTTTCCTGAAAGTCTAGAAACAGCCTGATCTACTCTCTTGGTAACACCCCAGGCGTGGAAGAAATCAATAAGGGATTCGTCTGATACTGCGGTCGAAGATTCAACGGTAACATCAACAAAACCGGCGAGCTTGAGCATTGACACGATATCGGATTCTTTGCGGGTAATGGGACATGACGTATTACTGAGGTCGGCAATAACAACAGGCTCAACAAGGTAAAGGGAGCCTCCTGGCTTGAGAGCTTTCAAGTACTGTGAAAGAGCTTGGGCGGTGTGGGATGATACTGACGGGAAAACCAAGTTGGAGTGTATAGAATTGTAGGTACCGTTTTGGAGAGGGGCTATATACGATAATTCTATTAGTATCATGATGGCTGGCATATAATACCATCCAATAAATTATATAAAACGAAATTCATACCTTCAGGAACTCGTTCCATAGCCTCGAATGCGACATTGCCGTCCGATCCAACTTGAGATTGGAATGCCGACTTTGCGTCCAACAAGTGCTGTTGATCGGTGGTGCTGGGAGCCACAAAGAGAATTTGATCACCAGAGTTGATTATTGCGGTGGGCATTGCGGTGTATGTGGTATATCCTATAGTTGGCTGATCAACAGAGTGGGGTGAAAGATAGAGGAGCAAAGGCAATGGCTTACAAATAGAAGCCAGCCAGCTGATTGATACGCAAAGTCTCTTAAAAAAAATTAAGCTGTCATGTGACTGATCCGTGGATCTTTCCAAAAAGTACAGTATTTCTGATTGGTTCCTTTTGACGACATTGATGAAAACTCGTTCAATACCGACTCCACCATGGTTTGCAATCATAGATAATAACCATTAGAGTGAGTTTGGAAAGGAGAATAGCTGCGTTCGCTAGGCTTTGCTGCTAGTCACATGTCTGCGGTCGGAAAGCAAGTAAATATCTCGGCCCACAAAATAGACTTTGGTCTTGTGCTGGCGATCTCTGGAATTTCGATATTATTAGCCTTCTCTTCCAGTCACTGGGATATTACATTCCTTGTTTCTTTCTTCAAATCAAGTAATTAAAATATTTTGGCAGTTTATCGCTTTCAATAAAGAAGTATATCCACAGGCACTTGGTTAAAACTATTCGGCTTTTGGCAAACAAAGCAGCACGTTTGTACGACGCCTGACTGAACGGGTGGGCATCAACGATAGTCTTTCGTGCCTGTGAGATTAACGTCTCGCTTTTGAGTTTACGAGCCAATTTTTTTTTCTTTTTACTCTATAAATGTACATATTTAAATGGTGTCTTTTGATACACCCCTTTCCTAACTCAGAATCTACTGAAGCTATGTAAACTGCAGAAACAATGCACATCAACACGGTCAGGACAAACAAAACTTATTATACTACACAGTTTATTGATACAAGCCATCGCCTTCACATAGCTGGTTGACCTAGCTAGACAAAGATAAAATAACATCAAGTAGAAGCATCCGAAAGCTTTTGTGATTTACCATTTTGGTGACTCATGTCTTCAGTTGAGGTTGGAGCATCGGTATCATTAATTTGGTATACTAACTGGCCATCTTCGCCGAATGCCTTGGCAGCCTTACGTTTAGCACTTTCAGACGCATGCAAGGCTGAGTTCGTCCGTGCATTGACGAATCCTCCAAATTGTGACCGAGCTTTTGGTGCAGTTGGTCGTTTGAATGGCCGTATTGGCGCTTTCTTATTTACAGCACTTTTTTTGCTTGACGTTTTCTTCTCAAACAGATTCGTCACAGCGTCTGAGGAAAGAGCTGTAGCTAGTGGCTTTTTGCTACCAGTTAAAAAGCCACCATATTTGCTTGTGATGTTGTTCACCTCAGCCAAGATCTTTTGCGTGTCCAGTTCCGACGACTGCAATAAGGATTCTAAAGAACTCTCTGTAGCACAGTCCAGTTGAGGTATGCTTTCTGGGGGGTTATCCGGGAGTTGGCCATCTAAATCCACATCAAACATGTCGTCCATGTCATCAAACTCTTCAAGCCAAGACGTGATTTCTTCGTAGGACTCTCCAGGCACGTTGACTGAGATGGGTTTGGAATCCTTGTCAACACCACTTGTCTTGTTTTCAATGCTTGCAAGGGCATCTGCATCAAAATCTGGTCCAAAGTCTTCCTCTGTTTCTTCTTGGTAACCAATGGAGGCTGCTTTGGAAGGAGAGATACTGGTGGAAGTCGTTTTAGAGTAATTTGTAGATTCGATCTCCTGGATTTTTTCCAGAGTTTGAGAGTCAAATTCTATATCGTCGCCAAATTCCTGGCTATCTTGAGAAGCTGATGATAGTGCAGCTGGAACGTCATCATGGTCGTTCAGGCTTAGCTCATTAGATGGTTCAGAGGTAGTATCAGTTTTGTTATGACTTTGTGATGCATTGTTGGTATCAGAAAGGGATACACCTGGAGGTGTTATTATGGTATTGTCACCTATTGAAGATTCAGCTTCTTCCTGGTTATGGTTGAGTTCTTCTGTTATGTTGTCAGTATATGGTGTTTGAGGAGGATGTATATCATCAGCATTTTCTGAGAGCGACGTTTCTGTTGCAGAGCGCTTGGGTATGGTGTCTTCATTGGAGAGTAGGGTGGAGTGCATAGTGTTTGTCACAGCAACATCAAAAAGCTTTTCATGGTTCATTTTTTCTTTCTTTAATGGATCAGATTTGTGATCAATTAATCGTGTTTGCTTGAGAATGTTGGAAGCGTCGGCCAGCGGCGCAGCATCGCATTTTGTAACTGTTGTCATGTCGATATGTACATCAGCTCCACTGACAATAGGGTCTTTGTAAACTTTGAACGATTCGACGGTCCCTTCATCGCCGTGAGAAAACATTGACTTATGGAAGAAATACTGTTATAGCCGTAGGTGAGGGAGGAGAGGGAAATTGCAGGGCGCGCGACAACGAAAATTTGGCCATCCCAGTGACTGCGTTGCGGCCAAACTTCTTTGACGACAAAAGAACGCTTTCAAGTAACTACTGAAAGCTTTCCATAATAGGTGCTATACTGTGTGTGGGCGAACAATAACTTGCACCGAGCCGTATGTCTATTGTAAAAGATATGCTATGAATAGCTCACTATCAACAATCAGTCAATCATTTTAACCCGACGATTTTTTCATTTCTGGCAGTGCATTACTGTAATATGCAGCATTATATTGGAGGTTTTGCACAATCACACTAACTGAATGGTGGTTTGTTCAGAGAGTATATCGTAATGTCGGTATGCAAAGGACTATACAAGCGCGTAATAGAGATATAATGGGGATAATAAGCGCGAGAAATGTGTTTGGGGGGGGATCGAGAGGTACAAAAAAAAAAACAAATAGCTTTGCATGGTATCAAACATAAACAGTATAGGCAATAAGAATGTGAGGAGATGGAAGTGGTGTTGGTGGGGATGTTTTTGTCTCAGTATGAAGGCATGCTAATATGCAAATGCAGATAGGTATTTCGGACAGAAGAAAGGGAAAAAGAACCTTTGAAAGACCTGGTCCACTTCCCAAAAATTGCCAGTTTATGACATGATCTTGTTGAGATCCTCCAAGGTTTCGATGACGGCTGGTGAAAGGATGGACTTGCCTTTAACGCACTCCAAACCTTCACCAGCATAGGAGACAAGAGGAGATACCTCAATTTCCAATGATTCACCACCATCCTTTGCAGCGATCTTTCCACCAGCAGCTTCGATGAAGCGACTTTGTTGAGAAAGAATGTCATGTCGGGAAGTCTCGGGACAATCAACACCAGAGCCAGGAGCATTCTTCAATGGAGAGAATTCTTCTTTACGAGCAACTTCGAGAACAGACAAGTTGTGTGCGTATGGGAAGACATCAAAAACGAAGCATTCCATCTTCATGCCATTGATAGCCTTGGGAGCAATTTGTTCACCTGATTCCAAATCGGTATGCTTGATCTTCTTCTTGGCAATATGGTATTCAAGTTCATGTGCGAAGTCAGGAACACGCTCGAGGAAAGCAGTGGAGAACAAGTGATTGACGATGTTAGCAGCATTGAAGGCAAGGGTACCATCGGGCCTGCGCATTTCAGAGAGTTCCTTTGAGATTTCAGAGTATTCGAGGACACCGTATTTCTTGTCCTTCAAGCAAACAACACCAACGGGTTCTTCTGGCTTAGACTTGCCAACGACCTTGACACCACAGTCAGACTTCTTGGAAGCTGAATAGCCGATGAAGACAGGGTCGGCAACACGTGCAAGACAGTTATCAACACAGTAGCAGTGGGAGTAGAGAATACCACGTTCCTTCAGTGATGCGATAACGCCCTTGCTGTGAAGAGCACGGTAGATACCACCATTGCCATCAGGAGCAATGGCTACTTTACCCTTTTCCTCCAAAAGGATCTTTCCATCCATGGTCAAGCAAGGAAGAGTACCTATTTATAAAATTGATGAATCAGAATAAGATAACTTTGATGACACAGCCTCCATGTTGGGGCGCGCGATGTTGAACGTAAGGCGCATGAAATTGGTGGCGTGAAAAAAAACTAGGTCTTACCTTGTTCGAAGAAGATGACATTTGACTTGTCCAAACCAAAGTAATTGTTTTGTTCGAAGAAAGAGAAGGTGGGAGCATGGGTAGGACCTGAGGTCATGATATACCAAGGGACAACGACTTGGTCCTTGACTTGGAAACGGGCACGTGCAAGTTCTTGTACCTTGAGGATACGTTCAGCCTGGAGCTGGAACAAGGTCTTACCAGAGGGCAAGTTGATGTCATAGCAACCCTTGGGTGCTGAGCTACCCAATCTAGTACCTTGTCCACCAGCCATCAGAATAACAGCAACCTTACCCTCAGCGATCAGCTTCAAACCAAGCGTCGTCCACTCCTCAACCTTGGAAGCGTCTGCGGTCAAAACAGAGTCCGTCACGTCCGTAGGAAGGGGCTCGACAGAAGCAGCTTGAGCAGAAGCGCAAGCAGCTGCGCCCTTGACAGCTGTATCATAAATTTGATTGACACGAGTGACATCAAGATCAACAAGCTGGTTGTAAAAAACTTGCTGTTGCTCAGATGTCAAAGTATCCCAGAAGTTAAAGACATGGCCTTGTCCAGCAGCGTCAAAGTTGGACCGGAGAGTTGTAACGTCAGATTCTGTGAAGATTGTTTGCGTCATGCTTGGGACGAAGGATGGTTTGAAAGAGAAGAGTCATCTGAAAGCCGTTGTGGCTGTAGATTTTATAGAGGAGCCCACCGTTTGCTAGCCCAGCGGGGTTCCAACGCCTTTTTGCCAGGCCCCCAATGTGCTCGTGCAACTTTAGCGGAAGTCTCTAGCTGCTCCACATGAATTTTACAAGCATCAACTTGATATCTAATCCATATCAATGCATGAACTGAATTTATTTCAACTTCTACCATACAAAACGGAAACTTCTGCATCTAACAAAGCGAGCCGAAGCGGACGGTTATTTGACCATGTCAAAAATAGATGGGATAAGTTTGGAACGTTTCATCCTCCTACTCCGACAAATAAATGCTTGCTCCGCCATGAAGTCAACCCAAAAATTTTAAATGAGGAAAAACCAGACGACGCATAGCCACCACTCCATCTCGCCACGGCCCGCTATAAATATTTGCAGCACAGCGTCCAATTACTGTGATGAATGCTCCAGCTTCCTCATCTTGGCTGCTGGCTCCATGCTACTGCCTTCCTTAACCAGATATTTCATGAGTTCGGCCACCACTAACACGTTGATGCTGTTACCAAGTGTTCGATACTTTTGTTTAAGACTCATGGTCTCTGGGAACCCAAAGCTTGTAGGAAATCCCATGAGGTTGCCTACCTCTCTTGGTGAGAAGTATCGCAACTGCAGATGATGAAGACACGTCAGAACTTTCTGCTGATCCTGCTCATCCGCGGATGTACCTGTCTCTCGAGCGGAGTCTTTCCACCGCTGTAGTTGACTGAAAGTGTCGTCGGTCTGAATAGGAAGATGAAACGGGATATGTTTAGTAATATGCTATTACTTTTTTTTTTTTTAAACAGAGGCACTACGATGCACGTACATCACCATCTTCGTTCACTTGCAAGATTGAACCAGTTGCTTCCACATAGTGGTAATATCCTACCATGTAGTACAACGTCAAACCGCCGAATTGAGGTTAAAAGCGGTGTGCTACGTAATTAAGGCGATTTTATCAGAGATACACACCTTTAGTAAAACAACAGCTTCTTGAAGCTGACGGTTTGACAATGTCAAACGCGTGGCCATGCTTCAATAAAACCTAGGATTCATTCAAAAAGCTTCTGTGTTAAAAATAGCAGTCGTAGGGGCGTGGGTGTGCAGGCATATAAGCGGAGCCCCCCCCACCAGGCAATTAATTAGATCGTTACCTTATCAGGAACATTATATTGATGTAGGTCTTCATCATGACTTAAGAATTCGTGAATGTGTCTTCGGGCCACTTTCTCGCTTTTAAGAATCGTTTCCTCGTCCTTGATGATGACACCCCGTTCGTCCTTAAACTCGGTTGTGAGAGTCTTTGATGATGGAACATATCCTATGATGGATCCGGTAGGTTCCATCGCGAAGGCTAATGGTTTTGCTTTCGCCTGGTTTCAGAGTCAATGAGTGTGCCTATGGGGCTTGGATCAAACTCTACATAGCCCACACTTACCAGTAAGTAGTATCGTAATCTAGAGTTGGGTATGCCCATCTGCAATGGATTCAGCAAAAACTCTTGGTATGTATATTCACATTCTTCTAGTTGCTGTATGAGAACGTCACGAGAATCTGATTCCTATTGTCGCCCGGCCGGTCGCGAATGAGTTGGAAAATCATGTTCAATGTTTGAATCAGATAAAAAAAAAAACCTTACATCGAAACCCTTGACATTTTCTACCAATATGTACTTTGGAGGATGCTTCATGTTTGGAAGCATATTCATCAAATATAGAAAACTTTTCGACCGAGGATCCTTTGAATCCAGCTTTAAACCTGTGCGAGTGTCTATGGGAAATGAGAACTTTTGTTTAGCAATAAGACTGTGGTCAAATGGCTGAGTGATTCGTTTATGAAACCATACGTGGTTGACAAGGTGGCGACATGGTCCAAACATCCGCTTTCTGAGCGTCATAAAATTCTAGTGGCAGTGCTTCTATATTTCTCTACATATCCTACGTTAGGTTGATGCATCATAAACCACATAACATGACCTAGGTACTTACTTGTGCAATGACTGATTTTCCGTGGTTGAACGCATAAACCTGATACCCAAATGTAACAGCTATCAGTCATTGTTGCCTATCTATTTGATTGATAGCTCCAAAGTAATTTTACCTCATTAGCGGTGGTATTGATGTCGAATGCTTTTATAATTTTGTAGTCCCAGCCAGCTTCTTCAGCTGCAAAATGCTACATGGGGAGGATTGAGATTTGACTGTCAAATGCTGCGTTACCATTAATTTTGTCACTGACCATGCCTCCAATACCGGAGTAGAACTCCAATACCCTCAATGTGCTCATAGTACTCGTCGATATGTTAATTATTTAATAGTTCTGGTGCATAAAGATTGATTCGTTGCCTCCACGCATGTCAAAGAAAAGTCTGTGCGCAAAAAAAAAAAAGAAATGGCAAAAAAACCGTCCCAATATGAAGTGGCAATTTCCATAACCATACGTGAGTACTTACGGTTTTTATTGTTATCTTCGCTAAATTGAAGCTGTTACTGACTACTGTAGGAAACCTCTTCTTATTAATGGTATATAAGAAAACTTTGACTAATTTACGATGCGGTAAATCACATTTTTGATGACAGTGAATGGAAGATAATTTAATTCCCTGGTAACATATTCTAGTACACACAAACAGTTAACTTATAATGTTTATGCTCTGAAGCCAACGATTGAAGAACCTTACCAAAAAACGTTCTGTCAAAGACAATTTCGGCCGGTATCCTTGATCAGTACTCAATGGTGCGTATGAAATTTTGTCACTTGGAGGAGACGATACCTCTTCCCTTGCTGCGTAGGCCATACGCCACTCATCTCCGCCGTTGGGAGTGCTACTTAGATCGGATGTCATTGACATACGTTTTGTTTGCGTTTTTAGCGGCTGCTTAGGTGCACGCACTGGGATATCAGTAATTCTTTCGATTGGGTTTGATGTCTCGTTGTCCGAGTCGTCATCTACGGCAGAAGGCACTGTACTAAACCGAAACCTGAAAGATGTTTGCTCTTTGACTGGTAGTTCCTCAGAATAGTTGTTGGCCATATTTCAGGATGAGAGCTATTTCAATTTTCCTTCGAAAATGAGGGAGTGAAAGGAGAAAAAAGAGTGATGTGTCAGATAGATTGCGTGCTGTGATTGAGTCATCGGCCTCGGTTTATGCACAAGTGAAACAGCAATGACTTATTTTTTCCGCAAATGTAATGTTTTCACTGATAGAACACATGATATGTTGATAAAGTACAATGAGAATTTAGATAAGGAACATATCACATAAAGTGATGTATGGTAGTAGTAATAACCATCGTTATAGCCAAGAGAATGACGGATAGCCTTATGGGGAGGGATGCATCGGCTCGCCACATGAGTAGACAAATAGAACTGCAGTTTACAACTCAAACAGTGGTTTGATCAAAGTCAAATTATATTCGGCAAATTTACATGAATACGAAATAGAACATAGCGAAATTTATTCAATCGCGCTTCTCATCATAGGTGCCTTCTAGCCATCTACCGGCCTCGTTAACATATTTAGCAGCTCTAGTCTCGGTTTCCGTAATCAAGGAAGGATCAGCTGCGTCAATGGCCTCTGCTAGTGACGGGAAGGTTTGTCCACTATAGCCAGTCCAGAGTCCGGGAGCATATACGGTATGCTTAAACCATGTGCGACCCTTGATACCTTGGGGATCTAGGAGACCACGCTCAAACTTGGCAAGACGGTCATTGATCTTCTTGACACGCTTCTCAAGTTTGTCTGACAAAGCTCCCTTGGATTTAATCTTATCATGAACACGCTGGCGCAATTCGGTAACACTGCCTTCAAAGTCCTCAGCAATTTGACGAAGAACTGATGCTGCTGACTCGAGTTTAGTGAAAGAAAGAGGGAATCCGTACTTGTTGAGATCCTTAACATAGCCTTGAATTTCGATGGCGTAATCAACGGTGTTAAATGGCAGGACAATATCGCTTGAAAGATGAAGAGCCATGAGACCCCAAATTTGAACAAGAGCACGATGATAGTTGAAGTCAGGGTCACCAAACTTTTCCATCCAATGGAAGCTATAGGTACCGGACAATCATTAGAACTCCATAAAACAAAAAGGCTTCCGTTCACCCATGATGCTCACTCACCTATCATAGTTGCTATGGTAGACACCATAATCGCCTCCAAATGCAAGGTTGACACTGCTGATACCAAGGTAATCCAAGAAACCAACGAAATCAGAACCAGAGCCCAAAACACCAATCTTGGGCTTTTTAGATGTAGCCATGGCCATATCTTCACCACCGACGAAAGGACCGGTTTTCCAAACATCATAAATAGATCTTTGTGTCTGAGGATCGGTAACTTGAGCAGTGATATCATACACCAGTTGGTTTAGTGATGGTGATGCTGCTGCACCAAAGTGAGGTCCAGAGACAGCCGTATCGACATTAATATAGACAACACCTTCCTTATTCAACCATTCAGCGTGATCTTCTACCCATTCAGTGGAGCCGACCAAACCATATTCTTCAGCATCCCAGGAAGCGAAAATAATGGTGCGGCGGGGACGCCATCCTTTCTTGAGCAAAACACCGAATGTGCGAGCAAGTTCCAACTAAAAGGCATTGAATTAGTGCGTGTACTGCAGACATGGTTGGTAGGTAGCACATATCTTTGCCATTATAAACTTACCATAGCTGAAGAACCTGAAGAGGGGTCGACTGCTCCAAATACCTGTTAATATAAAGTTAGACATTTTCATTTTCAACATCCCATGCAGGTCCAATGTGATTTGTTATCCGACAAAAAACTTACCCAAGCATCACGGTGGTTACCTACAAAATATCATGAAGATCACTTTTTGTCAACAACGCTTGTATCATCTGGACGTACCACAAATATCACTTACCAAGGATGATGGCACGGTCCTTTTCTTCAGTACCCTCAATTCTGCTAATAACATTCCAAATAGGAGTGATCTTGTTCTCAACATCGTTAACAAGGTTGACCTCAACTTCGGAGGGACCAATATAGTATCCAACTTCAGTCAATCCGCCTCTCCATTCAGCAACGGCTCTAAAGCCATGGCCATCCAAAGCACGAAGAAGTGGGAGAGCGTCTTCCCAAGAAATAGGCAAAGAAGGAATCTTGGGAATGCTAATGGTTTCATTAAGAGGAAGACGAGTGACATTCTCCTTGGCAGCATATCCGGGGGTCAAAGGATCACCAGCCAGCAATGACAAAAATTGAACGGAACCGCGTTGCACAGAGGACGGGGATCGCCTAAAATAGACGTTTTAGTATGGAAGACTCTGCATGGGCTAAATGTTTCAAAAGCACTTACCATGGGCCATCAGGATAAGATTCAGCAGGGTTATTGGTTTCGTCTTTGTTCAACGGGCCATCATCAATAGGATCAGAGTAGATTAAGGTGCCGATACAGCCAAAATCTTGAGCAGCCTTCACCTTAAGTCCACGGAATACGCCACCATATCGAACGAGGGCAATAGTGCCAGTGAAGTCGACACCAAGAGCAGCGAGAGCCTCAAAGTCTTGAAGTCTACCATAGTTCACATAAACAATGGGTCCCGTCACGTTGCCAGCGGCGGAATAACCTATGAAGGTATCATGTTAATATGATCTGTTTTTTGTATTGCTTTTGCATGCTAAAGTTTCATTGGGGCTTACCATGAAATGTGGGTACATCTTCCTGACCTTTGCTTGTCTTATCTTCGTCAACGATATCTTCACGAAGCTTGGCTTCATATCTAAACTTCTCGGGACCAGACACAATTGCCACACGACGGTACTTGGGGTAGTTAAGAAGTGGCCAGTAGGTTTCGATCTTGGAATCAGAAATACCAAATTCAATAAATTTGTCTCGAGTCCACTCCGCTTGAGCTTTGTCAGACTCAGTACCAGCCAAGTGAGATTCGGAAGTATATTTGTACAGATAGTCTCGGATAGAGTCATTGGAAGGTGTATTGATCATGATGTGCTTGGCTTCTTTGAGTGATATAGCTGATTTATGTTTGGGTTAGTACATCGAGTGCCACATACTATTCGTTCCAGCATAACTGCATGGGCGAATACTTACTAGAGCCATAGCCTCTGAACCAGAAGGCAACCACACCACCAATGAGGACAGCGAACAGAACAAAGAACAAGATACTGAGAACAATTTTGACAGTTTTATGTTTGGGAGGCTCAATAGTCATGCGATTGCTGTCAATGAGTGGAGCACGCTCTTCTTCGCTGGTGCCAAACTTGCTTTGCCACGCATTCTTGAAACGTTGAGTCCAAGACGCGCTCTGGGCACCGTTCTCGGCATGTTGAGCAGTTTCCTCGTCTTGAGGAACCGCATTGTAATTACGAGACATTGGAAAGAGTTACAATGGCGAACCCTAGGGAAAGCACACAAACGGAATAAGACAAAAAAAAAGATTTCGTCACAGGGAAAACGCTTTGCCTCGCGACGCAATTTCTTTCTTTGATGGCAAAGATTCGCACGCTTACAAATTTGAATTTCTCTATCACTTGTGTATCCTCCGAGCCTCGGACTTCAGTCAGACATATCCATGTCTGCTTCTTCATCGTCTTCGAATATAGCCTGGTCGGTAGCTGGAGCGACTGGATCTGCAGCGGGGTATGATGCCGGTAAGGCACTTTTCGTAGCATAATATTCATAATATTGTTGTTCTGAAATCTGGTGCTCATTACTAACTATTGTCTCGTCATAGTTATATAATGTATACAGATCCAATCCAGGGTATGTTACTGTTTGGATTTTTGGTAATTTTCTACGCTTTTGTACAAGCTCAATGTGATGTTTCAGCAAGGATGTGTGAGTATCAGATCTGGAATTTGAAGTTCCGCTAAAGTCCTTATCAATGTGGTGGTCATCGTATATCAAAAGAGCTGGTTCACTTTCCGAGTCGGTTGCTATAGCTGTGTTGAATTGAGCTACAATTCTTTTTTAAATATTTGAATAAAGTCACCATGACGCTTACCGAGTTCATCTTCGCACTTGGTATATCCAGGTGGATAGCCATATTCACGTATTTTCCGATAATACGGAGGTTCCGAACCTTGCATTCCCAACGCGTCCTGCAGCTGTTGAGAAAGCTTGCCTGGTGTCAGCTGCTCGACCGCTTCTCGGAGCCCGAGCTCGACGAAAAACCGTGCAGAGTTCGAAGTGCCGCTGCTGCTTTCATTTTGAAATTGTTTTCTATTCGCCTTTATTAATGCCGGGTTCCGAGGCTCAGGACATTGCTTGAAGCTGTGTTCCACGCTATTGCAATTGAAGCATCGATTTGATTGCCTTTTTTCGCGTGTACATCAACAGAAAAATATTAAAATTTCACTTGTATGTCCCAATTACATTGTTAAAAATGTACTTACGACTCTTCTTCAACTTCACCAATAATCTTGTTACTTTCCTTTGTATATTGCGGTACAAGATCCTGAGACAGATTATATTTGCTTTCATCTATTTGATCGTCGATAACGAAGACACCATCCCGAAATACTACAGGTGTCAGATGTGATCCAGGTTGCTCGTCCCCTTTTTTAGCGGAATTGACATCTTCGTTTCCAGCCACATGAAGGAACCGAGGAGTGTAAGGCCGATAATATTCGCCAGCCTCTTCGCGTTTCGGTTGACCACTTGCATCTATGTCAGGTTCAGATACGTCTTTGTTCCCAAATCGATCGCTTGGTGTGGTGCCCAAAGGTTTTGAGCGTCGTAACCGTATTTTTAATTTGTCGGTACTAAGTTCTAAATTGTTGTCTGTACGTTGGAGGCAGTGTTCTATATACTCTAAAGGAATGCCAGCAAGCATCGGTATCATATTTGATAGAATATTCAAAAATAAGAATCCGTCACTTGAGCTTCGGAGCATCATGGCCAGTATGGGATCTCGCGTGTTTGAAGGGAATTTGAATACTCGTTCCAAGGAATTCACCACGTCATACGCTAAGAGTTTAGATTTACGCTCATGGAGAGATCTTTCGCCCTGCATCCTCGTAATTGATGGTATCTGCTGGCAATGTCCCGCACTTTTATGTCAAACTCGTTGTCGCCGCCCAAAGAATTGGTAGATCAATTATCGTCGTTGGGACATTTTTTTGATACCGTGCAAATTGCAAGTCATAGACTCTGAAACTCTTCAAGTATGTCTTTTCCTTTCAGTACATTTACCGGTCCATAATACTATTGCACAATTGTAATGAAGAGTTTTAATCATGAGCTGGAATAATAGTGCGTTTGGAAACGGGCTTGAAACCTTTATTGGAAACTCTGTCTCGTACATATCCTCTTCCAAAAAGGTTGAGTATGGATTGATGTAATCCCCAATACCATCGAAGAAGGTACTAGACAGCTTGGTTCGCCTATATCGACAAACTACCAGATAAATAGGCTTCAATTACGATGGTGCCATTTGAATTATGTTTAAGTAATGATGTAAAAGGAGATAAATATCTCTATTCAGTCAAGTCTAATTGGGTTCCTGCGACTAAACAACATTTCAGTGATATTCAATGATGTTTAGAAATGGTGTGAAGTGTATTCTAGGTACTGGTACCAAATGTAGGCAGCCTAAAGTACCGTATTCAAGAGAAAATATACAGCGCTATAATATTACAATGGATTTCCTATAAGCTAACAATGATGCAATTCGATTATTCTCAAAGTGCTTTAGAAACCTCCTCCGAAATCGCCTCCGCCAAAGTCGCCGCCGCCACCAAAGTCGCCGCCGCCGCCATTGTAGTCGTCACCGTAGTAGTTATTTTCAACGACAGTATCGTGGTCAAAAGCTTCACCAGCCATCATGCCTAACATACCACCACCAACTAGACCGGCTGCAAGAGGTAAACCGGCTCCTCCCATACCTCCCATGCGACCGCCACCAAAGCGGCTTCCGGCTTGCTGTTGGACATACTGTGGTTGTTGCTGGTAATATTGCTGTTGTTGCTGGTAAGGTTGCTGATAACCGCCTTGAGAATAGCCCTGGTACGATGCAGCCGAACCTCTTTGTTGATCCTGTAATGGACGGTCGATAGGGTGGTCCCATTGAGTATGTGCATTCGGTGTATATACGTAAAACCACTGTCCACTGTTTGGATCCTTCTGGGTTATCCAACCAGGAGGCAATTGCCTTCTGTCTGGATTGCTATCAGCAGATTTGGGTGGTGGTGGAGCATATTGTTGGTGTGGTGTATTGCTGTTGGAATATGGAGGGGGGACATCACCAGGTCTTGGTTTTGGTTTTGAGAATAGTCCCATATTATAAGTTTGTTATGTGAAGAAAGATAAAGTAGTTTTGCTTTGGCGCTTGCTCAACAGCAGTAAAAATACTTACCGAGAATCTTGGCAAGTCACGAGGAGAAGTCGTCATTGAATACCATCTTTGAACACCCAGAGTCAAAAGAAGTTTTGCGACCAATGAAACCACCGTCATTAATTAAGGTCGTTTCGACTGACCAATCATTTCCATTTCAGCCACAGTGGCCGATCTCAGTCACCAGCCAAGATGAGTTTTCATACCATAAAGAGAAACGCTGGAAGCTACCACAAACTTCCATGACTTGAGCGAACTTTATTTTTCATCGTTTTGGTCACGTAAACGAAGCCTGAAGTCACAGCATCAGCGATTTGCACTATAATTTCAACAAGTCTGCTGGATATAATTAGATAATGACTGAAAAACGGAAATTGCCAAGCCAAAATATGATCATGCCTTTAGTAGCCTAATAAATGATTTTGGACGTAGACATAAGTACAAAATTCTGGATCGAGCGAAAAAACTTCATGCATAGTAAGATTAGCAATCTAGAGAATCGCTTTGTAACGGATGGGTTGACCGTTTCGTCGTAAGCGATAGTTATTACGCACCGAGGACCACAGTACTGCAGAAAGTATGAGATAAGCATGGTTCATTAGGATGTCAAGTTTAACAATCTTTTGAAAGAGGGAAAATATGATAAACTATTATTTGTGCGATTATGATATAGTGCGCAAACATAACATTGATTTATTCTGAATTTAGCTGACTAGAAAGATAATTCTCGAACGACATGAGAGGTATTTCTTGTTTGCCATCATAGGATTCGGAAAAGGTGACATACATGTCAGGACGTATGAGCATAATGCCAGCATGGTTGTGTTCAATGCCAAGTCGTTCAGCAAGTTGGCCCTTAGTATCGCACCAAAATCCTTCTTTGGCATAAGCACTGTCGCGAGCATATTCTGGAACTCTGTACCGAAAGATATTGTTTTTGCTTAGCACTACAATTGGTCTTACAAACCTCTCGTAAGGCTTGAGAATGTTCCAAAAGCTTGCAGAAGCGTCGTCATCGCCGGCATGATTCCAAACAAGCAAAGCGATATACCGATCTGACTTCCTGAGAATACTCCTGATGGTTTGTGGTGACGTATTCATTGTATCCTTGGGAATGAGGATGCCAGATTCCTTCATGTATTGTCCTGGTTCAATAATAGCGGAAGCAGATTTCTTGGCCAATAGGGTAGAGTTTGAAGGGATGGTCACATAGAGCTGTTGTACCATATACCCAACCTTACTGTGAAGGGAAGGTACGTTCAACGCCAGCGGAAGCACAAATGATCGCAGGAAGTCTGTTGATTAAGTTTAGATTCTTAAATGCTTGATTCATGTTGGAAAAACGAAAAAAAGTTGTAGTCTGACCTGAAATCATAGTAGGCGTTACCATGTTTCTTGCCACTTTTCCCGTTACGTCAATGGTGGCATCCACATACGGACTTCGCTGGTTAATGGAGAGCAAATGATTAGATTTTGACGCTGTGGGCCATGTACCAAATTCACTAAACCAACCTCATCGTAATAAGAATTTAACAACTCTTCCGGGTTCTTTGCTGCATTTTTCAAAACAGATGAAATCTTCCAAGCCAAGCTGTACGCTATGAAAAGCCAAAAAGCATCAAAACAACAGTTCTCACTCAAGTACGCATCACATACCATGAACATACCATCTTGAAGGCCAAGATTCATTCCTTGTCCTCCTGCTGGAGAATGACAATGAGCAGCATCTAGCGGAAAATAATAACAAACGATACAATTCATTATCGGTGACCAACTTACAAGTACCCCATTTGAAATGTACCTTACCTCCAATAATAAAACATCTTCCTCGCCGAAAGCCATTTGCTTTGCGTTCATTAACACCAAACTTGGCTAACCATTGTGGGTTCTCAGCTTTCATTTTAAAAGCACCACTACGTTGATCAATCATTTCCTGAAGTTGTTCGAGAGTAATGGATTGGCCTGTTTGTATGCCTTGAGAGACTGCTTCCTTCTTGTCATGAGAGGTCAAGGCGTTCTTATCATCAGGAGAACCGACAGGATTTAGACTAAGTACAACTCGGGTGATAAGTTTTTCTCCAGCCCTATCCAGTAGCGGTATCATCATAAACACACCGTTTTTAGAGTTAATAAAGTTGCCATAGCGCATATCAGGAAGCTTGTCTCCAGTCAAGGTGACATCCGCTAACGCGAATGGCACTTGGAAGACGACACCATCAAATGTCCAGCCAGGTGTGCCCTTACGTACGGCCGAATGCACACCATCCGAGCCTACAAGAAATTTTGCTTTCACTTCTTCCACGTTGTCCTCGTCGTCCCCGTGCTGAAGCTTCGCTACCACGTAGTCGCTCTCTTGAACATACGAGATCAACTTGACTGGCCGTTCCACTTTCTTGGTGAGTCTGCCTTGCAATGTATCCTCAATTCTCCATTGAGGTATTACTGTCATATGACCGTAAAGAGAATCAACATCTCGCATTTCTATCTCTGCAATCTGTAAGGGAGCAAAAACGTTATAAATGAACTTATTTCGGCGCTGTCCCCAGGCATTCATGCTCACAGCTTATCGCATAGCTTACTTGTTTGGCGTCCGAGTGTAGTCGTAAGCCGCGAGGGATCACAGCATGGCTCAAAAGTTCGCCAGACAGACCTCTGTCCTCCATAATTTCTAAGCTTCGTGCAGTTAGAAGTAGTGCTCGACTTTGACCATGCCTTGCTTCTGGCGTCTCTCCATCAATAATTCGATAATTATGACCAAATTGATCCATCAAGTTCGCAAAGAAAGATCCAACGGGACCGGCACCGCAAATGAGCACGTCCAACATGTTTGTAGGTATAAGTTATTAAGCACTTTAGGATGTAGTTTGACTTATTGTAGGTTTGTGTGTGCGTGTGAGTTTGAACAGAAAAGAATCAGCCTCTATTATATAAAAATGCCGAAACTGGGAAGCGGATAAATATCTCCGAAAATTAGGCCGTTTTCCGTCCCGTAAATGTACCGCTACCGTGTTGATATAATGAAAAGAAAGAAATGCACGTATCATTTGTTTATGGAACAGAAAAGAGTGCTTCAACGTCTAAATGTTTAAATTAGTCTGTGAACCGCTTTGAATTGTGTATTCTTGTGTTCTTGTCATTTTCATGTTACGTTCTTTCTGACTTTAAATCTCCATTGCTTTCAACCAAGTAGCCATGCGTCCTAAACATTTCTAACCGTCATTGTTAGTTAGAATACATGTATATTAACTGCTTAATGTGTCGGATATACATAGGCATGTTGGTAATATGTATTATCCGGTTTCCATCAAGAATGATTTCTCCAGCATCAGTTGTGAATCACAAGGCTCCCGGGTTTGGCGAGTATGACACATTCATGACTAGCATACTTGTTAAGTGATTCACCCATATAACCAATTTTTATCCCGTCACTCGGTATCGTAAATCATTGTACTGATGAGATTTGTAGTTAATAATTTGATGCAATGTTTAAAATGCGGACTTTTACCGAAGTCAAAATTTACAAGAACGCCAGGTTAATGACTGCTACGACTGAAATACCGCTTTCACTTTTTCACAACATGATATGGACGCCTCAATAATGTTTCTCGGCCAACAAGAAGAACTAACATGGACCAATGTCGGAATATCATCGCTCTTCTTGATCGCTTTGGGTTAGTTACGCCGCATGTGCCTACATGTCATACAAATGTCAGAGATTGCCACCATTACTCACCGTTCATGGCATGTCATGTCCAAAAAGTTTTTCTTTCATTCTTCCTCAAATTGCAGATAGAGAGACCGCTAATAATATCGTCAATTCGATGCGTCCTCCAATTGACTCTGATGGTAATTATTCGTAGACGCTTTTTGTGTCTGTCATACTTTAGGGGTTGATGGATCATGATGTATGCCTAATTTGGTACAAAATAGGGGTACATTCTTAAAGATGTTTTCAGCAAGGATGATCCGCTTATTACCAGTCTTATTGTAGGCAAGTGAAAAAAATGAATTGAAATCGTAAATTAAACATAATTCGAATACGCTAATGACTTGTATCGCACATTCCTTTAGCTGTCTTAATATTGCTCAGCTCGTTTGAAATTGTATACCAGAAATCTGTTTTAACCTACAAAGGCATGGTAAGTTGTAAAGGGTGTTGTGGAGCCATTGGAGCTGCTTTATATATGTATTCATTACTAAAATGGCTCGATTAAGTTTCTTTCGGTCTTGGTTTCAGTGGGTGTCAGCACGATTGCCATCTCAATCGCCGGTACCCGAATAGGGTTGAACGAAACTCCATTTTGGAAGCCAACTAAATTCATACCCACTGTGGGAATGATAGTTTCCAACTGTATGAGCGCAACAGCACTGGGAATCTCGTCGTGTTTGTCACATTTTCGAATACACAGAGAAAGCATAGAAACCCGATTATCCTATGGTGCATGTCGATGGGAAGCAGCGAAACCTATCGCCATCGAATCCGTGCGAACAGCCATGCTTCCCACCATTAACGGCATGTCAATTCTGGGCTTGATTTCTATACCAGGGATGATGACAGGACAAATTATGGCAGGTGCTCCTGTTGGGCAAGCAGCCATGTATCAGCAAATCATGATGTTTATGATCAGTGGATGTAGTGCATTCTCTGTTCTCTATTGCGTTGCTGTGAGTAAAAGGATGCTCAATAATGGCACTGATAATCTTGATTAATTGATGCCTTTATTCCAGATATGTGTACGGGTCGCTATCGACAGTGATCACCGACTTCGCCTAGATAGAATATTGGACGGTAACAACAACAAGATGGGCTACAGTAGTAGCAGTAGATTATTTTGCTGCTTTAAGCGAAGAAAGGTTGAACAGTAGAACAATTAAATAGAAATCTAGCTAATTCCTCATATACTGTAAGCATATGCCTTCCTCAGGTAGTGAGGGGATATAGCCTGGCTGGCTGGCTAGTCTGTAGCAAACAGTATCTTAATTACATTTCGTAATATAGCATCCTAACAATATTCACCCGTAGCGAATTCAACTTCTTCTTTTCGCATTTGACGTATTTGTTCGAAATAATAGTTTATTCTTATGTATTTATTGGGTCTCGATTTCATGACGTTCAGTCGGGGAGATGTGCCTGGCTTGTTCTTTCAAACTGAAAAATTCGCAGTCGCGCTTTGGTTGTGCAGTATTTTTTGTAAGCCGTTATTTTCAGATTCCTCAAAGTTGTGCAGATTTCGCAACAATCGCTTCTCGACAGGCTTAATTTGACGATATATCGAAAAAGGTCAAACAAAACGCTTTTAAAAGAACCGGATTTTCAGAAGTAGCACCTCAGGCTGGGAAGAATCTGACCCAACTACCAAAGTAGATCTAAATGGATTCCTTAAAGCACGACCTCGACTCCGCGGTAATTTGCCTCTCACAGTGCTCGACAGTACAAGTATGAAAGTATCTGATATATAACGCTCATTTTCTAGCTGAAGCCAGCAAGTGACCGCCAAAATATGGTCGGTCAGCCTACCACGGTAATAGAGGTACGCGTTGAGTGATAGTCTCACGAGAAGTTGGGATCACCTTTCTAAACCTCAATCATCAGTTCTACCGTGAAAGCTTCAAAATATTTAAAGACTGCCAACAATATTTTGGAAAAGCAAGGGAAGCGAAAACAAAGTTGAACATACTCAAAATGTAAGAAAAAGTACCTGCTTTTTTTGTTAGCTTTCGTCTGCCGCTCTGGATCATATTGTACTAACCGACATGTATAGCGACGACAACCACGAAAATGAAGAGATGAGGCGCAATTTGACAAAGTTTGCCAAAAGATACTCTGAGCTAATCAGTCGACTACTTGCAAGCGAGGTATTTGTACGCTGTTCTTATCAGACAGTATTATGATATGAACTGTTACTGAAACCTCATTCAACAACAGCATATAGGCAGGGGAGAGAGACAATTGTTCGAGGAAGCATATTCTATTTGGCGTTTATGTGAAATACTGTATTTCCCAGAAGACCCAATATCGCCTATCGCTCCAGATTTGTTGAATTGGCTAGAGATGCAAGATACAGGTTAGCATTGTGTTCCAGATATGGGCATACTTCAAGGCTTGACGTGACTTGATTCTTAGCAATTGCTTTTTTTTCTTGGTAGACTTCGTTTCCAAAGTTGAGACCACTATCGCACAGCCTATAGGTGACCTAGAGAATATACCGTGGGATGTCATTCAACGGTAGGATACGCACAGTTTTCTCTCTCTCTCGGTATATGACCATAAGTTACTCATCACTTTTTCCATGTAGAGCGACAATTCACGGAAACCTCGCTGCCGTGAGTGCTCTTTTGGAGTCAATTGCAGACACTTGCCCTGAATTCTACCGAAATATGATCTTCGACGTTAGACAGTTAATTGATGACAAACCAGATTTGCCCGCCAAAGCAAACGTTGCTATTATAGCAAGCTATGTTCGAGCATGGCGAACTTGGGATCAAGAAATACAAGATAAAATTTTGGCACTGGATCCGCAATGGGGTGAATATGAACAATGTTCTGAGAAGCAAGAGGATGGCAGCCAGCAGAGTAACGACTCTAAATACGACAATGACTACGAATCAGTGGGCGAAAAGAGAGATGCTGCCTACCGAGGAGATATCGACGATTCAGTAGACAAACTAATTCGAGATCATTTGATCGAAATTCTGGAAATTGTCAATGGCAACCATGATACTATTTGGCGACTGAGCGAGGATTGGTTGGAAGGCGTTATAGCTATCATAGTTTATGCTCAACCGACCATTGCCAGAAGCGACATTGGCGAATTAATAAGTCGAAACGACGGCATCAACTCGAGCACAAGCCCTCTCATGGACATATACCACTCCTTTTTATCATTTGATATACCTCTGGGTCTCAGTTTATGCCGACCCTGGTGGCTAACGGCGCACTTGGACGATCTTTTGAAATACACAGATTTGCTCAACGATCAGTGTGAAGCTGGAGAAGCTTCGATGGATGAATATTCCAAAGCTGAATACGCACGACTACTCGTGGAGAGTTATCAAGAATGGCCGTTAGCAATTGAGTATCTTTCTTGTTGCCCTACTCATGGCAGCGAATGGATATCAGAGGTAAGGATCCTTAGTACTTTCTGTGGAGACTTGAGAATGTGACGGTGTCTGATCTACTGTCGCTTGCATTACTAGCTTGTGCAAACTACAAAGTTCACCTCGGCTCAAATGGCAGAAGACGTTTACACCTTATGTAGCGAAAAAGGTATCAAGGAAGTAGCAGGCTCAATATCGGCTGTAAGCAAGAATATACGTTAGCATTTAGAGCACATTGCCTGGAAATATAATTTTGATCCTATCTTTCCTTATAGGCTTTGGCCGACCAGCTCATGGTAGACAAAAAATACTCTGAAGCGATTCGCCACTATCTAGAAGCGGGTGAAATCGGTAAAGCTGAAGGCGCGTCTTCCAAAGTGTTGGATGAGTACTTGTCTACGGGTATGTTTGGTTGAATTGAGGATGACAAGCGACGGACAAAGCGTGCTAACATGCCCTCACAGGTCAAATAGAACTGCTGAAAAACATACCACATACGGAGGGCTGTCATACATCCGAGGGCTGTTACTGGGTTTTGATAGAATATAACGAATTTCACAAGCTATACAAGGTGAGGATCGCTATGTTTCAAATGTCATCATGTAGAAGGTGACAGGGTAACTAAAAACGTGTTATCAGCAGCGTGGCGATTATGCAAAAGCTGCCAAAGTTCTTTCCAGGATCATGAATTCGCAGAAAACTCCCATGAAATTTTGGCCCGCACTTTTGCTTGACGCTTTGGTGTTTTTAGAAGGTATGTGAGCTTCAAAATGTTCTGATAACACCTGTAGATGGTAGCTGACAACCTACTGCCATATAGGAGAAGAGATGTACTTTGACGAAGAACAGACTTACAAAATGATGGGATGTCTGGAGGATTTAACTATGGACGAAGATAAAGAAAAGTATCTCCAATCTTTAAAAATCAGAATCAAACATGTCAAAGCCGATGCAAGCGACAAGGATGCCGATAGCATTGTGGAAATGTTGCGATTCGCTTTATCAAGGAACCTGGCAAGATCCGTATCCCATTAAAATACATTTCTAAACAACTGTACCATAAACACTCCTTCGTCATGAGCAACGAACTGTAATCAAATAAACTCTAGTTTTCAACTTGGGGTTTCTGACACACATGATAAAGAACATTTGCAGATGGGCTCATCAGCCTCAGCAGGCATGATACGAAAGATTTTGGACGATAAAATTGTAATGAACGGATTTCCGAAAAGGTGTATTGTTTTAAATGCTGACTGAATTTGCAAAATAGCAATGTGAATAGGTGGAATATATTACAAGTTGGATATCTACGAAATACTCTATTTGCTATCCTTCTTTGATTTTTTCTCTTTCTTCTCCTTCTTCTCTTTCTTGTCCTTCTTTGTTTTTGATTTGGATTCCTTCTTCTCCTCGTCGCTGCTGCTCTTCTCTTTCTTCTCCTTCTTTGACTTTCGTCGGTCACATTCATCGTCTTCATCAGCCTTTCTCTTTTTGCTCTTCTTCTTGGGTTCCTTAACGGAAATTTCCTCTTGAATCTCGACTGTCATTTCATTTGTGGTTGACTTCACAAAACCAAGGCCGTTTCCTGTGACAAGCCCATTGCTACGTGAGCCTAATCCAAAGCCAAGGGCCGGAGACGATTCTTCTGAACCGCTGAACCCGATACCTCCGAACGATGGCCTTACTTCCTCCTCTTCCACCTGTTCGAATGATGCTTCTAAATTTTCGGCAAAGTATTAAAAGCCAGTTCATTGCAGTATGTTTACCCTATAATATACAAGACTTACTGAGACCACTTGCTGCAATTCCTGAAACTTTGACGTTCTTCATTTTTGACGCAAAATAGTCTTGCACATTCATTTTGTTCACAGTCATTGGGACATTAGTTGTATTCTCCATTTCTTGCACTGTCTCCTCTGATACAACAGGTGACGAAACTGGCGAAGCATTAGCTGATGCAGAGTTTGATTTGATGCCGAGAATCTGGCTCATGCTTTCCATATCCTTTCCATTAGCAAGTCGTTTTGCTCGCAAGAATTTTGCGCGTGCCCTGAAAGAAGCTATGGTTTAGGGCTTCATTCCTTCAAAGTAACACATACAGATAATTATACTTACGCATTACGGAAGGTTGTAGTGGTCGTAACAACTGCGACAGTATCGCTTTCCTCATCTTCACTGTCTTCCTTCTTTGACGGTTTTGACTTTTTGGATTTCTTCTCCTTCTTTGCCTTCTTGTCCTTTTTCTCCTTCTTGGACTTCTTCTTGGATTCCTTTTCTGTGGCACTGTCATTTTCATCAGTTTCCTCTTCGTTGGATGCTGGAGATCCAGCTGTTGGAGTGCTTTGCTCGCTACCCACTCGCTCATTAAGATCAGCCAAAAGTCTGGAGAAAGCGTCGGTGTTGTCCAGCCAGTTGTCCATATTCTTCTTGTTTGCACCAATACCGAAATTGTTGTCCTTCAGTCTAACTTTGACGTGGTCTGTATTGCCATCCTCGTTAGCGCCAAGACCTTTTCCAGGTGCCCATCCCATCTTGGTGAGCATTTTGTGGCCGAACTTTCCAGTGTCTGTTGAAACAAGGAGGCGTAACTTTAGACAACTATCATTTCTCGGCAAAATCACAAGTGGAAAGCAAAATACCAGTGCTCCAATGGAGGTTATTGGGATCAGCACTAATGCGCTGCTTGTTCTTCGGTCCAGCTAAACCCATTGTCAATGTATTCCAGTCAAAGATCCAAGCTGAGCTTTCTTTTTTTTTTTTTTTCTACTCTCGACTTTTTTTTTTTTTTTCACATTTAAGGGCCAGTCACAGAATCGAAACTTCACCCATTCAAATTGCACATAGAAGCCTTTACTCATAAATCCATATCGTTCCCCTCTAGCTTCATAATCATCCAATTATTGTACCGCTAAATTATTACCTGTCACTATCCATCCTCTAGCATTTACCGATTTGGCTATTTGCTGCCGATTTCACGATGACTACAAAGTATCGTTATAGCAAGCAGCTGCTATGTCTCTTCGGCAGACCGTGTCTTATAACCGATGTAAATTTCACGTTGTTTTGAATAAATTAAAATGTAGTGTACATTGCTCTAATTTCTCCTGAAGTTCATTCACGAGTAATCAGTCTCAGTACATTTCATCTTCACTAAGAAAAGGAGGTGAAAAGGAGATTCATGTCAGTGTGGAGGGTAATGAATGCAAGGAGAGTAAGCAAGTGCTTAAAATGTGATTTATTTATGATCGCCTGGTTATGAAATTACATTTAGATACCTCTAGTTACTTTGGTCGTTAGCAGCAAAATTACGCATGCGTGTGATTAGACCATTGACCTCGTCTCGGCATCCTACCACATTGCCCGCTATATTTTCTGACTGGTTCATATATGATGATATTTCTTGGCGTAGTTCGTCAACCTGAGCCGCTGTTTTGTGAGCGAACGCCTGATTCTTTTCGACTAGGCAGCTTCCTAATCGAGAGACTTCTGAGAGATCTGTGTCCCTGGAATCCATTATGCTCTGCATCTGCTTTTGTAATATGTTCATAGACTGTTCGCTTTTAGCACTAATATGCTTAAACTGTATTTGTAAATCATCTAAATCATGCTGTAATTGTTGTATGTCTTTCTCGTATTTGAGTTGTATGCTACCGAATGCATCTCGAATTGTCAGATGTTCGCGCTCCGATCGCTGGGTATGTTCAATGGCACTATCTCTTCCTTCAAGCAATTCTTTTTCCTTGGATGCTAGCTCCTCAAGTTGTTTCCGTGAAAGTAGTGCTTCGTCACGTAACGTTTTGACTTGAAGTTCCTTGTGTGCCGTAGCTGCCCGCGTTGCGTCTAGTATTTGCTGTTTTGATTCTAAGGTCTGCATCAATATTTGTATGTCGCTACGAAGCTGGGTATTTGAGTTCATGAATTCCTTTGCACTCTTCTCGTTACTGAGTCTGGCTTGCGTGGTAGTTTCCAGCTGATTTCAAGAATGGGAATCAGTGCGAGGAAACAGCGATGAGTGTGTTACAAATTTACCTGGGTTTTGGCTATTTCCAACTCCTGCAAAACAGACGTCAACCTTTCAGTGAGTTCTTCGATGACTTTCGCAGATCGTAACGTCGCAGGTGTCGAAGTGGTTGTGGTTACTGACATATCAAAAAGTGGAAGTGGAAAGGGAGTTACGGTTATTGTGTGACTTTTATACCGCCAGCGGATTTCCGCATTTGGCGCTGATGCCACTCATCAAACAAAGTCCGTCCTAAACATCGTCAGATTGCGGTTTTCTCTTTCACCATAATGAAGGCAAAGGCATTGTTCGATTGTACCGCTGACGACATTGGTGAGCTTTCTTTTAAGGAAGGCGATGTACTAGTAGATGTCGTCCATTCTACAGAAGATGGATGGTACGAAGGAAGAGTTGAAGGGTCTACCATTCGCGGTCTTTTTCCGTACAACTATGTGGAAATATTAGACGAGCCAACTGCCAGTTCAGAAACACTATCTAATAGCGAAAATGCATCAAGAACAGTGATGGAGGATACTATGTCGACCTCCGAGCCAAAGATAGCACCTTCAACTTCCTGGTCTGTGCTCACAAAAGCAGAAACAAACGAAGCAAAACGAGCCATTGGAGGTGAAGTAAACAGCGGTTCAGCTTCTACCCCGGGAGGAAAAAAACCACTCAAAGAAAATGTGCCGGCCACGATTCCTTTAACGTTTTCCAAGCAGCCAACAGCAGCCGTCAATCTATTTGCGAGAAGGCCTGATCCTAGCAGCCCAAATACCCCACCGATCATTCGACCTAAGCCTGCCATTTCACCAAAGCCTGTCATTTCACCAAAGCCTGCATCCTTGGAGAAGGGCGTACTCAGGAACACATCAGACCTGTCTAAGAGCCCAAAGGCTGAAGAGCCCATGATCAATACCGCTTATCGAACTCGCTCCATGTCCAGTCCGTTGGCTAATCCTTCTGCTACTTTTGGTAGTCCTAGACCAGTCATAACGCCCAGAACATTACCGCTCTCATCTGAAGATAGCAACTTGAAGCCTTCACAGTTAAAGAACAAAGAGACGTACGGTGTTGTCTTAAAAAAAGCATCCCCTTCCATTCCAACAAAGATTACCTCACTTCGGTCCACTGAATCACAAGGAGCTGGAGTAGTTTCCAAATTCATGGATGACAAAACGGCCGACTCGAGCACTAAGGAGGATGAAAATTCGGAGGATGATGACGGATATCAATTAGTCAAGCCGTCATCTTTGCGACAAAGAGGTAGAGCACAGACTACGGCGGATATTCAGTCCAGATATGGAGGAGTTCGTCTGCCTTTTGCGAATCCAGGTCTTGTTAATCAAGGCAAATCCATGTCTCCGGAGTTGAAAGTCATCAAGCCAAGTACAGTGAATTCATCACCTAGTGTGGTAAGCAGGGCTGCTCCTAAAGCTGCTCCTAAAGCTGCCCGTACTACTGTACCATCGCCCGATTCTACCGCCAATGTTCTTGATCTCATGTCAACCTCGAATAATCCCGCTCCACGCTTACCTTCTCGACCAACATCAAACAGGAGATCTAGACGTCCACCTAGTTCCAAAACGACCACTGAAGGCAATGACATTCCTTCAACCTCTATAGCACCATCAGTTGCTAATAAGACATCAACTATACCTCCTCCGGTTAAGGCAAAACCACTTGCTAAGCCAACAACAGCAGTTGTGGAAAAAAAAGTAGGAGTAACAACACATAATGACGATGAAAGGAAGCCATTTTCCGTTTCAAATTTAGCACGACAGTTTGACACCAATAAATCCCCTACTTCACCAAGCGTAACTTCGCCTGCCACCAAACCAAAGAGCGGTTCTTTATCACTCCCACAAGTGCCTGGAAAACCGCTGGGACTCTCTAACGCCAACAATCCTACGCTAGCAGTACAATCCAGACCAATACCCAAGCCAAATATGGATTCTACTTTCAACAATTCTTCTTCTTTTGGATCAAATGCTCCACCTGTTTTGCGTCCCAAGCCTTCACAGTACCAAGCTGGTTCGTCCCTTCCGTCTACCACAAATATTGATAGTAGTCGGTCGCCCAAGGATACCGTCACAGCAAATAGGCCATCGTATGTGAGGAATGCAAGCTCTAACACAGCCAGCAGAAGGAAAGCCGCTGCACTACCACCGCCAGCCACAGCTGCTATACCCAGCGACGCTAAGCTACGCTACGAAGCATTGTTCGATAGAGTTCATGATCGCAACAGAGTTGATGGACAAACTGTCAAAGTGATTTGGCAGAAGAGCAAGCTTAACGATAAAGTGTTAGCAGATGTCTGGAAACACTGCGACAAAGAAGCTACTGGACTGCTAGACAAACCCGCTTTCGTGCAAGGCATGGGTGAGATTGATGAAAGATTGCGACGTGAAATGACCAAGCAGCAGCAAGGATCCAAATGAACAATAACTTTTATTATGTTTAGTCTAAATTGCAATAGGTGTATTTACATGATGGTGCTTTTTTTGGTTTACAAACTGGATGAGATTTGTCATACCGTTAGAAAAATGAAAAGCGCCAGTGAAAGAAAGAACTTTTTCATAACTAAAATCCTTTTTTTTTGCCCTTTGTTCATCGCGTCTTGATTTGCAAAAACAATTTCACTGGTCGCTTCAGAGCCCTTTCAATTTGTACTCGAGCGCTCTTGAGCACGCTGTTAATCACATTTCCTCCCGCACCTTTCACAATCTTTTGCTGACTGTCGTGCTCTACCAGTATGTCCTGGTCAATTCTAAGCATTCCGTTCGGCAGCTCTGTCCAGCCAACGTTCTCTTGAGTTAGCACGTAGGGAAGGTTTCCATAGAGTCTTTGAAAGAACTCTGCCCTTATGATATCCTCGACTCGCTTGATATCTGGCATTTCAGACGTCTGATTTGCAGGAAAAATCCAGTCTTGACTTTTCGTCAATGTTTGTAGCTTGTTCTATGGTAAAGGAGCGTCAGTGACAATGTTTGTTGTACCATCATATACGATATGACATACCCCAAGTTGCTGCAAGTCGTCCTCTTTGAAACATGAAATGTACATTGTTGATTCAAAGTGTGGATATCTAGTTTGCAGCTCAGTGGCCATGTCTTTCAAAGCTTCCATATCAGTAATGAGATCAACCTAATTGAATAAGAGTTAGATTTCGTTGAAATAGATACATCAATGTTTCGATACCAACCTTGTTCAATATCAGTGTTGCCGGTATACTAAATTCCTCCAATCTTTCGAACAAGTAATCTTCTGCATTTTGCGCTTTACCGGAGATAGCTTTGGCAGCATCGACAACAACTAACACTATATATGTCCACGTCAGTAAGCGGATTGTTTCCGTTATGCCACATATGGCGAAATCTAAATAAACCTACAGTGATCAGCCTCTATTAAGGACTGCCATGATGCATTGACCAGATTACGGTTCATCTTGGATTGATTGCGACCATATATGATACCAGGAGTATCCAGAAACACAACTTGATAATTATCCTTTGTCCACGATGCTAATATGCGTTCTCTTGTGGTATGAGCCCTGGCCGATACAACTGAAATATTTTCTCCAATCAGACTATTGATTATTGTGGATTTTCCAGCGTTGGCAGCACCTAACAGTGCCACTTTACATAGCCGTGGATTATCCGGTTGCTGAAATGATGCAGGCACTTTGACCATACGTTCGGTGGGACTGATTGGATGTCTAATGGTCAAGTTGACGGGTTTTTCCGGTTTTCTTTCAGTTTCCTTTCGATTTTTCTTTGGTTCCTCCTTCTGCCCTCGATGTGTCGCTGCTGGGAGCAAGCCCGCTTCTCGCTTTGCACGATTCATTATGGAATAGCTTCTGTTCTGGGAAGTCGCAAATTGAACAGTTTTTGATGGACGAATCCTCAAGCTATGACTAAGTTTGGCCGAGCAAGGTATATCTTGCAAAAGCATTCGTGCATAGGTTGCCATTCGGGCTGCATTGACTGACATTGGCTATTGCTGTTCCTGTCAAATGAGCTACAGAAATAAAAAATCCGACTTTTTTGCAAAATGTACAGCAGTCACTGGTGGTCGGCCGATTGGGATTTCTAAATCCCAGCTCCACGGGCCGCCTGCGTTGAGTCCATTGCAGCCTTCATCATCATGCCTAGCCTCGACAAAATGTCAGGAACAGAGATCCTGTCCGTCGGAAAGAAGATGTTTTATGGAGGATTTGCATTCTTACCTTTACTCTGGCTCGTTAATGTCATCTATTTGTGGCCAACACTCAAGAGAACAGATGTTCCAGCTCAACTTCGAAGATGTAATACTGCCGTTTCCTTTCTCTCTGGGCCAAAAATAAGCCAGATACTAACAGATTCTTTATACCCTTTCCAGATCTTATATACTCCATTTTAGGCTGCTTGGCATGGTTTATCATTACAACGACTTGGTATGCTTTGTTCGTCAACAAGCGGGTAACCTGGGGTGCAACTGCAGACCGTATCACCGTCGTCATACCTAAAGGTGTATAAACCTCATTACGAAAGTCATAAACTACCGAAATTATTCATGTTTGCGTAGCTCACTTATACCCTCACATTGACATACACATCGCCAATAATTGATACCCAAGCATTTCTCTACACTGCTCTACAAAAAAGTAATATTTGATAATTTTTATTTTTTTATGACAAGGTTTTTGTTCTTTTTAGACAAATAAAATAATGGACAATGGAATACAAGTATTTAGTGGGCAAGGATGTAAGGCTTGCGATCTTCTTCGCTAGGAGCCTCGGGTTCCTTAGCGCTAGCTAAGTTGCATTGATGGTAAATACGCTTGTCATCATCACGCAGGCTACCAACAACGCTGTGAAGAACACCTCGGTTGTGGAAAATGACCATATCGCCATCCTCCCATTCGTGAGCCAATATATTTTCTGGGTTGATTGCAGGACGCTGGATCTGATAAAGAAGTTCGCGAACCTTGTTCAGATCACCCACAGGCTTGCCATCTATGATTAGATCCTCAACAGCACATGGGTGAACTTGGAGGTGGATCTTGCCAGTGACAGGGTTCTTCCAAAGCATGGGGTAGATCTTGATAGCCTCTTCTTTAATTGGAGGGAGCTCTTCCTTGGGAAGCTCTCTACCTTCCGAAACAATGCCTAATCCAGTAGAGTGTGCTCTTGCCTTAGAGATCCAAAGATATGGATGGGCAGCATACTTGACTTGAGTGCGAAATGCGAGGTCCTTCATCTCAGGTGAAAGGATATCAAAAGCATGTGCACCAGATATGACTAATCGTATGAGATAACAACACTTAGCCAGAACCAAACTAATTTCTTACGCAAATCTTCAAAGTGTTACTTACAGGCAGTAGTACCAAGTTGCACGTCCATGCTCTGATCACTTCCATCATCATAAACAACCAGCTCTCTGCGGTGTTCCTATAACGTAACAAAGGTGCATATCACATCAGCATACTATAATCTCAGTCAAATCACAATACCACCAAAACTTACGGGTGTCTGAACGGCAAACAATGTCGTAATAAGAGGTGGGTTGAGCTCATAAAGTGCAGCATCCATATGCCATCGGTAGAATCTGGTCTTGCCAGCCTTTTCGTCCTCCTCCGACAACTGAGTTTGGTGGAAGCTTCTATGGCTGGGATGGTTAAGCTTACGTTCCTCGATACCATGATGGTTGTGAACAGTACCATGACCAAGTAGCTGCACTTGGGGTACACCGGGGAGAGGAGAAAGGTCTCTAGCAATGACACTTTTCTTAGACTGGTGAGAAGTGCCGTGGCCATACGTGTCAACTTCCGGGTCGAATCTCTTGGTCAGCTTGTACTGAGTCTCAGGAGAAACGTGGCTTTGGTTACGGATGACTAGGACTTGGTGTGTGTAGACAGCCTTTTCAATTTCCTTGAACTGTTCCTCTGTTGTGATAACGGTTAGTATTGGGCATGCATAAACACGAGTTCATCCGCTGCTGCTAGCTTACCAGTGAGGTTCTCAAGGTCACAGCCGACGAGTTCCACACCGAAATCAACGCCTGTTTGTGAAGCGGGCAACTGTATGTTACGAAACTGCATATTTGTATAAGTGAGTTAAAAGGTAAAAGGAGTAGTGGAAAGTATCAAACCAGCTGCGTCAAGGGTGGAAAAAAAGGCGCTTTTTATAATTGGGAAGTGCTATAAAGTTGGCGTTAAAACGGACGTGTTTATACCGCTGAACATAGGGGATACGCTTCATTTGTAGCTCCGCTATCCAATAATGTGAAAATCTACAGCATTTGTCCTCCACAGGGACTCTATCAACGCTGTCTAAAAATGGTTTAATCTCAGTGAGGATCCAATGGTAGAGGTGAGATTACAAGTAACACCGCGGGGGGCATTCGAGGGTATAATTTTCAGCCACCAGCCAGTGATTGTCTAGTGGGCACTCATTTTTCACAAGTTTTTTCATCATGGCAAGGGTGATAATCCAGTTACTATGAGTTACCAATCCTCATCCTTTTTTAGTATTGAATCGTGAGAAACCCGGCATTGGCCAAGCAAATCTCATTAAAGCAACTTGTGTCGCCACTACTTCGCCATTGAAGCATTATAGAGAGAGAAATGGGTATGTAAACCACTAAAGCAGGATTTTTTTTTTGGAAAACTAGCGACGTTGAGTTAGATTTTTCAATATCTCTGACGCGGACAAAGTCGGTTGAGGTAGACTGTTGAGAAGACGACATAAGATTTCTGGCCTTTGATGGCCATTCCTGATTGGCTAGAACTGATTTATAAAACTATAAAGGGATCCCATATAAAGAAATCCCATGATACTACACGTGAGCCATAAACGTCTCACGATGCAACGGTCAAAGGAAATCCAGATATGCATTCGGGTTTGTTAGAATGCATTGCAACGTAAACTGATACTTTTCATAAATATGGAGCCACTGCATTGTAAGAGACTATTGAATTGTATGGGCATATGCTTTTTTTTGCTTCAGACCCCAATTGATATATATCATGGGGACAGGCAATTTCAATCGCCACTCGGAACAAGGCTTCAAAAATGATGGTTGGTGTAAAGAGCGAATCCACACGATTTCTTTCATGGATCAGAGAATATGAAGACACCATTATGCATTTCGTCTTGAAAGAATTCTTCAATGCCGTTTCTTTAGCTTATCGCGCGCTACAAAGACTGCGCTCTTGAACTCATTCAATGTCCTTAAAGTGTATAACCGGCTGTATATGGCAAGTTAAAGGAAATTATATAGTCTGCCTGCTGTTATTTGCGATACACTCACCTAAACAGCCGATGACATAAATGTCATAACATAACGTATACTACAATATCCGTAACGGATGATTGTAGACCCATGCATTCGAATTTGTCTTCTTATTCAAACGCTTCCAGGTTAAATACTGATGTCGAATAACGCTGTAGAAAGCAGTCGCTCATTCGATTTTCAGGCTCGTAGACCAAAGTATGCCCTTCGTAAGATTCCGTCGATTCAGCACGTGGAAGATCAGTAGCAACAGGTCGGACTGGAGTACACAAATCAGCGAATGAAGAACATAAATACCACAGTAGACTGTTGCTTACCACTTGTACATTCCTCAAAATACCTCCCATCAGGGTATGATTGAAGCATGCATTATCTATAATATTATCATTTGAGTGCAGCATCAAATCAAAGTATATGCAAGATGACTTCAGTCTAACACGTTCGTTTATTTGACGTTACGACCTATAATGTTCTGCTTCCATGGAAAGAAGGCAAAAAGAAGGATACGGGTTGTTTATTGTTATTATTTATTTACTCAACAAAATTTTCCATAGCCTGTGATTTTTAGCCAGGTACCTGTTTTTTAATGTCTTGTGCATCCTATCGTAGCAGTAATGCGGAATAGAGTAAACTTATGACAAAATGTTTTATAGTCAGTCGGGTAAGCTGTCCAATTTGATGTAAGGCAAAAAAGTAATCTTCTATTTTTGGGTAGATGGCGCTGAAGGCTTTTCCAGGACCATGCTGGAGAAGGTCGTAGTCTGGAAAGGCTGCAGTGAGCACAGACAATGGCAAATGATATCAAGTTTGTAAAGGAACGGGAAAAATCAACAGAGGTTTGTTCATGGGACATAACATAAATTGGCTACTGTAGTAACAGGTAGTGTTTTAGGTGAAGCTGATGGTCCCTCGGTCGGAACACAATTTCAGCGATCACTGACGCACCGCCCCCATGCGTGGTACGGTCATTGGGAACTGATAGGCTTTGCGGGGGTGGAACCCAAGCGGATAAGTCGAAACGGGACAAATTCACCGAACAGTGTTCACATAGCTCATTCCCGTTGACTTTCTCTCTAGAAGAATACCCAATTCTCTCACAGAATGACTTCTCTCATTCACAAGATGATGCAATTGTATTGGCAAGACAAGAGCAAAATGCGGAAAAGAAATTTGGAGGCGTGTGGGAAAGTGCTCCCATATATGGTCAGAGATAACAAAATAACATTTTAGAGACACGCACTGACAATGAAAGGTGGTGATTTTTCTATCAGTGACTATGGTTCATTATAATTTATATTCTATGTAGCCCAACTTGAAACAATTCCTCCACACTAGGAGGTGGGGGTTGAAGTGGGGTAGCGAACATAAATGAGATCAACCATGAGCTAAATGAAATACCACACAGGGTGTTAGACTTTGAATAACAGGGACTTTAGTAATAAGTTTGATTACTTGCACATGAGAACTCTTAAAAGTGAAAAAAAAGGGACACGACACTACGGATAGGCCCATAGTCCACGTTTCCGTATCAAGCCGAAATCAGCCCTTACACACATTTTTCATGCCAAACGCCAGCTTCTCTACGCTTTTATTTTCCAAAACCCTCTGCTTCCTCCTTTTTGTCCTTTATATTATATAAAAAGGATTGAGCCTCCAATTTTCTTATTTCTCTCTTTGCTTCTTTCTTATTTACTTTATGGAACACTTGCTGTCCGAATCACTATTTCCCACAAAGCGGTCAAGCAATAAGTCCCAAGATTCTGAGACGACGTCCATCGACTCAAAAAACGACAGTAAAAAAGACCCACTGTCCTCTCAAATATGGAGACTTTATACTAAAGCTAAAGACAATCTACCAAATGGAAGTCGATTGGAGAACATGACATGGCGAATGATGGCAATGACTTTGAACAAGCGGAGAAACTCCAACGGTATGCAAATTGATCAACAGTCTCCTACACCCGCTGCCACCACCGCTACCATCACATCGTCTCCTCAGAACCTTTATTTGCCCTCTGACCAATCTGCAGTTGAATTTGCGAAACAAACAATGCCCATAGAAAAGGCTATGATAAGCTCAACGGGGTATCGCTCATATGAAAATATCAACTTGTCGGAATCAAGCAGAGCGCAACAACCGTACAATCGAACGTTTTCAATGATGGATTCAAGGGTAAGTAAAAGATGTCTGTCTTTTATATACATTCTCTCTTTCTTTCTTTTTGGACTGCTTTATAATGCACCACATCACCCCTTCTTCGTCATTTTTTACCCGCATTTCACCATAATGTTCTAATCCCGATCGTACCCTATCTTCACCCTACAGGTAGAACAGGCTCCCCTCACATTTTCTTCTTCTAATATGCTGGATTCAGCTTCTCAATATGATGTGGATCCTTCGTCTATGACTCCAACAGGATCTCTTGACAGCGTTGGAAGCTATATGACAGCTTACAGTTCCAGTGCGACTACCGACCCTTTGGATTTCAAAGGCTTTGGTTACGCACTTGAAAGCCAATACTCTCCACAATTTGCCATGTACGCATTGCCACATCAACTTCCTACGCCAGATGAGGTTGAGTGTGATTCAAACGATGGTATTTTCCAGCCTATGGACATTGAGCCTGATCAAACCACGGTCACATCTTCAGCATACAGCGTTTCAATTCCAGCTACTTCATACGAAAGCAGTGGTTCATTGCTCTCAAGTGCTCAACTAGACGGCTCCAGCACCCCTTTAATGTTTTCTCAGTATGCACCTTTATACTTTCCTCAGCAGACTTCAACTCAAAATTATCTGTTTTTGAACACTAGAAATCAACAAACGTATTCTAACATGGCGACAGGTAACACGACTGCGGCCAGTACAATGGATGCGTCACAGTTACACGTCGACCCATTGCAGGTACTGAACAGACGCCCTTCGTCCACTGCCACCATGAACCCCTTACAATCATCTATCATCCCGTCGTATACACAAAACGAACCCCGTGGTCAAAGCATGTGGATCACCACTGCTGCATCACATTCTCCGAATTTATCACCCTCATCTACACCTACCGTTGCTGAACCACAGCAAAACCTTGATACAACCAATTTCTCTGAGCATGAAGAAGAAAGTGTAAAAAGCGATTACGATGATTCTTTTGACGAGGATGATGATGAAGAAGAAGAAGATGCACAGAGTTTTACAGATGATTTGAGCAACACTGAAGATGATCCAACCTATGATGAAGGCAGCCCAAGTAAAACTAGACGAAAAAATAAGAAGCAATCCAGTCGCAGACCATCGTCAGCTGCATCTTCCAAAGGTCCCAGTCCAAGTTCATCCACATCGACTGGTTCCAATAGTAATCAGCCTAATTTCGTTCGAGGAGAGGTTCGGTGTACAAATTGTGCAACGACTACTACACCACTATGGCGACGCAATCCAGAGGGACAGCCATTATGCAATGCTTGCGGTTTATTTTTAAAGCTACATGGTGTTGTACGACCGCTTAGTCTTAAAACCGATGTCATCAAGAAGCGAAACAGAGGTGTCAATGGCTCTCTGGGACCAAGTGGCTCAACGTCTACCAAAAGTAGATCCCAGGCTTTGCAAAGTAGCTCACGCAAAGGGCTACCAATCGGAGTGTCTCCCAACACACAAGCTGGGTCCCATCGGGTGGGTGCCCCCAACACGCATCCGCGCGTTTCCACTGTAGAAAGCCCCACCTTCAGCTCAATGTCCCCCCTCACCTCCAGTTCTTCCCGGTCAGTCCCCAAACGACTGCGGAGGCTTTCCTCTAGTGGTGGTGTCAAGCCCCCAACCTATACAACTCAGTCTCCTAAATTAACAGCAGTTAAAAAGAGGCATTCAACAGGCGGCGATCTTGCCCATCACCAGACCCACCATTATCCCATCAATCTGAGTGACAAATACTCTGCAGTCAGCTCGGTTCCTCTCTATCCTGCGCGCCACGCCGCTGATAACCTGACTTCACGAGAATATGACGTTGGTATTGATAGCAATCCTGTGGTAACCCCTACGGCTGTGACTTCAGGGCCCAGCCATGCTTGGGCATAACTTCTGTGTCGTGCTCAACTATCATGTAACTTTATGCATTTCCCTTTTTTTTTTTTTTCTTTGCCGTCTTCTTTCTTACATTATACTTCCCCCTTCTGCTGTCCCCTACCTCAACCACCGCCTTGTAAATATGGCCTTAAACGCCTCTCGCCTTTCTCTATAATCCTCTTCACATTGCGAATTTTCCTTTTTTTTTTTCCTTTTCTCAAATACAAAAGAAAGGTTATGACCTCCGCCTTCGTTGCAATTGGAAACTCTCAAGTATGAAAAATTTAGTAATGCTTGCTACATGTCTCTCAGGTCAATTTTTTAAATTTTTTTTTTTAAAAATTGATGTGTGTAATTTATTGGTATACGGAGAGTTTTTTTAATCTTGAACTGTATGGTGGATGATATCACATTTTCGAAATGGTCGGTTGGCATGCAGTCCAATCAATAAATAATTTCTACAGCGAGAAAAGTATACTAATACTTGAAGTTGATGGTGGATGGGTCAACACCAACGAAGACACCAGTAGCAGACTTCTTGCCGCTGATGCTGACGACAACGGATTCACTCTGGACAGGAACCTTCTTGCGGTTGGCCTTGATGGTAACGGTAGTACCGCTTTGAGAAACTGTTCCGACGTTGCTAGAAGAAACAGTTTGGCCCTTAGCCAAAGTGAAGGTAAGAGTCCAGTTGTTACCGATGGGCTTAGTACCCTGGGCATGAACGTTGAAGAGAGCAGAGAAGGTAGTGGCATCAGATCCAGCAGCTCCGACAGAGAAGCTAACAATGGCAGCCTTGCTCTTGGTGTCAGGAATGCCTGCACTGGAGTCGGTGCTGGCAAAGAGACTGGCGGCGTTGCTAGTAGCAGGGCAGATTTGAGTGTGACCGGCAGCATAGTCACAGTAGACAGATCCACCGGTGCTATCCATTTGGCAGATCAAACCAGATGGGCAAGCTTGGACAACCCACTTGCCGTTAGAGCATTGGGCATATGAGGTGCCAGCGCAACCGTATGCAGTGGTGCAAGCAGCACCGTTAACGGGGCAGGCTCCAGTGGAGGTAGGTGAGGCAGAAGTGGTGGTAGTGGTGGTGGTGGTGGTGGTGGTCTTAGTAGTAGCAGTACCAGTAGCCTTGGTAGTGGTAGTAGTAGCCTTGGTAGTGGTAGTAGTCTTGGTAGTGGTAGTAGTGGAACCACCGGTGGAACCACTGTGCAAGTAGGCACCAACGGCACTAGCATAGTTGGGGCTTCCATCGGTATTGCCATAAGCTTGAGAAGCATCCCACATCATGACACCACCGAAAGAATTGTAGGTGGAGCGAGTAGAGGCAATGGTGGATTCGAGAGCAGCAAGGGGAACGTAACCAGAGCTGGCAGCGCTGGTGCTTCCGGGAACACCGATAAAGATACGGACATTCTTGTTAACGGAAGTTTGAGTGGCCCAAGTATCCCAAGTACCGTAGTTGAAGGATCCACCTTGAACACTGCAGTAGTTGTTGTAGAATTGCACCCAAACGAAATCGAACCAGGCAGAGTTCAAAACGGCGCCAAGGTACGCATCAGGATAGGGGCATTGAGGAGCACCAGAGATATAGTAGCTCTTTGAGGTATCAGAGGCATAGTGAGTGCGCATCTGGGTAACAAATGCAGCATAACCAGTGGAACCACCACCTTCAATATCCAAGTCAAAACCATCGATGACAGCACTATCAAATGGACGAGTAGTGCTAGAACCAGCACCAAAGAGATTCCAAAGCTGATCAGCGAATGCAGTACCTTGAGCATCTGAGCTGAAGCCGTAGCTACCAGAGGCACCACCTTTAAATTGGAAAGAAAAACGATCAATACACTGAGGCTGAAAGTCTGATACATAAGGCTCGAATCGTTAACTTACCGAGAGACAAAAGAATCTTCTTTCCCTTAGATTGACAAGTTTGGATATCTTAAATAAATTGGAAATAAATGGTTATTATTATTTGACAAAAGCATGCATGCATGCATGCATTATTAACGGCCAAAAGCTTGAAGTGCTACTCACCAGTACCAATCTGGGGGCAGTGCAACATGCTGGTACCAGTGAAGGTAGTGCAGTTGTTGCTAGCGTTGGCGAAATCCAAAGCAGGCTCACTACCGGTGCTAAAGAAGACATCCAAGAAGGCAAGGACAAAAATGTCTGTGGTGCTATCGGAACAGTAAGAAGCCAGGTTCTGTCGAAGAAGAAAGAAAAAAAGAACAAAATCAGTTAAAATTTGTTACCCCACTTGTGTGATAAAAGTCATTTTCTTTTCATTTACCTTTTGCCATCCAGAAGAAGCGCCGCCGGCAGCGCCATAAGAGTTTTGACCCCTGGATAAGACATCTTTAGGTTATTATATGGTCTCTTTTACGATCGCCTTCCACGTTTCAGCTGGATGGATGATCACTTACCAGTACAGGACATAGTTTCCATTGCTGGTGGCAGAGAATGCGCTGGTCACGGTAGACGAAGCTAGCAATACAGCTGCCCCAAGAGTGGACTTGATAAAGTTGGAGGAGACCATTTAGATAAAAGTGTTTTGTTCAGAAACTGTCCTAAGGAAATCTTTCATGCCGTTCGCATGCAATCCAATTTATACGTTTACGAGATCTGCAGTATATGAAATAAGTAATTTCCAATTGAAATACTGTGTAGCGTACACTCTTGTTCATCCATCCGAAAACGGTCGCACCCTGTATGTACTCTGAATATTGGTATCACTGATCCCTTAAATTTTTTTTCGTGAAGTGGTACAGCAGGACGATGGGGTAGCCACAAAGGGTCCTGTGAACATTGGCTCACGGCGTTAGGCACAGGGAAAAAGGCTACGATAACGGAAACGGCGACTATCACAAAGAATACAGGGTCCTCCTTTAACGGGTAGATTCCATTCGTTCAGCCTGTGTACTTATGTGCACACACAAAAATCATGATCACTTGAACAATACCAAGACCCTTCCCACCCCATAACGGGAATCGGTAGAGCCTCGTTTTTTGTTTGGCCATTCGTCGATCCAATCGAATAATTAAATTGGATGCAAACATTGTAGAGAATCTCCGGCGATACGGAGATGTATTTCACCACCAGGCATTGTTCTGCAATGGCTTGTAAATTGGCCGATGGATAATATTGACTTTGTCAGCCAGCAGGTCTGATGAGAACGAACTATTCACACAACATTTTTGTCCAACCGTGCGAGTCCCTATCTTCGCTCAGGTCTAACTGGTTCTTGTGAAGGTGTTACCTCGAATTAGGGTCATACAAGGTGGCGGATTAAATTATCCTTTAATATGTTTGTCACGCGCAATTAATTCATTCGCTTCGCCGCTTGGAAATGACTGAAATGCATTTTTTTACTTTCTCATTCTATACGTTTAACCAGTTGGTTTCTCTCATTGCAGTTATATCAAAATGTAGAGTGAATCATAACGGTCAATGATATTGCTCACATAGCCCTGGACGCCATACAACTTGTGCTACTCTTTCCTATCAAAGTGGGTCTCCGATTTTGTGTTGCGGTGGCTGTAGGAAAGAATTATTCCTCCGTGAACGCTGCATCCATTGTCCCCCAAGTATCTGCTTGCATATTCCCGTTAATGGATTTTGAGTTGGGGGGAAACCGAGATATAATATTCATTTCCACTCGAGCAACGGTTTGTCTGAGTTCCTTCGAGTTGTACATTCCTAAAGAGAGCGTGAGTACGGAACGTCCCATCGTCATATTTTCGTGACCAGACACCACCATCTTGTAATAACATGGCATCCAGGAAGTAAATGTTATGTGAGCATCTGATTGTGATGTGGTTTTAATGTATTGTGCAGCACGGGAATAATTGAATTAGGTATGTTTTTGATATCTGTAAATCCAGATTGCTGGTTACCCGCTGTACGGGCACATTATGTCCCAAACCAAACACAGCGAAAAGTGCAAAAGTATTTAGAGCGTTTTAAATATATACAATGTAAACCAAGTTTTTATTACGTGAAAAGATGAATTGATAAGTTCAACTGAACAGTAACACTTAAGCCTGAGCAGCAACCTCGGTCTCGGCACGGGGAGCACGAGGAGCGCGAGGGCGTTGGTCACGACGAGGACGTCTGAAGTCAGACTGAGCGTTGGCAGTGACGGGAGCGGTGACTTGGACACCAGCAAGGTTTTCGAAGTTAAGAGACTTCAAGAGTTCCTGTAATAATTGAAATATGCAAAAAAAGCAATTTCCAAAATGAAAGGAGTGAGAACGAAAGGATTTAAAAGTAGGGGTGGATCTTGACACCGACAAAAAGTTATAATGGCCATCGAAAGATCCACCGTGTATGGCATTCCACAGTTGGGAAGCAGCACATACACTGATACACAAAGACCAGTTGACAATACTGAGCAAGCAGTTTTGATATCAACATAAACGGTCAAGTGTGAATGTATTGAAGAAGTATAAAGGCAGTGATGGGGTATGACTGTCAAAGTGCAATACCCATACCGACAGGGGACTTTCCGTCCAACGAAGGGGCAAGTATAATAAAGAATCCCAGAACCATTTCCCAATGGTACACCCAACTTACCTTGGTCTCAGGGTCAATCTCAATAACGGAGGTATCGAGGGCAGAGAACTCGGGAACATAGTTGTCCTTGCGTTCACGCTCTTCTTCCTGGAGCTTGAAGGAGATACCACGGACGGGACCACGAGAAATGCGCTTCATCAAGTGGGTGGTGAAACCAGCAATCTTGTTACGAAGGCGCTTGGAAGCAATGATAGCAACCTCGTCGCAGATCTTCTTGTTGGTTTGGAAATCGAGAGTAAGACGGGGGTAGTACTTCTCGATCAAAACGCGGGAAGCCTTCTTGACAGTCTTGGTTCTAACGCGACCCTTTGAAAATCAATCCTATTTAGTTCATCCGTCTCCATCCATGTCCATCCATCCTTTCCATCATCCATCCATAGGATAACGAGGTGGTATAGTCATCACAGATGTCAATAAGGTACATACCATATTGAATTCAGAGGAAAAAAGAGGAGGATTTCAGGCATCCAGGACCCATACTGGTATTTGTTCTCCAGCGAAATTTTCGGTGGCTGAAGTGTGACTGCTGAATGCTCGCTTCCAAAAGGTGGATGGTCCTTAAGGCTGTAGCAGGGTCTATGACTCCCCACTAGGAGATAATGTTCACAAATGAGTTGAACCAGTCAGCAACCCTACCTCATGTGCAGGATTGTCAAACGAAACATAAACTACACAAGGCACTTCGGTCGCTGGTTCGAGAATATCAAGGTGGGTGATACGCGTTATCAAGCGGGATAAGCCGTACTCGTCGGTCTATTTAGTTGCTTAACTGAGCCTCCAGAGTTAAACGGCACTGAAGTGAAAAAGTATGACCATACTCCAACACCGCTACAGATGTATCGAGAATGCATATCTCCTGGACGCCCGGCAGTTATTACGGGTAAGGATTGTGTTCGTGGGTAGAGAAATATGGCTTTCGCACCACTTAACATCCTGTCGCATCAATACAGGAGCCATAGATCATTGGTATGCGAGGAAAGGGTGGACGAATGAATATCTTCGCAATAGAATAGGTGACCAGATGATAACAGTTGCATGTAAGTGTGTGAGATATATTTTATTGAACTGCTAACGAAGTATATGAGCCTAATGATGTACCAAAAACAGCAACACCAAATGGGTATGTGATCTATCCATTGTAGTAGATGAAATATTCGACAAATTCACTCGTAATGTACGCTTAGGCTGGCTGATGCGTTGACTCTGGATCCTGTTTCAGGCAAAGAGTACTTTGCGATGCCCTATGAGAAGAAGATGCCTTTCAACGACTTCTTGGACATTATGCTGGGTGAAGAAAGCGAATACCCGCATTATGCATCGTTGCAGAACAGCAGTTTGACAACTGAGTATAAGTCTCTGGTTGAAGATGTTGATCCCGATATACCCTGGTTTACAGAAGCGTTAGGTATGTGCTTGATGGTAGGGAACGGGCCATCGTTATATACGGCATGTTTGCTAATGAGCCCTGGTCTTAGGACGAGAGCCTGATGCTATCAATTTTTGGTTTGGTGACAGCCGGAGTAAGACGTGTTTACATAAAGGTATGTCAAGTGGATTAATTGGTAATATAGGGCATCTTTCTCAGGTTTGACATTCATAGATCCTTACGAAAACTGCTACGCTGTAGTACGGGGTACAAAAACATTTGTACTTCTTCCTCCGATCGAGTACTATTGTGTACATGGTAAGGCTTGCACCACTATGCTAGAATTGATCTTACAGAACTTGTATGGCTAACTGGTTTTGGCGCAGAATCAAGTTTTCCATGTGCAACTTATGTGTTAGACGCTAATGGCAAACTGAAGCTAGAGCCGTTAAGTGGAACAATGAAAACACCATGCTCGCCGGTCGATCCAAGTAATCCGGATCTAGAAAGGTTCCCGCGATTTCGATACGCTAAACCGATTACGGTGACGGTTCGCGAAGGTGAAATGCTGTATTTGCCAGGTATGCGATTTACCTTGTATATATGGATCTTGAGTATATGAGTTGCTGAACGATAAAAATATATAGCATTTTGGATGCATCAAGTGACACAAGACGGTGAGGAAGGTGTCATTGCAGTCAATTATTGGTACGATCTCGACTATCAAAGCATTCTATATCCCACAGTCAGTCACCTTCGCCGATTAGTAGCTAGCGTGCTGGATGACCAAGAAGATTTAGGTGAATCAGACGGTGAAGATTAGACAAAAATAAAGTATTGTAAATGTAGATACATGGTAGTATAATCCATGTATATTAGAATAATAATATATTTCTTGTACATCGATTGATTATTTGTACAATTACACCGTATGACCATATTTATAACGCTCTTTTCCAACGCCTTCATCGTCACCACCATACTACACTCTGCCAAATTGAGTGCGTCTCTTCTCCGCGCGCATATTCTTCTTGCGTTGAATATGACCAATATCTCTTTCACAAAAGATCTGGTTATCCAGCATGTAGTACACATCCGTTATAGAACAGTGACAAGCCTAGTTATTGTGAAATGTAAGCATGTTTTAGCATCGCTTCTGTTATTGTTGAAGTCACAAAAGTGGTCTAAACGTACCTGGCAAGTGAAACACGGTGGATGGAATCGCCACCCTTCAGCAGTCTGAGCACAAGGTCCCTCAATAGGTTCATCGCAATGCCGGCATAGCGAGTTGTTGAGTCGATGGTAGTGGCGCTTGCAGTACGGTAAACTATCAAATACATAAAATGTGTTGTTCGGAAATGGCCGACGGCAGGTCTGATAGGTCATAGGTAAGTTAGCAAATGTACATTTTGCAAATGAAATGGACGAGCGCAACTTACATGGCAGCCAAAGCACTCTCTATGCCATTTGCCCTTCAATTTTCCATCGGCAGCAGATACCGCCTCTCTCTCGACAGGTCGTTTGCATCCAGTGCACTTTGGTAAATAGAGATCTTGGAAATCACGCTTACAGAAGACACGACCTTTATGTTCAACGATTCCAGTAGTTTCTTTATCGACGGACTTTTTGCAGTGGTAGCACTTCAAATGGCCAACATGGTATTCACCACCGAGAGCCTTGATGGATTGCTCAATGGATGCAATAGGGCGATCGCTGCAAAGATCAATCAGTTACCAACATAGCATCGTATCAAATTAAAACCAATTTTTCAACTTACCATGCGGCGCACATAACACGACGACGAAGTGCATTGTAATCTCGCTCACAGTAAATTTTTCCGTCCTTCGTATAATATTCGATATCGTCACCTAGCTCATCCTGGCAAACAATGCATGACAAGCAGTATCGATGACATGGCTATGGTGTATTGTTAGCATACCGCATGTGAACAAATATGAGGCGTAGCCGACGTATATGAAAGTAACCGTACCTTTTGGTCCCTATCGTAAATGAGCTCTCTCCTATTTAAGGCAGTCTGGCAAATTGTGCAGATCATCAGTTCTCGTGGCTTAGGCGCCACTGGTCTCGCTATAGGTGCCGGCATAGGAGTGTGGTCAAAGTCTTCCGAAACATCCTTCATTAAGTCAGCCATTAGCGAATCCAAATCTTCGGTATCTTGTTTTCTCTTGATGGATGGTTTCCTTGCTGTAGGTTTGACATCGGTGCGTGAATCTATGTATGCATTCATATTAAAGTTGGAGCCAAAATTTCCTTTTAGAACCACATGCATTACGGCTATCTTTGAAAACACTTACCGCCATATAAATTGTAGCGAGGGCTGCTGAAGTCTTCTCGATATGAGTTAGATCCGGGTGTTTTAGGCGAATTTACTTCGTCACTTGAGCTGGAACGAGATGGCGAATTTTCTTGTCGCATGTAAGGCGAACGTCTTCCTTCTTCGTAAGGGTAACATTCCTCGTCTTCAGACCGTCGAGATGGCGATGAATAGCTATTTTTTCTGGGAGCATGTATATTTTCTTGAGACAAATTTCCTAAAAAGAATGGTTTTTTACTTCTCGTGGCATTTGAGGGTCGTCGGCTCGAATATGCATCATATTTATCAGTGTTGGTAGATCTAGAAAAGGTAGGCTGAGAGGGAAGGTACTGGTCTTCATCCTCCAAAATAGGGTCGATATTTCTCGACTCATTAAAAAATCTATTGTGAGGCGAGAGGTAGTCATCGTCCGAATTCTTTCTTTGTGGAGCACTTTGTGGCTTTGAAGCAACATCTGTATTGATAGACGGTCGTCGCTCGTAGGAGAAGGTATTTTTAGGCGGTGGATCTGGGATAGGATCTCGAGGTGATGTGTTGTTGGTCGGAGCGCCAAAAGTCTGTTTCCGCTCATTTGTGCTGCCATTAGATTGTGCAGCCGTTTTTGATGATATACTTCTATATAACCCTTCTGATATGGAAGGGGCAGCAGCAGCAGCTGTTCGTATACTGTTCATAGCTTTCCCAGTCATTTTGGAATATTTTTCCAAGAATGGTAGGCTTAGTTTATCTATTCATGCAGGGCGGGAAAACAACCACGGTCATTTAGGGTGTCTTTGAGTACTTAAAAATCAGCTATGGCGCGTCACTCACCTTGACTATCAGTTCCATCATCTTCAATCGTAAGAAGAAAGTTAGTTGAGCGAAACGTTTTATATCAATTCAATTGGTATAGCAAAATCATACCATTGGTAGGTGCTGAGAATGCTTTCAGTGGTGGAAGTGGCGGTGCACTGGAGCAAACGTGCTCTCCAAGCTTTCGAAGCTCCACTGGCAGACCGCAATCTGAACATGTGACAGTTGGCAGAATCTGAGAGATTCGAGGTTCACTAGTTTTGTTCATGAGAGAGATGAGCAAGGCAGGTAAGACAACAGGGAAAGGAGAACGAAATAGGAGAGCGGAGGAGTTTATTCCATTAAGGATCGTCTACTTAGTGTCACGACCACCTTTGGCCGCTTCTTTTTTTTAAAGAGTTAAAAATTACTTGGGACGGCCAATGAAAACGCGTAACTCAAATTGATCATTTCACAGTACATTAAGATTTGTAGCAATATGCATAGAACAATTGGAATATACTTGCATAGCAATGATGTCTATGGTGGCGATTGACACATTTAAAATTACATATTATATTTCGAGTTAAAAACATGGGCGCTGTCTACAGGTTCGCTGTGATTTCACTATTTTGTGATAGAATGTAATGGAACATGTGGTAAATGGATCAGGCGCACTCGGTCGGTTGTATCGCTACTTGCACAACATGAACTAACCGTTATGGCATAGATGGCATTGCAGGGCACTATTCTCAGCCAAAAGCCATTTCACCAAATTTCCAATTTGTTAGATATATCATCAAAAACGCCAATTGATCATGAAAACTTAGTGCAACACTGTGGCCATTCTGCCACATTGCAAGCACTGAGTAGCTCAAGCTTTCTTTTTCTTCCACCCCACTTTTGGTAGCACAAGGAAACATCTGGAGGCTCTATCCATTGTACGTCAGTATATTTCGTCTAGAATTCTCTATTTATTTTCTAGCTTCGAAATAACCCTGCATCTACTTTTTTATAAGATGTTTTCTTAGAACCTTTCAATACTTCAGGTTGTTTTCAACATAGGAGCGAAAGGCATAGCATAAACATGTATGAGCGCTAGGTTGAGACCCATTTCATAATTTCTGATAATAAGCGCACACATTTGATTGTAACTAAATGAAAGAGCCATACCATATTCTACATTCATACTTAGACTTTGATTGGCTTTGAAAATTATTCTAATCCATATAAAGATGGCAATGTAACGTTGCGATTTTCTTTGAAAACAGTGCGGTGCCCAGACTTTTTTGGATCAGAGCAAATTTGTGCGGCTCAAGCTGAGTTCATTTTTCGCTCGTCGTGCCATACCTTGCAAATCGTACATGCGATCCAGGGGAGTTCATCTTGTATTTATTCAGAACTACCTGATCATGTACAAAATAAGGGTATTTCATTTTGTAGCTTTATAGCTATGTTAGTTCAAAGAAGTATGCTCGCAAGAAATCCCGTTTCGAACCTAACAAGTCAAATCAACTAGATGTGAACGGAAAACTATAAGTTTCTACCCAAACCCTTCGTTATAGTAAGGCTTTTAATACACATCCATTACCCACATTGACAGGTAAGCGGTCACATATGAGCTTAATCGAATGTCAGTATCTCATAATATCTTCTCATATCAGGGTGTTTCATATCCAAAGGTATGTAGATGGCTAGCTTACAATGCTGTACATTCATTTATGATTGCACACCACAAAGGATTTTGTGATTCACTTTCTTAGCTTATTTCTTTTTTTGTTTTATTTCTTATGTAGGCTAATGGCTCAAAAACAAACACGAATTAATGAAATACAGTGCTGAACAGGAGGATGATAATTTATCGAGTCTTGGACAGTTCTTTTTTCTTGCGAGCAGCGTCTTCTTTAGCTAATCGCTCGCTTTCCTTTTGTCGAGCAGCTTCTTCACGCTGCTTTCGTATAATAGCTAATCTAGCAAGATCAGCTCTTGCTTGCTCTGTTTTGCCAGCCTGATGCAATTTCCAGTATCGTGCTCTAGCCTCTGCCTTCTCTGCTTCTTCGCGCTCACGTCTACTCAGCGTGCGTGGTTCGGATGTATCGATACTCTTTGTGCTTCTAGTGCTCTTAGCTTTACTTGCATTGGCCATATCGTCTGCATTGGGATTTGCAGGCTGTTTGACATATTGACGGCTTAATTGCACATTAAAGACAAAGTTCTAGTACAAAAGATAGATCACTTACAATATCCGCTTCGTCATCCTCTTCATCATCATCGGCTTCGTCATTCTGTTTCGAGGTACCTTCTTTCACCTTTTGCTTGTTATCTGTGTCCAACTCGTCGTCGCTTCCGGATTCCTCTTCCTCAGAGCTGTCATCTGAATCGCTGTCATCACCATTACGGTTATTTCGTGCCTAAATCAATTCCAACCAAAAAAAAAAAAACATGAGTCCAATTGCACTTGTGACTTTGGCTTGACTTGATATTCAAACATACCTCCCACATTCCAGGTTTATCTTCAGGTGCAGCAGCAGCATCCGAGCCACGCCACATGTCTCGAGAAAAATGCTTTCTACCACCACGTTGTGGCCTGAAGATCAAAGCGTCAATCACTACAGATCCAATCGAGATCAAGTACTGTGCCCAACTTACTTGTTGCTCTTAGCACCACGATTAGATTTGCCTTTTCCTCCGATCGCCATTAGAAGTGTAAGTGTTGAAATTCAAGCGATTGATTCTGGACTTTAAAATTAATTGAAAAAGAAACAAATGCCCAGAAATTTATACCTACGCTTTTGGATGTACTGCGACAGCTGGATTATAGGCCGCAGTCGATTGATGTACATCAATTTCCAATATCGCCACGGCTTTAAATTGCCATTCGTGGACTAAACCTATTCATATCATCACATCTTCCAGTTACTGAAATCGTGCAACAAATAATGTTTATCCCTTGGTGTCGTTGGATCAAAATGCCTTGGTCAAACTTTGTTAACAAGAGAGCAAGGCTTACAACTTGGTGACTTGTGTTCATACTGTGGTTGACTTCACTACGGCTTGGATGTGGTAATAGATCTCTGAGCCGCGCTTTCATTAGCTAGGGTTTTTGTGATAACTCGCCTTTTTTGTAATTCTTGTTCTGCGGGAAGGAAGGGTGGGCAGCTACCACATCCTCGCATTCATTCGTCAACTTCTACAGTGAAATTTGGAGTTTGAATTGTAAACGTGTTGTTGCTCATGTTAACTATATCCTAATAATCAAACCACATATCCATCTATCGGTCTCTGCTACTCTTGGATGGCAAGTCGATTTTTTAGAGCCTTTTTATGAGAAATGTACCGACTTTATAAGCGTGGCTGACATCACATGAACCCCTCCAGGCAAGATCGACTCACATTCCTCTCTTTTCCCTCTCCGCATCTTATTATGACTCCCAAACAACCTAGCGAGGCTGTAAAGCAAGAAGTAAACACGCTTGTATTTCGCGTTATGACGCGTTACCAAAGTTATTGACTCGCGTTCTAACATCTGTCAATTCTATCTAGTTAACTGCTGCACTGGAAACGGCAGCAAAGAACCTACAAGAAGCCTGTGACCTGCTGAAGAAGTTCGGTTCTTTGGAGTTTGAGTCGGAAGACACCAAAGAAGATGCTAAGAAGAAGCGCAAGCATAAAGAGAAGGATCCAAATGCACCTAAACGACCTGTCAGTAGCTACTTATATTTCTGCAACGACCGAAGGGCTCACATAAAGAAGGAACAACCTTCGATAGATCCAAAGGAAATGGTGAGTTTGCTGGGTAAAGAGTGGCAGGCACTGGACGAAGCCGCCAGAAAACAGTGGGAGCGCAAAGCGAGCGAAGACAAGGAGCGTTATCAGAAGCAACTTGAAGTATACAAATCTGGTCAAGATTCTGGTATTCCAATTGAAGAAGATCACTCCGAGGAACCTCCCAGTAAACCCAAGAAAGCTAAGGTAGAAGCTAAGGCAAAGGAGACGAAGGCAGAGAAGAAGGAGGAGGCTACTAGCGATGAAGGCGAGGAAAAAGAAGAGAAGGTCCATAAGAAGCACAAAAAGTCAAAGAAGACATCAGAAGAGAAGAAGGAGCACAAAAAGGACAAAGCATCAAATGGCGAAAAGAAATCCAAGAAAGACAAGGAGAAGAAAAAGTCTAAGAAATCCAAGGACGAAGAGTGATTGAAGATAATTCAGTGTTCCTCTCATAAAGCTTCAACCAACCACCTACCCGCAGACCACTGTGAGCCACCTCCAATCTATTACAAAGCAGGAGCCAGTTTACGGCAACAAAATTTTGCCACAATCGTTTAACTTTTTTTTTGATCTGTATTAACGTTCGTCAATTCGATAAAATCTTGTAATCTCCACCGCGGGATCTGGAAAGTCGAATGTTGTGTTCCCGGATGTTGTGTTAGTGCCTATGAGATGTTGGAATTCAATAATATGTAGTTGCTTGTCTTGGTCCACTCTCTAGCACCTGTCTTCCGTATGGTGTTGAAATTTCTCAAGGCACTTCGTTGCGGTGAGCCGCCAAAATTGCTTCAACAAGATTATAAATCATCATTGAACAGCAAGATGGTTGGCATATTACTGTACGTTTGGCTGATCGATCTGGTTATATGTAATCCTTTTAATGCATGAAAGAATTTGATAAACGCCGCTGATATTTTTATCTGTAATGAGCTTGGTCTTTTCTGATGTGTTCATCTTTTCACGCTCATGATATCGCAACTTCAAAAAGGCAATATATATACCAGTGTTTCAATATTAGCGCGGAATCCAGCAAACCAACTCTCATGTTTTGGCTAATCAAGCCGGTAATAACCTCAGCTGGTCCTTGCAAAACGTTACTTTAGACATGGCTTTAACAAGGTATTATTACCTGGGAATATTCTAAGCGGCGGCCTACATTTTTAAAATCCTACAGTCGTTTTATTCTTATTTTCTAGTACTGTAGATGTCAAAAGTACAAATGCGAGAAAATGCATATAGATCGGTCTACATTGGCGAGAAGAGCTATGACAGTTGCTCTTTGTCATCTTCTAGCACTTGATATATACTACCTAAACACCTCCCGCCAATGGGTCATACTCATTGTCATCTGCTCTTTGTCTTGTACGCCAAAAGCTTGGAAAGCAACAGGACCACATATGTCTGACTATACGTGAGAAGTACTGGTACTGGCCAGCCAATGTACCAATCGTGACAATTAAAACTGAATAGATAGGAAGCGTACAGAGGATGAAGACCATTCTATAGGGATACCATGGCGCATGCTTGAATGTCCCTGCAAGTGAAGCATTATGACATATTCATTTCTTTGTGCTGTATCAGTTGAAAAAACGTACCGTCCATTCTCAAGACGTTGTGCACGAACAGGCTTGTAAGACGAACGCTTAAAGATCCGGTTATGGAGAAGACGACAAGCCGTATAAACCATATAAGCCAAAAACGAGGTTGCTTCAGCTTCTCTCTTAAAGTTGATTCCTGGTTCTGGTCTGTGATTTCACGTCCAGTAAGTGGTTCTTGTTCGTCTGGAATCGGCATGCTGTACTGTGTGTTAAAAGGGGAGCTCCATTTTTTGTCAAAAAAATCAAGCTCAGTTGAAAATCGGCCGTCCAAGGGTACCTGTCCATGTCCGCGATTCTGCGTAAGTGCAATCAATCTGCATAAATGCCGTCAACGCTGTTACAATTGGCAATGCCGTATGCAAACTAATTCGTAACTATTATCTAGAGTACGCTCTGGGTTTCGCATTGGGTAAGCCGGAATACACTGCAGGTTTACCTTTCTGTACACGATCGACTGACTTACGAATAACTAGTTGGGTTATGTTGGGGCTCATCCAACCCGTTCATCAAGAGAGGAAGTGAAGGGCTAGAGGCTGTGTCTAAGAAATATCCTGAAGGCGGATTTCGTAGGTGGAGAGCTGAGATGGTTTATTTGTTCACGCGATGGCAGGTACGATAACTGGCTGGTGAGAAGGATATAATTGTTCAGTTCTTAGCTTACCCGCCACAGTATGTGTTGCCATTAGTAATTAATCTCAGTGGATCAGCAGCTTATTACTATACTCTTGGAAAAGCAGGTAAATAAAGACAAGAAAGTTTCAAATTAGAGCCGAGAATCGTTGTTAATTGCTTATTGATTTGGTCAGATTTATCATTGGCGGTGCCTATAACTAATTCCGTCACCTTCATATTTACGTTACTGACTGGCAAACTACTCGGTGAGCGCGTTGGAGGTGTAGACGCATGGGCCGGAATATTTATGATCATCCTAGGAATTCTCATTTGCGTTAGTAGCAGACTAGAATAGAGGAAACCTTATAACCATGGCCATTGGTCTGGACCTTATTGTACAGTAGTAACGAAGGTTCAGTGTCACTCTACCGCTTAAGTAGCCAATATATTCAGTACTCAGCACATTTACCATATAAGACTTATAATGAGCCAAATGCCTTACAAAACGTACGAGCCATCATGGCCATAGTAATTTACGTTGTTCCATAATTTAGGAACAATGATAAATCTTGCCATTTTCCAGCAAAGGTTTCGACGCTATGAAACGGATAGGTATGCCGCATGATTAGCTGCCAGGAACCATGTCATGTCTTAAAGCGATGTTGGTACAGTTAAATTTAACTCGAACACAGAAATTGAGAGCTATTTTTTGCCCAAAAAATACGTTAAGAGACCGGTACAGGCTCCATATCTTTTTCCGCTTATAGAGTCTTGGGAAAAAGTTTTCCACAAAATTTCTATTGTGCGCAGCAGTCTTTTGGTTGAGAAGGCAACTCATACTGGAGCAAGCGGCGATCATTTATTATTGTCATCAAATGATTCTATGTGATTGAAGTTGCAAATGGCTCCCAAACGAACCAAAATATTTGGGCAAGGTAGCAATTGCATCCACGTGTGTACCAAGATAATGCTCCATAGAAACGTTCTATTTTTGCCTCTTTTGTTCTTTTTTGTACTCTGTACGATGGGAATTTTGCTTACCGCAGGAAGATAACGCTGTGAAAAATAATGCATTGAAAGAGCGCGGAATCAATCTCAATTAGTTAATTATAAAATTTTCTAAATATGCATCTTTTTTACGCCTATTTCCATTGCTTTGTTTGTGCGTTTTATCTTTGCAGCAGCTAAAGCGAAGATCACTTATGGTCTGGTGGAACCGTCAAACCATGATTTCACTGGTAAGGCAACGCCACCACGAAGTCTTTGAACATATTCGGAGTATGGTCAGTTGTAACCCAGTGCCCCGCTATGCAACACAAACGATCATTGGCAAATCGTATTTAAAGCAAACCAAAATCCCCATTGTTACAGTAGCAATCCCTTTCGACGGTCTTCACACATTATGAGACTCCAGAATCTCGCTCTTTTTGCAGTCCTTCTAGCTGCAACTGCTAATGCAGTTCCCCACAGCAAGCGCGCTACCTGCAAAACCGACGATGGTGAGCACGCACCATAGACCCTGCTGTTGCCACTTAGCCAACATAATTAACATAAACATTCACCACATCAACAGACTGTCCTGGAGTCACTTGCTGCAACTTGAACACCAACCTTTGTGTTAACGACCCTAACGGTACCATATGTGATATTGCTCCCACCAAGGTAAAGTAGATATTTTGGATTCATGATTAGAGTTTAATACATTGTAAAAGTCATCTTCTAATTCTCTTGCTGTCTATTTAGACCACTACTAAGGCTACCACTACTAAGGCTACCACCACCAAGGCAACGTAAGTGACATTCCTCTATATATTTCTTGATTAAACGAAGAGGAACTAATCACTTTGTTATATACAGCACGACCAAGTAAGCTAAATAAAAAAAGATGAGCGACAACTCTTGTGCTATCGTTAACGTCTTTCATAGAACAACTGCTGCGGCTACTTCTACTGCTGCTTGCACCACTGACGATGATTGTCCTGGAGTAACATGCTGCAACCTTAACACCAACACCTGTGTCAATGACCCCAATAATACTATCTGCGATATTCCTCCTACTACTAAGGTAAGCGACCTATATAGACAATGCCAAGTTTTGTTGGAAAAACGATATTAGGAAGCACACTTTACATTTTACGTCAACCAGTACAGTATACTTAACTTTATTGCTGTTGACAGATTACCACCACCAAGTCTTCTACTACTACCAAGTCTTCTACTACTACCAAGCCTACCACCACAACTACTACCACAACCAAGGCTACTACCACTACTAAGACTACGTAAGTTCGCATAATCATCATACCAGAAAAATGTATACTGAACTTGAACACTAACCTATCACCAAAATTTTTTCAGGACCACTACAAAGTAAGATTTACTGAGAGGACATTTATACAAATGTAGCTCATGTTAACCTCAACTTGCAATAGGACTACTACTGCAAGCCCCACTGCTACTGGAGTTTCTTGCAGCACTGATGATGACTGCCCTGGTGTTACTTGCTGCAACCTTAACACTAACAAGTGCGTTAACGATCCCAACGGTACCATTTGCGACATTCCACCTACCAAGACTATCACCACCACCAAGCCTACGTAAGAATATTATATATGCAAAAGAAGCCTGCAGTATTGAATCGCTGACATTATGTCCTCCTTACCCATGCACAGCACCACCACTAAGGCCACTACCACCACTAAGACCACTACCAAGTAAGTACTGTAAACAGATCAGCCATACTGGCTTCACAATTAACTAAAACACATCCCTCTCTCTTTACAGAACCACTACCACGTATGTGCTCGAGGACATGCTTTCTTTTATAAACCTGCCAAATAACCTAGAATTTCAATTTTAGAACGGCTACTGGTAATGAGCCATCTCACTTGACCGCTGTAGTTAATGCAGATACTCTCTGCTTTTTCTTGCCACCCAGCTCCGGTGGTGATATCGCCGACTCCGAAAAGACTGCTGTTGCTTTCTGTGAGTCTGCTTCAGATGCCCCTGGTGCTAAGGCATTCCCATCCGGTTTCATCACAAGCTCTCACTACAAAGCTGCAACTGGAACTGCTGCTTATGTGCAATATACCGGTACCATTAACCCAAGCACTTATGGCTTGAAAAGCACGGATGAAGGTGGTGAGTGTAACGTAACATTTCTGTATATTTGAATACAAAGACATTCTAATTAGGAGCCCTCACTGTTTGCTAGGTCAATACGATAACCATGGTTCAGGCAGCCCTCCTGGAAGCGTTTGCGCTGGTTATCCCTACTATGTCAACCTTGTTGAACCTGCTGAAAGTAAGTTCTGGTTGCACACCAACGCCTTATATCAATTTTCAGTACTGACAAGCAATTTATTCATTACCTACAGAGGATTATTGTATTAGATGTAAGTTAAATCACTAGTCGATTGCATTCAAGCATTATGATGCGACACCCAAACTAACACTTACAAATTAGGCTGCCAAAACTCCGCTGACTGTCCCACTGGTCGTTCCTCCGCTGGATGCCAATCTATCGTTCCAGGCACCTACTCTGTCGTGCTTGAGCTTGATTCGCCTTTGACCAGCACTAACGGAAGCACTAAGTCTGCCGTTGCTTTGGCTGCCACGAACAAGAAGGTCATCTGGACTCCCCCCACTCGCCAGGAATACAACAGCAACGCCACCTTGAGAGCTGCTCTCAAGAAGACCGTTTTCCCTCTTGGTGTTGGTTTAGATAAACCGCAAAACTAAAGAAAGTCACTTTTATAGTTTAAAGATCGTGAATTCTCAAAAGACGATAATTCGTGCAATCCGTTCGCAAATACTAATAAAAGAGGAACATTTGAATCCTTAATGTACGATTAAACGTACAATATTACATATTTGTAAATACATGTTGCTTTTTCTGGTACTTCTAAGAAATTCCCTATATGTATTTGGTCAATGTACGTATAAACGTACAACCTCAAATTTAATGTCGAAGCCAATAGTGTGCTACGACCTTCTAAGTTTACTCGAAAGTTCAGTTTGAATGTTCACAGCCCTGGGAATATCACCGTACCTTACGCAATCTCAAAAACTTTGTTTGCGCGTAACTTTAGATAAGAAGGAAGATTTAGTAGGAAGATTTAGTTCGGAACTTCACAGCCAGACCCGAGATCATCAACTACAGATAACCCTATTCAGCACCTAGATCTTTGTTTATTTTGCAGTGATAGTGGCAACGCGGTAGAAAAATGGTTTCGAATTTACTCCCCTCTTATAGATCCAAAATGTGTAGCGTTGCTTTTGTAGCTTTGGCCCCCACTGTGATAAATACTTGGGTGGGCAGCGTGGAGCAGTCGTTTATAGTTCGAGTTGTCATTCTCAGTTATCTAAGACTCCGAAGAGCCGGCACCGCTTACCCCAGCCCCTCACTCTATCAGCGCTGAAGAAGGACGAATAGATGGCTGTTTTGAGATACGTGCAATAAACAGCTCACTATCATGCATCAGTTTCTATTTTTCCACAGTCTCCCATAGTTTCCGGTATGGTTTCGTGTGAAACTTATGGTTGTTTAATTAGCTTTACTAAAAGATCCGAACCAACGGGGTAAGATCAAAAGGAGCTGTGATGGCAATAGTAAATCTCTTGCACCACATCGAATCTTTGATATCCTCGCAAAAAATACACTTTACCTTTAGAAGTGGTGATTTGTAGTAGGTATAACCATTATATCGTTTCTACCCTACCTTCCTATTAGTCTCATAGTATCAGCGTTGTGCGATTCACGTGAGCCAGATTACTAAATACGGGCATCATCGGAATTTGGTATTTTCTTATCAGTAGCATTTAGCCCGCCATTACTTTCCTTTCTGGATTAGCAACTTTAACAAACATATAAAAGCTCTGCGCTGACGTTCTGGAATGAGGTGCATTCACTATCATGAATTTAAAAACGTAAACCTATTATCTTTTATTTTTTAGCCTCCAATGGTTTGCAGCTCGACTAACGATCTAGCATTCAGCATATTAGAAAAGCTTGAGGTACCGGACGATGCAGAGAACGTAGGGGAGCGATCTATGTGGACCAATGCTGATCTTGCTCCAGTGCCTCATGGTAAAGTATTTGGACATAGAAGATATCCACAGTGAACATGTGCTGACAAGCCTTAGATCGCAGAACCTGGACAGCATGGAACTACGTTGCTTATTGGATCGCTGATTGTCTTAACGTCAAGTAAGTATATATTGTTAGTTGTCTGAGCCGGGGTCACTGTAAATAACTGTTGATAAATTAGCACATGGATGATTGCTGGATCGCTTATAGCTACAGGCATGACCTGGTGGCAAGCACTGATTTCCGTAGCTGTTGGCTATGGCATTTGTGCTGTTGTGTTGGTCCTCAACGGCATTTCTGGAGCAGAATACCATGTTGGATTTCCAGTTATCTGCAGATCATCTTTCGGCCTTGCCGGGTCTTTCATTCCTGTTCTGAACCGGTAAGTAATGCTTCTCCGGGGTTCGCTCGACTGAACCATATTTTTGTTCTCAAAGTAGAGTTTCTTATCATGACTTACTTTTTTTGGAAACCATGAATAGCGTTATTATGGCGTGTGTCTGGTATGGCGTCCAAGCTTGGATTGGCGTAAGTAATGATCTATTACGTGTGAGAAAGTATCTAGCCAAAATATTCTTCTAACAATCTTAAATAGGGAGAGTGTGTGTACCAAATGTTACGTGCCATCGCACCAAGTATAGATAACGTTCCAAATACCTTCCCCGACTCCAGTGGTACCACCACAAAAGCTTTCATCGGCTTTATCGTGTTTTGGTTTGTTTCCCTGTTCGCAATTTGGGTCCCCGTTGATCGCATCAGACATCTTTTTACTGTCAAATCCATTTTGCTGCCTATTGCTGCTTTCTCCCTGTTCATATGGTCTATCGTAAGAGCCCATGGTCTCGGTCCCATCATCAGCCAACCCGCTACATTTACATCATCAGATCAAGCTGCCTGGGCCATCATTAATGGAATCACCGGTTGTATGGGCAACATGGCCGCTTTGGTACGTAACGAAGCTGATTTGTTCTTCGCCGTTCAATATATAGGACTAACATGTTACTATCTTAGATTATCAATACACCAGATTTTACTCGATACGCAAGAAAACCCAGTGATATCTATTACTCACAACTGGTTACCATGCCTGTTGGCTTCTTCATTACTTCGTTCATTGGTGTGGTTGTAACATCCTCTGCTCAATATATCTATGGTGAAGCAATTTGGGATCCTCTTCAGTTACTGGAAAAGATCGATAGCCGACCGGCTGTATTTTTCATCGCCTTGGCTTTTGCGCTCGCTACTTTGGCTACCAACTTGTGCGCCAATTCTATTCCCGCTGGTGCTGATATGTCAGCTTTGCTCCCTCGGTATATCAACATTCGTCGTGGTGGTTATGTTTGCGCCATCATTGGTATTTGTATCACACCATGGAAGCTCTTGTCAGGTGCTAGCAACTTCTTAAACTTCTTGAGTGCCTATGCTGTTTTCCTTGGCCCCATTTGCGGCGTGATGGTTGTTGATTGTAAGATATCTATTGACTTGATTCGTCATCTCGCATAACAGCATTGAACCTAACAACTCTTTGTCATTTAGATTTCTTGGTCAAGCGAAGACATTTGATCGTTCAAGATCTTTACAATCCAGATGGCATTTACTGGTACACATGGGGTATCAACTGGCGTGGTTATGCTGGATATATTGGTGGTATTGCCCCCAATTTGCCTGGTTTCATCGGTGCTATGGGCTATGAAGTTCCCATCGGTGCTACTAGACTCTATTCCTTTGCTTGGATTTTGGGCTTCCTAGTTGGTGGTATCATCTACTATGTTTGTAACTTGCTGTTCCCTTGCAAGTGGATTATCGAAGAACGACGCAAGGAGGTCCGATATGATGTTGAGGACAAGCCCGGAGCCAGGGCTAACGACCCCACCCGTGAACAACGACTGAGTAATCCCCCTAGCGATTGGTCTGTTCATGATAGTGAAAAATCGGCAGAGCGAAATGAGTGATTGCTGGAAAATCCATTTTGTATGCCTGGACGGCACTGATACCTCTTTTTTTTTTTTAATCGTGTATAGTGTAACATCAATAACCTTTTGTAATTACCTGTTATTTGACTCTCATTCTGAGATGTGTCATCTGGATATACATCTAATCATGTCCACCTTATTTTCAACAACTTCAACCAATTTGTAAAAAAATAAATTTACTGTCATGCTTGATGAATTTATTCCACCAATGCCTTTACAATATCGTTTGCGCTCAAACGAATACATCGCCGGCTGTTTCAATCTCTGCGTTCACACAGCTCCATCATATAGTACATTATAACTTGGCATCAACTTTACCAAACACGGCATTTCTTCTCTGGGTTCATCGGTGCACCAGTAGGGCAATTGAACGCTTTTGCGAACTCAATCGAATTTTGGATGGCGCCATTTACTCGCCACTGGGGTGGCGGATGTGGATCAGTACTCATCTGTTGAAAGTTGTTCGAAAAATTACATTTAATGAGAAAGATTCAACTTCAGAAGACAATAAACTTACTCGCATAGCAGCATACTCTGGTCTTATCTTGGAGCACCAAATCTGACCAAAGCTCATAAAAAAGAGTTGTTCTGCGGAGTATCCGCCTAAAGTTTCCAGGCTTTGATATTTGGTTCCCGTTCGCTGGGCGTCTTTCAGGCTGTTCTGCCACGCATTATATGATATCTGTAGCCCACCGTTATCAGCTAAGATTTCCCCACTCTCAAACTGGAATTTGAATATGCAAAACATTGTGTAAGTTGGAAAGTTGCTAACGGTGAAAGGAAATAGATTAGATGCATACATCACCATTGAGGCGAAGAGATGTATTCTCAGGTCCATTGATAGTGAAGTTGGAGTACTGATCAATGAAACACTGTGCTCTCTCCAGGTACTGTCGTTCTGTGTCTTTCGTCCACCATGACCTGAATTTTCCATCTCCATCGAAAAGTCTACCTGATGTGTCAAAACCGTGCTATCCGAATGCTCATTAGTAAATGAAGCATGTCATAAGGAATGGCGTCACTAAATCACTCACAGTTAATTCATGTCCAATGACAGCACCAATGGCACCGAAATTCATATTGTCAGAGTTGAGCACATTGTAGAAAGGTGGCTGTAAGATACCGGCAGGGAATACAATCTCATTCACAAGTGGATCGTAATAAGCGTTGACTTGATATGGATGCAACTGCCAAACTTGCTTGTCGACTTTTTGGCCTTGTAGCTCCCATGTCTTCCTAGCTGACCATTGACGGTAAGAGATGTAATTTTCAAAAAAAAGTTCGGGCGTCACTGTGACAGATTGGTAATACGCATCTAGAGAGGCGGGTGACATAACATCTGGGCTGGATGTTCCGTATCCAATTTTTTGAACTATTTTGTGAAGCTAGCACAAAGCGAAAATAACAAAATCAACATGTTGGAAAGTTGATCAATGACTTCAAAAATCTCAAATAACCAACCTTGTCTAATGCTACAGTCCTGGTGACATTGTCAAAAAAATCAAGTTGCATGATGCTCTGTTCTAACGATTCCCGCAGGCGGTTGACCAATTCATTAACCGAGTCTTTGGCAGCTTGACTGAATTTGGTCAAGATATAGAATCGACCAACTATCTGACCAAGTACCGTATTGGTGTTCTGTATGCACAACTCTTTTCGTGACGGTGATGTCTTTCCACCTGATATGTGTAGAGTCATGTTCTTAAGTGGTGTACTCAAATCCGAAGAGAGTGCTCCGATTACTGAGAGGATTAAGGTGTTCATAAAATGGTACTGAATTGTCATAATGTCAGTTTTGGCGATTAGTGTCGACATAAGCTGAATATAAGATGGAGATGTGATCACTAGGTTGTCGATTGGGTGCTCATTTTGGCGCAGTAATGAAATCAGCAGATTCCAATCTATCATAGGGGCCATCTCATTGAGCTTGATGACTGTAACAGGATTATATATAGACTCAGGATTGGAAAGTTCTTGCCTAACATGATAAAATATATTAGAAGGAAGAGTAGACGAGATCGAAAAGAGTTAATACACTTACGATGAATTGCTAATGAGAGATAATTGTTTTTCAAAATTGACAGCCCTTGCAACCGAACGATACATATCGTTCTCTGAGTTCACGCCGGGAAGTTGAAAGTTTTGTGATATCTTGTGCCATGTTTCGGCTGCAACTTTTTCATACGCTTCCACAATTGAAGAATCGTTATATCTCTCTTTAGTAGCCAATGTTAGTCCACTCTGGAGAACGTAAACGCCGTAGGTTTCTGGATGTGACATTTCTGAGTCCGCGGCGAATGTGAACAAAGGAGTTATATCAAATTGAATCAAGTAGGCAATGCCTTTAGTAATTGCTGCTCTGACATCTTCACGGTTATCTTCAAATATATTTCCAAGGGTCTCTAACAAAGGGTGAAGTGGAGTCGAGCCGCGGATTTCTATTAGAGGTTCGTTGAGGCAACTGTCATAATAGTTTTTTGCTTTCTTGAATATCTCTTCATCCGTGTGCACCTCACTGGCAGGGACTTTATTACTAGTGTTCTGCAGCTTCAGGTCACTATAGCCATTTTCGAGAATTTGTCGCAGAGATTCAGAGTTTCCCTTCGATAACGCTTCAAATGCTCCAATTTCTGAAGAAACATATTGGTTGATCCAAATTATGTGATGTTGAGTTTGAGGAATGTCTTTCGATCACATTGGTCATCATAAGCTTACCTAGTTGATTGTCAGGAATTTCGTACATCTTCGACCAAGCACCACCTATGAACAATTTTTGTGTTAACAATCAGCTCCTTTTAAAGAACATTAGGGACAATGTCTAAATGCTAAAGCATACAAGAGAATTGAAAGAAATCTTGACAGGGATCCATCAGTGTATCGATATTACTCAGTATGGAATCAGCAGTAGAAAGGCATTGTTGAGAGTGGCAACTGGTGGGCAGACATTGGGCAAGCCCCACTAGAAGCAGTAAGGATGAAAAAGCTGTGAGCATGGAAGCATGTTTCAATGAAGCTGAAAAGAAACTGAATTTTTGAAATTGGGTCACAATTTATATAACTGTAGTCAGTAAGCTGACAAGCAAAGGAACATGAAATAATACGCTAAATGTGGATTGATAATTGAATCCACAACAAATCTTACAATGGCACGGATACGGAACCAATCGGCTTACAACCTTTTCAGAATATATGTGTTGTGCGCGATGAATGGAATTCGAAGCAAGCAATGCTGACCATTATTTCTGTAAATTAAATACCAAAGCATTTCTTATGAAGCGTTTTTGTTCATCCTGACCACTGTATTGAAAGGTCACCTTGAAATTTTGTAGAACTCACTTCATCATGAATTCAATTGAAATGAATGTAGTAGGAGTGAGCATAGATAAATTTATTGGGAAGATATCTACGCACTAGGAAGCAACGACAAGGAGTGTTGCCAGACGTTCATATCGGCGGATGGAAGGTACACTACGATGCATACAGTATTGCCTAGACATACTTCAGTTTATGGATCCATTTAACTTCAATCTACCGTTACTTTCAATAATTTCAATTAAATGGGAAGGGATTCACTTCAATATAAGCAAGGAACAATTGTCTACATGGTGTTTTTGCACGAACGGACTTGGAAATGGATTCAGGTTAAGGAGCTGAGCATTTCATTTGTAATTCGTATCCCGCTCGCTGGCAAGTCTTTTCAAAATACCAGCCAATCAGCGATTGCCATTTAACGAATTTAGCACTGCCTTTTGTCTTGAGTTCACTTTAACCTACCTTTTGTCTACCAACCTAATGTTACAGTTTACGCTGTGCGTACTTGGCATCTATGCCTGTTTCTTAACTTGGGGCGTGGTTCAGGAAAGAGTCAGCACAACACCATATGGCTCAGCTGAGGCACCTAACAAGTTCAAATACTTTGTGTTCCTCAATCTCGTTCAGTCGATTACAGCAGCTATTGTTGCATTCGGCTACCTCAAGATTTCTGGAAAGCAGACCAACCTCAGAACCTCACCGAACAGTTTATTATTCAAGTATGTACAAGTTGGTTTTCTCAGCTGTATAGGATCTCCATTTGGCTATGCTGCTTTAAAACACATTGACTACCCAACCATGATCTTGGGCAAATCTTGTAAATTGGTCCCGGTCATGTTGATGAACGTTGTCCTCTACCGTCGAAAGTTCCCGCTACACAAGTATGTATGCGTTGGTATGATTACAGCCGGTGTATCTATGTTCATGCTCTACCACCCTGTTGCCGAAAACAAAAAGGGAGCGGCTGCCAATTCGTTATGGGGACTGTTCCTATTGACAATGAACCTGGTTGTTGATGGCGTTATCAATGCCACTCAAGATCAAGTTTTCCACTCTTACAAAGGATTGGCGACTGGACAGCACATGATGTTCTACATGAACGCTATCGCTTCCTTGATATCAGGATGTTATCTGATGCTTAATCCTTACAACGATGAGTTCTGGCGGGCCCTGGATTTCTGTACCACACATCCTGCTGTTATTCGTGATATTGCACTATTTGGTCTATGCGGAGCTATTGGCCAGTGCTTCATTTTCTATTCTTTAGAAAGGTATGGCAGTCTCCGCCTCGTTACTGTCACAGTTACACGAAAGCTCTTCACGATGCTTTTAAGTGTGATTTGGTTCAAGCATGAACTTACTGCTGGTCAATGGGCAGGTGTTGCCTTGGTATTCATTTGTAAGTAATCGCATATATTACATCCTAGCCCGTTACTTCAGTTTTTGATTATTATTTTTTTTGGCAGCAATTGGTCTTGAGGCTTACATCAAGAAGAACAGCAACAGTGCCAAACCTACTGCTAACCAACCTCACAAATTAAAACCGTCCAACAACACCATAGCTCACAACGGCCTCAGTGCTCTAAATTCACAGACGCTTCGAGGCGGCCATTACAATTATCCTATATCCTCAGTGGACAAGTCAGCATAAAGCTGAATGGATTCACTTCCAATCATAGAACAATTTGATACCTCCTACATTTCAAAATCCCTTTTCAATCAAATCAAATAAATTTTTTTGTCGGTCGTGTGGATGATATGAACAACTCTAAGCAATTTAAAATAATGTACAGATAGCAGTACAGATGATATAAGTTCCTAATGAATAAGTACGTTCACCAATGTCAAAAGATCTGTGATACGCTCCAATACAATTTTTTTTTTTTAATTTTTGTTTCTACAGTGATTCTTTGTTAATACGCCTTTCTCCATTGTTTACTGCTGGGCACAATTGACTCCTCCTCTGGCATCTTCTTCATCTTCTTCGTCTTCGTCCCAAACGTTTGAGGCACGGCTCTTGGCACCAAACTGCTCCAAGTCGCCTTCTAACAGAGCACATTCATCTACAATGTCTGGCTTCTTGGTGGTGTCGACTGGCCTTGCTGGTAGAATGGACTCCATGGTCTTAACATGATCAACAGAAGTCCACATGTTTTCTGGGAATTCAACGTCGAACTGAAGGTAGAGATCACCAAGGTCATCCTGGCGCTTGAATGTTGGCATGCCTTCGTGAGGAATACGTCGAATATCTCCAGGCTTGATGACTTCGCCAGCTGGGTGAGTGACATGAATGCCGCGACCATCAAGATGCAAGGCAATGATCTTATCAAATCCAGCAAGAGCTTCGATCAAAGTGATTTTCACTCGGCAGAGGAGATCGTTACCGGATCTCTGGAAACGTTCATGCTCTTTCTGTTTGATAACAAGTATAATGTCTCCAGTTTCAACACCGGGCTATACCAAATAAAACAAGTATCGTTAGTTATCGGTAACTGGTAACCAACATCAAGTCAAAGTCATTACATACCTCTTGGTCACCTTCGCCTTTCATGACAATCTTTTGTCCATCGACCATACCCTTTTCGATGAAGATATCCAGAACCTTCTTTTCAGAAGTGACCTTTCTGCCTTTGCATTTCTTGCATTTGTCCTTGATAACTTCACCGCTACCACTGCAGTCTTGACAGGCAACTTGCATTTGCTGCACCATACCGGGACCAATTTGGCGCATAGCAACTTGGAAACCACGGCCCTTGCAAGTAACACATTTTTTAACAGCTCCAGTTTTGCCGCCTTTGCTATATTTCATACAGAAAACCGGTTAACAACAGCGTTTTACAGAGTCGCAGAAAAGCAATCATCGAGCGTAAACTTACCCTTGGCAATGTGAGCAAATGATGCTTCTCTCCATAGCAAGCTTGGTATGCTTTCCTTTATACAAATCTTCCAATGTCACTTGCAATGGGTGAACCATATCTTCTCCACGGCGGGGTCTTGAAGGACGCCCACCATAGCCACCACCGCCGCCAAACTCGAATCCTCCACCCATTCCACCAAAAAGATTTGCAAACAAGTCATCAGGGGACATGCCAAAGCCGCCTCCCATTTGTGGGCCATCGTCACCGAACCGATCGTATGCTTCTCTTTTTTCGGGATCTGAGAGTGTTTCGTACGCATGCGATATGTCCTTGAACATGTCACCGGCATCAGGGTTCTTATCAGGGTGATACTTCATGGCCTGTTGGAAGCATACGTATTAGTACTATTAGTGATGATTGCAAATCAAGCATGGATAGTCAACATTACAAGCTTTCTATATGCCTATAATACACAATATTAGTAGTCTTCTGGAGTCTCAAATTGCTTTTATTGAAAAACTTACCTTCTTGATTTCGGCATCGGAGCATGAAGGGTCTACGCCCAGTGTTTCGTAGTATTTGGTATCGACGACCATATTGTGTGTGAAGAAGGGAAGGTACAGAATTGGGGTCGAAAAATTGGTGCCATACAAGTCAAGAGACAGTCACAGAAGGAAGCTATTGTCGGTGTTTAAATTGAACTCAGGGATATGACGAACGGCCAATCACATAAAAATCTACTGTAGTTGAAAGGTATAACGAAGTAGATTTAGGCAGTGAGCATTTAGAAACCAATAACGGCTCGCTTAAATTACGTTTAGTGTCCAGAAAAAGCCATATAGTACTTAAGCTCGAGATAATTTGACTGGGGTTTCTTGTACATTACACAAATTATGGTTTCAAATAATGAATTATGGTTACTGAATTTCTAATGGTATCTTGGTTTTTTGAGGATTAGTTGAATTTTCTGTTTCCTCGATTGGAGTCATAATAGGCTTGTGAGTAGGAATAGATAAGTCATCCCTCTCAAATGGAGATTCCGAACGTCGCCTTTCCAGAACTTTCGATTCCAGTTTTTCGAGCTCTTCTAGTTCCTTCTCCAGCTCATCGTTGCTCAAATCATTATATTGCTTGTCCTGAAGTTCAGCCATACCGAGTTGAAGTGCGTCATCAATCTCTTGTTGATCAGCAAATGTCTCTTGAACTTTGTCCATTGTCATATCAATAGCATCCACATTAAGCTCAGAAGAAGATAGTACTGATTTGAGAGCATTCGCGCCCAGATCATAGGCCTGTACAATCTATAGGCATGATTTTAGTCTCTGAAATCAACAGAAGATACAATTAATTCTATCAACTCACCTGTGCATCGTTTTGAGAGCTTTCAATTTTGAACAAGATAGTATCCATTGCATCAAGATAATGCAACCTTTTCTCCAAAACCGCTTCTATCCGCTTCCTTTGTTTCAGTTTGTATAAAGCTTGCGGCTTTTGCTTCTTTGACAGACATTCTTTTGTATCAATGGTCAACCTAGAATACATCAAGTTGGTTAGAAATAGTTTTAACAACAGCCTGATACTTATATCACGCATACTTTGACATTGTAGCCTCAAGTTCATCAATTTGTGATTTTAAGGATTCCGATGTTTCCATAATAGACAGAATACCCTTGTCAGTTTCCGTTATTTCAACACTTTTCTTTTGAGCGACGGTTGCAGCATTAGCGAATTTGAGCATCTAAGAGATGAACCGTTCGTTAGCAACTTGGCTGTCATTACTAGTGATCTCCTGATAACTTACAATTTGTGCTCCATTTCCTCGGTTGATTTCAGCTATAGCAACTCCTTTTGAAGATTCTATGTAACGCAATAGCAACCAAATATCGGCATCGGTGAGTTCGCAATTGGGTATCAGCGATTTTGAATACCGTTTCCGAAACGTCTCATATGTCATCAAATGATCGGTGATGGATATAGCTTGTTTCTTCTGATGCTCTTCGCATACTTTGGTCGTCACCAGTTTCAATGTGGGCATAACGACGTACGCGCCAGATTGTTGCGACTGCTTGATAAAGGAAGCTGCATATCGTAATGGTCGGCCGATAAAAACAGAGAGTAAATATGATGACCATGGCCGACTAGAGAGCGCTCCTGCTTCTAACACCGACTCAACCGTTACTAGGTCTCCATCTTCAATCATATGTTCCTAAGCTGTGTTAAACTTATCGCTTACAACTATGATGTTCTTAGTGATCAATTCACTCACTGTTACGTTGTTGATGCCAAGAGGCTGTCCGTATTTTCCATACTCGAACGCTTTTTCCAAGCCATCCTGAGAGACAGCTAGAGTATATCCGTTGCAAGAAATCATGCCATCTCGGTTAGCTTGTAAGATGACTGTTCGCCAAAAGGATGCATTGGCCTCATAACCATATGAATTGGTCTCCTGTAACGAAGAGAAATCAGAGTACAATGAACTCAACCGTGAAGATCCTTTCTTGGGGTCAAATTCGGGGAATTTCGCTTGAAGGTAGGAAAGTAAGTCTTCATTGTTAGAGGTCGCCATGCAGTTTTACTCTTGATTTGGCTGTCGCTCTTGGAACGAACCGACTTTATGGATTGAGGTTGATGGTGTCTGCACGTGACAGTGAATTTGCAAAAAGCATAAAATTACCATGCTGCTCTACTAACCTCTTGAGGCTTTTATAAACTATCTAATCCCATTTTTTCAGATATATAGTGTGCATAGATAGCGTCCCATTTCGATAATTCCAATACATGTTATATCAAAAATGTTTCTTAACAAAAGGTATGAAGTGATTTACTGCAAAAGACGTCAATTTTTAATGATAAAAGCAGAGTGATGTTACAAAATAAATAACAGGTTAACATCAATGGGATGAGAAGACGAAAGCTGGGGTCTTTGTGAGTATTTTTCCTTCAAAATTTGTCGAACTACGTTCAGTAGCTGTTGATAAGACAAATTGCGATTCTGTCGTAGGGCAGCTAAATCAAACGGTACCCACGTTAGCACCTTCTCTCAAGTACACGCCAATTTGTACATTTACTTACTTGTGAACGCGTAACTCATAGCACCAGTGTTCATACCGGCTTCATTGGCATCTGCAGATGTCTGATCATCCTTACAACTAAAAACGAAGAGTTGGTTGGTTACATGCATGTTGTAAGCAATCATCTAGTGAGTTTCACTTACCCAGAAAACATAATAACATCGGCAGGAGAACTTTTGTTTGCCCTATTTTGTTCTGTGACATTTTTACCGTTCATAAACTTCTTTCCTAATCCCATCACTGAAGACATTGCGCCACCAAGATTTCCAGACGCATATGCTAGTCCAGCAGTGAGCAGCCCACTTCCAGCATCCTTGAACATATTTTGTTCTTTTAATACACCTTGTGTGCTGTATATATAAGGTAAGTCGAGTGCAGTGCCGGAATGGCAACTGTCGAACACGGCAGTCAGTCTACAACCAGGGGGTAGTGGTCGAACCATGATATCGTGCATGATATCGTCAGTAATTTGTCCAGAATCATTGGGATACATCTTGTGATCCACTGGGTAAATGGTTTCATCATAGCCATCGTCTTCGTCTCCATCAACATCTCTAACGCGACCGCCGTGTCCACTATAGTGGTAAAAGAAACTACAATTTTTGCGTCAATCATCAGATCTGGCTTGTATTTCCTTACGACCATGGCTATAATTACTTACGAGTCATTCGGGCGGGCATCGTGTATAAGCCATTGCATGCCAGATATAATATTCTGTTTGGTGGGAACAAATTTGGGGTCTCGTTGATCGTCCGTCAAAACGACCATGTCCTCCTGTCGGAAGCCGTACATGGAGATCAAAAAGCTCTTGACATTATGTACATCATTGATACAGCCTGAGCAAAATTGTGAGTTGCGTTTGATTGTTATGAAGGGATGCTACCAAAAAAGTACTGACCTTTAAGTTCATTTGGTGAGTTGAAATAATTGATGCCAACTAGTAGTGCCCTTTTACGCCCTTGACCTGTAAAGGTTGTCAATATGTTTCAAAGAGTATAGTTTCAATCTGAACCACAATAATATTTACAATTCGATAGCTGAAACGAGGGTGGAGGTCTATTCTGAAGCTGAGGGTGAACATGCATGTAGAATTGTTGATTTTGATTTTGATTTTGATTTTGTTGACCACCGGGGGGACCGTATGGTACTGGTGAAGGAGCCTGATTGTGAGATGAATAAGGCGGTTGCGGGTAGTTGGCAACGTTGAGTGGGGGGTCATTAGGTCTGAAGACGGGATCGGGACCTAGAGGACTGATTGTTAACATATAAAATTTGACAGCGTGGTGAGAGTTATCATTTACCTGAGTATGGTGGAGGTCTTATCTGTCCACTCTGAGGAGGAGGAGGGGGGTATGGGCTACCACTGGGAGGACCGTATGACCCACCGCCGCCAGGTGGAGGATATGGGGGCGGTGCAAACTAGTGATTAGGTACGAGTTAAAAAAAGCAGTTGGCACTACTAGCTGTAAGACGGGCTGAGTACCTGTTGCTGCGGAGGAGGCGGATAATGACCCCGTGAATTTGGAGGTGGTGGTGGATACTATGGCTTAATCAGTATCGTTGAGAATGAGATGCGCAACGTTGTTTCAGATCACTTACAGGCGCATTATGTTGCGGAGGAGGGGGATACTAATTGTCGGTCAGTAATCTGTATTCACAGGAGAATAGCTTTTGAAATTGACAATTACCTGTTGTTGCTGAGGAGGTGGAGGAGGATATTGATTATACGATCCGTAGTTGCCTGGGTAACTCATGGTTTGAAGTTGGTGAAGGAAAGTTGAGATTCTTGAGAAAACAGGTTAAATGTGGCAGAATTTCATATTCAGACTCTAGCTGCGCGCTAAAGGTACGTGTCCTGTTCATAAATTTCATGTTCTCGGCTTTAATCCTCTGCAAGCATATATTTATCGATTGATAGTAAAAGTCTTTATCGACTGTTGATTTTTATATATATGACTCGATTTGAATGGATATTCGCTTTCATGGCACCTCTGGAGTGTAATACAATGATGGTCAAATTCTGAAAAATAAAAGCGTTAAAAGCGTTGCAAGTACACAGTCACACAGTATTACTTGTTCGGCTTGATCCTCGACTATTTAATCCATGAGTACGACTAGCCGCATTGCTTGCAAATTTTATCAGCAAGGCAGGTGTCTCAAAGGAGCAAACTGTAACTTCTCGCATACAATTGGTACAGCCAACAACAACAATAACAATGCATCTTGGGGCAGCAAACCTGCTTTTGGCGGAAGCGCGGCGCCGAATGAGATGCCAAAGTACAAGTAAGCCGCTGCTAACAAAAGCATTTACTAAACAGTGATCTTATAATTAACTTACTACCTTTACAGTGAAACGTCGCTGAAATCCGATTTGGCTTCCCAAGAGAAACCTGTTTGGGATCTTAGTGTGTATGGTCCAGCGAAAGAAGAACCTAACTTGATAGTCGGAACGGACCGCAGCTTTGAGGAAGACAGATTAAAGTATTATTTATCAAGGCTACAAAGTGGAAACGAGAACCAATTCGTAAGTGCATGGATATTATTTGATCTTGATACCATGGATTAACGTATTGATTATCCAAATAGCTTCAAGAACGCGAGCAGGCCTTGCAAGTCATGAATCAGCAAGTGAACGCAATAGTCAATAACCCAACAGCAGCCATACAGCATTTCAATGGTCAAAAAAGTAAAGATTCCTCAGCGTTTGGTAGCTCTTCAAATACTGCACAATTTGAGCCATTCGTGAGTAATTCTGGATTCGGTTCCGGTGGAGGATTTGGAAACACAGGGAGTGCGTTTGGCAACAACAGTACCAGTGCTTTTGGGAACACTGGTAGTGCATTTGGTGCTGGCGCTAATAAACAGCCGACCAGCGCATTTGGAGGTAGCGCATTTGGAGGAAGTGCCTTTGGTAATACCGGCAGCGCCAGCACTGCACCAGCATTTGGATCAACAGGATTTGTGAATAACTCAGCATTTGGAAACATGTCACAACCGTCTACAAGCGCGTTTGGCAACACAGGTAGTGCCTTTGGCGGCGCAACTCCGAATCAATCGGCATTTGGCGCAACCTCTTCGATGGGAGGATTTGGTAGTACGCCAGCGTTTGGCGCACCATCTGCAGTTGGGGCACAACCTAACAGTATGATGTCGGCAGCCCCGACTTCTGCGTTTGGCTCGACTACATCTATGGGACAACCTACTGCATTCGGCATGCCGCCACAATCTTCACAACCATTCGGCAGTACACAACCCGCTACAGCATTTGGTTCTGCATCACAGCCAACAACAGGATTTGGAGCTGCCCCCCCTACAAATGCAGGGTTCGGCTCAGGCTTTGGTGCACAACCTACAGCACAGCAACAACCCTTGAATATAGCAAGTACTGATGTTCCTTCCGAGCAACAAGCTTTTCTTGCTCCAACATTCCAATACAAGATGATTCCAGAAGAAGAACCACCAGCTCAGCTACGATAAACAACTGTATAACTGGGTTGATCCTAACATTAGATATTTTACATTGGCATAGTTTGTGAGTACTTTATCCTACTGACATCAAGGTCAACCTGAGTATATCCCACTTCCAAAAATCACATCACCACAATAAAGAACGTAAACGATTAAAAATTTAAAATGTGTAAGTCATGATTGTCGTTACATGATGAATGCGGAGAAACGTATGGTATGTTTCAATGCGATGTTTGCCCTTGTCTTTACTGCATCGTCATTTTAATTGAGTTAAGCTCTGGTCAGCCAATACAGATATCAAACTAGAGGTATAAATCCTATTCCGACAAGTGTCTTTTGCAAGAAGAAAAAAACGTCTGTGCTGCTTTCTACCAGCGCGCATCTCCCACGTAAATAAAAGAACATAGCAATCAGTTTTCCAATTACGCAAAGTATTTATTTTCAAACGCAAATTGTTTTGCAATAAACAGTTGTAGAGTACATAGGGTTAGGAATTCACAGCAGGTTACCTGGACGCCTTGAAAGGTACTTTTTAATACAGTTGATATGAACAAGAGCTTTTCAAGGTATCCAAGCAACGGTTAAAAAAATGTATAAGGCTACTGAATCATCCCGACTCCCCGGTATCACCTATCTATGTACACCCATTCGACATTTTACACTATGAACAAAGTCATCACTCTCTATCGCTCGTTAATGGCTTCGGCTCGGGCTCGTGATATCTACTCCATATTCGACACAGCTTGTGGCAGCTGAGTCTCGTCTTGACGATTCTTGTTAGCTTCGGTGTTGTTCTGGTCTTCATCCTGACCATTAATCAACGGAATCAATTTTTCGACCTCTGTAATAAGACAAGCCATGGTTAGTTATGGGCCGTCTTGGAGAATCAAGTTGGGAAAACGTCGCTTCGTACTTACTTTGAATAAGGTGCTTTCCATAAGTGTATTTCTTCAAAGATTGCATATGTGGCTTGATCTTAGTGACCAACAACTCGCGTTGGTCGTCATCTACAACGTCCAGCATTTTCTGGACTACATAATTTGCATATTGATCCTTCATCATAGAGACCAAGGGCGAGGTGCTACAAAGTGGGATTAGCAATGATGGAATTGATAAAAGTCAATATGTAGATATGCTTACCCATCCGATTTGGTCTGAAGTACTTCTTCGATCAACAGTTGGCGATCTCTCTTGCTACCATAATCGACACATTTCTCAACGACATTACTGGCAAATTTGTGTTTGCTCAGCTGGAGAACCTGACCACGAATTTTAGACACAACCATAGATTTGTCCGCCTCGCGACCACGCTCAAGAATGTGCTGGATGACATAGTTTCCATATTGATCTTGAACAAGCTGCGCAGTGCACCGGTGTAACTCATCGAGCAATGGACCCTAATGAAAACAAGATATCAGCAAACTGGTTCTGAGGATTGCATCATGAAGGTAAATGTAAAAAAGGACTTACAGTTTGACCTTCAGTACAGTGTTCAAACATTCTTTGTATGACCCGGCAACCGTAAGGATGGGTTGCCAAACTGTAGACTTGTCCATGGAAAGCATCAATAATGAACTGTATATGTTGAGCAGGAACACGTTCAATAGCCTTTTGGATGACGTGGTTGCCATTTTGATCTTTGACACACTTCAAAACAGTTCCATCCAACTCGCGAACCAATGATGCTTGCTGATCGGTAAGAACATGCTCTAAAGCCTTTTGAACAACACGACATCCATACATCTGCAGCGACAAAGTCAAAACATGACCTTCCATTTGCTTGGCCAAAATGGTTTTTTGCATTTGATTTCCTAAAATTCACAGAATGAGTTGAAAAGGCCAGACCAAGCGAAACAACTACAAAATTGTGTACATACCATGCTCGAAAAACTTTTGTAGCACATAGTTGCCAAAAACATCCGTCATCAACTGCAGAGCGTTGGGCAAAACCTCCTCAAACACAAGATTCTTCTCTTCGCTATTGGCAGTCTCCAACTTTTGTTGGATAAAGCGTGAACCATGTTGATCACCGCTAAATTCTACAATATGACCAGCAATATCCTTCAAGTCAAACTTGCGACTCTTTGAGTTTCTGAAGTCCTCTAACAGCTGACTGCGGATGCCAAGTGTAACATCGGATGCAGGTTGAGGAGAACGGACATTCAAGTCTGGAGTAGCGTTTCGAGGTCTAGCAATGCCTTGGTTATTGAAAGGCTGCATTTGGTGCTGCATGAGAAGCTGTTCACGAGCAGCGAGCAACTGCTGTTGTTGCTGGATCAAGACTTGCTGTTGCTGCACTTGCAAAGCTCGCAACTTCTTATCGTTGATATGACCCATGGGTCCCTTCACATTTGCGTGAGCACCAGGAATACCTAGCCCAGCAGGAGCAGTCAATGGACCGTTAGGTCCCAAGCCCATAGCAGCGGCAGCGGCGGCAATAGATGTTGTTCCTTGAGAATTGTTATACTGGTTACGCTTGAAATTCATATAATCAGGTTCATATCCTCTGGGCATGTTCTGCTGTTGCTGTTGAGAACGACGATACATCATGTCATTGGGAACATTGGGTCCACCATAGTAGTCAGATGTTAGAGGTCCACGATTGTATTCGTCTCTACCGTCCCACGCTGCTGAATCTGCCAAGTTGTCATTGACATTATCCATGCGAGGAGAATTGAAGCCATGGAACTGAGCCAACGGATTAGGGCTGGCCGCACCATTATCGCCGTAGAAATGAGCATCGTATCCAGATGAAGCGTTCGATTGTAGGCCACGAACTTGATGATAAGGAGAGAAATTGTCCTCATCGTTAAGACCCAAGCTATTCAATTGCCTATTGAGGGATTCTTGCTGAGAGTCAAAAACTCGAGAATTGATGTAATCTTGATCTTGCTCGGGCCCATCAAAATTTCTTGAAGGAGGAGTTGAATTAGAGCGCGCGGGTGGTGGGGAGCTAAAAGTGTTCCTGATAGGAGGGGACAGCGCTCTCAAGGCGTTTATGCGTGAAATAGCAACAGATTTCTGTTGGTTATCATGCATGGATGCCTGGAATCCAGACTGGCCACCGCCTTGTTGTGAGTCATGGTGCCTCTGATTAGGTGACATAGCTGAGCTAACATTGGTGTTCGCATTACGTTGTTGTGAGTTGACATCTTTGTAATCCGAATTTCTGTATTGGTCACGATATTGCTTTTGCAAAGCGTCAAATTCAGCAGAGCTCATATCATCAGAACCAAGACCCATGGCATTTTGGCGCTGTGAGCCGTCTTGAAGACCAAAGAGAGGCGAAGGAGTACGGGGAAAATCCTGGAGAAAAAATGCGATGCGTTAAAATTGGCTATAGGTCCAGTCACTCTAAAAATCCATAATTGCTTACATCTTGAATCATGTCAAACAGACGGCCTCTACGGCTGAAACCCGAATTAGCGTTGTCGTCCATGATGGGAGATTTAACGCCTGACCTCTGTTGCTTCGGTGCTTGTCTAACATTTTGTTGATGCCCATATCCAGCATGACTATCAACTCCATATTGCTGTGTATGGCGAATATGTTGCTGGTGTTGGTCAGCTTCGTTATCAGCTTAAGTGAGAAAAAAAAAACAAACAAAAAATTTAGATCCGCTGATTTTGCTCACTTAAATAATTTTATGATGTCCTTACCACTATCCGAAAACGCATGTCTGGATGAAGGATTGTTCCAAAGGTTCCAGGTCTGCGATCCATCGTAGCCAGTAGAATGAGTTGGAGTGTCAGAACCGAGACTGTCTTGTTGATAAAGTCCCAAGTCACCAGCTAATTGATTGACACAAGAAGAATATTTGCGTCAGTTGGTGGCAGTAATACCTATATGGCTGATGAAAAAACATACCTTGCGAAGGGGGAGCGCTATTTATACGGTCTTGGGACATATCTCCCAGTAAGCCGTTGTTGGGATTATTGAAAAGGTCGTAGTCCATCTTGCCATGAATTAAAGCTGCCAGCTAACGAAATGAAGATGGAGAAGGTTAATACAAGATGATTCATTGCAATGCTTCCGCTTTGAAGGGTATACAGAAAAATCAAACTCGTATTATCGGGAATTCAGCGCTTTTGGTGCTTAATACGATTCGAATGTCTGCAATCTCGCCTTCAAGTGGATATATAACACCGGGACACACTTGCATCCCATCTTCGGCAGATGCAAGTCAGTCCGTAAAGAGAAGATCTTGATGCACTCACCTGTCCTTGAGGTTGATTAGTTGCTTTTGGTTGATAAATATCAGCTTGCTGTGAATTTGCAGGGATTGTTGGCTGATCGTCAAGAAAGTTTCTCGGCATCATAACAGGGCCTTGGTACATGAAACCTGAGGCTGGGAAAAAAGAATGACAGCCGAATTAATCCGTTATATTATACAACTGGCGAGCAGTGGTAATATACAAAAACGGGACCGAAAGCGATGTCGACGAGTAAATTTGCACAGGCAAGTCGACACGAGATGTGATGCGAAGAGCGAAGGGCAAATTTTTGAACAGTTGCGCCTTTTTGTTGTGTGCCAGCAAATTTGTGTGACAGATGCATCTGTAATTTTCAAACAGCGCTTTTTTTTGCAGGGTGTGCAGGCAAAGAAAAAGTGACTGCTGAACGGCAACCAGCACTGGCATGATAGATGAGGTAGCGTCGTTTAGGTCAGTTACATACTACTGAAATCAAGCACGTATGAATATGACTATCTGAAAATCTAGTTTTAAAGATAGCTACAAATGATATGTTTATGACCGCCAAAATCACTTTTCTGATGTTCTGAGATCAAATTCGTTTAAAACAGCAATAGAGAGGCTTTGTACTTTCCTGGACTGAAAGTCAATCACAGCTATGGCAATATCCAACGAGCTCACTGCTGTATTTATTATTAATTTTATGACGACAACATTTGTAGCCCGTGAACCCATTTTTCATCGATGAGGCTTTCTTTAAAAAATCAAAAACTTGTTCTGGACATTTCTCGGTTCTAATTCTTTTTTATGTTTCGTTTCAGCAAAATATTCAGCAAAGTAAATATTTGGGAACTTCCAAGTTTAAAAGCGCTACATATTCATTAACGATAGGCCCATTGGATCAATCGTTGACATCACAAACATTCAACCGTAAATCCAGCCCAAACATGTACGCATGCATACAATATAGTTCAAATGGAAGTTGCAGTAAATCTTTGAATAAAATTCGTTTATTGATCTCCTTTAGTTCATATAAATATGGCTGCATTGCTGAATATGAGGTGAAATGATTCACTGGACGTCTCATATCAGTAGAACGTGGGCCGTCTAGCAGATTTAATGTTTCATTGTGACCATAGCTGAGGTCTACAAGCACTGGGAGTAGTCTAAAGAAAGTTACGAGTAATCGGCGTTAATTAATTTTTTTTTGGGCACTTGAGTTTGTGTCGGGTCATGAACATAAAATGGGATACTTACAAGGGTTGCTTACTGTGCAGGTGTATCCACCAGAGCAGCATGTAGGACCGGAGAAGTCTACGAAGACAAGTAATTAGGTTTTGAAGGGGAAGAGGGAAAAAAAGGTAGAAATTGACACTTACTGATACCACCGCATTGACCCCATCGAGCAGCGCAAGCACCAGTGCTAGTAGGAGATGCACTATAATCGATTATCAGAACAAGCTCTAAACAGACGAAAATCAATGAAATCCAAAACTTACGAGGTGGTAGTGGTGGTGGTGGTAGTGGTAGTGGTGGTAGTAGTAGGCTTGGAGGTGGTGGTGGAAGAGGAGGTTGCAGTTCCAGTAGCAGAAGTAGTGGTGGTGGTGGTGCTGTTGTTGAGCAGCATGTCAATCACGGCGTGGGCAATAGCAATATCAGCTTGAGCCCAGAAACGATGGTAAGTAATGACAGGAGCAGCTCCGCCGTTGAGGTAAGCTTGGACCTTGGGGAAGTTGGGATCAGTCTTGTACTTGCTGCGAATAGACAAGAAAGTACTGCTGCTGTCAATCACGTCTCCATTAGGCATAGCACCAACCCAGCCGGAAGGAACGGTCAAGGCATCGTTGAATTGAGAGTAATCAGCGCGGGTTTCAGGAGCGGCAACACCTTGGCCATCATAGTACAGAGTCCACATTCTATCAAGCAAATTTTGAGCCAAAGTAGTAGCGGAGGTATCAGCAGCCTTAACACCATAGTATGCCAAAGCCTTAGCAACAGCAGCGGCAACACCGAGATCTGGAGCGCCGGTGGATTGAGAAGTGACAACAACGTGAAGGTTAGTGTTAGCAGCAGGGCTGGAAGGATTCCATGTCTCAGGCTGACCAGTCCAGTTGAGACCTCCAGGCATTGAGAACGAGCCATCAGAAGTCAAGGTAACGACCTTCTTAACCCAGCCGATCCAGTTGGTCAAAAGAGTAGAAACCTTGGAATCGCCAGTAACGTAGTAATATTCAGCAACACGTTCCATGGACCAGGCTTGCATACCGACTGAAAGTACAATTGTTACAAGGTGATCAATAGAAATACATGAACTGGGGATATGTTACTTACACCATTGGTTGGACGGAGGGTCATGGTACACAGGTTCCCAGTCGTAGCCCATACCGTAGAAGGTAGGAGTTCCAGCAGGGTAAGTCTTATAGGCACCTTGCCAGCTGTTGGTAGCACCACCAGCGATAGCACCTTCAGAAGATTGAAGCCATTTGTAGAATTCGATTTGACGACCAAGCGATGTGGTCCAGTCACCAACAGCTGAAGGCGAAGCAGGCTTGAATGCCGATTGGGTGGAGAGGACCCAAGCAGTGAGAGGGTTTTGGTAACCAAAATGAGCATAAGAGGAACCAATACGCCAAGCCCAACCGCCGCTGGTAGACAAACTAGGGATATCAAAAGATGTTAACATCACGCTTGTGGTAAATCAAATGACATAAACACAGTATAATATGAAGCTCTACCTTCCACCGAATGCATAGTACCATGAGAGAAGGTAATGAGCAGAGGTCTTTCCGGTTCCTCCGGCGCAGGATGGGCTTTGGCAGTCCATAACCTTAAAGTACTTATCAAAGAAAGCATATCTCAAGTAATCACCAAGTTTGGCTGCTTTAGCGACAGTGGCAGCAACATCAGCGGACTTTCCTTGAGCAGTAGCCCAAACATTGGCCCAGTAAGCAGCTTGAATACTTCTAGCATCAGCATCAGGGGCAGTGGTATATTTCCATTGCTTGGCATAAGTTGGAGGAGTAAAGAGAGAAAGGTAACCAGTACCGTCGTTTCTACCCCAGGTGAAGGTCTCACAACTGGGCTGAGGAATCGTCTTCCATACAGATTCGCTTGGGCCACGTTGGAAGGTGTTGAAGTAAGATGGCTTGGTGGTGCCATCTCCGCAGTGACCAAATCCATACCAATTGTCAACATCGAGGATCCAATGAGCACCATAAATGTTAGCGTTGCCATAAGCAGACTGCAATTCGGCGGCGAGAGGGTCCTGGCCGACAGGAACGCTTTGATATGCCGGAGGATAATCGCTGATATTGTCAGATTCTAAAGCCAAGCTGGCAGGGCTGCTGGGATTGTAGTTGGAATTGGTAGGCTGATCTGCAGCACTTGGGATCAAGTAGGTCTCAAGAATGCTCCAGGCCTTGTTGAAACCAGTCCAATCTCCAGTGACTTTTCCGTTCACCTGTGTAAAGATTATTAGAAAACTATGCTCAAAGGATAAAGCTCGTTGTAATGTTTATACATACGGCTTCAAGCCAGATATAATAGGAAAAGGCCTCAGAAGTCGATTCGTGACCATAGTCAGGAGCCTCGCACATCAAAGTTTCAACACTATGGTACGGAATGCCGAGAGAGCTGAAGTATCCATTAGTAGAGTTATGGATCTGAGAGTACAGAGTCTGGAAACGAGAGGTGTAGCCAGGAACTGCACGCTTGTCGATAGGAGAAGCAAGGACACTGTAACCTAATTTTTTCAAAATAAATGCAAGGCGATAGAAACAAAGAAAATTAGTCAGAAGCTTGATTCCATCATTTCAAATTAGCCCTTTGAACATAGCACTTACCAAAAGTGACGGCCAAGGCAGTGGAGATTGTTGTGAATTTCATCTTGACTGGATATGATATCGTCTTTGAGTGCTAGAGTTTGCTCCTTATATACATATCTTGTTCGTGTGTCGAGGAGACTGTCTCTTTCAGTTGACCGTGTAGCCACTGCGCGCCCAAATATCAATTCCATTGTACAAAATGCATATTGCCACGCGAGCACTTTCGTTTTCATCTCAAAGTCATGAACGCAGGCGTACAAATCTCAGATCACTTGTGGCGTGGAATTTAAACTCGCGTGATGAAAAAGAACGTGGGGTTAGCCCCACCGAAGCGATGGGATCTGGGAAGATGGTGGACCTCGTGTGCTTTGTGGACCGGCATACAATGTAACAATGAATGCCGTAAGCCAAAAGCAAAAGCAAAGACACGAAACGAAATGAGCTCTAATGTAAATGATGGATTGACTTCATATCAGCTAAACAGGCTTGAGATAAAATGCATTCATCATATATTTCTAGGATGCCATCAGTGATGAGCCGAAAAGGGACCAGTTTGAATTCCCATACTGGTCCTTGTGTAAGGGCGTCTTATTAAAATTACACATTACATGCCTAACCGCCACAGCATGCTAAACCATCGCCTTCTGCGAGCAGCAACCGTGAAACGTGACCCATTAATTTGTGCTGCCCAGGTAACTACCCCATACACAAAGGAAAATAAAGATGGGTCACGATGGCTTTTCATCCATCGGTGACAAGGAGGTTTTGTAGAGAAAATTTGCCTTTTACCCCAGTTGTACCCCGTTCACACCCTCAGGTCTTACTAGTACCACTCTAAATTTTCCTTGTTACAGCAACACACTGATTCAGTTCTCCATGTACCCTTCCACACTGTCTTGGAAAAATTGTATGCTAGCCGCTGATCATTTTGAAGCAAACGGATTATCGATGGTTTTGAAAATGGCAGCTGCAGCCTCTTCAACCATCTCATTCACAAGAGTGACACAATAGAAAGCGATCGTTTAATAAGTAATATTTACTCATCAGGCGGGGTTTACGTCGACCTGCTCGCCCAGTAGGTACCTTTTAGGCATTGAGAAATTTTCCATTGCAATACCTGGTCTGGATGGAGTTTACTTTTTTTTATGTGTGATACAATTACCTTAGCCGAGAAACCGTACGCTTATTTCATAAGCATTCAATTCGTGACACTGGGAGCACAAATCGTCACTTCCTTCCCACCCTATTGATTGTATGTCATCTCTCACTTTGAACACCATCCCATAACAAAATAATCTACGACTACAGATGCTTATGTTTATGTTTATGTTTATGTTTATGAGAATACTCTATATTGATATCTGAAAAGCAGTGTTACTGTCGTTCAAAATAAATAGGCTTATCCACAGGTTCTAAGGAATCGGGCCTCAGCCGAGTGAGGGATAGGCATTGCAGACTATTTTTTGTATCAATCTGATCTTGAAGTAATCGCACCGAATATACATATGGTAACTTCCGACCAATGACCTTACTAGAGACCTCGTCGAGATCCCACACATACCCAACTATTTGATTTGGATGAAGTTTCCCATCCAGTAGTCCTAACTTCATACGTAACAGAGCGGGTGTTCCATTCTGAGTCGTTTGATTCTCAACACGGGCCACGCCGAAATGCTTGTTGTGAAATAATCCCATAAAGTTATGCGCAAATTCCTCATTGTGACCATTGGCACTCGCTAAAGCGATCCTGGTACGTTCCTCTGCCACTTGTGTTTCGAAGCGATGTGTTTTCCACTTCTGAAAAGCTGAAAGAAAATTTTTTGGTCGCTTATCCAGTAAGAGATCCATAGCACACCAGGGGAGGATATTGCATAGCGGAGAGTCTTGTTGATTGGTGAAAAGAATGACTCCGCAACCTTGAGCTGGAGCCATAATGCAAGACGTTGTTATCCCGGAAATTTCGCTAAAATGACTACATACTTGCCCGTCTCTGAATGTGCTGATAGTCCATCCAAGACCATGCAATGCTGTGCCGAAATGTGGCTGACTCGATGAGGACGAAATACTATGTCCTGCAAAAATATAGTTTGAAAGGGTATCGCGAGAAACTGGTGGCACACGCTCTAGAGTCTCTGGGCCATGCATTAGACTTCTTATCCACTCAGCCATGTCGTGCACGGTGGAAAACATTCCTTTAGCCGCGGTATATTGGCTGTACAAAGTTTCAAACATCGGAATTGGAGTGTCTATCGATTGAGTCCCATAGTCGTCATATGTATATCCTGTTGCGTAAAATTTCTTGTCCCGATATCTTGTCTTGGAGTAAACTCCAGTATTCTTCAGTCCCAACGGTGTTAAAATATTTTCTTGAAGTTGATCCTTCCAACTCTTGAATGCAATGGCTTCCAAAACACGAATGGCTACAAGGTATGTAAGTTCGTTGGGAACCGAGGTTGACCTAAATGATTCAACCGCGGCTATATGTTTGAGTCTTTCCATAATCAAAGCGGGAACCTGCTTGTGTAGCCAATCTTGAGTAACTGATTGACCATGTGGGTATATGTCGGCTACGGCTAGTTCGTTATAAGGTATTCCCTAAATGAATAGTATACAGTCGATGAGCATGAACATTACATAGTTTTTTGCATTCCACACAAGATCACTTCTACTCGTACCGTTCTATTCGCCAAAAGATCTATTATGGTTGTATACTTCGAAGCAACTTCATCAGACAGTGAAAATTCTGGTATATATGTAGAAATTGGCTCGTTCCATCCAAGTTGTCCGCTCTCTGCTAACTGTGCCGCTACTGTGACCGAAAATTCAATATACATGAGATCGATTCATCGACTAAGTGACAAATTACTCACAAACAGCAATAAATGAATGCGTAAACTCTCCTATTGGCCATTGCGTCTTTCAGAGTAGAATATAATGATTAGCAAAAGCATCAAGTTAGGGAACCTATAGCATAGCTCCACTTACGGTTTCCGAAACTTTTGTCATAGTATCATTTGCTTTCCCGAAGCCTCCTTCGAAGATGATATTTCCTTCTCTTATTAGTGCGTATGCAATTCCACGAGCTAATGTAAGGTGTAGCTGACATTAGCAAAACGAGATAAAAAGATCCACTCAAAGACCAAGTGGCTCACCATGAAACTTTTGACAGCGGTCTTCAGCATATGTTCTAAATGTCTGAACAAGCTCAAAATCGGTCATTTTACTTGCACCTTTTCTTTGCAATGAGGTAAATACAGCGTCCCAGTACTCAAAATCAGCAGACATGAGAGGGTCATTTGCATCGCTCGCACGCTTCAAGAAAACCTCTGCATTGTCGATATTAAGACCAACATCAGCGATTTCTGCGGTAAATTCTTCTCTCCGAGATAGATTTTCGTTCAGCAGATGTCGCTGCTTGGTTGATTTTGACTTGGAATTCTGGTTCATGGTCAACTCATGTATCAAACGGATATATGTGGTACGAGAAGCAGTAAGACCAAATTCTTCATTTAACATGTCTGTGAGTTCAAACTGATTTTTGTATTGCTGCTCTTTTACAATCTCCAGGATCCGTTGGTGATGAACTTTATCTATACCACGCCGAGTACCGATCGGCTTATTTCGTTTTACAGAGTTCGGATCATTGGTTCTTTTGACAAGATTGCGAATGGCTGTTCTAGAAACTCCCAAATGTTCTGCAACTTTTCCAGGCTTCCACTTTGCATCTTTAGTAAGTGTGATTGCTTTGTTCACTTGCTCTGGAGTCAAATGCTTATTTCTTCCCATGTGTATCCATGTGTGGATTTGCAATTATCGATATGAATTGGGAGAATTTCAATGGCAGGGCAATAAATTTTACCGAATTTTTTGGCTGTTGGCTCAAAATCATCGAATTTCTTTTTTGTGGACCGAGCGAATTGTAGATATTCATCTTTGTTTTGTAAGCCAACATGAAATTATAGCTAAAATGTTTATGTAAATTCGCATTCAAATGTGGCATACTCGTGCTAGACAATTAATCAACATGCACTTCGTGAAATTATTGCCAGCAGATATATAAAAGCTGTATCCCTTGCACATTTAGCTTGTTTCTTTTTTCTTTTGTCTTTTGATCTTTTCTTTCATTTTATATTGGCTTTTCCGCATTAATGTGGTCATACAGTATAATACGATACTTTTGCGAGTTAACAAGATAAAAAGAAGGAACGGTAGTATTAGACAGAATACATAAATATATAGACTTTGATTAAACGAAATACGGTCACTATCGGTGAAATAATCACTGCAGTTAATTATTTGCCGTGGTTTGCAGCAATTTCTTGGAAATCATCGACGTTGACACCAAGCTCCATAGCGGCACGCTTTTCTATGGCTGGATCGTCTCCAAAAACGATTTCCATGTCTTCCAAAGACCGACCAGCTGTCTCTGGAATGAAAAAGCAAGCAATTCCCATAAGAATACAGCATCCACCAAACAAGAAATACAATCCACTAGATGTAGCAGCGATAACAACAGGGGTGATAAAAGTGATGACAATGGCAAAAAGCCAATTGGCACCGGTAGTAAGAGAAGTAGCCTGATTAAAATGGAAACAAAACCGTTGTCAGTGTTCTGATGGCACTTCTTTGACAGACAGATGTACAAATTACCTTTGCTCTGACTCTCATTGGGAAAATTTCGGCTGGATAGATGAATCCACATGCTCCCCAAGAATAGGCAAATGCCAAAGTGAAAATGAATATGAAGGCGATGACTGTATTGGTGGCAGCTGTAGAGTTCATGACGAGATTGCCATCCACCATAGAGGATTGCGTTTGGAAAACTCCTCCAATGACGAACATAGCCAAAGCTTGAATAAAAGCACCGGATATCAAAGTGGGCTTACGACCCCAACGATCAATCCAAATAACAGCAGGTAGGGTTGCAGCGAAGTTACAGATACCAGTGACTCCAGTAGCGACCAAAGAGTTGGTTGTTCCAGACAAACCGGCTGCTTGGAATATAGAGGGAGCATAGTAAAGCACACCATTGATACCGGTGAATTGCTGTGCGGATTGAATGAATACACCAATGATAGTTCTCTTTAGAACTGTGCCTTTGAATAGCTCAGCATAGCTGGAGTTTTAAGAAGTGGATGTCAGAGTCAGTACATATATGAGGTTTGGTCACACGAGAATTCTGAAGAGGGCATGTACGACTCGCTTGATATGTCAGATTACTTACCTTCTAATTTCCAGCTCGTGTTCCAGTAGGATTTCATCATGAATTTGCTTGAATTCCTTCTGAACTTCAGGGTCGTTGATATCACCATCAGCACGCATGTCAGCCAAAACCTGCAAAGCTTCCTCATTTCTGCCTTTGTCTGTAAGCCAACGTGGCGAGTAAGGCAACCAGTACATTGCTGAACCAAGACCCAAGGCAAAAATCATTTGAACGATAAAAGGCACACGCCATGCCATATCACTCTGGATATTGGAAGTTCCAAGATCAATGACTACACAAAAAAAATGGACCCGTGTAACACATGAGATAGGGATCGAGATCGTAGTTTCAAATTGTCTAAACAAGCAAATTTGACTCACAGTAACTGACAACGATACCGAACGTTATCATGAGCTGGAAAAGACAAATAAGACGGCCACGAATTTTTGGTGGTGCGATTTCAGAGCTGTACCATCAACTGTTAATAAACACTATGAAGCAACTGGATAAATTTATACTGGTCCCATTACTTACTGATACAACGGAACAGAATTTGTCAAAAGACCGTTACCGAAACCGCCAATTAATCGTCCAGCTACCATCATACCAAAGTTGGCGCCAATGATTTCGAACATGATACCAAACGCATACACGAATGATCCCGTCATGATAGTCCATTTTCTACCAATTTTGTCGGCAAACCAGCCAGTCAACAAAGATCCCAGCATAGCCGTGAGAAGAATAGCGGCGACAAATAGACCCTGATTGTAACTGTTACCATCCAAGGGAGGGAATCTAGACGTAAACTGGCTCATGGCCAAGATACCAGATATTGCACCTGATATATAGGTGAGCTACATGTGTTGCTTACTTTACGCAGCATCGTGTAGCTGCTTACCTGTGTCATAACCAGAGATAAACTGTAGAGAAAAAGGGAGACAATCAGTAAGGCGGAGTGATTGGCATTAGAAATAGAATCGAGAACACCTACACCACCAACAGCGGCTAGAATTGCAGCAACATAGAGGGCAAACTGACTGTGCTTCTTAGGGACCTCTTCAGTCATGATAATGGATGCAGAAGTTAGCAGCTAAACAAATTTGAACTTAATGATTTTTATACCCTTTATTTTCTTTTTATTTGGATACCAGCCATTCAAATAAAGTTTGATGTTACCGTGGATTTTCACACCCAGGCAAATTGTTGGCGAAGCTGCTAGTTTTGCCAATTTTGGAGATCTTAACTTCCCAACTACGGCTGCTATTTGGGCTTCATGATCTATTTTTACGCAAAACGTACCAAAGAGGGGGATATGGTGCAGGGTCACATCAGCTGGACAAGATAGTTGGTAATTAGGATTTGGAGTGCTCGCCAACCAATTGATGCGAAGAAACCCCAGTCACGCCACAATAAGCAAGGCGGGCAAAACTCAGCGGGGACCATCATCGTCCACGCCTCAGACTATAACCATGGTAAGATGGATAATAATTCTCGGACGATCGTCCGATCTTTTTTATGCTTTGCCTATCTAATCGCCTAACGGTTTCCCGGGATGTAAAACGTACTAGGCCAACGCGTCCTCGAAGAAGATCGCAGCTAACAACGCTAAGATCCTAGCTAACCTTCGCATTGGTTTCTTAGTTGTTAATGTAAGTTCCCCCTTCTGTGTTGTCCTATTTACCGACAAATAACTTACTAATCCGGACATGGAAAAAAAAAGGGTTTTTATGTTTTGTGGAGAGGCATAATGTTCTGGAAAACTTTCACATTTTCCACTCTGTTGGCGTACAGTATCACAAGTGGCATCACTTTTTACTTTTATAATGTTCTCAAGAACGCTGGCACACCAAACTACAAAGCAGATGGAAGTATTGCTAGCGGTGGTGACGATCTTAACGCAGAAGGGTTGACAGCGTGAGTTGAATTACATTTTTGTTATTTTTGCCTTTTTGCTGTTTCTCGATCTGTGGAATAGTTTCTCTGTCTTCCCGCCGATCGTAGTAACATTTTAGTTACGCGCAGTTACATGTTTGATATCATTTATATCACATGGTTTGTACATATCACCACGGCGGTAATCTCCTCCAAATTCTGGTATACCTACATTGTGGTAAGTCATCAAAAATGGATACCAAGGACACTCACAATCGATTTATTGACCTCACATTTTTTAGATTCCTGTTTACGCTGGCTTCAAATTATGGCCATTCATTGCACCATACCTCAAGAGCAGCGGTTCTACTGAGGAAAGCAATGAACCTACTGGCCCAGCAAAATCAAAGCGTCAAGCCAAGCTTGAAGAAAGAGCAAAAAAGGGACAAAACGTTAAATACAAACGATAAAATAAAATTTGCAAGTTGCAAAATACAGTTTTAATTTTATTGATTGAGTACGTGCAATTATGCTCAGTTTTGTGACATTAAGATTTGTTGTTTCTAATGAAGGTTGGTTGCAATAGATGCGGAATGTTAGTATGGGATTTAAACCTTTTGTGTACGCTGCTTTCGATGTTGCTTACCAATTGTCGGACTTGTTCCTGTTGACCTGGGGGTAATGCAGCAATGTCTGCATCGCTCAGTTGAAGGACTTGCATAAGAAGTGCTCTCTGTTGCTGTTGCAAATCATCTAAAACGTTTCGATATTGTCAATATGCATTGGCACCTCCATTACAAACCATCAGCGACACTTACTTGTTCCTGCCGGAGGCATGGGAGCGGGTGGCTGTGGCATGCCTGGCACTGGGTTCATCATTGGTTCGGGTTGCTGATAAGGCATTTGTGGGTTTGGCGATCGGAAATGCTGCTGTTGACCTGCGTTTGAAATCTTTGGAGGTGGAGGTACATTTTGGGGCATGGGAGGCGGCGCCGCTGCATTGGCTGTTGTAGGTGCATTGGTCAATATTCGCTAGGAGACGAGCACAGTTCAGTATCAAATTCCCTCAAAGTACTTTTTTCATAGATCTGTTCTACTCACCGATATCATGTTAGGATCAACAATATTCATCATAATCATTGCTTGGAACAAAGCATAAGTTATTTGAGGGTTTGTGTTTAAGAATTTTCGCGTGTAATCTGGTGAATCCGTAGCGAGTTGCTATTGAACAAAATCTTTAGCGCCTTCCGTCCATTCGATGTCAGTTTATAGCTTTTAAATAATCACCTTCATCTGCGTCATCAAGGTATACAGCTGTTGAGGGTTCATTGAGGCTAGCGTTCCAGATATTTGGTCAGTAGCTGATCTGGAATCTGGTGTAGGACCGACGTTGGGCATATTTGTTTGCTGCATCGGAGGAGGCGCTGATCGTGGTGGTTGGTTTGGCATCCTTCGGTTCTTCATAGTCATAATTTAGTAACAATGTTTCGTCACATATATGAATTTGATCAAATACATACATCGTGTGCCCGCTCCCGCTGGCGCTGCGCTTCTATCGCTGGATCCATATCTGCATAATCGACTCGAAGCTGACGCCCTCCCAATTCGTATCCATTCAAATTTCGAACGGCACTTGAGGCGGTTTCAGCATCTTTTCAAAAACAGATTGCCAATCGCCTAGTGAGCATTCAGATAATCGCGAAGCTGAAGACTATAGTGATAATATACCTTGGAATTCGCAAAAACCGTAGCCTTTTGGCTTTCCTGTGTCCTTATCAAAAACAAGTCTATCATTGTAAAAGTTAGTACTTGATAATGCTGTTAAAGTATAACACGTCTGGTTTCTAACCTAAATGACTCTACTGGGCCAACTTCCTTAAAGACATCAATCAATTGTTCTTCTGTGCAGTCGAATGGAATGTTTCCAACTATTGTTAAGTTGAGGGCATTAGTGGTTATGCGTATAATATTATGCTGTGCCAAACTTCAATCGTACCAAATACTACGCGTGATCCTCTTCCAGCCATAACTTAACAAAGGATCTGTTTAGTTTGCCACTGCTCGAAAAAAGAAGCAACTGAACGCGGAGATCACGTGCTCGAAGAATTGCCAAAATTGACTGATTCGCTTCAAAAAATAAGTCTGCTTCCCTTGTGGTCAAGGAACTAAGGCTTCGGTGACAATGTTCTCGCAGCACGAAAACGATACGAACTTCTTGTCTACAGGAAATATGGATAGAACTCTTTCTCGGACATCTAGTGTTTTTGACGAATCGTACAAGATAATTAATGACCCGATTCATGGGCACATTAAGCTGGACCATGACACCATTGACTTCATTGACACCGTACAATTCCAACGCCTCCGAGATTTGAAGCAGGTGAGGGTTTTTTTCTTATATATCCTCGAGATGAAATGACTTTTTATTCAATTTACATGCTATTCTATTATAATTTTTTGAGTTCAGTTAGGGTCTGCTTACTTTGTATTTCCTGGTGGCAGTCATCATCGCTTTGAGCATTCGATTGGTAAATTGAGCGATTTGTTTGGTTACGAATTGTGTTTTGTTTATCCCCTGTAATTTTTGAATTGACCATTTCGGTTGTAGGCGTTGGGCATCTCAGTAACACTTTAATCAACAAATTTCGGAGTGAGCAGCCCGAGCTTGAGATTACTGAAGATGAGGTTCGATGTGTGACACTTGCCGGTCTTTGCCATGATCTCGGTACGTAGCGTAGAGGGTTGTACAAATTAGGAAATTGAACAAATCTGACACTTTCTCCTCATTGTACGACAGGTCATGGTCCATTTTCGCACGTGTTCGACAATGAATTTATGCCTCGAGCTCGGTTTGTGAAATTTCTTCTCATCGCACTGCCCGGTTACTATCGCCTTTGCTAACCATCTTACGTTGTCAATAGTCCAGGAATAAATTGGTCCCACGAAAACGCTTCAGAAATGATGTTGGATTATCTAATCGATGATAATCATATTGACATTGACACTTCTCAAATCAACTTCATCAAAGATCTCATTGCTGGAAATCCTCGGTCAAAAAGGTACATATTACTTGGGTTACGTATGAATCAAATGTAGGAATCAGGCTAAATCTTCTTATCACACCACAGTCAATACGACGAAAGGGCTTTTCTGTTCGACATTGTCGCCAACAAGAGAAATAGTGTCGATGTCGACAAATTTGACTATATCGAAAGAGATTGCTATAACCTCGGCATTAAGTCATCATACGACACAAAGCGTCTAATGTGGTTTACTCGGGTGGTGGACAACCAGATTTGTTACCATCACAAAGAAGCGTACAATTTGTTTGAGCTCTTCCACACGCGATATTCACTCTTCAAACGGATATACACTCACCGCGTTGGTAAGTCTCTGACTGAGCTATACCTTCTACCATGTGAATCAAAGCTAACGTTCCTTGCTACATTAGGCAAGGCAATCGAACTGATGATCACAGACGCTTTGTTAGCAGCAGATGAGACGTTTGGAATATCCAAGGCAGTCGATAATGGGGAGGATTACCTCAATCTAACTGATGATATTCTTCGCGTCATTGAACGGTCAAAGGAACCTGAACTAGCCCAGGCGCGTCAAATAATGAAGCGTATTCGGACACGTGATCTCTACAAATTCGCTGATGAATTTATCATACCGAAAGATCTTATGCAATACCTCGGAAAGGTGAGTAGTGAAAGATCACTTCCATATGTCTAGTATTCAACCTAAGAATGTGCAAATTTAACCTTTAGTATTGTTAGGATAAAATAAATTCAGAAGAGGTCATATCACATCAAGAGGATAATGTACACTTGTCGAGTGATGACGTTCTGGTTGAATGGTTGAAAATCAACTATGCCATGAAGGATAAGAACCCTGTTGATTCCATCAAATTTTATAACCGCTGGGACAGAGGTTAGTAAATTTTCCACATGGCTAAAATCAATGGATAGCATGGAATCTGATTCATACATGTATATAGAGTCGTTCTTCATTCCAAAAGAGCAGGTGTCATACATGGTTCCAAGTCAGTTTCAGGAAGTCATAGTCCGCATTTACACGCGAGATAGCAGCAAAGTTAGCGCCGTACAACGCGCATTTAGAAAGTTACTAAAAACGTTTGATGCCAAATTACCTGGCGATAGCCCAATTTCGATAACGCCAAACGCAGCTCTGTCAATTCCTGACGATTTCACCAGTCCAAGAAAAAGAAGGTGAGTTTGCAATTCATTCAACTAGTGCATTATTTATATCGTTACTGATGATTAATATCAAAAAGTAGATATGACGGTGGAATGGATGCAATTGAACGATACGCGCCTTCGAAGATCGTGAAGGAGTGGTCGTTGAAAAAGGCACACAGCACACTATAGATTTTATATACATCGAGATCATGGCCTTCGAGCAATTTCTAGAAAGCTTATCAGCAAACATAGCCTTTATTCATACTTGATGCTAACAGACATTCCCATCAGCTCTCTTGTCCATATATTTTGCAAATCTTTGTACTTTTTAATAAACAGCGGGTATTCGACAGAATAAGCACATTTTAAAAACAAATCTCTGACAAATGAGTTGCTGATAGCGAAGATTATTCCGTCTGTCTCTACAAGGGACTTGTAACCTGTAGTTTCAGAAAGTATCAATGACAAAGACAAGAAAAGATCATGCTCAATTTTGAATGGCGCACACAACTTCCGAAGACATCTACGCGCAGCTACTGGCGTACGCAGGCATTACGCACCCAAGCATAAACAAAATTCCGCCGCCGATTTCAGACAAAAATTGACCCGCCCGGTCATAATTTACCCGACATCGTTGAATATAAAAACTAAGACAAGGTATTGGTCAAACGATACCTACAAGTACCTTAATCTCTAAAACATGAAATTTTCGCAAGAAACTGATTTTGCCGCCTCCCAAACAGCTCCTCTCCATGTCGATAACCAAGATCTTAGTGGAAAGACCATTGTGATCACTGGAGGCAATAGTGGTACGTGGTAGCTAAGACACATTGCTTTGGAACTGCAAACTCTTACTGATCCTTATTCCACAGGCATTGGTCTAGAATGCGCTAGAAAACTAGCCACTATGAATCCATCCAAGATCATCCTGGCCAGTCGCACCATGAAGACCGCAGAAAAAGCTGTGGAAGACATTAAGACTGAAATCGGATTCAAGAACGTGGAAGCATGGCCTTTAGATCAAGCGTCCTTCGAGAGTGTACAGGCATTCGCTAAGAAGTATAACGAGTCCGGTCTGGATTTAGACATCCTACTGGCCAATGCTGGTATGCTTCCCTTCACCCGTAGAGAGATGGACATGACCAGCGACGGTCACGAAGAAGTGTAAGCCAATCAAAACGAGCATCTACGTCGGCCTTGCCATAATGAAACCAACTAACTTTTTCAACTTAGCTTGCAAACCAACCATTTATCAGCATCATTGCTTGCTTTGAGCCTTTTGCCATCCATTAGACGTACTGCCGCTAAATCGACTCCCGCAAACCGACCGCGTATTGTGATCGTTGCCTCGGATGGTAAGTCTCAGAGCTCGAGAGAATCAACACGATGATCCATACATTGTATGACTAACAGTACTATAACTTCTAGTTCACTATTGGGCTACTTTAAGATCAGCGGGTCAAGACGGTAGTGTCATCAAAGCTATGAGCACACCTGAGTATTATAGCGATGCACGCGAGCGCTATATGGATACAAAGTTGTTAAACGTATTCTGGACTCAAGAATTCGCAAAGAAAATGACCCAAAGCACGGTAGAAGAAGATCACAAGATTGTTGTATCTAACTGCAACCCAGGCCTTGTGCTTTCCACCAACAGTGATTTCATGCGTGAGAACCTCCCACCACACATCCTTAAATATGCCAGAAACATGGACGAAGGCTGCAAAACTCATTTGTTCGCTTGCATTGATCCCAGTGCTGGTACTCCTGGCGAAGCCATCTTTTATCATAACTGCCAGCCAACAGAGACCGCAGATATAACCTTGGGAGCAGAAGGTGATATTTTGAGAAAGAGAGTTTGGAAGGATACCATCGAGGTCTTGCCAACGCTTGACCAAAGCATCTCTGAGCCATTAGGATTATAGAGACTGCCATATTATATTAGCTATGACACTGGCGCTGCTAGAATGCTACGAAATACACAATCTTCATATATATTTTATGTCTGTTTATTACAAAGGTTGATGTGTTCAAATTCGAGTTTGTCCGCTAAGTTCTCGTTCTAATTCATCCACCTCCATTGGCATATTGTCCGGGGGTTGAATGTTTCCGCCAGCAGTGGCAGCCACTCCTTGGCTGTGATGATATTGGTGATCGGTAGATTTGCCTTGGGCGGCGGCAGCTTGTTTCGTTTTCTCTAATGCCTCTCTATCCTGTGCTGACAAGCTAAAGCAGTTATGCGCGTTACTATATAATTGGCAAACAAAGTTTTTTTTGTATGAAAATCCTAACACTTGCCTGTCTTTACGTCTCAAGTTGGCACCAGGGCTAAGCTGTGGTTGAAGCATGGCTTGCTTACTCGCCTTGAAAGACATCACTTCCTGTGCGATGAGTTTCTTCATATCATCCATAGCCTCCACAGATTCGAATGAGAAATCAAAATGCTGATGGTGAACTGGTTCATCGTCTTCGTCATGATAAGCTGAGAGGTAAGGATGAGCCAATGCTTCTTCAACTGTGATTCTGAGGGCAGGATCGAAACACAATAGCTTGTTGAGCAAGTCAATTGCAAGTGGGTTTGCTGTATCCGGGAAAAGTAGCCGTGAGTACATTGAACCAGAGAGGCATTATTTTGCATATAACATATGGAGCCTTATGATGTACCATACCTTTTGGGTATAACTTTTCAAAGGGAATTCGAGGCATAGGTGGAAGGCTGCGAATATACACTTGTGCCTAAAAAATCAAAGTAACCTTGTCTCAATACGGTTTATGGCTTTGACCTTGGCTACATAAGTCACCTAAATACTGTACCCTTTCGCTTCCTACTCGTCGAAGTGTTGCTTCATCTGGTGTACCGAGAATGCCCAAGATCTGATTCAACTGGTCAACATCTAAAACAAAAAGTTAGAACCTCGACGCCGACGACTTCATAACCTTATCATTTACTTACAGTCGCGACCTTTGAAAAGGGGCTTGCCACCAAGCATTTCAGCAAAGATACAACCAACGGACCACATATCGACTATAAATGGCATATTAGGGGAAAAGCGATCATGAGATTATCCCAAGAGAGAACAACTTACTAGCTTTTGTATAGTTTTGGAAACTAAGCATAATTTCAGGAGCGCGATACCATCTTGTTGCAACGTATTCCTAAACGCAATGGCTAGTGAGATAGCATGCACGATCCGACTCATGCATGGCTAGTTGTACATACGGTCATAAAGCCTTGGTTACTGTCAGGCGAGTCTGAGAAGCCACGGGCCAGTCCAAAGTCGCAAATCTAAAAGAGAAGGCTTGGTTAGGAGGCTTGTCGCCACAGAATCTTTTGCCATAAGTATTATGAAAACCGACTTTTAATTCACAATCCGCGTTGACCAGCAAGTTTCCTGTGAAGTAAATGATATAAGCTTCAGCCTGTAGGACAAATTATTCATAATATGATAAAGTACATACCGGGCTTTAGATCTCGATGAAGTACCTACAAATAACATTGGTCAGTTAGACCCCTTTCTCCTGTATTTACCAGCACACGTACCAAGCTAATAACTTACATTTGCACTATGGATATATTTCAAACCACGGCAAATTTGGTAGACAAAGTATTGAAAGTGGGCGTCAGTTAGCAACTGCTCCGATCGAATAATTTGATGCAAATCTGCTTCCATTAATTCTTGCACCAAGTAGCTGTGAAAAAAATAAAAAGGGACAGATAAGCAAGACAAAAGTCTATGTGTGCGGAAGGCAAACACATTTGATACATACATTTCGTTGAAATCATGGACGTTATGAATATCCATGTCCAGAATGGCAGTGATCTAATAGATGACATGACAGTTTAGCACATTTCTACTTTCAAAGCATTTGCATAAAAGCAGACATATGCACGTACATTTTCATGGCCATTAAAGTGCTTGAGAAGTTTGACTTCACGCAGAGCTCGCTTGGCTAGAATTTGCTTTTCGAAGATCTTGGTGACCTTTTTTATTGCGACTTGCTCATTGGTTTGAGTATTGGTTGCAGCACTAAGTAGATCGTGTTGAAATTACAATTAGTAATGAATTAGTAATGACGCCCTGAATGACCAAGCAATATCTGCTATAGTGATAGTGGCAACATTTCCCAACTGTATTCACGCCGGTCATCAGGTTTGCAAAAATGGAAATCACTGCCACAACTCTCACCATACAACTCCATATGCCCCTTGACCTAACTCTCTGATGAAGCTATATTTCTTGTCAACAATAAATTGCTGAAAAGTGTTCGTGTTAGTTCATGGTAGTTGGTTGCTGCTTTTTTCTGCGTAGTGGTGGGAGGTTATCACTTACTTGATTCAACACTGGGAAACTATGATGGGTAGCCATGACTGAGAAAGAAAGTAGCAGGACTTGTCGCGGTTTCGCGAAGTACGCTCTCAGTGACATATGCGTCACCACCAAAATTGCGCTATTTTTGGAATCACCTTATGAAAATAATTTTTTATTTTTTTATTTGAATGTGGAACCCCACGTTTTTTGCTCAATTGATGTTGTTTGCTCCATATCTCTAGCTAAGAGACTGTTTCCTAAAATTAATTTGCCTGATTGAAAGACGCTGTGCAGTTATTACATGTTGTCGTTTGGAAAATGTCGTTGTATGGCCATATTCTGGCTATTGTGATACGAGCTAAAACGAAAAAATAGATTTGAACTCCCGTTCCAAACAAAATCATCAAAAGCCAACTCAAAAACTTTTGTTCCACTTTTTCTTACATGACAGCCACGCTATAATATCTGAATGTCATAATCACATTAAACCATTATGATAGTAGCATTAATTGACCAGCTGGCTTTTTGCAAATAATAAGTTTTGATCCTCTTCATCCTACTTAACGCTAAGTTGGCCATAGCGGTCCGTGTCCTCTCCCGGAGTTCGATGTTAGCAAAGCATCATTTAACGAAGTAATTTTATATAAATTAGCGTACTTTGGCCCTTCAAGTGAATACTTGCCGAAAAAACTTTCCAACAGAACAGTAGGTATAATCTATGAAACAAATTGACTTACATAAGCATATTCCCAAAATGCCTTAACGAAGACCATTCTATCGATACTCTTTGGTGTAGATCTATAAGTGCTTGAGCTTAAGCAGGGCATTCGCCCTCGATAATGCAACGTTTCATTTTCTAGTGTACTATGGAAGCTTTAAATTTCAGCTATTCAGCAAATTATTTTTTCTGTGTGTTCAGGCTGCGTACTACCATTCACAAGGATGATTAGTTGATTATCGAGATATCTGGAGTTGCCACATGAGAGACGAACATCTCTACAAGGAAAAGCAGAAAAAGAGCTCTGAAAGATGGGTGTCCGGCAGCAGTTCTTTCAGTTCCTTTAAATGAATAAACTAACGGCTTTTGCGTATGATCTGCAGATATTTTTTAATGAAAGCTCTAACAACCCAATCGTATTTTAAAATGCCTTGTTTTGCCGCAACTTGGCAAAATTTCTCCTGGTCGGACCTTCAAGAGTCGTTCTAAATTTGGTATCAGACATGTTTGAAGAAAAACGTAATTGTATGTCTACGATTTTTCTTCCTTCCCTTTACCTCGCTCTCTTTCACAGTTTAAACAAGGATGCGACCAGAAAAACCACATTTTAGTCGAATAGTCAAATACATGATTTTTCTATATGTTACAGGAACGTTATACGTTCTTGTCAACCGGGATCTCCCAACGCTTCCTTCCGAAGCTGACTTGAGTTTGAATAGCCGAGATTCTCTTGATTCTGAATCGCCGGCAGAGAATGTAATTACCTCCACTACATGGGTAAATTCCAAACGAAAGCAAACCGCACTGTGGATCAATAGCAAAGGTAATGCTTTGACTATTGGATTGAAAAAAAAATGCTTCTTCTATATCTAACGTTTCTCTTCTTGGAAGGTGAAAGCGAAACGTTACCTGAGAGTGTTATATTATCGAAATCCTTTTCTCAGTCCATGGGAGCACCGAATGTCACTCCATATTATTTTAAGGCTACCGAGCACTTTAGCCAAAACGATATTACTATCTGCACATTGGTCACGCATGATAGATTTCCCGTCTTGGCACGACTGGTCAAAAATTACAAAGGTCAGTTACCGCCACCGGACTGGGGTCCATTGCCAGGTTTGACAAGCCTTGAATCTAAATTACTCTCTTTATCTCATGCAGGTCCGGTATCTGCTGCCATTCATATCAATGACGATGACCAGCGCGACAGTATTGTGGAAGATCTTCAGCAGATATATGAAACTGAACCTTTGGTCAGACAATACCTCGATGTCCATTTAATAATCGACAAACATGACCGCCAATTTAATTTGTGGAGAAATGTTGCAAAGCTGTTCGCACGCACAGAATACGTGATGATGCTAGGTATAATCATGTGCTTCTATGCTTTATTGCAATTTTTAATCCTGGCTTTTTCCTGACTTTCATTTTATTGCAGACGTCGATTTTCATATTTGTACCAATTTTCGAGAATCGATCCGCCAAAGTTCTAAAGCCATGGAATTGCTGCAAAGCGGAAAAGCAGCTCTCGTTGTTCCTGCTTTCGAATTCAACAAGCAATCAGAAGGACTAGATTACGCAACTTTCCCCAACACGAAGAAAGACTTGCTTGAGCTGGTGACGAAGGACCAGATTGATATGTTCCATAAGAAATGGCTGCCTGGACACATGGACACCAATTACACCCAGTGGTACACTTCATCTAAGCCCTATCGAACAAAATCGTATCAACACTCATACGAGCCATACATTATATACAAAAAGGAAGGAACACCATGGTGCGACGAACGATTCATTGGATATGGTGCTAATAAGGCAGCCTGCTTATTTGAGATTTACATTAGTGGTGTGGAATATTGGGTGCTACCCAACGATTTCCTCATTCATCAAACCCATTATTATCCAGAGGATACAAGAACGAGAGAGCGTCGATACAATCGCCAGTTGTACGAGGTCTTTCGAGAAGAGGTTTGCCTGAGATACAATCGCAAGTTCAAAGCCAATGGCGTGTGGAATGGTCCTGAGGCAGCAAATGCCAGAAAGGAATGCTCCAAACTTCGTGGCTTTAGAGCTGCGGCAGCAAATCTTGGTTAGTTTTTCATGCCCATTCTCCCTATTATAGATTACATGGTCGCATCATACCCTATAGACTTCCATTTTGCATCATATTATTTATTTTATACTATAGCGCTCTGATTTTTCTTCACGCTTTGTATTTATTTGGCAAGCCTCACCTTTGCCAACCACTTGTACATGTAAATGCCCTTTCTTTTTTCCCATTTGTTGCATACTGAGTTACTAAATAGTAACTACAAAACGAAATCTACATTGCTTTTCTAAACGAATAATCTATTTTAAACCTTCTTCGTTAAGTGCCCAATGTACTGCCTCTTCAATATCATCACAGACAAGTTTAGCGGGAAACTCGCTCGAATTGCCTTTGCCATCGAAAACACCTGTTCTGACCAAAATACTAGTCCAGCCATACGCATTGGCACCAGCAATGTCGGCTGCAGGGTTATCGCCAACTGCGAACACTCGCTGTAGCGGAGTATTGTTGGGAAGCAAAGAGGTCAAGATTTTCTCAGCGTATTCGTAGGTTGCTCGATGCGGTTTTCCGAAAGAAGTGGACTTGAGCTCCTTGCCTGTATGCCGTTTGTAAATGGCTTCAAGCGCTGTTTTGAATGCTCCTTGACCATATCGTGGCACTGGAAACTCATTGCTCCAAAGCTAAGCAATCAAAGTAAAAGTTTTAGACTTTGTCGTCTTAAGGACTCGCATTTAGCAGAAAGCTGGTACTTACAAAATCAGGCTATTTGAGTTGTTGATGATGAAAGATGTTATGTCAGTTATTGATATAAACCGTTCAAAGTTCTTCCTAACTTACGTTGGAAAAATACACTGGCGTGTCTTGTACAGAGTAATCTGTCTTTTGTGTTCCAATCATTCCATTTTTTGATCGAAGGACATCCATCATAATTTGCAGATCGCGACCCCCTAATAAACATTTAATTGGTGTCAACGCTTGCCATTCCACTAAAGACCAACTTATAAGACTTACAATCGCGTGAATCATGGAACATCATGATTGCTTCAATTGGTTCTCTTGAAAAGTCATATCGTTTCTGCCAGATGAGTGAGATTTAGCGATTGAATTCTCGCATGTGGAAAGCCATTCTTAACGCACCTGTGCTTCGTAAGCTTCGTCATCGGTAACGCGGCGAAATGGCCACACACTTTTCTCCCAATGATGGATATCATCTGGCTGAATGGGTCGCTGAAAGCCGTACCTTCGTAGTGAGGAATGTCAGAAAATGCTATCAGAGTTGTACTTGTGGTTAAACCTACTTACTGCTCTGCAACATCTTTGCAACTTCTTTCGCGTCCACCGACAACAAGCACGGGTGTATCTTTATATTTCTTGACTAATGAGCGCATAGGTGAGTGCGATAGGACAATCTGAGACGGAAGAATCTATAGAGAATGACTTGAGATCAGTAGACAATATTTTTGTTGTCTATCATCACTAGTCACTTACATCCATGTCAAGCTTTCGACTCATTTGTGCTGCTTTTTTCTCCTCTGTCACGCCTCCTCCATTGGTGAGAAGTACAAATGGGATTTTTCTAGGGTTTCCGAAATATTCCTTTTAGCCAAGTGACATTTGCGGAAAGCCTAAATCGGGCCCATTGACCCTACTTACTTTCCAGACGCATTTTCTCCATTCAGAAGTCTCAGGGCGCTATCATAATAATTAATATTATGTCAGTCGTTGTATGCCAGTTTTGACTCGACAATTGAAGATCTCGAACATGATTCTGAGTAGTAAAAAAGTGACTTACCGTTGCGCTTGTGGTATGACACGATTGCCCTTGAAAATGAAATGTATTAGTGTGAAGTGACATTATATGAGGTTAAGACTTCGTATGTACCTTAATTAACACGCCGTCAATGTCGAGAGCAAAACCAAACTTGGGTTGATTGGTTGTAGAATGTAAACGAATCTGAAGGTACAGAGGACCGGTTATAGCACGCGAAGTTTGAAAAGGTTTGAACATCGCCGCAGTGGAAGGTTTGGATGCTGGAGAAGAAGGCTCTACTTCTCGGCGGAATGTGAAAACATCAATTGCCCTTCCCCATCGACAATTACAAAAGACAGAAAGCGACTGACGTTTTCCTGAAGCATAAGCTTTTAGTCTTCTCATTGTTATATAGCATGTTTAATTTATATTTAAGAATACATAATCGCTTCATGACCAGAATGTTGAAGTCAAAAAGTTTGCCATCGTTGACCTTACAAATACGTCAAGGCTGATTGACTTATAACGGGATTTTCTAATGGTGACGAGCGTCTTTTCTCATCGTTCATATTTCTGGTTGACTGAATAATAGCATTTCGAGGTATAAATGGAAATGCGGGACTCTATCGTCGTTTTGCCTGGATATTCAGTCCGAATTCGTTTTGTCGTATCGTCTCTCGATATTCATTTTGAACCAGGTGGTCTGGCTGGATGAAACAAAGAAAACTAGCATTGTTTTCATTAAATTGAGTCTTGATGAAGTTTTTCAATTACAATTCAAGCAAAAATGACCTTTCGCAACACCTATTATTATAGCAAATCGCAGCTGCCAGATCAGATCACGCTTACCGTGGTCGCTGTTTTTCGGGATCCGATAATTTTTTTCCACGGTGCGCCTTACAAGTGGTTGGTTTTCTCTTCCCCCTCACGAAAGTTGCAATGCTAGAGCGATGCGACCACCGCTCTACTCCCGACCTTCAAGAGCATTATTCAAATGTGACAGGCTCAGATAACTATGAAGAGAATAGAGCCACTGAGCATAAGACAGAAAATTTGGATGCTGGAGGGATGTTCATCAACTTTTCGAGCGACATGTCAGACAGTGGATTCAAGGCAAAGCGAAAGTACAAACGAGCATACAAGGTCAACGGAGTAAACATACTCAATAGGTAAGATTAAGCTGATGAAGGCTTTGTCTTTTACACCACATTTACTCACATAACGACTGCAGAAGCGAGATTGATAGCAAAACAATGATGGAACGCCTCAGGAAGCGTAAAGAAAATCACAATCATATAGAACGTAAACGAAGAGATCATATCAATCACACTATTTTTGAATTGGCCGAAATACTCCCACAAATGGATTCCAAAGACATCAAAACTAACAAAGGCAGTATACTGAAAGCAACACTACAGCACATAAAGGTATGTTTCCACAGATTGCAAATGCCGCAAGCGCCATTCCGCAGCTTAGCACTAATTTTCCATGCTCTTGTTACTGCAGAATCTACAAGCCGAAAACCTGACCTTTCGTCTTCAATTACAAAACATTCAAAGCCGTGCCAGTACTCCTACACCAAGCTATACGCCTACCTTGACCCAAGATCCCAATAGCCACCCTAATTGGGAACCACGTTTTGCGTGGGCGGCCGAACAATCGCCATCTTTGCCGCTTGAACGTTTGCATATTCGATCTGCTCCCAGCACTCCACGTCATAATGAACCATCCACCATGTACTTTCATGCACACCCAGTGTTACCGTCTCCGCAGCCCAATATCCTTCGCCCAATTCTGCCAAAACATCCATCTGCAATTGGCAAACTTCGTATGTCGGGACTGGAGAGCCAATATTCAGGTGCATGCCGGTACTGACATGCATACTACCGATGCTGATTTTGGTTTTCTCAGCAAATATTAGACTTCTGATTCACACACGCACCTTGCATTTTTCACAAAACACCTCACTCCACTGCAACGCAATATTAACACCACCTTGCACGCATATCTTTTAGCATTATTATACAATCTTCAGATCAACTCAGGGCATCAAATAAACCTCACTCTACTATGTATACTTGGTTTGCAATTGTTACAATTTTATGGTATTGAAGCAATGATGGTTTGCTGGGACACGTTTGATGCCGCTGTATTTTCTTTAACGGGATAACAATGGGAATATTTAAAGCGAGGAAAAGGGAGATGAGTTCGAGCGTATAGTACAAAGTCAATGTGCGAAAGAATTACAAACAAAAATCGAAGAGAATGTATCTGTAAGGATGTTTTTGTGGGAGTATTGTTTCTATTGTTCACCGAAAATCTCAGCCAGTTCATGACTACGCTTCTGTGCAGCTTGAACAGCACTGGCCATAACATTACGGATTTTTCCATCCTCCATGGCGTTGATAGCAGCCTCAGTTGTTCCCTTGGGGCTGGTAACCTTACGACGAAGCGTAGCGAGCTCTTCGTCCGAGTTTTGAGCAATTTTGGCAGCTCCCAAACAAGTCTGAATGGTCAAAGCCTTTGCGTCTTCTTTTGACAATCCAGCCTCAACACCAGCATTTTCTAAACAGAAGTAATGAAGTTAGGTTCAACAAATCCAATTTAGGCTTTCCACATTAAAAAATCCAATCTTCATTGGTCTGTGCATGATCCATCAATTTCAGTATGACTCACCCATCGCTTCCATAATAAGGAAAAAGTATGCTGGTCCAGATCCACTAATAGCAGTGACAGTGTCAATCTGGCTCTCAGAGTCGACCCAGATGGTCTGCTTGGAGATAGCGTTGACGATCTTCTCAGCCAAACCCATCTGAGCTTCGTTTACTGCTGGGGTTGCGTACAGGCCAGCTGCACCTTCGCCCACGAGAGCAGGGGTGTTAGGCATGCATCGAACAATGGCACTTTCACCACCACCAATCCATCGGTTGATGGAAGCCGCTGCGATTCCAGCAACAATTGAAATGACGAGGGGCTTTTTGGCCAGGAGCGCTGGAGCAATGCCACTGATAACGTTATGCAATACCTGGGGTTTGACAGCTAGGATGACTACTTCGGCATCAGCAACAACATCAAGATTGTCTGCGGATGATTTGATGCTTGGGTACTTTGTCTTCATGTAGTCTCGTCGTTCTTGGGCCAGGTCAGAAAAACTGATGCTTGACGAAGGGTGACCGCTGGAGACAAGTCCACCGATAATGGCTTCGGCCATGTTACCTCCTCCAATGAAGGCGATAGTGGAATGAGCTTTTTGAGGAGAAACCATGTTGTGAATATGTAATATGCGTTCAGTAGCAGGCATGAATCGATATAAACGAGTCAATGAAGAAGCGAGGTAGAACATGACTGCACTTTTATATACCCAGGGTAGGTTTCAGCAGCTGATTATAAAAAAAAATCTGATTCGGAGTTGAACCATCAATAGCTCTGATAAGATCTGGCTCTCATTTTGGACGAGGTATTAATTAAACCTCCGGTGCACGGGTAACTCATGGCTTTAGCTACGGTTGCATCGATAATATATGCCTGGCTTACATTACCAGCGGTGATTTTGTATTGCCGTTTTTCAGGTAGTATGTTTCGAAGTAAACATAGCTGGAAGATGATAAACACAGGCTTCTTCATACTAGTGTTCATTTGTTTTCCGTGATCACATTCTAGGGACGAGGTAGGTTGCGGAGCTTACATTGCCATGAACCGAACGAGCTTATCCTATTCCAGAGGATGACCTCATATAATATACAGTTTCACTGTAAACGAGTCTACCGTCCAGTGTGTTTTCAGTTACCAAACATGAGTTATCCTGAGTGAAATATGTTGGTGAAAGCAAACCGGCAGTACCCTTTTTTTATTTGGAACATGCTGTGAAAAAGTAAGGGCTTATTTTTGCCGCGCGATAGCTTACATCAACGCTTAGCCCCAATGGACAGCTTGAAACGTCATTTCTAGAACGATTTTTTAATGGTTGAAATTCCCTTCCTCTACTAAATGAAGATAATAAAAAATGTCGCTTTACAACGTGAAAAAGGCGGGGTGCACTAAACCATATTTGTCGGTTATCAGACCATCTATTCCAAACTACTTTCCTAGGAGGTCAACTGGATCGTATACCTCTCAGCTAATAATGAGCATAAACTTATTTCCAATCGTGGTTGCATGATACAGCCTATGGCCAATTGATCTGTGAACTTATATATGGAAGAAGCTATACTACTATAAACGAAAACAAAGACGAGATAACGAACTGATTAAGAAACTGTTTCAATTGATTTTGCCATATCTAAATCCAACTTTTAAACAAGGCCTGTTCACTAAGGGTGGGTTTTAAAGTGTCGAATTTTTATTATGGTTCACCGGATTCCCTTAATTCTATATTGACTTATTATCGAATGAATGTGTTTTAGCTCTACCAAGCAAACTATACAAATTCGATATAACGGTGCTATTGCCAGATAATCTTAAGAGTGTAACACTTCCGCACTATGATACACATCGCATGCTATTGAAGCATTGGAGGTAATAAAACGGAAATGGATGGTGTTGCTAGACATTTTACATCACTAATTTGATATCTTTCGCCTAACACATGACATTTCTGGGTATGTTTCCACCACTGGTATTTGCCCGAAATGAGTAACCATGCTACAAAGCTAACCATCATCTGAGTTTTCTAACCTTCAGCTCCGGTACCATCAACGGCTGCCTTGCTTGAAGATCCACCCATTGTCCGCACTGGCCACAGTATCCCTGATGAACGATGACGTGCTTTCCTGTATTTGACGTATGTTCTCTGTCTATCGCTCTCAGCCTTACGGGCGGTGAGTAGGGTCTTCCATTTGAGGCGGATATTCCGTGGTAAAAGTTCATATGATACCTTGTGTTTAAACGGTCTTGTAATGAGATCATGTTGCTCCCAAAGGTTATCACAAACTTGCGCTTTTAGAACTTACCAAAAGCGACTTGTTTTCGTTTTGAGCCACATGTTACGTATAGATATGGAGACATCACTGGTGGGATCACACAGGGGACACAGCCCTTCTTTCTTGGGACCAATTCCACGCTGCCAACGTGGGGAATAGAGATCATCCGGGCCACGAGGTGAGTTCCATGTTACAGCGGTGCTATTGAATTGTATGTCATTCAGATCATTGTCTAATGCCAATCGAGGCAGTAAATTCAGTATGGTTTCATTGGATGGAACAATCATAACAACAAGAGACGCAGAATTATTTAGGCTTTGATGTTTAATAGCGTACTCTTTGGGAGCTGGTCTTTTTGCAATGAATATCGAATTTTCTTCTGCTTTTTGATGCGTTGATATACCGTTTTTGTATTCGCTGGATCGCCTCAATTCATTTTGTAATATCGAAGTACCTCTCAGACCGCTAAAGCTTTGTGATGGCACGTCATAGGTAGTTAAACCGTTTTCTTCAGAGCTATGTTGCGACAATGAAAATCCGTTCGAATGATCTGGTAGGCAAGTCGGTGATGGAGTCTGGTCGCCACTAAAACTCGATTCATTTTCGGTATCCGATGTATTAGACAAAGTTTCTAGAAACCTTGCATCTAGCTCGAAGGTCATAAAGGGGTGCATTTATAAAAAATTGGCAAAAACGATTGTGCTTACTATCGGTGTGTGTGGAAGTGTCCGCAGAGTCAATGCAGCACTCAACAAGGCAGTTGCAGTCATGGTTGAAGCATTGAAAACAGAAGGTGTCGTCTCCATCGTTATCTTTTGTAGCCACTATGGTTTGAGTGTCATGAAGTTTATCGCATGTTGCCGCGTTGGATGGCTCTTTTTCTTGCTTGAATGTCATAGTATCTTCATCACATTCACTATACCTAAGATATGATACTATGTCAGGCGGTGAAATGATAGAACCTTCGTGCTGTAGGCGAGTAAAGTCGTTTTCCCAAGCATCCAGAGCAGCTGAGCCTAGGACTTTGGATGGGCTTTTGATGACAACGCTAGCATTTACTCCGGCATGCCCAATAGGCAGATTTCTCGCACTCAAAATTCAATGTAATATGGAATAAATGATGAGAAAAACGAGTGTATTAACTAAAGCTACACTTATAAATATCTACCTTGGCGATAGATTCATTGATATTAATCAAGCGGGCACAAAGAAGAAAGTCAAACGCAATATATCATCGTCAAATTATGTACAATGTGAAAAATTCTGCCAGTTCAATCATCTAAACCCAGCAATCGTCTGGCTTTATCTTTTGAGTTGGCTGGTTTGCTTGTATGGTATTCGGGAGTATCGAGATCATTCAAAATATGAAAGTTTAGACCCATATCGTCACTGTAGTCTGGAGCTTCAGATCCATCGTATAAAGGCATTGGCGGTCGAATTGTTTTTGTACCAAATTCAAAATCATTGTCCTCTGAAGATCGATTGGTACCTTCATCACCCCGTCTTGTTGTGTGAGTTATGTATGGTTCTACGTTATTGAGCATTGGTTGAGGTAAATCAACCAATCGGTAAGCACCGCGATTAGATGAAAACCATGGCTGTACGAGAGGTCTTGCGAAGGCATTCCATGTTTTTCGAAGTCTTCTCATGATGAATCCAGGGTATGATTTTTTGGAGGAGACAGCCTCTGGCGATGGAGTCCATGGGCGTCGCCATATATTGTCATCGTTCTCATCTCCGGAAAGGTATTCGCCGGACTTCTCTACAGAATCAGGTGTCGTATCGTCAAAACGGCAATACTCTGAATTCGAATTTCGATTAATTTTGAGAGCAGTTCGAGTGAGATACTCTGCTGTTGTAAGTCCAAGAAAAGCTATTTTCAAAATAACACATTTCCATTAATTGATTAATTTGTGGTGTTCTAAGTATTTGCCTACCCTTACCTAAATGAATATGGAAAAATGCGAGACGTAACATGGAGAAAAGGGCAATAATAGTAGCCAACGTTAACAATGCACTGGCTAGCAAAATGTGCTGTTCGTTGACATATGTCGTTGTATCAGCTTGCAGTGTCTCGCTGCCAGACTGGCCAAGATACTGTCGAACTACACAATTTCAATAAATTGATAAGCTGATTATACTTTTCGGTAGCTCCCATTGCTTTTACTTACCTGCAGTGGAGTATAAATCACTTTTTGTGAATGATAAATACAGCACGTGGATGCACTGCCATAGGTACCATATCAAGGACAATGTAGCTACAGTGATTAGAGTAGCAAAATATCTTTCAATCGAAGTCAGCTAAAAACGTCAGGGATATTACGTGTTAAAGACTTTCTTGTAATACTAACTTGTAGTTTTTGTCTCCTACGCAACAGTTCAACCATCTACAGTGATGGTCCATTCCAGAAACACATTTGTTACACGACTTGCAGTGGCGCGTGGCCTCGGGTCTGTACCGATTGGTTATCATCACATTCGACAGAATTATCTCCTTGAACATTTTACAATGATTCCTTACACTTTTACCCGGCAAATGCCACATAGTCCAGTACGGGCATTCACAACAGAAACACCGACTCGTCGCACGTATGATTGGCTTCGAGGAGTATCAATTCGCTTTTTAGCTACAGATCCGTCTTCAGTGTCGATCAAGGACGTGGTCAGGCTAAGGAGTTTCGTTAGGACACTAAGAAAAGCCATAATGTATTATACATAAGGCACAGGGTCAAGGAAATAATGCTTCAGGGGAAAGGGTCTTTCCGAATAATTTACAGTTCAAAGCATCACTGTCAAATGATAAAAACACAATCAAAAAGGATATTGGATAGGTCCATGCGGTATCTAGTAAAAGGCGTCCGTCGAAAATGGTATCAAGTTCTTCTCCTGCGTCCTTTCGATTCAGTGTGATGGCGTCCAGGAAATGATTGAGGAAGTAGAAAAAGCAGAGATCAAAAATGAGCAGCAGGGACCATTTGATCAGAAAGAGGTTATCGTATGGTCGGACAAACCCATGTGGACGGAACCAGTTGTTCGTTGACCAGATTGCTAAATCATTGTTTCTGTGAGTGCAAATGTACGTACTCATTAAGGATTCAAGAGAGCAACAAGAACAAGCCAAAAAGCCGAGCAAAGGACATCCCAATAAGGAGCAAAAGGAGAAATCGGCGTTCCTTGCAGATCTCACCTCACACCGCATTTTTTTTTTCCATATCCGACCGCGGCAAAGTGAACTCTGGAGGATTAATACTTACTCTACGCGCTAATGGTATTGACAAGGAGCAAAAGCAGTTTATCTCAGCAGCAGTCCACTGACCGTGTCAACATCACAGTTTTTGGAGCGACGGGATTCACAGGCAAATTCATTGTCCAGGAGATCTTCCGCCTTCAGCACGAGCACAAAATTCCAAAGGCGTTCAAATGGGCTATTGCAGGCAGAACCAAAGAACGCCTAGACAGCATCGCAGAAGCCCTGGCAGCAAAATATCCTAAAACAACCATGCCACAAGTTGTTATTGCCGATGTTAGCAACCGCGAATCTATCGATGTTATGGCGAGAACCTCGCAAGTTATCATTAATGCAGTTGGCCCATTTCGTTTCCTTGGCGAATACGTTGTTAGGTCCTGCGTTGAAAACTTCTGCGATTATGTAGACATTACAGGGGAACCAGAGTTTATTGAAAGGATGCAGAGAACCTACCATGATCAAGCCGTGAAGAGTGGCGTTACTATTGTCCATGCGTGCGGATTTGATAGTGTAAATGTGATTTCCTACGTCTGCCGAGAATTTTTTGCATGACACCTAAATTAACACTAATACTTCCCTTGTTGAATTACAGATTCCCACAGACTTAGGTGTCCTTTGGACCAAAAATCTATATGTAGAGGAAAATCAATTGCCGACACAAATGGAGATGTTTTTCAAGCTCAAAACTGGTCCATCAGGCTTACGTGGCAATTATGCTACATACGAATCTGCCGGTAAGCCAATTGGTGAAAAGTGTGCAGAGTTTCATGGGAAGGTAAACTGACTGTTTCATTCGGAATGCGTGTAGTGCACGGCGTGAGCTCTGTAGAATTGCTCCGCGAAATCAGAAAAAGCTCTAATCTCGCACCACTCCCGCGACCCGTTGGACCGAAATTGAAGTTTCATAAATGGTACAATTGGGATGATGAACTTCAGGCGTACGTCGTTCCATTTGTATTTGCAGATCCTTCGGTTGTCAAATTGTCGCAAAGACTATTTCTAACTGGCTATGGTGTGACCCCTTCAGCATCAAAACAAGCTCTTCCTCCCACCGTTCAATTTGCAGCATATACCATTCTTCCATCTCTCTTAGTAGTTATTCTATACTACATGGTATTGATCATTTTCGGAAGTCTCAGTTCTACGCCTTGGGGACGAACTTTACTTCTCAAGTACCCCGAGTTTTTCTCGTACGGACTGTTTTCTAGAAATGGACCTACCGACCAACAATTACAAGAAACAAGTTTCGAAGTTACATTACGCGCGAAAGGCTATTCGAGCAAAGCACCCCCAGCCCCTGGAGCTCAACCAAATGTCGACATAACCACCAAGGTACATGGGCCAGAACCAGGCTATGTTGCTACTCCTCGCATGGTTGTTCAGGCTGCATTGGCATTGCTTGAGGGCAAGCAAAAGAGGGACGTCCCTGTAGGTGTTTTGACACCTAGCGTTGCCTTTTGGCAAACCGACTTAATAGATCGGCTGCAACAGGTTGGCATTCAATTCGAACAAATCTAGTCAAAACGTATCTATCTTATCCCATGCCTCTCCTCGTTATAACGAGTAAGAAGATGCACATTATCATATGCTTCCTATGGATATGGACGCTTTCATATCTTATCTCCTTTAATAATAAGAACCAAAAGACAAACTACAAATTGAGATGGCTATATTACATGTTTGATTTTTTGTTCATTTTTGTTTTGAGGCGGGTGGTAACTGTCTACAAATTGCTGAAGCTGAAGTAGTGAATTGCCGAAATTAAATGGACGTTTTTGGTTGCTTTTAGAAATCGACGTCAAGGCCAGCACGATGTGGATCTAATGCCATGTCATCTCCATCCATTCCTGCTCCATGACTTGCTTTGGCGTCCTCAAAGGCTCGCTGACGAATCACATCCATTTCAAACTTATTCTTCAACTGTCCTATTTCCTGAATGAGTTCCGTAATGGCATCACCCAAAGCATTTTCTGGTGTCGTATCTGGAGCTGTCTGAATCTTCAAAACAAAGTTGTGTTCCAAAGGATGCGGTATTTTGTAACCTGCAAACAGTACGCGAGGGTCCTTCAAGAGTTGCCTATAGATAATTTTGATGGTTTGTTATGATTGCTTATGGACGTTTTTTCCAGATTTTTGATTTCTTACATTCGTAGCATATTTGCTAGAGTGTGATCTTCTCTTTCTATCTTGAATGTAGCTGCATTAGGAATCTTGGTATCCTCCTCCATTTCCACTCTGATGAAGAAGCTTTAATTAGTATGCTTTTGCAAATTCAATCCTACGTTTGAATCCAAAAGCACTAACTTTCTCTTCCCCTCCGGTATCACGAATAGTTCGAATCGATCTGGTGCGTTCATTATAAATGCTGGAGGTAATACCTTACCAGTTCTATCACTAACTGGTGGCTTTTGAAGGTTCGGCTTACCTGTGGCAGCGGGGATAACGTCATCGTTACTGTCAACAAATTTATTTTACTAAAGTAATCGCAGCTTCAAGTCTTTTCTGTTGTGGCCTCCTCGGTGTGGTGAACTATCCAGATCTGCTTGCGTGGGACGTACGGTAGTTGTTGACAAAGATCAGGTATGTATTGTAATAAGATACGATCAATGACGTTGCAGCTCTGTATTGCGAGTAATGCTGGGCTCCTTCAATTCTTTACTAACACTTGCTATCATTTAAATCTGATCTAGACGATTTTAACCAACCTTCACCTCTAATTAACTCGATATCCTTACGACGGGCGATAGCACCATATAAAACACGCACTGAATTGCGAAACATAATCAAGAACATATACCATGCTTCCCTTATCACTTTTGCACACTGCCTCTGGTCATCCTATGCTGGTTGAATTAAAAAACGGCGAGACTTTCAACGGACACTTGGTCAATTGCGACAACTGGATGAATCTCACCCTGCGCGAAGTTATACAAACCAGTCCAGATGGTGATCGCTTTTGGCGTCTACCTGAATGTTATATTCGTGGAAATACAATCAAGTACTTGAACGTTCCCGAGGAAATTATCGACATGGTCAAGGAAGACGAGAGCAAACAGCGACAGAATAACCGTGGAAACCGAGGTGGCCGAGGTGGTCAAAACAGTGATCGCGGTGGTAGAGGAGGTCGAGGACGCGGTGGTCAAGGTTATACAAGAGGAGGAGGTCGAGGAGGTAGACCATAGGCTACGATTTGCAAGACACCACTTAGTTTTTTGTAGAGATCAACAATACTTTCATTGTATAAAGCGTTTATGAACTCAATTTGTTACCAAGTGTCGTTTATCACCTTAAATACGGTATAGGTATACTTGTGTAAGACTCGGTAGAACGATCAATTGGTAAACCAAAGGTCTGCCACATGATTCGGAACCGGATTGCAACGTGTTCCATACTATATAGAAGAGCAAATTGGAATTTTCAGCAGTGCATGGCAAGTTCTTTACCAATCATGAGCTCTAGACATAACCATGGGTATACCCCTAGCTTGCGTAAGTGTTCGAGGTGGTGAATAACCGCTGCAAAGCGGACCGTTTTGAAATCAAGCATTCAGCATACCAGCCACCGATCAGTTCGCAATACTTCAATATCTCCTATGAAATCTGGACCCTACTTGTCAAGGCTTCTTGCAAGAATGGGAGGTAGAGTAGGAGCGCATACAATATCAGGAGTAGTATAACCAAGATGTCGAATATAGAATGCTTAGAACCCTCCCTGGATAATTCACAGCATACCATTTTAGAAATTAATAGGCAAGCTGCTTAAATCAAGCACGAGGCTGATGAGCTAAACAGGCAATGTTGATGCCTACCTGTCAATGGTTACTCTGTTTTAAATGGATGAAGGCTGCTGAAGAGCTTTGTTATTTAATTCTAGCGGCGGCAAGATTGGCAAGTAAACAGAATAACACAAAAGGTAGATAATCATTCGGACGCAATGGCTTATGCGCCAAAGCTAAACAAGGTGCTTCTCCAAGGCCAATTGCGGTTGCGGCATCGTGACTCTTAGGAGTACATAAAAAGACTAAGGAGGTGCAATAAGTATGCTTGAGGATTAATTTACCGTTGTATGATTGATCAAGAATAGCATACTTTAGGCCACAATTTAATCCATGTTTCTAACTCGTTTCCTCAATTGCTATCTCAGCTGGATGTGGTTGGTTCAGCTTAGAAAGAGATAGGCACTGCGGCTGATGAGGATAGTAGAAACGACCAGTAAGATGCCGCAGAGAAATCCAGGAACTTTGCCGTCATGCTATGTGGTGGAAATTCATGTGGGCCCAGGCTAGAGGGTCTCCCATTTTAAACCACCAAAAAATCAAAAAGATGAACCCTTAGCCAACATTGGGACAGATATATATTCAGCGGTATTCCCCCACTTGATAATCCCTTTTATCACCGTTCTCATCTTTACTTCCTAAGCTTTTGCTTTCCAGTCCAACCATACCCAACCCATTCCTTTCTTTATACGATCCAAGCAACTCTAACGATAACCCTATGTTTCAAATCTCCAATTTCTCTGGCTTTTCCTTCAAGTCAAAGCGTCGTTCGCTCTCTCTTTCCAGATCGTCTTCCGTCAGCTCTAGCTCATCCAAGGAGAGTATTGGTTCAACTGAACGAAAACTCTGCTTCTCTCGCGTCGTGATTGTCAACAGCTCGTCCACCTTTGTCATTGTTGACGATGCCACAAAGCGTGGGGTGTCTAAAAGCAAAATTCCTCATCTATTGGGCAGGAACCAATGGGACTAAAATAGTCAAAAAAAACTTTGCATGGCATCAACACCCAATGCTTTGTCCCTCATTGAGGAGTCTATATCCCGATTACTTTGATCGATACCATACCCACGCCTTTTTGTTCGGAAGAGCTAGCACTTCTTTGTAACCTGGTGTAGGAGGTGTGGATGCCAATGTGATATCTCAATCTAGCCCCACTTTATTTTAATGCTTTCACACAGTTACGAATGAGAAATAAATTTTACTACGAGCCATAAGGATGATCTACACGTTTTATTTTATCATGTGCTATATAACAACTGATCAGTTCATATTCGGGCTGAACGATTCGACATTCGCACAATGAGGATTTGGACACCAAAAGCATGAAAAAAAAAAAAAAGCGTTCCCCGCATCAATACCTTCACAATTATCATTGCATACAGCTATTTTATTATGACCATTAGGTCTACAGAAGTATCCGTAGAGTGTAAATTATATATAAATACATTATGTTTTATGACGACTCCGGAACTGAAGAGGTTGACAAGGATAATAGAGCATAGATATTGCCAGATGCAAATAAATGTTTCTAAGGGCAGTTGGAAGCATCTTGGTCGATGCAAGAAACAGCAGTAGCCCACTGTTCGACTCCTCCAATGGTGAGGACAGCCTTGAGAATAGCGGCAATACCTTGACCAGCAACGAGACCTCCAGCAGCTGCGTACATGAAGTTATCGTAGTCAGTGGCACGAATGCGCTTCCAGATCTTTCCTGCTGTCCAGCCAGCAACCATAGCAATAGGGACTTCAGGGGCAGTGTTAATGAAACCGACACCGACGGCAGAGACGGATGGCCAGAAACGGTGATACTTCTCGGGAACGAAGAAGAACTTGACGGCAGGGAAAATGATACCAATAGCAGCACAGACACCGGTAATAATGGCAGATTCACGAGGAATGCCTTCACCACCGGTAAGCAAAAGAGTGACGTTCTTCCAGGCGTTAACAGCAACGAGACCGAATTCACATTTACTGTTGATGAAAACAAGGTCAGTCAATTAAAACACATTCTTAGTAGCATATTCCGCAAAATGAAACTTACACATTAGGATCGGTGTCGATAATGCATGGCCATGCCTTTGCGAACAAGATGAAAAGACCAACACTGATACCAACAGCAAAGAAAGAAGCAACCAACTGAGCGTAGAACTGAGAGCGAGGGGAGGCACCAACCAATTGACCAGTCTTCAAATCACCAACCATATCGACAGCCTGAGCAGCTGCGGAGGCGGAGATGTTACCGGCGGAAAGGTTGTTCTTTTGAAGCTGGTACAAGCTGCCAGCGGGAATAGGGGCGAAGATAAGTTGGGTGATTTTGCCGACAGCTCCAGTAGGGTTGATATCAGTTTCACCAGAGGCTTGGAGACCGACGAAGGACAGAATAAAGGCAAGAACGATGGCCAAAATGCTTTGGTATACAGCCATTCCGAATAATTTACCCATAACAGCGCAAGTCATGATAGAAGAAGCGAGAGTACCTCCAACCCACCAGGTCATAGGGACGAGCTCTTCTGCGGCATACTGGTTATCCTCAACAATGTTCTCAGAGGTATTCTTGGGTGTCTTCTTGGTGACCTTGTAGTAAATCTTCTTAATTTCAACACCAGCTTGCTGGAATCCACGCCAGAGGGACTTATAACGGACAAGAACTTCGGTCAAAGTAGCAAAGACCATGAGAGCAATACCGGGCCACAAAAAGAAAGATTGAGCAGTAGGACCAGCGGCTTTGAAACCGTATCCACCAACAAGATAACCTCTTTGAACAAGAGCGGGACCAATGATACCGAAAGGAAGCAATTGTCCAACGAAGAAGGCCCATACAGTAGATCCGGGAGTCATAAGACCGGCACCGAAGAAAGGCATATCCCAGGTGAAAGACCAACCCCAATCAGCATCAGCAGACATCAAAGGAGCATAGTTAGCATCATGACCGATCCACCAGAGAATATGAATAGTATCGAAGAAAGGAACCCAATAAGCAATCAATGCCCAGAGGAAGGAAGTGGCGAACCAAATACCCATCCATTTTGCCTTGGCCATAGCTTGCTTCTCACCATCAGCAGAGTTGTGAAGAGAGATAATAGTGTTAGCAGTAGCACGAGGGGTAGGGAAGACAAGGTCTTGGTTAACGACGAAATGTTGACGAAGAGGAACAGCGAAGAAGAGACCATAGAAAGCTGCACAAAGGGTCCAAACAACAAGAGTACCAGCATCTTGCTCCGGGGTGGTCATAAGTCCAAGCTTGTACATGGCGGGGATACCGGCGACGAAACCTGCGGACAAACCGCCAGCGGTTGTTGCAGCAGATTGAGCGGAACAGTTTTCCTTAGGGCCAAAGTAACCACCACCCCACTTTGGTGGCAAAGTTCTGGAAAGAGGCTTGAGAATGGCAAAAGAGAAGATAGCACCAAACAAGGAGGCACCAAATGTCCAACCAATCTTCAGACCAAGGTAAGTATTAGATGCAGCAATAACACATCCCAAGAGAGATCCGACGATGGAAGCTCTCCATGTGAATTGATACTCCTCAACAAACTCGGAAGCGACGGATTGAACTTCAGGAATAGTTTGCTTATACTCGTCTCGGACATCTTCGGTCAGAGATGTGTCGTGCTCGACCTTCTCATCGTAGTTGGTCGCCATCTGTACTAGTAGAGAAAAGGACACAAGAGAGATAGGATCAAGATGGGGGGCGTACGAAAATACAGGGATTTTATATATGTGATGGAATTGGCCTGTAGCTGGGTTTCTATCAAAAAATTTAAAATTATCGCTGATTGTGGTGATTGGTACCAAATAAAGTTGTATGCTCGTCTAGAGCGCACCTTCAGACGGGGCTCGTCATATGCTTTGACCTCTATCTGTGAATGAAAAAGGCCGTCTTTCCCCAGAGTTGACTTGTGCGCCTCAACTAAATACATAATTCATGAGTAGAAGTTGACAACTTGTTATTGTATTCCTAAACTTGCACAACTACCAGGTAAAAAATTATTCGGTTCGAGGTGGTACTGGCAACAAACACATTTTGTCAAGATGGCGCGCCACCAAGGCCGATAAATTTCTCACCTTTCCTATAAAATTTGTTGGCACATTGCTTTATTTAGGCAAGGTTCTCTGCCACGAGAAACCGAGGAAAGCCACGGTCATTGCCAAGTTATCGCCACCTATCATCCCATTCATTCCGTGTTTGGAGAACCATACTGATCTGATATCAAACGTTCGTTTCCATGCAGCTGGACTACATTTCGGCTCCCATTATTACTCATCTCTTGTCGGCTATTTTTGACTACACCAATCATGGAGTTTTTCGAGCTGAGAATTAGTCGGGGACTTGATCGGTTTTAAGCATTGGCTATCCAAATGCAGCAGATTGTTACAATTTTGGCAAAGTTCCTGGCAATAAGGTTCATAGAAAACTGATTCTATGGAGATTAAAAGAGGTTGACTTTCTATCTTTGATATCGCCAGCATAGATAGACCGTGTGACCTACCTATAACGATTTAATCGGGCTACTTTCTAGTCGTGAACTTCTCAACCTTCTATCGTCAAAAGATTGGCGCCCAGCCGAAGTCAAAGTAGCTCCTCCATAATACCCTTTTAGCCAATATTGCCATATAGAAAACGAGAGTGTGTCTCTTTCATTTAGTTTTTTTTTTTTGTAGAACTTTTTTTTTTACAGCGCGGAAATGGTGTTCAATTTGAAAGCGTATGACAAACAGTGGTGAAACGCAAAAAAAAAAAAAAAAAACTTTTTTTCTAATTGATAATGGCCTTTCCCAAAGTAACAAATGCAAGGTCACTATTACATTTTCGGAAATCATCGATGTTGTCGAAAATGTTCCCTCCTACCCCGCCGAAAGGCCCTGTAGTTGTGGAAGTGATAAGCAGCTGAGAAGACTCCGCCGTGGTAACAATTTTACTAAGATCGTGAAAGGTTTCAGATTGCTTCCAACCATGGCGACTGGAGCAAGCTTCCAACTTGCCGGCTTTCTTGGCGCTCAACATGGTACAAGATTCAAAATGTTGGGTGAGAGCTGCTTTATCGGGCGTACCATTGTCGTCCTGGCTGAGCCCCGGGTTGCGATTTATTTCATTGGACCCTCGATGCTGGTTCGTACCTGATGACTTTGAATAGCTTGAAACCTTCTCCTGGAATCTTTGTGTCATGGCTCGACCCCGGAGCTTGAAATACTCGGTGGCAAACAATGAACTTTTAATGGAGACATCATAATTCAGCGCTCGAATGAAAAATCTCTCCAAAGTATTCCTAGGTAAGCGTGAAAGATGTTAATGGTATACTTCTTCACAAAGAAATGTTGGCTTCAGTCATGAAAGTCAACATTACATGTAACGAACTCCTATTTCAGGAAACAGACTGATGAAGTCTATGTTGTACACGGCACAGTCATCCCAAACTTTGACGGCAAGAAGGAGAGCACCAAGTATTGTGAGTCTCCAGTTGCCATCATACAAATCGATTTTGGAAGATTTGAGCATACGCTCAATGTAAATCAAGGTAATGATGGCACATTCAGCTCTGAGCTACAGAAAAATGAGATGATGGAACCATATATGATCTAAAATATCGCGTGATTGATCTTACCTCTCCGCATTCGAAAACGTAGGCAAGCTGCTCGTGAATCTGGCGCCACTTAGTATATGGAACATTGCCATATGGTCCCCTATGCGATGCTTCCCTATATAGTAGTACGGAGTCTGTAGAAAATCTGAGCGAGGCGTGATTGTTACAAATGATCTCGTATATAACGTCCGCAACACATTTGACAGTCAGATCAACGTTGCCTTTACTTATGGTCGCATCCACTGTTAACAATGAGCTTGTAGAGTTGCTCTTCACCAAGGACTTTAGGCTTGGTTTACTAACAGTATCTCCCGTGGCGGCTGCCGCAGCGTGAGATGCTGAAATGTTGATATATGGCGGAGCTTCTTGAGATGCGATCTGACTTTCCGTTTTGCTAGATTTTACCATTCCTGGTTTTATGGTTTGCTCCATTAGGTCTTCAGTTGTGATGCTATTTGATTCATCCTCAGAACTGTCGGAAAAGTGCACGTCCGGAAAGCTGAAAACTTCTTCTCGCTTCATGAAGTCAGACATCGACATGGGCTGTGCCATGCCGAATTCGTCCGCCTGGCTACTTGATGAGCTGCTAGTTGATTGGCTACGGGTGGTAATGGCATTGCTAGAAAAGTCATCGCTGATAGACACGGGCTTGCGCACTACTTTTGGATGTGGCTTGTGTGGGCTTTGAATTTCCGAGAGACTCATGGCCGGTGAGCTGATTGTTTCTGGAGACTCTGTGACAGTATCAAGGTTGGATGCAGTATCATCGTTATTACTTTCTTCAAAGCGATCACTGGACTTCTTCTGCTTCAAAGGTTGTCGTTTGATTGCGTACTGGCTGACACCGATGACTGTCTTCGCCCTGGTCAGGGTTTTCATACCCGCAGGTTTAAGAGAACTGTTTGGTGAAGCTAGATTACTTTCTGCGATGTCTTGTGTTGAATCTTGCTGGTTGATGTTGCGAGAAGGGTTGATTTTGGATGCACAACTTCGCGTTCTTCGTAATGATTTTGACTTCACTAGAGTGACAGCTTGACGTGTGCGGACCGCTAAACTTGATCTTCGTTCCAAGTTGGACGTAATTTGAACAGTGTGCCTTTTCTGAGCCTTTTCACTTGAAAGCCTCAATTTAGTCAATTCGACTTTCTTATTCGTTTCTAACGCTATCATACTTGAGCCTTGTCCAACGGGAGTGACTTGAGCGTCTTCAAAATCACGATCAATATCTCTGGGAATGGTATAGGACTTGACTAGTTTTCCAGGACTACGGGAAATGTCAGCAGCCGTCTCTTCATCGGTTTTAGATACTGGTCGTATGGTGGACCGACTTCCGAAAAGCCAGTCTGTCACTAGGCTTTTCAACTTGGACCCACTCTTCTTATAGCCTCGGCTTTTGTTTGACGACTTTGCTCCATCTCCTCCTTCTCGTGTTGTGGACATTTTTGTATATCGTTTAAGATTAGGTGCTGTCATTGATTTGGACATGGGTTTGCGTATGGTAGATTGAATTGGCATATTACTTTCATCCTCCTGACGGCCTTCACTAGCTGTTGTATTATCCTCAATGGCCACAGTTGTTTTTTCATATTTAAATGCTTGAGCCAACACCTCCATTACAGCAGGTATATCGCCTTTGGGTATAACAGATGTGAGAACCTCGGATATGCGGGGTAAAGCATCAATGATGGTATTATTGTTATCTTCTTGAATGGCAGGTAAAGCTGCCGAAAAGTGAGTGGATTGCGCAGTTGATGAAGCATAGCCTGAATCAACTACAGGACTATATATGTCTGGCTTTGCTGTTCTGTTGATGTCGACATGAAGTCTAGGCGTCTTTCCATCAAGTACCTCAACAGACAGAGGCTGTGTATATTCAGTAGTGGCAACACAACCAATCTTTGGTTGTCTTTTTTTGAACCCAAAGGTGTACATTGAATAATTTCCGTTGCGAGTTGTTCTTTGACTATTTGTTTGAAGTGGCTATTCACTATGTCGTCGTTTAGATTTGATTGAGTTCAGAAGTATTGAACAATGAATAGTGAGTGTCAGCAAGTGTGATGTGCCTATACGCCGAAAAAAATGAAAGGAATGGTATGGGTACTCTGGCTATAATTGATAAAGGAGTGTTTGGGGTGCTAGCAAAGAGAAAAGAAGCAAAGTAAAGAAAGCAGGCTGAATGAAAACCACAAAAATAGTAGTAGTGTACCTTGATTTGATGATTGTGGAAATTTCAGATCATTGATACTCGGGGACTTATCTGATATCATTCTGGCCTGTGGGTTTCCACATCTTCTTGCTCAAGTCACCGCGTGCCCGTGATTACAGTACAGTAGCAGGGCCGGAGAATATCACTAGTATGCAGTTGACCAAAATAAGAATGTCTTTTAGAAATTTGACTGACAGAGATGGAATAGGCCCGACGCACAGACATTCCTCATTCCTCTAATTTTATACATTATGCCCCCCCCTCCTCTGCTTTGAACTAGACCCACAAGTCGATGTGCATCCTAATGTTATACAAATCGTGGGAATGGATATTCATTATGTACGCAATTCCATGACACATCGTGCCATGAGATACTGTGATAATTTTCAATGCTTGCGTTGAATTAAGACAACGTTCGTTCTACCTTATGGTAGCCTAGTGATATGATGGCTACTCAGATGATATTTTTAATTATAGCCAAATTTCAAAATGCATAAAATCTACAATTTAGAGTCATGTTTTTACAGGTATACGTATTTGTCCTTTGACTGACTTTCCAGAGCCGGCTGGGAAGTAGGAATTCCAGGTGTATCTTTTTCGCGCTGCAACAGGCGGTTGATGGCTCGACGCTGTTGAACGGTGTCTTTCAGCAAGCGTGTAAATAAGGATATGTACTTTTCGACATGATTAACTTACCTTTTCATCTTTTTCATTGCCGCTCATAAGTCCTGCTGATGCATCTGGATTGAATCCAATTTTTCGAATAGCATCCGCTGAGAATGCGCTTGGCGCTTGCTTATCATTATCCGTTATAGTAGCTGCAGATGATATTAGACTTCACTTGTATCTGCATGCTAATGAGCAGAAATATGGTTTACCTGGTTCTTTTCCAAGTCCTGTTGCCAGTCGCAGCATTTGCGCCCCAATATCGTTACGTGATGAAAGGAAATCGCTATATAGTTCATATTAGCAAAATAAGAACTCAAATGGAAATGAATATTCGATTTAGGGCAGATACTTACGCCAATTCCTTCTTATTCTCTTTACTGTTGTTTGCTGACAATAGATCGTTGACTGATTTTCCGTTGGTCACAACTCCTCGCCCATCCAGAACATATGCAGCATTATCATTTGCTGCTCTACTGTGAGTATAGGCTCTCCGTGCCTGAGCTGGAATTTCATCTTTAACTTTATATACATGTCGGCCTTGAACATCTTGAGCTTCTGTAGCACTGCAAATTGCCATCGTAATGTTGCTGCGAACAATATGGATTAGTTCTGCTTCATAATCAAATTTTTTGGGGTTGAGATACTTACCCAGAAACTAGCTCCATTCTTGAATTTTTGGAGCGCTTAAACGCATTCCTAATATGGTCTTCGCAATATATGCCATTTCGTCTATTCGTATAGTGTTAGAGCTTTTCCGCCTAAAAGGTTACTCGCATAGAAGTGGCCTACCTGTCAATGATAGTAGAGCATTGAGATCCATTGCGTAAATATGCTTCACATTCTCCACAATCTTTGCTCCAGCCGATAATGAAAATATTGTTGACCTGATCTACATGTAAGCCGGTAATTGTGTCGGTCTGTAGGTAACGAAAGCATGTCAATCTCGATGGACATTCGAATATACTGTTAGTTACTCAACTCACCTCTGTAGGCCTTAAAATCTTTGGCTGTTGGATGCCAACTATCATTCCTCGACGAAGGCGTGTTGCCCATGTTTCGTGTGTTTTACCAAAGAGTAGAACATTGAACTGAACATCTATTAAATTTGTAATTTTCAGTAAGCTGTATTTGGTGTTCTTCGCTGATGTTCGTTCTAGCGGGTCGGCTGCGAGCACTCCAACTGTGGCCCAATTCTTTAATTGATTTGGATCAAATTTTCTCATTTCAGTAGGTTGCTCGAGTAGAGTAGGAAAGTAGGCGGCGGTTGATTGTTGTAATTTTGCCACATGTTGCTCTACGGACTGAATTGGCACAAAGGTTTGTGCCATTAGCCGCTTTTTCACTTCTTGTGCTTTCAAGATGCGCTCGCTAAACATTCTATGAGCATTGAGTCGCATATGGATCCTTTTCTTTGACCAAATTACTCACCTTATCCGAAATTTAGACATGGGTTCAATGATAATAGCACTCGCCGTTTCCAACGTTGTTGGATTGCAGGTTATCGGATTGCTAGATGCCTTATTTTTGGAAGCAGAATCCTTACTTCCTGTTGGCTCTTGCGTTAAAGAATTTGAAGTGTTGCCTAGGCAAAAGTGATGTTAGGTGATTGAAATCAAAGACATAGTTGTCCTTTGTCAACTTATACGATGTAAACCTTGATTTGAGTAGTTATACCTTTTCGTTTCAAGCTCCCTAGTTTAGAATGCAAATCCTTGAATTTGCTGTAGACTTGGGCTGTAAACTTTATCAGAGCCAGCAATGGTATTCAACGTACAATCAAGAGCTACTCGTACCGTCATTTGCGTTGTTATTTGAGTGTAACCGTGTCGACAACTTTTGAGATGACTGGTCCATATATTTCAATTCCTTATCATTAGCAGAAGTAGACTGTCGATTGCCAGAGTCCTTCTGGGTATGATTTGCCATTGACAGTGAGTTTTAGTTACGCGTTATTTAAAGGCAAGAATACGCGCCAGCGCACTGCAAACCCCGAAATTTTGAATGAGACGGCTTTTCGAAGGACTCGTTTCGGGTCTGCTGGAGTTCAATCCAGATATCCCGGTTAACGGCACACAGTAACGAATGCGAGCTCTAGTAACCGTCGGGTCTACAGGTTTCGACGATTTGATAAGGTCCGTCATAGATGGAAAGGTACTTTCGACACTTTACGAACTAGGCTATGACCATCTGACGATTCAGTATGGATCTAGCAAAGCCATATACAACGATCGGCTTGAGCGAATTTCGACCACGTCTAACCGAACTCCCGTTATCGAAGGTTACAACTACAAACCTGATCTTAAATGTGATATGGTGGAATCAGATCTAATAATCAGCCACGCAGGTAAGAAATGTTTCTATTCAATACTTTGAGGCAAATGAAGTTTTAATTGGATACTCTGCATTAGGCTCAGGATCCATTTTAGAATCCTTACGTCTCCACAAGCAGCTGATTGTGGTGGTGAATGAAAAGCTACTCGACAATCACCAGGACGAACTTGCCTGCGCCTTAGAGAACAAAGGCTATCTACTTCGAAGCACATGCCGGTAGGTTAAACGTTACTAGATATCCCCTTCTGGAAGCTTGATTAAATCGTTAAAGTGAACTTTTATGCAGACAACTATCAGACGTGTTGAATGCGCTTAAAAACAAGTACTTTATTCCCTTCCCTGAACAGGACACTAGTATATTTGCTAGCTTTCTGAACAATGAAATGGGATTCAAGTAGTAATACTAAATGTCAATTGTACATATCCAAATATACACTATACAATAAATAAAAAGTATAACAAATGAGAATGGCGAAGGTTTATCAAACGAAGGATGCCAGCATTATTCTGCGTCTGAGTCTCCATCGTGATATAATGTTACTAGACCGACATGATTAGATTGGATGGATTTCATTCATTGTCAAAGGTATTTCAACTTACCAGATGAAAAATTTGCAAATGGATCCAAGCTTGTATTATCGGTGTTTGTCGAATCTTCATCATCTTCTTTTCCAGAGAATGTAGAAAAGATATCAAAGCTTTTGCTTTCCTTGATATTTCTAAAGTTGATGGCGTCAATACCTTTTGACGGTTCTGGTATAATGGGTGGAGTCATATGTCGTAAAAGAGCAAAGTTGATCGGTTTGAAAAATGCATGCGATTTGATATCAGATGCGCCAGCGCGTGAACCTAAACGACGGTATTCATCCTTGTGTAGTAACCGCTGGATCAAACTCTTGCATGTTTTGGAAATATTTTGCACTGGATATACTGGATGATATTCTCGAGGGTCGGGAAAATGGACCTCTTCGCGTAAAATATTTCGAAATGTTGCATTTCGGTTGACACCTTTGAACGGCGTTGTCGCATACTAAGAAAGATTGCTTATGAGCATCCTTCTTCGACCTACATTTATATCACATATATATAAATAAACATACCAGCATTTCGAAGATCAATATTCCAAGCGTCCACCAATCTACCGTACTACAATGGTGGTTACCGCGAATGATCTCAGGAGCGAGATACTCTGTATAGCACTGTGATGAGCCTTCAATCTTATATCCTATTCACACCTTGATAGAGACATACCTTCAGTACCGACAAATGAGTTGGCTTTTAATTTTGAGATACAGGACTTTGTATCCAGGCTGGGGGACTGTTACAGTGACATAAGTTAGTAAATCTTTTCAGCGAGCCTAAGATCTCATTTGCAACGTACTGAGTAGAAAAATGACGATTTGATGACTACTGGTTCTGAAGTAGGAGCTTTCGAGCTCAGATCGAAATCAGTCAACATAATATGACCACTTTCATGCAGTAGAATATCTATTAAGAGATGTTTAAGTGATAGTGCATGGAAACATTTTTAAAAAAAAAATCAGTGCAAAAACGTACTTTCTGGCTTTAAATCTCGATAGACAAAACCCATTAAATGCAAGTATTCCAGAGCGGCAGTCACCTCAGCCGCATAAAAACGGGCTTCTGCTTCTTTAAGGCATTTACCCGGACGCAATTGAAGTGCTATACAAATATATCACGGTATTAGGTCGAGATTACAGAAAGAAACCAGTAAAAATGAAACGGCTCAAACCTCGAAAGAATTCTCCTCCTGTGCAATATTCCATACAGAAATATAGATGATCGTCACTCTGGAAACTATGGTATAGCGGAACTATAAAGGGGTGGTGACACGAGGATAGGATTTCTTGCTCTCGTAAAGCTCGCTTGATTTTGTTACGTTTAATCATTTCAGCCTTTGAAAGAACTAGGAAGCAGATCCACCTTAATACATACACTTGTTCTACCCGGTATTTTCTTTCCTGACAACTTACCTTTCATTGCATAAAGTTTGTCTTTATCCTTGCGTCGCACAAGAAAAACTCTACCTATATCACCCTTTCCAAGGAGTCTGATCTTTTCGAAGCAACTGGACCCTACTTGAATATCCTTTACTTTAACGCTATTTGAAGCATATAATCGTTTGGAAGTGGGGGTTTGATTAGCCTGATCTCTGCCTGCTTTAACCAATGTACTAGTACTGCTGGATAATCTCTCCGAAAGCAATTGACTAGGGATACTTTTGACTCCAGTATGAGACCCTAGGAAGTCTGGATTGGATGCTGTCCTTCGTATTGGATCGGAAGCTATGCTCATGGTAGTTGATTTGTCTGGGAAATCGTTCACCGGTTCCTCATTAGGTGGTGTTGCGTTAACAAAGGGTTTGGATGGCAGATCAGCGGAAAGTTGAGAATTCAGTATTTTATGCGCTGGTATTGAGAGCCTCGTTGTCTGAAGGGAATTGAATGTGGCAGTTGCTGTCACCATGGAGGAGAGAGAGAACAAAAGTACCTGCACTAGAACCTCGACCGAGTCTCAGTCATGAACCAACGAAAACGAGGGCCATAATCGAACTCCGATTTCGTTTGGGAGCACCAAACCTGAACTCACTGGTCTGGTTTTTTGTCTCATTCAATGCCAGCCGCATAGATCACAAAACGGTGTAAACAACCTGTCAAACGTTTGTTTTTCAAAAAGAACTGCTTATCAAGATCGTCTGGTTTGCACTGTATGAAATGTCTGAAACTCAGTAAACAGCCAGCCATAAAACGTATTTGCTTACAATTTCCCATGACGTGGTAAACAGTTCAATGCAAAATGTAACAACCTGTGCTTTAATTACGATGAAGACTGTGTATCGATGGCAATGATACTTACATTCCAAAGTTGGTATCAGGGTGTTTAACGTTACGATTCGCGTTTTCCGTACCAAATTCATTCATCTTAGTCATTCCGATTGGATAGCTATAACCCTATGTTGGACAATGCTGGCAGCTGTGTTGCAGTAGCATCTTATGCGGTCAAATAAGTAGACGAGTTCAAAAGCAATAACAAGAAGAGGCTTTGTAGAATTATATAAAATTGAGAGGGTAAGTATAAAAATGTACAAGCTGAGAACAGAGGAAAATAGCATTTTTATATACAAAGGGCTCGTAAATGAAAGGACAATCGATTAACGGCTTTCGATAATGTATCCTCCAAAGGTCTATGTCGAGAAACTCAAAAAGAGGGAGTGCAAATGATACTAGATGGATAGCTACTATTAAGCTGGCGCGTATCGTATAAAAAATGGTTCGCCCCTCCAAGGGATCATTGTTTGTAAACGCCAAATCATTCATCGTCAATATCAAACGACAACTTCGTTTCTTTCTTTTTCTTTTCCTTTTTTTTCTTTTTTTTGCTTTCATCACCGGTAGAAGCAGTTTCAACGCCATCCAATTTTCCATCCGCATGCTTCCGTTTCATAGCTTTGCTTCCTACAGTGACTGAAGAGCTCGGGCCATCAACTGGTTTTTTCTTTGGTCGAAACATTAATTTTCCATTTTCGTCGACAGATTTGGTATCATCGCTTGCTTCGGTAGTGTCGTCCTCCTGTGATTTGCTCAGATCAACTTCCTCGCCACGAAGATGGCGCTGCAAGTCTGCTTCACTATAGTGCTTCCCTTCTTTTAGTACGACGACTTGAGCGCCTTGAAACTCGTCATATTCGTCATCGTCGTCTTCTGGATTCCAATCTTCAAATTTCTTCTTGATGGGATCTTGATGCTTTGCCTTCAATTTCGCTAGAAATGGGGCTTCCTTTTGCACGTACTCCAAGTTTTTGGAGAGTTGATATGGCGTGGGGTCCTTAGGCATAGCTACAGTGGTATGGGTTTTGCGGACTTTGTGATGAAAAATCTGTTTGGACTGTGAGAAACAGTCCGTTCGCTACGTCATGCGGTCTTTGGCTCGCTTTGGCGGTTTCAGTACGTTCGCTCAAACTGTTGTTCTCCCATTCGGCGGTTCGTTCTTACTGCAAAAATGGCATTCTCACCCAGTGATTTCAAGAACAAAACGCTTGCTGAAGAATATCAAGCAATTCTCAATGATTTGAATAAAGCTGTGCATGAAAATCAGCCCGACGATGTGCTACAGTTCTGTGCCAACTTCTTTAGCCGCCGCCTCGAACACGATCGAACGCAATCACGACAGAACATATCAAGAGAAGCTCCACATGATGAAGAAATAACAGGTATATTTTAATAATAATTTTTTGAAATGTATACAAGTTGTAGAGATAGCGAGGATAGCGCAAAAAACGAGGTCATCAACTGCAAACCCATCGTGTGCTTTTCGGCTACAGCATACTCGTCAATTTAACCGAGCTTCATACCGTCTTACTATCCATTATTTGGATGAATTAGAGTCATCTATGCAATAATGTTGGAAAGTGGGCTTTCATCAGTCATTATACAACATCAAAGTTATATGGATCGTGTATTATTATTTTATTATTTTTTCGCAAATCCTCCGCGTCGGTATATCTCTACATTTGATCTCACAAATCAAGTTTACTGACACATTTTTGTTTCTTCACCTCTTTTCAATTTCCCCCAATGTCTTCAGAGGACGCGGGACATCCACATGACCTCCAGAGTCTCCAGTTTCCACCTGTAGCAGACAACGAGCCAGTAGATCAAACGCATTTGACCGACAGCAGTGACGAGGAGGACTTAGACGATGAAGCTCGCGATACCTTTGGATCCATGCCAGCTATGGAAGCGGGGGCTGGACATAATCGAGGAAGACGAACTTCAGTTAGTGCAGAATCCATCCAACCTTCAGCGAATCCAAATTATGTTAGAAAGGCTATTCCTAAGACACATGAACAGCGTGAACGTATACGACTTGCAGTCCAAAATAACTTTTTGTTCAAAAATTTCGACGAAGAGCAATATCAAGATGTAGTCAATGCTATGGAAGAAAAGCGAGTTCCGGCTAATACCACTGTGATTGAACAAGGCGGTGTTGGAGACTTTTTTTATATAGTGGAGTCCGGCTCACTAGACTGCTTCATTTCCAAAGACGGCGGCACGCCTCACAAAGTCACCGAGTACTCTGCTGGTGGTAGCTTTGGTGAATTGGCCCTCATGTACAATGCTCCACGAGCAGCCACCTTAATCACAACATCTGAATCTGTTCTTTGGGCACTCGATCGAGTCACCTTCCGTAGCATTCTGATGGAGAATACATCACGAAAGAGAAGAATGTATGAATCCTTTTTGGAGGAAGTCCCACTCTTGCGATCTCTCGAACCATACGAACGACACAAGATTGCAGATGCTCTTGAGTCTGTTTACTTTGACGATGGCGAAGAAGTCGTTAAGGAAGGAGATGTTGGTGATACTTTTTATATGGTTGAATCTGGTCAAGCCATTGCGTACAAAAATGGACCAGACGGAGAAAAACAACAAGTTTATCGATATGAGAAAGGAGGCTATTTTGGCGGTAAGTTACTTTGCTTCTCGTTTACTCACAACGCCACTCCTTTGCTAACTCAACTACTGGTTCAGAATTGGCATTATTGAATGACAGTCCTCGTGCTGCAACTGTGGTCGCTGTTGGACGTTTAAAATGCGCTACTCTAGGAAAGAAGGCATTCACCAGACTTCTCGGCCCAGTTCGCGACATTTTGAATCGTAACTCGGAGAGCTACCAAGGATCAAAATAAATTTTCTAAATCAACGGCTTTACAATTTTTTTTTTCTTTTTTTCATATAAATATATAAATTGGCGAAAGTGAATGTACAATACAATATTCGTTCTATGTTGAGTTCTGGCTGGTTTTGAGTTTTTTTCTGGCAAGATAGCGCTCTTTAGCACTCATTGTGGTCTCCTCAGAAGTTCGCTTTTCCAGCTTCTTCTTGAACTCCTCCTCCTTCTGCTTTTCCTCCTCACGTTCACGTTCTTGTCGTTCTACCATTTGTCGTTCTACTTCCTGACTCATTCGCTCTCTTTCTGTTTGGCCGCTTTTGCCGGTTCGTTTGGCTGCACTCTCGGCCAATTTTTTACGTTTGTATTCTTCATATTCCTCTTGTCGCTCTTTCGTTTGTGGATCAGATGACGACAAGCTCATGAAGCTACCAAACTTTGGTCTGGCTACGTTGAGACCAGCTCCTAGTAGCTGACGTTTATCAACTATAACATTGTCATCATTTAGCACCACATCTTTGCCTTCCTTGCGTGCTTCTTCTACCAAATCGGTATCTTGATCTTCTTCGGGGTCACGTACTTCGACCTTTGATGCAATTCCTTTGATAGAAGCTTCCACCACAGCCGCATGTGCTTCCTCCCTTTTATCCAACATCTGTCTGTAAAAGCTGGTAATTGATTTCTTCTTGGAATCCTCCTCTATAGATTGATTTGGTGAGAAGGCGAACAACAATAGCGGATAAGCAGTGCATTGCAGCTCTTACCTTCCTTGCGCCTCTCTTCCGCTTCCAGCCTGCGTAGTTCTTCTTTCTGTGCCTTATATCTAATGATCCATAGATCAGTATCTCTCGTTAGAGATGGCCATATTTTGTTTCAATTCACTTACGATGATGTTACAAAAGTTTCTTTGTCTCCAAACTCGTCTCCTTCCTCTTCACGTTCTCTTTCAACTTTCTTTTCCTCTGCTCGCAATCGATCTCTCTTTCTAATCTCTGCCATCTCTATCAAACCTTCTACGTAGCGGGCCTATACATTGACATGAGTATTTTCACTTTGGATATGCGGTACATACAATATGCGTTACAACTAACCTTCTTATTGTCCTTGCCCTTTAGTTGTTCCTGCTTTTGTTTTTCTGCTGTTTTCAAATCATCGTAAACCGCATCATAGTCAAAAATATTAGGATCTTCCTCAAGTGCTTGCTTGTGTTGCTCTTCGATCTTTTTGTTGGTCATTGATGTATAGCTTGTCAACTGCTTGTTAATGCGGTTCTTGTGGCTGTCTTTCGTCTCTTGTTCTCCTGGTTTTAAATCGTCAGCATCGTCGTCGCCTCCAAAGAAGGCCTTCGGTATTGAGCTAGGAGGCTTGGACTTTTTCAGAGATGTATTGAGACCAAACTTCATTTTCGACATTTTGGAAATGTGAGCTGTGTGACCCCGCTATGGTAGAAGCTCAGGCTATAATTTTTCCTTTGGGCTCACAGTCAAAGTGTGATTTTTGCCCGCCGGAGTACAACCAGACTTGACTGTGTGCCTTCTACGAAGGGGATATAAATATATTATAAGGCTATATAAGGAACGAATTCTGGACTATATTTCCTCTTTACAGTTCCAATGTCCAAAACACCCTATGCACCCCAAGTTTGTATATGAGAACGTGAAAGCAATTCTCTAATATGTTTATGCAAAGTACTTCTTGTGTTCCCAAACAGGGGTAATAAGTTTGTCAGAATCTACAGCAGCTATCAGATTGTTGAGAGCAAGTTGTTCCATCTCTATTTGAGCTTCTATGGTATTTGTGCCAATATGTGGCAAAAGAGTCGCTCGTGGGTGAACTAGCAATCCTGGGTGAATCTTAGGCTCCTGTGTTTAAAAAGCGGTTTAGCAAACCTAAAAGAAAGCGGGAATCAGTATACGAGCAGAATCTCACCTCTTCAAAGACGTCAAGGCCAACAGCGGCGACCTTTCCGCTCTCTAATGCCTTCACCAATGCTGGCTCATCAATAACCTTTCCACGGGCAGTATTGACAATGATCACGCCATCTTTGCATAGTGCTAGCTCACGGTTGCCAATGAGATGGTATGTCTCGCCACTAAGAGGAACACTAACAGAAATCACGTCTGATGTTCGAAGCAAGGTCTCAAAATCAACATATCTTGCGTTGTATTTTTTCTCAACTGATAGACAATGTTAGAATGGTGTTATTCCGATGTCATAAGTCACCAAACGGTTATCTCACCTTCTTCGGACAGACGGGATCGGTTATGATACAAGATCTCCATCTCAAAACCACGAACTCTTTGTGCAATGGCCTTTCCAATACCACCCATACCCAGAATACCGATCTTCTTTCCTTCAGGGTTCATTCCCATGTAAATACCAGCGTTCCATTGCCCTAAGATAGATAGAATGGTATGAGTATACATAAGTCTCACTGACATTGACTTCCCTTGTTTATAGTTTTACCTTGGCGCAAGATTTTCTCAGATTGAGTGATGTTACGGCAAGCGTTAAGAATGAGAATAACGGCAATATCTGCGGTAGCCTGCGGTACAGAAAACGAGGTTGTCAGATTCGCTTTTATCAACACAATAGTCATCCCAGCTTTGATTCTTCACTTACAGCATCCACTGCACCGGGAGTGTTAGAAAGATATATTCCAAGCTTTGCACAGGTCGTGACATCAATGGTGTCATATCCAGCACCAACGTTGCAAATGAATTTGACACTGCAGAGATTGTTAATATGCGCGTCGGTGTGCTGAACCTCGGAATCCCATCAGATGTTACTGCGAGATACTTACGACTTTGGTAGGTTATTCAAGAGCTCCTCATTAAAGTCACCAATGGATGGTGTGGAGTCCGGATGTCTGTAAAGCACCTTCACGTTCTGATACTTTGTCTTGCAAAGTTCAAAGAACTGGGCTCGGTTCATACACTTCAAGTAATGAACTGTGAAGCGTTCAGCTATCTTGTCAAGGTCACCTTGGGCGAAACGGACTGATCCAGCAATAAGAACCTCTGGCTTGGACATTTTCTGTGTTGTTTAGCGAAAAATAGGGGAGTAAGAGGTGATAAGAAGGAGTCGATGCGATGAGGTGACAGGCTTATTTAATGACATACAAGGTTTGCCATCCCGAACGGAGCCTGAATTTACGGTGCTTCTAAAACTCAAAGATGTGGATTCTGATACTTTTAGGCGCCTTGTCTGCAGTCGAAATTATGGTTTGTAGGTTTCCAGATGCCAATGGCCCTACAGTCGTCTTGTATGATCGTCTCTTGTAGTGTACAAAGCGTAATCTATTTACCAAGATGGTCACATGGAGATGCCATTTTGGTGGCCAAATGGAGATAATCTAGGTTACAAAATTGGTACAATTCCCTGTTTGTATATTGTAACTCAACAGCATAGTGCCCAAGCGGTGCTGCTAAAAATCCAAGAGTTGAGTTGTGAGCCGAGGAAACGTATTTGAGAAAGAATTGGCCGAGTCAGGTCAAGGCGCACCAAACGATTTGGTTTAGCAGTCACACTGGCAAAAGCGAATGGGTATCTCCGCTTGGGTCAGTGTCCGGGAGTACCTGATCCGCGTTGACATGGGCGAGCAGTTACCGCCTCGGCGAAAACCTCGCAATGACTTGCTGCGAAACTATTATGGTATTGGAGGCAAAGCATCTGGAAAAGGTAACGATACCTCGGACATTGGTAAGTTTTATATTGCTAGGATCCAATCTATCATGAGCGGTGTTGTAATAAGTAATGATGAACGACCTTCATAGATGGACCCAACTTCGATAGTGCCAAATATCAAAACAAGCTGCTGAAAGAGAGCAAGCTAGACTTATTGATTAGTAGAGACAATGAGCTGGTGACAGGTGAAGATACTCTTTGTTTTTGATGCGCTTTAGCTGCTGCGAATGCTGACACCACTTTGTTAATATAGAGATTAGAGAGCTCGATGGCGATATGAAAACATTGGTATACGAAAATTATAGTAAATTTATAAGTGCAACCGATACAATTAGAAAGGTAAAGCCTAATGACAATTGGAAGTAACAGTGTGGACTTTAACTCAAAGCGATATCTGTGTAGATGAAGAGCAATGTAGAGGACATGGAGACCGAAATGGATCGCCTGCGAGACCATATGAGCAAAGTGACGGCCCACAGTTCAACAATAGATAAAGAATTGGCTCCTAGACGTGATAAAATTCGACAATTGGACGGTGTACACAACCTTCTCAAGAAACTGCAGTTTATATTCGAATTGCCTAATAGATTGCAACAATGCTATAATTCGGGGGCATATCCTCAGGCCGTCCGCTACTGGGCTCGAACCACTCACTTATTCGACCACTACCAACAATTGACTGTATTCCACAATATTGAAAATGAATGCAAAGACATCATGAAGCGTGTTCGACAAAAACTCAAAGATGCTATGCATGCCTCAAATGCGTCAATACAAATCATAACGGAGAACACTTCGATGCTAATTCAACTGAAAGAGGACCCCACATCACTGAGCAAAGAATACATTGCACTGTAGGTAGAACTGCTTATACTTACATCAAATTTCACTATGTTATTAATCTACTTTCAATAGACAATCAGCAAAGTTGGAAGATTTGAAAGGAAAGCATCTGGTGACGCTACAGAACGAGAGACATAATGATGACAGCATGAGAAGCTTTAATGAAGAATATCTTGCTGATCTAAACATTGTCGTGGCGTCCTATCAGCGTTTCTTTATGTCAGACGGTCAACCCCCGGAGATCAGTGCACTTGGAATGTCTACATCGAACACCAGCCGAAGAAGTTTAGGATCAGCATCACAAAAAGGATCAATATCGAATCAAGAGGCGCATTCAAGCGCTCACCTGAGCGAATCGGTAGGCAAACAAAAAGTGAGCGCGTGATAGCTGTCATTTCTCTTACAATCTTATTGCAGGAGAGAGAGGAAGCTAACAGTCTATTGATACTGGCATTTTCACCGCTTCTTGACGAATACTTGGAGACTGTCAAATATGCCATTCGAATACCAGTAATTATCGCTTACTTTGACGTAACAAGAATCAATCTTGAACCTTGCGACTAATTATCATTTTTTACATTTAGTCTGATCCACTCGGATTGCCTCGCCCACTGCCACAGATCCAAATATTGAATGACGCGTATTCTGCGATCGTTCATGATAGCAGTGCCTTATGTGAAGTTTTGTTGGCTGAGCAGAGGATACTTGATATTGTGAAAGATTGGGAGAGCGAACTGCTGACTTCATTGATGCACGATGCTGCAGCGGGATTAGAAGGTCAGTCAGTTGACCGACATTTTAGCATATTCGGTGTCAACAGTTATTCACCCAATTTTTCTTTTCAAACAGAGCGCTTCAAAGTATTTTCAGAAAAAGTGGTTGCATCTCAGCAAACAAGTGCCAATGTAGACCCAGGAATTTTGACCACGTTCGTCATAGACACTGAAGAATGGTTGGCTAATTTTATGGGCATGGATTCTCTTCAGTTGTTGGCCGAATGCTTACAATCTGGAGCGTCGTTTGTCTCGGGAAAGCCAAGGAAGGATATGTTCTTGAAGCAGATACAGTCTGGTTTACTCAAACACTGGCGATTAGTGGTGGATAGTATCAAGGTAAAACGATCATGGGTCCAACGCGTTCCCACCTATACTTTGCTAATCTTGATCAAACTTACCAGGATCATATGACCAACGTTGAATCAAAATCGTTAGTGCACCAAACTGTTTCTTTGGTGGCTTCCAGGCTCTGCCTAGACTTTGCCGAAATTTGGGTTATCAAAACATATGCACAATTCTCGAAAGAGCTATACCCCGTGTCCCGACGTTCCTCCAACCCATATCGACAAGAAGATGATCGGGACCTCATTGTCCCTCTGCTTGAGCCGGACGTTCAGGAGAGCACAGACCTATACCGCGAGGCTGGCCAGTTATGTTTGATATCGTACGCTCGAACCATAGGATACATGTTTACTGATAAGATTGAAGGATTCCTTCGTGATAAGCAGTGGTTAATGCTGAAGGAAAAGGACTGGATCCCTAGTTCAGTTTCATCAGTATGGACGGAAATCGCAAGTGAATTGGAAATTGTTGAAAGAATGGTCGACATTGTGTATCCGATAGACAGTGAAAATGCCGATAGAAGTGCTGAATCTGAATATAGTGTACCGCGAACAAACCGTCTTGGATCACAATCGCCGAGTGAAATTGGTCTTTCACCTACAAACCAAAGATTAGGCATCACATCCCCCAGCATGACTAGTCTCTCATCTTTCACCTCGGCTGCTAATAACGATTCACAAGCTACCAACGCCATGCCTAGAACCTATGGAAACGATCTTCTGAGCAATATCAGTAAATTGTTTCAAGAACGCATTGAGATTTATGGCCACATTGATCCTTCAGCATTAGATGTTTGCGGCGCACTTGTGAAAGTCATATTGAAAGCCTACAATGAAATACTTCGTGAGGTGACTTTAAACAAATATGCTTTCTGGCAACTTCAAGTTGATGTGGAGTACCTTCGGATTGTTCTTTGGAAGTTTGCTCGCAATGAAAAGTAAGTATCGCAGACATCACTGTTTTCCTACACTATGCAGACAATTAATGCTCTAATTTGGAAATTTAGGCTTCTAAACTCAATGTTGGAAGAAATTTGTGCCAGTGCTTATCGTCGATGCACTCAGCCAATATCGCTGGATTCCTCGGTAGGTTGAAGGCATACTCAGGATATGGTGTTTGACGTATGATATTTATATTTGCCTTCTTAGATTTCAGATCAAATTCTCGGTGCTTATGAACAGTGATAATGTTAGCTCCTGAAAAAGTTGCGCTAGGCAAATCACAAAAATAAAAAAAATTGTTACCAACTGCTCCCTCAATTGGACTATTTTTAGCTTTGAAATTTTTCCACTGCTATACCCTTCACTTTTTAAATCTACTTTCACATCATCTGTAAAAAACATCTCAACATTATCTAATTTGTACTGGCCATTCACAAGAGCAGTGGACCAATAGCATATAAGCCTTAAAATTTCATTACTTTTTTTGCATCCAACTCAACATCAATTAAGGCACTTACATGGGATTCAAAAGGGCAACACTACTTCAAGCCTTACTGCTAATCTGCTTCATAACTGTGATAGCCCTCGTATGGTCAGGTAACGATGCAAGTACCACAAACTCTAAATGTAAGATATGTGTTTATGTATAAAAAAAAATTACGTCTTCCGATGTCTGATCCTTTCCTTATATTCCAGTTCAGGATAGCAAGGACGCCGTATGTTTGGATGACAGTGATTGCGTTGACCAGCAAACAGGTAGCGAGGCTGATTCCAAGGATCTGACAGTTGGAACCAACGCAAATCAAGTTTTGGACAGTAAACACGATGCGCCATTTACGATTGTCAGCGGCGCAAGTGCCAATCACTTCTGTGCCTTAGAAGCATTTTTGTATTCATTACACCAACTTAAAGACGAAGTCCACCCATCACAATTCCCACGCATCATCGTTTATAATATTGGCGTCAACGGCTCACAATACCCTGTTCTAGAAGAACTTCAAAAAGCCAATTATTTTGACGAACTGTACGATTTTGACTTCCCTGCATATCCTGATTTTTGGAATATTCGGGCAGCCCGTGGTCAATATGCTTGGAAAGCCGGCATTATCAATGAGATACAAAGAAAGCAAAAAGGAGTAGTTCTCTGGATGGATTCTGGAAACGTACCCAATGCTGAATTTCTACGCACTATCCCCAACATTGTTCGAAAGCAAGGTTTTTGGTCACCACGATCCACAGGATTTATGGGAGGAAAGCTCATTCACCCTGGTATGTTCGCTTGGTTCGAGGCCAATGCGGCGGACTACAAAGATTTCGCCAACTGCAACGGTGCCGCACTAGGATTCAACCTTGATGACCCCCGAGTTATAAACAAATTGGTTGTACCATGGTTTGAATGTGCTTTAGAGCTGAATTGTATAGCGCCACTTGGATCATCGCGCAGTAACCATCGACAAGACCAAGCTGCTATTACCTTCTTAGCATATCGATCGGGCTACAGCTGTTACGAATATCCAGAGTTTCACGGCATTACGATACATCAGGATGTAAAATGTCGTGAAAGGCTAGGTGTACAAGCTTCTCAAGGCAAATTGATTCATCCATCTTCATACGGTAAATTATATGCTGCATAAGAATGTGTTTTAGAAATTTTTGGCTCCAAGCTAATTGAGCGCGATCTCCCCCCACACCTGTTTTATGTTTGTTAGATTATCCGGAATGGACTCCCACCGATACCAGTGCAATGTGGCGAAACCCAGAATGGTGGACAAGACATTCAACGCCGCCGCCGTCTTAAATGCCTTCGTATTAGAATCACCCTCACCTCCTTCCCCACCACTTGCAACCTCGCATCTTTGTCCAACATTTCTACCACCTATCTCACATGTTTTCCTATAATTTTTTGGTTTGTTTGTTTATTTGACATCGTCATTTTGCCTCCTTTACGTAAGGTTATGGCATTTTGACATTACATAGACACGCTTTCTTTCATCGAGGACAGGAGTTTTTAAATACAGCCAGTATCTCAAACATACTGATGTTGGTCAGAGCAGACATGATATTTTATGGCATTTGTATTAAACCAGCTGGGCAATATCTTTTCTTTTGGAGCAAGTTATCGCGTCACCATCGGTGGGGGGGAGGGAAATGCTGTAACGGGCACATAGGCGGTCGCAGAGCGTGTTTGTGGGATTTCAACTGGGGCAACTTTTGCACATGTGCATTTCCTTATGAGTACAGCGCACTGTAAAGCTAATCCGAGCCACGGTTGGTTGTTCAAAAGAAAAAAAAATATTCGCACCAACATTGTTCTGCCTATCAACATCCTCTAAAAGCTGGTATAAGCATAATGTTAACCCCCCCCCTCTCACACCGAACGGGAAATATGAGCCAATAAAAAGGTGTTCAAGAAGTTTATGCCAATGGGAAAGGGTGTGAGCGGGGTAAATTCGAGCTTTGAACAATATCAGCATTTTGATGCAGCTTGGCTTTTTTTTTTCTATCTTTCTTCCCTACTGCTTCTTTTTTTTGTGATTTCCACACTTTGCCTTTCAATTCGTTCTTCATCTTTGGGGTTGATTTTCTTTCCATTGTGAGATCTGGTACGATTGCCATTCACATCAACATCCTTTTTATCCTTGAGCACCTTTCTTCTCCCCGCACACGTTCCTAGAATTTTTCTTCCTAAAAAATCCCCTTCTTATTGGCCTCTTGAAACAGGAACAAGTTTTTTTAATTTTTTTATAAGATCACTCCCAAGTTCTGGGTCCAGCTCGCACTGACCAAGGCAAAAAATCATACCTCAGGTAGTGCAATGCCTTATCATCATGGCTCATCTTTATGGCAAACAACTCCAACGCAACCAGTTGGACCTTCTGCATCAACATCTGATACCTACAAGCCATCGCAGTCAATTTTGTCTTCCAACCATAACGCTAGTCCGCCTTCGATTGTTACACACTCGCTGCATGGTACCCCCGAGTCGTCCTCGAAAGAAACGTTTGGCCGATCGAACAACCTACGAAGCAAACCTTTCAATAATCAGGAACCGTTTTCTCCCATGATTCCTCATGGTCAAGACAAGCGCTATAATGACCCTGCGGCGATGGACGATATCATCACTCTGCAAAAAAATGAACCACATGCCTTTACCAACCCGTATTCCCGCAATGCATTCGGCTGGCCAATCAATAATAGTTCATCTGTGCTGGCCTCCACGGATATTCAACCGCAGTCAACCTTCATGACGGGTGATCAAAACTATAGTGAAGCATGGCGACAAGACAAGCGACCGAATAGCCATCGCAGTAGCATGGTAAGTTAACCTTAGTTTGTTGTGAGGGCCACTGTCACCTGAATAAGGGCGGCATGCTCAGCTTCGGCTTATTGGTTAGTGGAGAAATTCTCACAAGACCAAATCTCTACTTGCCATTTTCGGATTGCTCCGCTTATAGGTGTCGGATAATCTGGCCGTTCACACCTCTTCTTCATCTATGCTCCCTTCCATGTCGATTTCGGGTGGAGGAATCTATCCATCGGCCTTTTTGCAACAATCAGCGTCGTCTTCATCCAGCATTCGTCGGGCTTCTATTCCACAAAACCCCTATCCACATGCTCGTATGCCGTATCTCGGCCCTGGAAGCCAAAATGATACGGTACCAGACACTTACATGTCCACACGGCAAACGCATCATGGTGAGCAGCACCATGAGAAGCCACCTCCACTTGATTTTTCTCAACACTATATGATCTACGGTCAAGATCATCACCAACGTCGTACGTCTATCGAAACACCTACTGTTTCACGCTTTCAGTCCTTGGCCTTGCAGTCCCCTTTTCATTCATCTCCCATGGACTCCCCAAGCAACTTGCATTCGTTCATAAATGCATCGACATCCTCTCCTATCAGTCATGCACCCGTTGGGGTCTCCGCAAACCCAATGACCTCAAGTAGCCATGATGCTGCTTATGGTAATGATGAGCAACACCATAGGATATTTGGCAACTGGAGTCCCACGACGCCTTCACCGTCTACTTCTGCACCTCCCCCTCCTTTGGAAAAGTACCATAATTACTATTCCTCTGGAAAGAAGTTTCGAACAAACAGCACTGATGAAAGTTTGATACGGACTTCCAACCCTCCTACATTTGCCCCCACGCCTCAGTACCCATCTACTCTTCAGCAGCAGCGTGCTCAAGCAATCAAAGCGATAAGTATCTCGGTCGACTCTTCTGTCAGCGACGATAGCCCTTCAGAAAGGATAAGATCTTCAAGAAAACGAAGTAGCGATGGCGAAGTGTACACTCGTCAGCAAATCAATGACCAACAGCAGCAGCAGCAGCATCAACAGCAGCAGCAGCAACAACAACCATTTTCACCTCCGACGCATATTGTGTCGCCTGAGGCTATTCTCAAAGCTCAGGCTGAAGAAGAACCCGAAAGCAGCCACATATCGTTTTCTTCTTATTTTGATAAACGACTAGCGACCAATACTAATGATATCGACAACAATGAGCCACCGTTTATAAGGCGGAGAAAATCTATTGCTCTTGGATTACCGGGACGAGAACAACCCACAAGTAACACAGCACCCAGTTTTTCAATACCCACTTTTACGGAAAATGCACAAACTCGATCTCCGTCGCCTGAAATATTATCAGACAAAGAATCTCCTTCTCCTGAGGAATCATTGAGCGCTCCCTTGACCAATCGAAAATTTTCGGCTTCTGGTAAGGCCAATCATTCCTTGGTCAGCGTAGTCTCAAACTCGGGAGCTGCCGAAGCCGACGCTCTCTCCAAACTGGACGATATGAACTTCAACCAGCCGCAACCAATCCCAATGGGTAAAAAAGAACGATTAAAGCGACCTCCGAATGCATACCTTTTATTTAATAGAGATACACGACATAAGCTTCTGGAAAGCATGCCACATCTTACGGTTGCTGAAATATCTAAACAAATAGGCGAACGATGGAAAGCGTTATCTCCTGTAAGTTGATAATTTCTTGCTTGCCGTTATTTCGTGCCATACCACATGAGCGCAGTTTGGCTTTTGAAAAAATGACTTTTTATACTAACCACCGCCACCAAACCAAACCGTTATCAAACCAAATAGGAAAAACGTGATTATTATATGCGAGAAGCATCCTTGTTAAAGAAAAAGCATTTAAATAATCATCCCAACTTCATCTACACCCGCCGGTCAAAGGCAGAACTTGCTGAAGCAGGAAGACACTCGAAAGCTCATCGAAAATCTCAAGACAATGGTCAGCAACTTAGCATAAATGGTGACCCACCTCGCGATCCTCGTGGACGCAAAAAGAAGCGACATAAAAATCCTACAGCCCCAAAGCACCCAATGTCTGGTTTCCTGTTTTACCTGTCAGCCGTACGACCTAATATTGCACAACAGTATCCTGGTTCGACCGTCGGTCCCATTAGTAAGATGATTGCACAGCAATGGCGAGATATGGACAAATCAGACCGTGAACCGTGGAACAAAAAAGCAGATGAAGACAAGAAACGTTACGCCCGTGAGATTCGAGAATACGCAAAAACAGTCGAAGCACAGCAAGCCAACCAGAAAGACAAGGCTTCAGACCCGCCTTCTCCGTCTGATTTGGACAGCCTCACCATTGCCACAGTTGCGCAAATGGTCAAATTGGATAGAGAACCAGATGCACAATCTGATAAGTCTCCCACTGGAAGCGACCACTCTGCTCCAGAAATGCATGTTCCGGCCAGTCCTGATTATTCTGCAATGGAAGACGTGGATGAAGGAGATGATGACAAGGACATGGAAGAGAGAGATACCTTTGATCCCATTGAAATGGAAGAAATCAAGCCTCGTATATCGGCATCCGCTCCTATTCCCGCGAAATCATCCAACCTGTTATAATACTGAAAGTTTCCAACGAGTAACAAATCACTGTTCATGCATTTTTTCACGATCTTGCCCTTTTTTTCTTTCACTCTATTACCTCTCTCTTCCCCCTTCTACATCACTTTGTGTTCTATCTCTCAACAGATAGTTATATATATATTTATAATATGTATATGTATAAAACATGACAATACATATTTTTAATCTCTGTTCTTAGCATCATGTACATTTATGACTCATAAGTCAAGTTTTACGCACTTTGATGTGGTGTGCCTTTTTCGCGTGAGAAGCCAGTGTTAAATTCTTGGCTGCTTGGTTCGTGCACCTGAGTTTCAATCACCAAGTTTGGAGAATATCTGTGAGAGCTGTGCCTTGCTCACTTGGCGAAACTTGGCAATCATAGTCATTCTTTCAATCCTTCCCTGCTGTTTCATTTCTCTCTCTTATTTTCTATAATCTGACTCTATCTCGGTGGTTCAATGACCGCACTTCTCTCTCTAGAAGGCAAAAAGACAGACCCAGCAGGATGGACTCCATTCATAAAGCAATATATTGCGGAATCATACGCTGAGTCTCCAGATCAATATAGCGACGAATGTGCTATATTAGATCAACTACGTTCGCAATCTGTAAATATACCAAGCCATCCTAATGTTTTGGCACGACTACAACAGTACGTATCAGATTTGTCACCCTTACTGCTGTAATATCCATCGACCTAGTGTCCCATTTTTTAATCAATTCCTTTAGATACTACGCACAATTAGCTCAATTAATGACAAAGTTTCCATTGGATGTAAGTTTTCTTTTGCGTTTACGGCGTACTACTTGAGAAATTAACTCTAGGGTATTGTAATTTTCATACTTTAGATCGGAATTCAGTTTTCCTGGTATCCAATCGCTGGGACTGGAGCGCCATCAGGTACAATATTTGAAAATGCTTTCGTTCCCTTTGACAGTGGTAGTCGCTAACACTTGTAAAAGTTGGCCATAAAAATGGTTATTATGAAAAGGCATGCGTATTATTTTCTATTGCCAGTATGTTTAGCGAATTAGCTTGTAGTGAAAGCAAGGATTCTCCCGAAGGCGCTCGACAAAGCTGCCTATACTTTCAGGTCAGTGAATTGAATTGTTGCTGGGAGTTTATAAAGTACTTGAAGCTACGGTTATTCATCTCCAGCTGGTCATTAGAATGCTGCAGGATGCTATCAGCACCTGCGAGACGTTGTCATTCATGAGATTCGTGTACCGCCTCCTGCCGATATGAGCCACAAGTCACTCACGTTATTGAGCACGCTAATGCTGGCACAGGCTCAGGAATGTAGTTGGAGAAAAGCGCTTCTCGAAAATGTACGACACGGTGCCATTGCTCGCTTGGCAATCAAACTATCCGAATTCTACCTTACCTTGGCTGATATTCTCACAGACGATGGCATAGCTTCTTTGTTTCCATCTTCTTGGGCATTACAAGTTCGTACAAAGGCTCACTACTTTGAAGCCATTGCCCATCATCGGAAAGGGATTGAATGTGAGCAGAACGGCAAATTTGGAGAACAAATTACTCGACTCCAGTTGTCGGATGCGGCTTTGAAACTGGTGCAACAAGATATCAATGGCAGTCAATCTTTCTGGGGCTCTACTGCAACCATAAGCGACGCATTGCTTCGAGATGTCCATGATCTTCAGGAAATGATTGCAGAACAACTTGCTTCGGCCATTCGGGATAATGACTCCATCTATATGGACATCGTTCCTCAGGCCTCGCAAGTAGCACTTATTCCTGGATTCGAAATTGTGAAACCTCTTGTTCCCATCATTGTTAGCGAGCCTTTCAACGAGCTGGACCTTGCAGGAGACGATCCAAAGAAGCTAAAGCCTTTATTCACAAAATTGGTACCATTTGCAGTGCATCAGGCTATCAGCGTCTATGTCGATCGAAAAGACCTTCTCTTGAAAATGGACATACTGAAAAAAATTAAAGAACTGGATGAAGAATGCAACAGGTATTGTAGTGGCCTTTACCCTATCAAAAGTGTGTGAGACAGGATCTAATGGAACGGGCCTTATCAGTACGCTGCAAGATTTAGGCTTGCCATCTTCATTAGAGGCATTAGTACAGCCTACTGGACTACCCGATTCCATCTTATTAAAAGCGGAAGAGATACAGCATGAGGGTGGATGTCAGGCTCTGTACAATATGTTTGATAATGTGGAAATGCTCTCTACAAAAAACGCTGCTTTGATTGATGAAGCGGTCAATGAACTAGGAAAAGAGCATGATGAAGATGAACGCTTACGACGACGGTTTAGACTTGGTAATTAACATGATCAAAGTGCCTGGATTACTCTATACACACTAACGATGAATTACTCATGTTCGTTGCAGAATGGATTAGACCAACGTCTATCTCTTTGACTGCTCAACTATTAGAGAAAGGCGACCAGCTGTCTCAAACATTAGAGAATGCTCGAAACGCAGACAAAATTGTCAGGGAGAAATTAAAAAACTGGTCCAAGTTGATCGATTTACTGTCTCTTCCTGAAAAGATAATCGAGCAGTCCATCCCTTCAGGCACCATTGATGAAACGCAAGGGGGTGTCGGAGACGATATAATACAAAGACTCCAGTCCCTAGTAGATGAATGCTATGCCAATATACGCGATAGACAACGCATAGCAGACGAAGCGCAATCTATGTCTGAACAAGATGATATATCTCCATTGATTCTTAAACGAGCATCCGAACTATCCGACCGATCATCGACGGTGAAAATTGAAACGTCGCAATTTGACCCATTGTTTACTACCGAACTCGGAAAATACAATGAATTGCTTAAGCAAGTCAAAAAGCACTCTCAAGAGCAGTGGGTTCTGCTTAATAAAATTAAGGATGCGAATAATGATTTCACAACCAAGCGAAAAGGTTCAGGCGAGATCAGCCGTCGGGAGAAGGCTTTGCAGAACCTGGAACAAGCTTATCTAAAATTCAAAGAAATTCGAACCAACTTGGTTGAAGGCATCAAGGTAATTTATATCTGATTTATGCTTTCCAGAACCTTTTTATGCCTGAAGTGATATTCAATGCAAAATTCTTTTCCTCCCCTTAGTTTCACTCACAATTTAGCAAAGCCTTGATGAAGTATCGGAACATATGCGTCGACTTTGTTGTGGCCCGACAATTAGAAGCGGAGGAACTCACCAGGTAAGACATGGTGGCAGAGTCAGGCTTTCTGTCCACCCAACTTCTCACTCAATCCCTTTGCTTTCTTCAGAGAATACAATGCTGGTCTTTTCGATACTTGAACAAAAATAATAAAATCGTTTTGCTTCGTCTCTTATTGGCTCATGTCAGTGGGTTCATCACATTGAGAACATATTGCTAATTTTGGGTAGTCACACGACCCCCGCGACGTATATGAACGTCGGCAATTGTGCCTTATCACCCCAACCCACCCTTCTTTATGAAAATCATTACTGCCCTTGCCCTTACCTTTGCTTTGACAGCAACCACAGTTCAAGCTGGTCCTATTGGACTTGTTGATCAGATCTCTAACTTTGGATTTAGCCAAGGAGACGAACTTCGCCTCATTCAATACGGGTAAGCATTTGACCAATGCCGAGCATTGCCAAGGCGGTTCTGCCAAGGGAGTACCCCTACGCAAGAATATCATGGTTCCAAAGTGAAAAACGGTTTTATTGTCTTATCCACTAACGAATACCCTTTGTAGTGATGACCAGCCCGCCAAATGGATGAAGGAGAGCGAAATTTTGGAAATGTTCCGTCTCGGTATCAAGTACATGGATATCACTGACTATCAAGATGCTTATGATGATATCAAGATTGCTGGTAGCTGGAAGCCATGTAAGTACTGTGGGAGGCACGGATAACTGGCTGATACGACTGTCGTGCTGGAGGGCTGCGTGAGCACATAGCGTCATATAGCTCCGAATGGGGTAATAACACTCGTTGGCCTTTGCAGTCATCCCTGCCAAAGCTCGTTTTGCTGATGAGGTTGAGCCATTCATTGGCAATTTGACCACCACTACCATGGAAATTGCCCTCACTAAGCTGACAAGCTTCAAGAACCGTTATTACAAATCCAGATGGGGCGCTGAATCTTGCAGATGGCTCATCCAATCTATTCGCGACCTTTCCGAAGGTGTTGAGGGTGTGACTGTAAAGGAATTTGAGCACACAGTAAGTACAAGACAACTTCAATATCATGATAGTGCTATCCGTTAACTAAGGCCACCGTCATTTCTACTCTCAGTGGGACCAATTCTCCATCATTGCTCGCTTTGAAGGCTCTAATCCAGATTTGAAGGACGAATTGGTTATTGTTGGAGCTCACCAGGACTCTGTCAACTTGTGGCTTCCTAGCTTTGGAACTGCCCCTGGTGCCGATGTAAGTAATTTGTCATATAGCGCATGAGAGCTGTATCTACGTTTGCTCCCGAGGTTACGGAGATCTCTAACGCAGCACTTTTTGTGACACCTAGGACGATGGCAGTGGCACAGTCACTATCCTTGAAGCTTTCAGATCTCTTGTCGACAACGGCTTCAAGCCCGAGAGACCTGTAGAGTTCCACTGGTACTCTGCTGAAGAAGCTGGACTTTTGGGCTCCCAAGCTGTCGCTGCTGAGTATAAGAAGCAAGGCAAGCGGGTAGTTGCCATGCTCCAGGTGAGTAATATCATCCCAGCCAAGGCTTACGATTGCTTACCTACAGTCATGTTCTAATTTACCTGTCTGCAGAATGATATGACTGGATATATTGGTTCTAACGGTGAAGTTATTGGTGTTGTCTCCGATCACGTCGACCCTGAATTGACCGACTTCTTGAAGACGCTTGTTGATACCTATGCTGCCATTCCTTATGCTGACACCAAGTGCGGATATGCATGCTCTGACCACGCCAGTTGGGCTAAGCAAGGTTTCCCTAGTGCATTTACCATTGAAAGCGCTTTCGAAGATAGTAACAAGGCTATTCACACTACTGGCGATGTGATCTCACGCCTTTCCTTCAACCACATGAAGGAATTCGCCAAGGTTGCCACTGGTTTTGCTGTCGAACTTTCTCACGAGAGATCCGAGTAAGCATTGCGGTTCATTAGTGTATAATAAATTCTGACCTATCTCGCTCTTCTGAGAGAATCGCAATCACTTCAACCATGGTCAAATTGTTTCAATTCACCTGATATAGGTGGTTTTTCCTGAATAGTATAGAGCCTACACGAGTTTTACGCGAAAGTACTCTATCAACCCCTATATAAACTACTGTTTTCCAAAGAAAAGCGCTTCTCTTTTTGTTGATGATCTGATTTTTAAAGACCACACTGTATGCTTGAGCAGTATGCCATATATTCTGGAGTCATCAACATTTTTTTCAAAGACTGTCAGCGCGACCATTTTCATCCTGTACGCGTCGGTCAGAAATAAAAATTGACCAGATTGATCAGCCGCTGACTGCCCAGCTTGTCTGTATTAGTCTTTCCAGGTGAATGAATGCGTCGCTCAGCAGCTCCCAGCAAGCGAATAGCCCATTCTTCTGCACCGACATTAGCAGATCAGAATAAACGAACTCTTTCTAATCAGCCGGAGAATGGTCGCTCCGCAGCTGGATCTCACTATGAAAATAAGCGCCAAAGGGTCATTCCGCAGAACAACGAAACAACTGCCAGCGACAGTGCTGTCCTAAAGAGCACTGAATCGAGATACTTTTCTATTGTATGGCGAAAACAGTCTATGAAGAAGGTAATGGGTCATGGGAAAGCTCCAGTGTATAGCTGAACAATACACTAATTGAAACTTGAACTTCCCATTCATTGTACTTACAGAATAAGGTATGTGATGCCGACTGACGTTTTCTCGCTTATTGACCCCTCTACTGATCATTATGAGCTAATTCATAACAAACAATAGACGTGGGATGGTGATGGTGAGTTATGCGATTTGAGGATATGGTATGGTATAGTACTTCTAATGTTTCCACAGGCTATCTGGTTTTAAACAATAAAATTCTGGAGATATTCGACACCAACCGAAAAGAGTGAGGACGAACTTTATCTATTGACATATTTATTGAATGGCCATTTATGAAAAACTGTTATGTTATAGGCTGGCTAAGTTATCGGCCACGTTCGTTAAGAGCTATAGCGAAGGAAGTGAATTTGCAGCATCCGGAAAGGACTTTGAGGTAATGTGTTGCAGCAAAGGCGATTCGTATATCAACGCTCAAGGTTTTGATGTTGGTCTATAACAATAAATAGATTGCAAGAGAAATAACTAAACAGGAATATGAATTGGAGACTGGACAAACTGTTGCCGAATCTAAGGATCCGGCTACTGTAGAACGACCTGTGATTCGACGCGGTGAGATATTGTTGGATGCGATAATTAGCTTGATATATTACGTCTTATACAGTTTGTATTAATTACAGTGGCATTACCGAAATTTCGAGCTCACACCACGCTACCTCCTGCACCATCCGTGGCAAATTATTCCATTCAACCGCGTCACAAGCCCGATGTTCCTGGAAGTTTGGTCTTACCTCGGCCATCCGACAAATACGTTCTTCAATACAATAAGCGGTATTTAATTGAGAATCTGCACATAGTGGTCTATAAGAAAAAGATATTGAAGTCGTTCACCTTAGAAATCGACCGCTGGTGGATGTTGTTGTTGATCCTGTCATTTGCCAGCATTTAAGAGACCACCAGAGGCAAGGCGTTGCTTTCATGTATGAATGCCTGATGGATATGAAGGATTACGGTGGCGAAGGCGTCTTGTTGGCAGATGAAAGTACGTACAACACTCACTTTCTTTATGTTGAATCTCATAGTTGAAATTATGTTTGTTAATTCGAATGTTTGCTTAGTGGGTCTCGGTAAAACATTGCAAGTAAGTTTACTCTTTAAGCTTGTTCCTCGAAGGTATGTCCAATCGCTAACCATGCAAACTCATCCCCAGGCTATAGCGCTACTATGGACATTGCTAAGTATGTTTCTATATCCCTCTCCAATCAAAGATGTCGTGTGCTTACAATATAGTAGAGCAAACACCCTTTCATGGAGAGCCACCGATCGTCAAAAAAGCGCTAATTGTTTGCCCAACGAGCGTCATAGAAGTAAGAGAGAATACTGCCATAACATGATCAATTTGTGTTTAGATTTACTGATGTTCGTACTGAAAGAATTGGAAGAAGGAGTTCAAAAAGTGGCTCTGCGATGAAAGGTATAATATATTCTATATCTAGAGTATGGGATCTTCTATCAGAATCTGCTAACGAATGTGCCATATCTAAAATGTAGAATCAGTGTTTATACTGTGGATCAAAAATCTCAACTTAATGATTTCCTGCACAGTCCCATTTACAGTGCTATGATAGTTGGTTACGAAAAGGTACTATAGGTTGATAACTCAAAACATTACTGGACTTTCCTAACAAATTTTCATCAGCTACGGAATATGGAGGATGAACTTGAAGGTGCTTCGTTCGACATAATTATTTGGTAAGCATAAGCAGAACTCTTGTCCTTTACATAGCAGCCTGGGTATCTAACTACGTGCTCAAAGTGATGAAGGTATATTTTGAATAGCAGAGTTTCGCATGTATATGTGAAACATCGCGCTCATTAAATGCCTCAAAGGTCATCGACTGAAGAACCAAAACATAAAGACACTGCAAGTCATCAGCGCTATGCCAGCCAACAAGCGTATAATACTTAGTGGAACACCGTAAGTACACCTTATATCACACCTTATTATGCTGCCGTTTCTAAACAAACTATTATCAATTCAGAATACAAGTAAGTCAACTTTGTTTTAGACACGACATAGTTGCATTCATCGCATCATTGCTAAAATCAGGCAAACAGAATCATTTAGAAGAGTTTTGGTGCATGATAAATTTCCTCAATCCCAATATATTAGGCAAATATTCTCACTTCAAAAAGGTAAGGTGACGGTCTACTTGTGGAAGGATTGCCGCAAACTGTAGGTGTTAACATCATTCCTAGATGTACGAGACACCCATCAACCAGGCCCGGCAGCCTAATTCAACGTAAGTGATGTTGCTCTCAATCAACTACGATCGACATGAACTGACATGATCACATAAAAGAAAGGAGGATTTGGAGCTGGGAAATGAGAGAGCTGACGAGGTATGATGAAACAAGTGGGGTTGGACTATGACAAAATATATTAGTATCTCTAAGTACTTCTCTTCCTGTAGCTCCTGAAGCTGGCCTCTCAGTTTATGCTCAGGCGAGAAATAGATGTGATAGCCAAATATTTGAAACCTAAAGGTACATACGTGGCTGTGATTTTTCTAGGCTTATACAACTACTAATTTGATTTGCAACTCTAGTGGAGTATGTTATATTTTGCCGGCCTTCAGCCTTGCAACAGCAGCTTTATCACAAGTTACTATGGTCAGCAGCATGGATGGATATGGCACGGAATCGCGCCGGATTCCTCGGTTGCATTACCGCCCTCAAAAAGGTCTCAAATTGTCCTACATTGGTATATGAGAGTGCGATGACTGGCGGTAAGCAGGTATGTGTAGGAACCGTAACATAAAACCCCACATGTATAAAGATTTTCTCTAATTCGTTTAGTAGGAAGCCAGCCTGTTTTCTAGCACAGATTGTTTGGATGAGTTCCCAGAGAACTTTGATGGAAGGCAGATAAATCATAAAGACAGTGGTGAGTATTTGCAATAGCGCATCGACAAGAGATCGGCATCTCGTTTTTAACACTATGAATGCAGGTAAACTATATGTTCTTGTAGAGCTTCTGGCCAAATTGCGTCAGCATACATCAGAAAAAGTGGTCCTTGTTAGCAACTACACCCAAACGCTAGACATCTTAGAGGTGATGTGTGACGAGCATAATTACAAGTATTATAGACTTGACGGGTAAGGTATTGTTCAGAGCTGGATAGCAAACTTATATAGCTAACTATAATTGTATTGATACAGATCAACGCCAGCCGCTCAGAGACAAACGATGGTCGATCATTTTAATGAGCCTGATGATGATCGTTGTAAGCTATTTCGCCTTGGCTTTAACTATTTCGATAACGTTTATTCAGCCATAACCGTTGTACAGTTGTATTCTTATTGAGCGCGAAAAGTGGTGGCATTGGCTTGAACCTGACTGGAGCATCACGACTGGTAAGTACCAATTTGTTGATGAGACAAGATTATGCTATCGGTGGCTAATGAAGATTTTTATAAAACAAGATCCTTTTTGACCCTGATTGGTAAATATTCAGAGCCAAACTCGGTAGATTAACGAAGGTTAATTATGCTAACACTATGCACTTCATTTTATCGTACATAGGAACCCTAGGTAGGAGTTATTACATATGATGATAGCATGGCGTACCATACATTGTTATTGACTTACTACCTACCAGTGTGGACAAGCAAGTCATGGCCAGAATTTACCGTGACGGACAGAAAAGAACTGCACATGTGTACAGATTGTTAACGTATGTTGAATATCTAGTTTGATGGTAACATCTCAAATCGATGCTAAGTAACTTCAATTGGCCTACAGCACAGGTACTATTGACGAAAAGATATTCCAGAGGCAATTGAACAAGAGCTCTTTGAGTGAGTCGATCATGGGTCTGGGAGAAGAGCCGAGCGTAAACCATTTCAGCGATAGTCAGATTCGCGATTTGTTCAGACTAGACACAGATACTTTCTGCCAAACGCACGACCTGCTTCGCTGCAAATGCAGTGTAAGCATCAACATGATGAAGTACCATCTTTTTTTTTATATTCTTTTTAACATAGAGAATTATAGGAAACAACGCAGAATATAGATCCAGAAGAACCTAGGCAGGCATTTCTTACCAAGGCAAGTCACTGCTGAAGCGGGGATTTCGTTCGCTACCAAATGCTAATATCCATTATAGAACGATATTAAATCCCTAGAAGAATGGAAACATATTATGATTTCTGAAAATAATGTAGATAATGATATGTTAGCGATAGACGACACCATCCTAACTCAAGCATTGCTCACGTTTCGACAGCGGCAAGAAGACGTTGTTAGCTTCGTGATGAAAAAAAGTAACCAATAAAATGTGAGAGTGGCTTAGCTAAAGACGCAAATTGAAAAAAAAAAAAAATTGTTGAGCGGCAGAGCAAATAATACACAGGGACAAGAAGCCAATACAAAGTTTCTTCCTCTTTCGCTTACTATGCAGGTTTTCGTCAAATCTCTTGCGGGTAACACCCTTGCCCTCGATGTTGCTGCCACTTCCACCGTCGAATCCGTCAAGGCCATGATCCAGGCCCGTGAGGGTGAGTTGATAAGTTATTGGAGAAAAAGCTAAAAGGAATGACGATTCCAAACCATCACAAATTTTTTTGTGGTGTAAAAATCTAATCCTAAGGCGAATCTTTATATCCGAACTTCAATCTCTTTCACTGTTTACTCATCTCAATGTTCGTGTCACTAAATTCCATCCCATCTCGAAGGTATCGAGTCTGGTCTTCAGTGCCTCTCCTTCGCTGGTAAGTCTCTTCGTGACTCCGAGGACCTTGCTCTCTATGGTGTCCAGGACAACAGCACTCTCCACCTTAACGCCGAATTGCTCGGTGGTGGTAAGAAGCGCAAGAAGAAGACCTACACCACCCCCAAGAAGATCAAGCACAAGAAGAAGAAGGTCAAATTGGCTGTTCTCAAGTACTACAAGGTTGACGAGTCTGGCAAGATCACTCGTCTTCGTCGTGAGTGCCCCAACACCGAGTGCGGTGCTGGTATCTTCATGGCTTGGCATCATGACCGTCAATACTGCGGAAAGTGCGGTTTGACCTACGTCTTCAAGCAGGGTCAAGATGCTTAAATCTTGTCTACCCCTAACCTTTAAAAAATAAAAAAGCATTTGCTATTTTTTGATTTACGAAAACTTTAAGCCATTGTTTTGTCCCCATTAGTCTCTCGTGTAGTTTTTAGCTTTTATTTTGACATCTGAGGTGTAATGTGTACATATAAAAAGTTGAAGTATTGGTAGATTAGATCACTATCCTTCCTTGCTGGCTTCTCATCGGAAGGCTACCATTAACCCATAAGCATCTGTATGTCCAATGTATAGTTCCGATTTACAACTTGGGTTCACCGCGAATCTTACGAAGACGATCTGCGATCTCGTTCAAGAATTGGGCAGTTTCAGAATAGTGTTCGGGCTTCATGCTATGGAGAGGGGTAATATGATTAGCTGTGGGCATAGAATACTGTCAAGACGGAGCATAGAACTATTCAATTGACTTACTCCTTGCCATAGATCAAAAGAGCAAGATCCTTGGTCATCTTCTGGTCATCCTCAATAGTTAATCTGCATGCTGACTCCAAATCATCACAGAAGCGACGAAGTTCCCCGTTTTCATCGAGCTTTGCACGATGAGCGAGACCCCGGGTCCAGGCAAAAATGGATGCGATAGGATTGGTGGAGGTAGGGTTGCCCTTCAAAAAAAAAAAAGGATGAACGTCAATACACCACTGCCTTGAGTAGACTCTGAAGAATCGAAGCTTTATCTTTTTACCTTTTGGTATTCGCGGTAATGTCTTGTGACAGTTCCATGGGCAGCTTCAGCCTCGACTGTCTTACCATCAGGGGAATATAAGACAGAGGTCATCAAGCCAAGTGAGCCATAACCTTGAGCAACAATGTCACTCTGGACATCACCATCATAGTTTTTGCAAGCCCAGACAAAACCACCCTTGGACTTGAGGGCTTGGGCAACCATATCATCGATCAATCGGTGCTCGTACCAGATGCCGAGTTTCTCGAATTCTGGCTTGTATTCTTGCTGGTATATAGCTTCAAAGATATCCTTAAATCGACCATCATAGGCCTTCAGAATAGTATTTTTAGTGGACAAGTACAATGGGTACTTCTTTTCAATGGCAATGCGGAAGCAGGCATGAGCGAAACCTCGAATGGATTCGTCGGTGTTGTACATGGCCATGCCAACACCTCCATCAGCGGTGAAGTTAAAGACCTCATATCTTTTTGGCTCCGAGCCGTCCTCTGGTGTAAAGACAATTTCAAATTTGCCAGGCTGCTGAACAGTGAAGTCGGTGGCACGGTACTGATTTGAAAAGACCCAGGTAAGTTACGATAGATCGTGCGAAAAGGGATTTCAATTTCCTCCAACTACTGTCAAACTTTGTCTCATACCTGGTCACCAAAAGCATGACGTCCAATGACAATGGGCTCGGTCCAGGAAGGGACCAATCTGGGGATATTGCTCAAAATAATGGGTTCACGGAACACAGTTCCATTGAGGATATTGCGAATAGTACCGTTAGGAGACTTCCACATCTTTTTCAATTTGAATTCTGTAACACCAGACCATGTTAGCTCGGTGACAACCCCAATCGCCCCACATAATCGATGAGAAGTTATTTACCTTCAACTCTGGCTTCGTCTGGAGTAATAGTGGCACATTTAATGCCAACATTGTACTTCTTAATAGCCTCAGCGGCATCGATGGTAACTTGGTCATCGGTCTATCGTTCATGGATCAGATCATGCAAACTCATGACATCTCTATACAACAGTATCCCGAGCTCACCTCGTCTCTGTACTCCATGCCCAAGTCAAAGTACTTTATGTCCAAGTCAAGGTATGGGAGAATGAGTTTTTCCTTAATAAGCTTCCAGATAACGCGTGTTTGTTCATCTCCATCGAGTTCGACGACAGGATTTTTGACAGCAATACGTTGATTGACCATGATTTTGATATTTAATTAAAGAACAAGAAAAGAAAAAAATGCCCAAGACCAAAACGCTGAAGAATATAAAGCCGAGGCGTGCGACTCTTAATGAGCCAATTTGGGCAGCGACTGGCTTCGGCTGTAATTTGCCAGGCACGTGCAATTCTTCACCTTAGAACCTTACCCCGGCTTATACCGCTTTCAGCTCACTACTTTAAAGGCGGTATATATTTGGTTCAAGAGTAAACAACAATAAACAGGATAACCACATTACTCTTCCCAGGGTAAAGCAGGCGGCTTATGCAATGGTCAACCCCACATCCCATGCTGCTGCCGGCGGGGATAAATGGAACAACGTTGTTACAAAGCATGATTGGTTGACTGGTAGAATGGGGATATGTCAGCGAATTTCTTCAGTTTTGCCCTAAAGTCTTTCCGGCACCTTCACATGTCAGTATTGTTCAATAGTCTCCCGTATTTGCCAACCTGTATTACGAGGTATAAAGATCATCCAGATTAAGTCATGCTCATTTTCGTCCAAAACGTATGCTGAGCTCTGAGATTTGCAAAGTAAACAAGGAACATTGTTCTCTTTCTGATCCAACCACGATCTTACATTATGTTGCCGTCAGGGATATCTGTATTCAGGTCCAGTTAGACATTTTTCATTTTAATTTACGATCAATCACCACCTTGCGTAGCTGCTACCTTTGCGGGATGGCTTCAAGTCGCGGTTCAATAATATACCCACCATAGTTTTGTTCTTACAAAGCAGCGACCAATATTATCAGCCTATTTCCCTAGACATCATCAAAACTTCTTCTGCATCTGCAGCACTCAGGTGAGGACTTGTTTACTGCCAAGTTATTGAAACAAACCCACCAAAGCCGCATCATTTCGGGTATTGAACAACCTCACTCTACGGATTTCTCCGGAATCGCAAACCTTCAGTCGTCAAACATAATATGTACGACTGCAACTTACAATTTGATTCAGTAAGCCTTAATCTAGATATGGTATTTTTTTCTAAAATACCAACGACGGCAGGCATTACGTACAGCCCTCAACTTTCATCAAGCCAGCCAAAAATATGTCTATATTGATTACACTACGATGGTAGATGTCATAAGCTCCAATTCTGTATTCCCACATTGTAGGGATATATGGTATTTGATTTTTCACATTGGCCTGCGACGACGGTCTAGTTTCTGTCCATGTCGCATTTCAATGCGCTTGCCTACGCGCCGCCGTACGCACAAACAGGTGAAGTATGACAATGTTTCATAATGCTATCTTGCGCTGTTCGGCTTCCATAAGAATGTGTATCACAGTCTGTAAGCTACCGTAAGCAAGCCGATATAATAATAGGACAGTGCAGGTTGCAGACACATTTTTTGCTTTGGCAGTTGGCGGCTATTGCATATTATTGGCTGAGCTGATTTACTGTGACTTGCTGCCAGCTCACAAATGCAGCCCTGGTAGGCCTTTTGCATGAGCCATGTCAAATAACCTTACGACAAATGTCGAGGAAGAGCAACGACGGCTTATTGAAAGGCTAAGGCCAAGCCTTGAGTCTCTCAACCGGATTCAAGATCGTATCAATTTAGCCAACAGCAAGCATGTCGCAACATTACTCGATTCTGTCGTACAAGTCCTGAACACCACACCAGATCCCGTCGAGACTGTGACAACCTACCATATCACGAGTATAATCCAAACTTTGGTGAACTTGTATCGTCTTCGTGAACAAGGCGAGCCGCTACCGACACAGGTTGCTGAGCTTTGGTTGACAATTGTTCACATACTCTTGTCGCGTACTGCTTGGAGAGAGACTATGGGCCAACAAGAGTTGCAACAATATATTGTTTACTTCACCTTGAACATCAATCCATCGCCCTTCAACGCCGATAACCAAATCAAATCCTCGGAAGAGCTCAAGCACATCGCAATTAATTGTATCTCGACCATACTTCCAGCCAAATATCAGGAGGGTCGCAAGCTTGATGAAACTTACGAGGTGGTCTTTGGTGATCGAGAACATTTCTGGAAAAATATCATGGCTTTGCGAGACGAGAGTTTTTGGCTACCACTTAATCACACTCTCAACGTTTTGAGGAATCTTGCTGTACAAGAGCAGAAGCTACAGCTTCGCCTGGATGCAATTCAAACTCTATCACAATTGACACTGGATAATCTGATGAACATTGATCTACTCGCTTCAATCATGGCCGGTCTCACGTCTGGTTTGGCGAAAATTATCTTGCAAAATGGTGAAAAGGAGCATCATCAAGTCGTAGTATCGTCCCTCCAATTCCTCGGTGACTTCATTTGTGCTGTTATGAACGACGAAGAAAATTTCATGTTCATTCCACAAGTAACAGGGCTCAAGGAGTTGTGGGAACTCAACAAGAATCAATCTGATAAAGAGAGTAAAGATGATCAACCTGACGTTAAGCAGGACATACCCTCTGCTACCAAAGGAGGGAATCCGTCGAGGAAAGTTGAAAGGACGAAAGGATGGTTCGCGTATACCAAAACACGCTTAAGGGATTTGATATCCAATGTTCTAAAACTGCGACAGCACCCAGATTGGCGAGCAAGGATTGCGTTCGTCAACTTTGCTTATGACATTTGTGCAAAATGTGCAATGTCCATGGAAGACTCAGTACCGATGCTAATTGAAACTATGGTGTTATATGTGGATGATGAATACCCTCCGGTATCCCAAATCACCAAGCAGCATCTTCAAGCTCTTTCTATCTCCAAGGAATTTGCAGATATTTTGTTACCCATGGTCAAGGAGAAGTTGTATCAGTGGATGACGGCACTTCCTCGATATATTTTGTCTGGAAACGATAAGGAGCAGAGAAGCGCAATATCAATGGTTATTGGATTTACGACCTTACTGGGACCCGAACTTCAGACGTCACTCGACTTGAATTTTCCCAAAATCATTGATAGTTGGCTCAGTATGATGGAATATGACCACAACGACCTCCGTATGGTTGAAGATAGAGGAGACGCCGTCCGGTATCAGGAGCTACAAGAATCAAATTTAGATCAACCATCAAATACAAAATCACAATTTCCAGTATACCCCCAAATTCACTTTAAGCATATCAATTCGGATAGTGCAACCAACCAACTTGCGCTCATGTTTCAGCACCTTGGAAAATATGGAGATATTCGAACATTGACTGATATGTTTATGACCAAATTCTTTGAAGGTACTAATCCCAAGTGGCAGCCTCAGTGTGCATACACAATCATACACTTGTTGATTGGAAATGCAGAATCACCATCCGATAATCAAGACGGGCTGTCCAGGGTGGTGAAATCCGTGTTGAACCAGTTTATTGAACTTGACCTTACCCAAATTGAGGCAATGCAAAATGGAACCAACAACGCTTTGACTACTTTTAAACCACAACGACATACCCCAATGTCCAATGTCTACTCTACGGCCACAGTCATCACTATTTGCAACTGCCTGCATGCCATCGGAATAACAATACGTCTCATGTCAAAGAAAGCAGTAACTTCCGAACTCATCACTCTTTTATATCCTCTCTTGTCGTATTATGGATCGACTAATCTACATGTACATACGTTTGCCAAAATCACTCTGGAGACATTATGTCAACGATGTGAATACGACAATGTGAAAAGCTTGATTATCGACAACATTGATTATGTTATCAATGAAATCTCTCTTCGATTGCCCTCCCTGCTCAGCAATCTTTCCCTCCCCCATGTCCTTCAAGCACTGATCAAGCTTGGTGATATGAATGCTGTGAAATATCTTGATGACTCCATTGACGAAATCTTCGAAGCTTTGGATCGATATCATATGAACCAAATTATTTGCAAGGATTTGTGCGCTGTGTTGATCGAAATTGTTCTCGCAGTCGAACATGATCATTTACTCCATCACCCGCAGCAAGAAAAGGCTATGGACGTGGACGTAGTCGCAAACACAAGTTCGACTTCGAGCGAAGTAGCAGAGTTCATCCGTACTCAGAAGAAACAGCAATCACTCGCGGCAGAGGCTGGAGATGATAAGGAACATACTAGCATGGAAGAGATTGGAAATTACTTCTTAGAGCAGCAAAGGATGAAAGAAGAGGCCGTGGATGCGGAAAGTAGTGATATGCAAGATGAGTCCAATCCGGTGACCGAGAATGATCTTCAGGATCTCGAAGACATGGCGCGTGCAGATGCAGAACAACGTGAGCGCGAAAAACGAGATCAGGCTCCACTGCCTAGTTATGAGCAAAAACGAATACTGGACATTCTTCGAAAAACGCACCATTTCCTCACCTCACCACAACCACAACTACGTTCCCAAATTTTGCTTCTCATGACGGCGGCCATACCTATTTTAGCTGATAATACCAAAGAATTGTATCCAATTGTGCACACCATTTGGCCCGCCATTGTACGCCGACTGGATGATACAGAGCATTATGTGGTGATGAATGCGACTTCCTTACTACAAACTATCGCGGAATTCTGTTCTGATTTTTTGACTCAGCGAGTGGTGGCGGACGTTTGGCCCCGATTCCAACGGGTATTGGATCAAGTAGCAAAGCTACAGCGAAGCAACAAGCAGGTCTATGCTTCGGTGTCAAACAATAATGCATATTCAGTGTATTCTAAAGAACATAAGCTGGTATACTCTATACTGAGCACTCTGAAAGAGATCGTAGAATATGTACCTCTCAAGCATCAAACTCTGCAAGAAACTGTCGCCAGTGCTCGATGGTATCTCGCTGAACCGGATTGGCATCCCCAAATTCAAGACGCTGCTGTCAGTTTGTACAAAGCTTTGTATCAAAAATATCCCGATATCACTTGGCTTTCGTGTCTTAGTTTGTTGGGTCGTCAGCAATTGATAGATATCAGCCAAGACGCTCTGCTCAAGCAAAATGTGGCTTCGGTCAAGATTCCGGACTGGTTTGAACAGGGCGCTAGCCGTGACTTTGCTAAGAATGTCAGCCGCGTATTATACGGGCAAGGATGAATGGAGTATTGTATGATTACTTTGAGCCGGTCGTATAGACGTCGGGTGTGCGTAATTTTGAAGCGTACGCAATATCATCCATAGATTATCGATTTTGCAACAGCAAAATAGATCATGTAATTAGATCATTTAATACACATTTCATAATCGCTTCCCCAAAGGTACACATGCACATGTAGACTAGTTTATTTGCTCATATAATGTCTATTGAGTATGAATGCGTAGAGGTATGTACAGTCGGCATGAGATGAGAATGCGATTAGTATGCTTAGATATCGTGAACAATGGTTTCTGGATGGGCACCCTGCAAAGATTAGAAGAAAAAAAAAAGGGAGGTTAGATCATCATAGTACACAGAAAGCAGCAAAACTGATCTCAGGCAAATATTTGATTACTCACCTCATAGCAAATATTGTAAACGGTAGTGAACAACGGGAACTCATCCACCATTTTGCGAGCAAGCAGAAATTCGTGAACTTCCTGAGCGGTCAGGGTACCTTGAAGTTTCTGGCCGTTCAATAGTTCGCGCTCTAATACTTCTATAGGCTTTCCACTTGTGACATAGGCTTCAGCGACTTTGCGGTTGCGGCCGCCAGAGCATGTGGTGATCAAATCAGCAACACCGCATGATTCAAAGAAAGTCTCAGATTCGACAGTTGAAAAGAAAGTCTTTCCGAATTTACGCATCTCCATCAAGCCGCGTCTAATGATAGCAGCTTTGGTATTGCTTCCGTATTTGAGGCCATCGGTGAACCCAGCAGCAACGGCGACGATGTTCTTCAATGCGCCACAAAGCTCGACACCAACATGATCACGAATGACGTTAACGCGGAAGTAAGGGGTATGGAAGAGTTTGAAGAAAAGGTCGCCATTTTCGGGTGAAGTGGAACCGATGGTAGTTTCGCAGAATTTCTCGTTAGCCACTTCGTCTGCAATATTCGCTCCCGATAAAGCTGCCATTTCAATATCCAGCATACGAGAAATTTCTTGTGAGAATAGTGTAATGCCTTCTGGTGAGATGTCGAGACCTTTGATAAGGGAGATACCCCGAGCATTAGGCGAAATGCTCCCCTTTATCTTTTCGCACACCCCACGAACAAACTGATGAGGAAGAACAAAAACAAGCACTGTAGCACCACTGCAAGCGTCGACAATGTCTGGAATAGCTTTGATATTGTCCCCAAATTTGATTCCAGGCAGGTATCTGTGATAGAAAATTTATAGTAGATAAAATATGTTAGCAAAGTGTGGGTACTGGTGGAGTCAACCTGAGCGACGTAAACCACGCTGCTCGGAGGGGTACCCCAAAGATTGGACACCATAAATACTTACTTTACATTTTCATGCTCACGGTTGATGATAGCTGTGAGCTTTTCGCCTTTGTAGGTCTCCTCAAACACCCACTGATTGACCTGAGGTTCGAACAGATCGGGAAAGTTTAATACATTCTGGCCAATGATCTTGCCTACAGCGGATCCCCTAAATGACCGGCGGGTACAAACAATGTTAGAGCGTGGAAAACTACCAACGAAGATGGAAGAAATAAAAACTAGCGTCAAACCATTACATACCAGTTACCGGAGCCTATGATACAAACTCGTTCTTTGTTCATAATATAAGAGGTTGAAAAAGTTCTTGAAAGGAGGGATGGTCGAGATTTCAAAGAACGTGTTGCCACAGGTACGATACCCCAGGCTTTATATGCGAGCATTTGGGATCAACCAAAGATTCCGTATACGGAACTTGGCGGCTTGAAATTTCGCTTTTTCCTTTTTTCTAAATTTTGCAGCTATATTTATTCCATTTCGTCAGAGATGACTACTCCTTTGACTCAACTCAAGTGAGTGATTCTCTCATCACTGGATGTCTATCCACTTCATATCTGCCTGCCTTTAATCGCAAAGCATGTCCAAGTTAGCTCGTTTGATCGGTCCAAACGGGGAAACACATGCAAAAGGCAAATTTTTGGTGTCAGCATTTTCACGAGATTTGTTGTAAGAGACTTTTTATTTCAGCCAGCACTCACTTTACTTCATCTTAGTCGGTCAATATGTATTAGGATGTCCAGTTTATCAAATAGGACTGAAAAGGGTTATTTTCGACTTGGTTTTGCCGCCTCCACAGTAACCACCAGTACTGTTTTGCTTTACCATTTCAAAGCAGTATGAACGATCAAAGGTATCCACTTTGCTATGATATGATTGAGAAATAGACCTAGATGGGTCGTGATGCGGTAACTACGTAGGCACGAGTGATGGCAAGTGAGGTGGGGTTGGTAATGAACCTGACACAGATTTTATGACTGACATCAGTTGTGCGAATTGCCTTTTTTGCGCAAGCCCTCAACAAATTTTTGAAAGTTTCCCTTTGCTAGCACAGTACGTGTTTCTTTTGCCTCGGGAGCAATGCCTTACATTTCACCAAAATATAGATCGAACTTGAGCAAATACAAGTACAGTGGTACGGACAAGAGTTTACTGTCGCGTTATGTACTCAATCCATTCTGGAACCGTCTTGTCAAGGTGTTCCCATTATGGGTGGCGTAAGTATCTACCTCATGGCCATGTTCATGGCACTATACCGTGCATGAAATCAACTAATACCTATGTTCTTGGGTTAATATTCTAGTCCTAATTTGATCACGATGTCTGGACTATTGTGTGTGATGCTCAACTTGGCTACTCTTCTGTACTATTCGCCTGATTTGGGTACATGTCCTAACTGGTGCTATTACTCGTAAGTGCATCGATGATTCCTTTATTGCGATGGGAGGGGATCAGTTATATGGATGGCCATGGTGTTCTTTGAGTGATACTGGCGCGTTGCATGGGTACAAAGGTCAAATTGACGAAGCCCGTCGCTTGTCCAAATTCACCCCAACCACCCCAAACATCTTTTTTCTCTTGGGTTCCAGCGTACTCAATAATTATGCATTGCAGTTTCGCTGTCGGTCTGTTTGTCTATCAATCTCTTGATGCCATCGATGGAAAGCAAGCTAGACGCACGGGTACATCTGGTCCTTTGGGCGAACTGTTTGATCACGGTAAGGTCCCTCGATCATGCTTTGATTATTTTACCAATGGCTGTGGATCAAGTACACAGTCCTTCTTGACATATGCCTTTCATGATCCTGACTTTTGTTTACCCCCACCAGGTTGCGATGCTTTAAACACAACTATCGAATTTCTTTTGGTTACCTCGTCTCTTCATTATGGACAAAGCTGGCTGACCGTTTTGTCATTGGCTTCCAGCTTGGGAGCTTTTTACCTATCAACCTGGGAAGAGTACCATACTGGCACTTTGTACTTGAGTTACTTTAGCGGACCAGTTGAGGGCATCATCATGCTTGTCTTTATTCATACGATTAGTGGTATCTTTGGTAAGCTGATCTCTTGTGGGTGTGTTCATGAACGCTGTGGGCTTTATCTAATGAAACATACAACTCATAGGACCTGAATTTTGGCTTTTGAAATTCGGTGACTTGTATAGCAAATTATACGACATTGTGCCTCTAGCTGCCAACCTTCGTCTCAATGAAGGTTTTGCTGCCTTTGCCGGTGTAGGTCTCATATTCAACATTCTCGCTGGGTAAGTGCAATCAGCCATAGTGACCATACATATGGAACATTGGATTTAATGTGGCGATGCTATCCCATAGATTCCATAATGTCTATCTGGCTGCAAGAAGCAAGGGAAAGCCTGTTCTTCCTGCTCTACTTGGATTTGCTCCTTTCGTTGCGGCATGTGGTATTGCTTACCTTTGGCTCCAAGCTTCTCCTTCCATTGTGACCGAGCACTTTTTACCTTTTGCTCTGTACATTGGTGCTTCATTTGGATACCAAGTTGGTCTCATCATCACTGCTCATCTTACTAAGGCTCCATTCCCTTACTTTAACCTCATGTTGATTCCTCTTGCTATCGGATGCATCAATGCTAATCTGCCTGCTATTGCTGGAATGTGAGTTAACACCCTGTTTACTTCAATTGGATATGAGCGAGTGGATATGTGTTCGAGGCATGGGATCAACCGTAAACCCTAATCAGTAACTAACGTTCCGTTTGGCGCTTTTTTTAGTGAACCTTTCTTTCAAGGCAAGAAGGAATTGCCCTATTTATGGTCATGCTTCGCGTTCTCTATTCTAGTGTACGCTCATTTCGCTATTTCTGTCATCAACGAACTCTGTGACTTCTTTGATATCTGGTGCTTGACCATTAAGCATAAGAAGAAGGGTGACCAGACCAAGAAGGATTAGACGAGCTTCTTTTCGGTGTTTCTTTCCCCACCATGTTATTATACGCCAGTCATTTCCATGTTACATAATGAAACAAAGATTATAATTGTTTTTTTCTTCAAGTGCTTGTTATTTATTATCATTGGTTTTTGCATATAGGTAAGCTACCAAATTCTATGTACAAAAGACCATCCCAAATCGAAAACAACTATTTGCAGGGAATGTCGTGAAGGAAAAAATGGGTCTGCGGCGCGGGAGAAGAGCACGAAGGGAATTTTTTGGCGTTTTTAAGATACTGTACACAAAAGGAACCATGGGGTTTGTTGCTTGAGTTTTTTGTTCCAACTCTGTTTTTCTTTGCCCTTGATGTTCCCTACTAATTGTATGTCATTGGTGGGAAGCGGAGAGCGGAGGGGGGGGGGAGTAGGTCGTAGTCGGAGAGAGATGATCATGGATCGGCGCCAGAACAGTCCTCTTCATCTTGTCAAAGGTGATTTCGATTGGTTGGATAGTGTAAGCGAAAAATGTAAATGGGAAATTTTTGTCTGAGAAAAAAAAAAATGATAGGCCGAGTTAAAGCCTACAGGTATCTAGTGATGCTTGAGATCACGAAATGTGGGTTTGTATGCGCGTTGGGAAAAGTGATGTGAGTGATTACAGGCTCATGAGTTGTCGTTGCTGGTTGTCCTTTTTCCAAAGAAACCACTTGAAGTACTCGTAAACGCTCCAGCTAATAGCGGCACTTGGCATGTGAGTGAGCACACGAGGCTTAAATCCTCTAAAGAAGCCTCGGTAGCCATGACGTTCATGAATGATAGCGGCAGCATCCCAGAGACCAGCTGCGTTTCGGATGCGTGGATCAACGGACTGACCTCGAGTTTGAAGTAAAGTTTTGACCACGTCAAGTGGACATGTAATGGATGAAGCAATCGCTCCGGCAAGTCCACCAGCAACCATATGAGTTTTGGGATCGTATACACCGGATGGGTTGAACGCGCTTCGGAAATATTCATAGGTGGCAAATTGGATGGACTGGAAAGGTATAGACATGACCAGGGTTGTGGGTAATGAGATGTAGAATGCCGTAACACCTTCGGTTGCATACACCCGGCGAGCACATTCACCAACAGTGCGATAGGATGTTTCACGCAGCTGCATACGCTGTTTGATAACTGAAAAAATGCGATAAGGGAGTCAGTTCATCTACACGCCGCAAAAATGGTGGAAACGAGCTTTTCTTACCATCAAAAGGATTCATCATCACATCGTGTGCCAAGGTAGCACACGCACCAGCGGCAGCAGGCGCCAAAAAGTGGTGGCGACCATCGTTGGCACTGAACGCTTCCTTGCACACTTCATAAGTAGCAAAATGAAGAGCATGAGCTGGTCCTGCTCCCATAACTACCGAGTTTACACCTCGCCAAAGTGAGCCTTTGTTGGCTGCCAAGTGTGCTGCTGAACGTGACGCTACTTGTGCAACTGCACCATTGGCCATCACTACGGCTGGTCGAAGAACCTGCTTTCTTGTCTATAACTACTATCAGCAAAATGCGCTGCGTTGCCCAACATCCGTTCCAATAAGATTTTTACCTTGATACTGTCAACGGGATACATGAGGCAGTGCTCCGCAATACCTGCCAAGGCGCCTGCCGTTGCGTTTTGTGCCATAGTGGAGCTTTGACCAAGAGATTCGTAATCGTATTCTTCCTCCATGTTGTGAAAGTTGGGAACTCAAAGAAAGTAGAGTGAAGTAGGCAAGGAACAAGAGAGAGAAAAAAAGTATGAAAAAACTTTTTTTTGTAAGAGAGGAACCGGTGTTTCCGTTGTTGGACAGATGGGCATGGGGATAATAATTCCATCTGATTATCCCGACTTTTTGAACCTCCGGATGTTTTTATAGTACAGTTATACTACCATCTGATAAAGATCCAACCCATGCACATTCTCTCTCAGAATCAAAATATTATAGTCCTCCCGTTTATCCTTTGGCTTAATAACATGCATGTGCTCTTACTTTGCTGTTGTGACCCAATTTCACTGTAACGCAAAGAAACTCCATTCACAAGATGAACCTCTGTTTACCATGAACGATGCTGTCAAACTGGTTTTTTTCGAGTAGTCAAGAGCGCGGGGTTACGGATCCTCAAAATCTTTGCGTTATCCCTTTTTGCTCCTTGCCCGACCGCCCCCACTCAGCCATTTACCGATGATTCAGCAGTCTGAGAAATTTTTATTGGATAGCCCTTCAGTCATAACTTTAAAACCCAAAGCGTCGCAGTAATTTAAAGCCTTGGCCTTGAGTTTACCCAATTGCACGGATGTTTAAATATCCCATACCGCTCTGTGACCTTGCTCCACGTCGGTACTTGGGAATTTATGGTCTTCACATGTACTAATTGTACATCCAAGTGGAAGTCGTGACGGCCCCGGGCTTCGCTGGTAGGGTGGTAGATGGATGGTTGCCATACCAGCCGTCAATTCCGGTTGACTATTTCTCCCACCTTTCAGCTGCTTGATGATGAGATATGACGCAAGACTCCCTGTGTTCCATAATTAGATTAAAAATTACATGTTTCAAAATTGCCGTTGACCAATAATATGAACTACCAACGTACAATCAAGCGTATACAAAATCGGGGTTAGGCCTCCTAGAACCTTGACAATGAGAAGCACCCCACATATGAGGTTGGATAAGATTGCGCCAATGCTATCGGCTTGCTAAATTAAATAATTTGGATGGCTTGCTAGCCCTTCTATTGGCTGTTACTGTATATGGTAAAAAACGTGACATACCAGTAAATGACTCCATCCTTGAGCAGGGCCTTTTGCAGACTACTTCCTAAGATTTGGTAGTGTCTGTAGATCACTCGCAGAAAGCATAGAGATAGGAAGAGATTAGAAGAGAAGTCCAATGCGGCTTTAAACGCAACAATCCAAGTTGCTACAGCCGAAAAAGTAAAACATGAGTCGCTGCTAAATTGCTTCAGTAGTAGTAGACAATGCTTTCAATGATACTTGCGATAGAAGGTTGTGCATACACCAGCTGTAAAATATGTGGAAGATCGACCAACTGTGCAGTTGAGGACGATGAAAATGAGAATTCCGAATAATGGCACAGACCCGGCTATGAGCAGCCTTCGGGATCGATCATAACAAATGTATGCTTTCCATAGTAAGACCGATTGGATAGCAATGTCACCTAGATTGACTGTGATGATTGAGAAATTCAAGCGCTTATTTTTTTTTAAAAAAAAAAAAAAGGAATAAAGCAAATTTAGTCTGATATCTTTCGGCCCTGTGATCGTATGTACATAGCATGACAAGTTTTCACTTACAAAGTCACAGCTCATAGGTACCAAGCTAGTCAGTAGCGTTACAAAGGCGCAGATACATCCTCCAAAGGCTTGAATAAACATTAGGATATAGATAGGTTTGAAAGAATGACGAAGGAGCAATCCAAGGTGTATAGTTTGCCATACGAAACAAGACATACAGACGGACACGAACATGATGGAGAAAGCTGCATCACTCTGTGATGAAGGCTGACTCTCGGCACTCTGGGTACAATTGTTGACGATAGAATCCGACATAGCTACTTTGAAAAGCAATTATGATGAATAAAGAATAGAAGGTGTGAATATTATGTTCGGTTTGCTTGGTTACCTTGTTTAAATGGGGGTTATTGTGAAAATAAAACCTAAAAGTGAACTATACCGTCCACCTCTTTATAAATAAAAAGGTGTGAACAACCTTTACCCACACCAAGCCAGCGTATGGTGCAGGATTGTTATTATAATAGATCAAAATGGGAATGGGAGACGGGGAACTAGGTGCTAACGATATGAATATGGCATGACCTTGGCCAAGGTATTTCATGATTGGCTGATTTTCTCAATAGAAAATTACCAGGTTTGATTTGTGTACACTACTTGGCTAGCAAGAAATGGTGCGACAACGCGGATGAATCAGCCCCTATCTACTTAATATATACAGATGCATTGTGCTTGTGAAAAGTCTGTGGAATAATGAAGAACTTTATGCATAGATAATGGATCTAAAGTGGCCGATCCTTGATTAACAAGTTTATGATAAGGTTACCTTGGACTATCGTATTGAGCGGAATAGGATAACAGCCGTCAGTTCATGTTATCTGTGGGAACTTACCATCCTTCTTTTTCTAGCCAGAAAGCGATAATATATCATCGCGAATGAGTCGAGGAACGGCGCTACGTTCTGGACAAGAAGACACACTTTTTTATGGTATGTGGAATCTCCACATCCGCTTGCTCTTTTTAGTACGTTCGCATTATCCGCATACATCATTTGGCTTTACTGTTGCTTGCTTACAAGCATGTTATAGCACGTCTGCATAGGTTGGTACAACAGTATAGGAAAGAAAAAAGTACAAACAGCCAATATGGCCTAGTATATGGAATGAAAGAAGCTTTCATGGGAATACTATGCATTGGAAAAATACCAATAGCAGAGATCAGTATCATTAGCATTATTATCTTAGAACCTCGGTTGTTCTTTTCAAAAGCGCATAAAAAGTGCGTACGCTGAAATGTTTTAAGGTGGCATTTTATTTGGACAAAAATGAAGTTGTTTAAATGTGAGATGGGTGACGCCTGAAACCAGAGGCGTGAGCTACGAAACTTCATTTTCTTTACTCAATTTCCTTATATAACTGCCTCACTGCTTGCTGTATGTGAGATGCGGTCGACGCAACTGCAAACAGCAGGTCATATCTGCTTTATCATCTTCGAGTCGATAAGCCACAAAGGATTCTAGCCGCCTGAGTTACAAATAAAAGATTTTGAATATTTTTTACGTGGAAAAGGGGTAAGTTGTTGGGTGGGATGACATCAACGCGAAAAAAAAAAAAATGTGTGTAAAGATCGATCAAACTAACCTCGAATACGAGACTTTGGCTGTCATGGCAGCCCGAATCCCCCTTGTTTCGACCCCTGTTGTGCTTGTACTTATCGCCACATCCTGCCCCCTCGGCGCTATAGTATGGGGCAGTATTTGTGGAAAGTCTACTGAAGGATGCCAACGTCTCAGCAGCTGTCGCATCCCGTTTGGACCTTTTTCGTTTAGCCATGTTCAGTACTTCATAGTGGCACCCCGAGGTAGACACGTTAACTGGTGGTGATGAATTGCGTTTCCTTTTGGAAGACTTTACGTCCGATTGATCAACAAATACATTATATCCACTATACTGGTGCCCGGTTGTCATCATGGTAGGCCGATAATTGAATGTCGGCATCAAAGATGATGGGGGAGGAAGAATAAGAGTTGATCTACCAAGGAACTGCGGCTCAGATGGAGACGGGTATTGAGGGGAATGGTATGAAATGGATCCTTCTGTCTTGTATGGTCGGTTCCATTCATTTTCGCCGTGTTCCATGGATACTGCTTGGCGCGGACGGTCTATGCCGCTGTTATAATATTCCATTGAAGGTAAAGAGTCTTTGGAGGGTATATTCAAATTTGGCGAATGTGTTGAAGGACGAAACGATAGAGCTTCGGTTGGCATGTATGATAGTAAAATGCTATGATGTATTGAGGGCTCTAATTACTTAAATGGTATTTACGAATAGGTTTGCCTGGTTTTTGGTGAAAATGAATACAGTGTAGAGGAAGAAAAGGGAGAAAACGAAAACGAGTTTGAAAGAGAAAGAAGAAAAAGCAGTGAACTGGGGATTTTGAGTAAAGCGATGCGGAAAAAAAAGGAAAGGGGGGGAAGCGAGGAGGAGAAGGAAGAGGAATCATCCGAACACATGCATTTTGACTTTGATATCATTGAATTAACGGCGCAACTTGTCTCAATATGGTAATTGCTTAACGGCGAAACATTTCTATAGCAACGCAACACTTGGTTACTTTTTGTCGCTGTAGTGATCTGTCATTTAGCAAGAGCTTACCTCTTATCCTACCACCCACTACATTTCTAGCTCGATTTGCCTCTATCTCGCGAGTGATTGTCTTTGAGCGACGAAGAGCATTAGCCTTGCCGTCCTTTATTTTACTTTTAGCCACGGACTCCAAACCTGGTAATGCTGGCATATTTTTCTTTCGTTCCTCCGCGAGTTTTGCGTTTGACCAAGATTGACACTTTGCTATGCATCTAGAAATATAAAAATGAGAACGATGTTCTGTAGCAAAATTATGGCTCGCGCTCTATATTTACCCAGTATAGTTTTCATGCGTCCAGGGGTTGCCACATCGATAGCAGCTTTAAAATGCAAATGATTAGATCCTAGAGGAAACCGGGAAAAATAACCAAACCGTCAAGAATTCACCAATATCGGCACTACTTACAATTCTGCTCTACAAACGCATGTCATATGATTGCAACCTTGTTATAATGAATGATGAATACGAATTTCGCACCCTTTTTTTATCTGATCAAATCCCCCACTTACATTTTTTTCGATGATACTTTTACACTTTGGGCAGCAGCTCCATAGCAGATTATCAGCTGTGTTCAGAAGTGCAAACAGGTCCTTCTGTTCGGCTGTCCATGCCATATTTTCTTTGCAAGCTATACCTAACCAGATAATATCAACAAATGTTTTCGCCACTTGAACAGACAAACAAACTTAAAATTTTTTACCTGGGTGCCACATGGTCTTACAATGGCTGCAAAAGGCGCGATTGCACACTGGACATTCTGCCATAGTATTGCAGCCTACTTCGATCATATCGTTTTCCAAAGGAACGGCACAGTCTGGGTGTGGACAGTATATCTTGTTGCTCATACCAGCTTCGGTGTGCTTATCCCACCACATTGTCATCGACTCAATATCAAGTACCTTTTCAGCCAAGTCGTCGGGAATAACATTATTGCAGTCATACTGAGGACATTTCACAGGAAACGTCATGACCGGCTCTTTCATCTTGACTTCTAAGTATTGTGCCAGACACGCAGAGCAAAATGCGTGTGGGCAAGATGGTACGAAATATCCAATTTCAGAACTTTCCTCGTCCTCTCGCACTCGTCTTTCTGGGTGCTCTAAACGTACGACATCCAAGCAAATATTGCACGTAACCGTCGTCTTATTCGGTACCAGTTAGATAAACATTCAGCACTGGTTCTCAAACAGCAGTAAAACGGTGCTTACATGCCAGTCGTTACTTTCATTGATGTCATGCATCCAAGTGAGCAAGATGATTTCCGATAAAGCCTTTGATGTTGTAAGTCGAGGTGTATTGTACAAGAAAAAGGGGCAGTTGACTTTGGTTAAATGTGGGCATTGAACGATAAAAAAATAAACCTGTTGAGCCAAGCTTACGGTGTTCAATTTATTATGCCGGTGCAGCGATATCATCCAGTCACTGTAATCCTTTTCACAATTGACTTTCCACATCTCCTTGAGTATATCAATCATGTAGGGTATTTCTTTTGGTTCTGGTCGTGGCAGCAAAGGTCCGCCTTTTCCAAGGGAAGTTGAACTACTGGCAGTCATGACGTCCATTTTGATATGACGTGATAGCAGGTGCCCAAGAAATTGTTTCGATTTGTTGTAATGCGAATAAGAGCAAGACGGAAAAGGATCGGATGAGGACAGTCGCTCCTTTATGTGGTCCAAGTTCGCAATATGGGGAACACTCTACAAATTCTCTGCGGCGGGCTGGTGTCACTTGATCGAAACTATTCTGAGCCTCATCCCCATTACACTGGAAATAGCGCTGAGTAGCCCAACTATATTTATTATTGAATGGTCTTTGTACTTATTACATAAATTGGCTGATCACTTCTTCAATTCTATTCCATATGAGCATCCGCTGCGAACCTTCTATCGAGAACAGTAATAGTCCCACCTCTGAGTCGTGTTTGCGCAGTAATAAGCGCACGTGCGCTATCTGGTAATATATGACTTGTCTTATGTACAAATGATTGGATTCAATAACGGCGTCAGCTAGAGACAGAAGCACCTATGCATGTTGGAAATGGTAAATTTATGTGTTCATATGCTATTGGAAATCCTTTTATACTACTGACCTTGACATCTTCCAAAGTAGCGTCCCATGCTGCACGCCTAGTAATTTCCTGGGCACGGACAATATCGTCTAGTGCGCGTTCAGTAAATTTATGCAGTCACATCAAAAGTAGCAAGGCTCTACTTGCAAAGCCAGAACTTACCAATTTCCAAGCAAATTATCAGAGCTATCATGGCATCAACCATTGACGAAGGCAGTTCGTGAGAGTCGCATTTTCGAGCCGCTGCTGCTGTCAAGGAGCGCTCCATCAATGCTTCTGCCGCTGAACCTTGAGCTCCTAAATTTAGATATAGCTGGACACTCGACATCAGCCATGCTGCGTACTGTGCAAACCGCCACACTATTACACAAAGACTTACTTTACTAAGGTTTTGATAGCCGATGAGTTCACCTTCATCATTTTTTGTGTGTTGGTGGATCACTATCGCCATGGCGCACATAGCCACAGCTATTTGTTGGGGTCTCGCATCTTTTGAAATTTCGCGCGGGTTCCTGGTTTTAGTCCCTGCCAGCGAAAATAGCATTTCACCTTCACTCAGAATAACCGGGAGCATCTGGTTTACATCTGATTTCGCTTTTATCGGTTTGCATAAAACCTTTTCAATATAAATTCGTATCAAGTCTTCCGCAGCATTCAATAATTTCGGAATTGATATGCTAGAGCAATTCTGAAGTAGTTTTAAGATATGGGGTTAGCTCCAAAGCCCGAAGCTGCATGAGGCTAATCTGCTGCCCACTACGATAAGGCATGCATGTACTCACAGTTGCAACATCATTCAGTTGCTGTTCATCAATTTTCCATTTCCCATGCAAAGCCTTCACAAACAGCTTTCGCGCAAGCTCCAAAGATTGGTCATCCCAATAGATTAAATATAATCGAGACAATGCCAATCTGCTAAGGTATAAGGTTCCAGATACTTGCGCAGATGTCAGGGTATCTGCATCAGGAGCTTTTGTCGGCTGGCTTTGTAGTGTCTCTAACAATTCAATAAGATCATTCAATACTTGTGCCGACTCTCTAGGTCTTTTGAGCTTGTAAAACTCTGTGAATTTGGTTAGATACATAAGCCCCTCCGTACAAAAAGAAGTTTTATGATGTCACCCCTACCTTGTGCTAATGTCCACAGAGCTCCCACCGCTCTGGACGGCTTGCTTGCTGCAATGCTCATCGCTTGCTTTAATTTCATGCTGACTTGAGCGACTGCCGGATTTGATTGTCCGCTTGCTTCTGCAGAACAAAGAAGTAAGTCTTATATGAACAAAACTGCTTGATTCGTTCATGAAGCGATTGTCTCCTACTTACTGGCCTTTTGGCTTGCACCGAGGTTTACAGTTGTACTTTTTGCCGACGCCTTCTCACTCTGAATATGTTTTGCACTTTTCAAATGTGCATTCCAGGTCGCTTCATTACTGAACTTTTTTTTGCATGCGGTACAATACAAGTTACGGGATGAATTGCTTTGTGTCCTTTCCATTACACTGTCTTGTGGAGAATTTGGCTTGACAGCAGCATGTAGTGGTCGAGGTGCAGCGCATCCCGGAAGAAGCTTGTGCTTGCGGCTGTCAAACGGCAAAAACACTAAAGCGTTATGAGAAAAAGACCAGAGGAAAGAAAAAAGTTGAGTCTGCTATACCATCGAGGACGTCGACATTGAGATTGTCGTCGTCTACAGGGAATATATTCATATACAGGATATTGGTTTCCTGTCACGAAGTTGCAGTTGTATTTTTTGAGCAATCAAAAAAAAAGGCAGTCCGCAAGTTGCTGGATTCCAACACCAACGAAATTCGCGTTACGTCACGCCTCGGCCTTCGTCATCCCAGCCAGCTTTAAAGCAGCTTCGATATTTCACGCTTTGACTCGGAATCCACCACCGTCTTTTAACAAAATGTCGAAGGAAGCAGAGAAATCAGAAAACGTTGTTGCTATGGAAATTGAAGAAAGCGAAGAAGCTAGAGAAGAGAGATTGAAGCAAGAATCCATCGCTATCGCTATTGCTGGTATGTGCCTGAAGCACCTTCTTGTATTGCAAGCGATCAGCAGCGAATCAAGTTCATTGACGAGACCTTTTAACCCACAGATATCAAGAATAACTTCAATTTTTTGGAACGAGCTGTAGAAACCATCGAGTCTAGATTTACGACGCGAGTTCTGAGAACCACAACCTCCATTCGAAAACGCTTAACACCTCATATCCTTGCTCAAGTCATAAATGACTACTTTGGCGAAGGTGAGCATCGATTTTTTCGTCGTGTAACTGCTAATACCATCGTTTCATACTTACGACTTGTGATAAAGATCCTCGTAAAGCCAATCTCTTGAGCTACCTTGGAGAACAACCTGATGTCTCAATGAAAGACACGAGTGCAGACGATACAAAGAAGGAGGCTCATCTACCGGAAATAGAAATATACCTCAATCTCTTGGTGATGATTTACCTGTTGGACAACTCAAAGTTTGAACAAGTATGTGGTGAAATTGGGAAATTGTGCAACCTGGGTAGGCTTGCGTTGTGGCTGACCAAAGGATTTGCTTTAACGACAACAGGGAACAGAGTTAGCAAACACATCAGTAGATCAGGTTGAAAAGTTAAACCGTAGAACGTTGGATCAGCTTACCGCCAAGGTTTATTTCTACTACGTGCGTTTCCACGAATTGACTGATAGACTTGCTGAGATTCGACCGTATGTATAGACGTGTAATTGATATACGACCAATTTTTTTTTTTTTTTTTGGTGTTGTAACTGACACTCCCGTTTGCAGAGTACTTTTGGCTGCGCAGCGAACGGCTACTTTGAGAAGAGATGACGATACACAGGCAACCTTACTCAACCTTCTACTCCGCAACTATTTCCACTACAACCTCTACGAGCAGGCCGATAAACTTGTCTCCAAGAGTACATTCCCCGAAAATGCCAGTAACAACCAAGCCGCACGTTACGCTTACTATCTTGGTCGTATTCGAGCGTTGCAATTAGATTATACTGAAGCACACACACAACTGCTACAAGCAATTCGTAAGGCACCACAGAACACTGCCACCGCAGGATTCCAGCAAACTGTACGTTGCCGTCGTGTTCAAGGAAGCGATAAGGGTTTTATCTAAATGTTTGCTTTTCTCCTTTCTAGGCATACAAGTTCTTTATCATTGTGCAGCTGTTGATGGGAGAAATCCCCGAGAGATCGATTTTCCGTCAACCTGTCCTTCGCAAAGCCTTGGTACCTTATCTTCATATAACGCAAGCTGTCAGAATTGGTGACTTGAATCAGTTCCAAGAAGGCCTGGCCAAGTATGGAGCCAACTTCAAGCGCGACAAGACATACACGTTAATTCTGCGATTGCGACATAATGTCATCAAGACTGGTATTCGTATGATCAGTTTGTCATACTCTAGGATATCACTGAGAGATATTTGCATCAAACTGCATTTGGATGGCGAAGAGGATGCTGAATTTATTGTCGCAAAATCTATAAAGGACGGTGTCATTGATGCTGTACTAGACCACGATGGTGGCTATATGCGAAGCAAGGTAAGTTTGGTTTGTTTAAACCGGTGTGAAGGAGCATCATTGCGTTGACGGAAGACACGCTGACTTTGGTTTCTCTACATAGGAATCTGCTGATGTTTATTCCACCAATGAGCCACAAAGCGCATTCAACCAACGTATCACCTTCTGTTTGAACCTCCACAACGAATCTATCAAGGCTATGCGTTTCCCTCTTAATGCTCATCGCAAAGAGCTTGACAATGTTCAAGAGGCTCTTGAGAGGGAGCGTGAGTTGGCACAGGAGATTGCCGAAGGTGATCTTGATGAAGATGATGATATGGGCGACTTCTAAACCTCATCCAATCATTGCGCTTTGGCTTGTCTTTGTGGTATATTGACGAAGGGGTTCCCTTTTAGCATACGGCATTTCGAAAGTAATAAACAAAAACTCTTTGTCCAGTGTGTATCTTGTTGTCAAGTGTGTATCTTTCGGTAGCTCCAGCTAATGCTGACAATATGTGACCATATGGCGACATTAAGGTCTAAGTTGGCCGTAATGCGCCAATATTTTGAATAGCCAATGGTGTATTTATGCCCATATAATTCACACCAAAAGAAGTTGTTACAGTGTGCTATACACTAAAAGGCACGGAAGATTATATGAGATGCTGATTTCTATTGATCTCAATAACAACCAAAGACTGATATCAACCTCTGCAATTGAGCAGGTCGAACCCTTCATCTAGCCAAGCTATGCCTTCAACCTTCAGCAATTCTTCTATTATAGCAACATCTAATTTTTTATTGTTGTCTAAAAGTTTTGATTTCGACTTCTGGTATTTACTGTACAAATTGTTCTTTCAGAAATCGCTGTGACGAGATATATGTAACTAGAGGGAATGAAGTACCCATTGAAGCAAATTATTTAGAGGCGGCTTGAGCACGTCTTTTCTTTTGTCTAGCCTGTAATGATGAGATTGGGAATGACAAAAGTTTAATTACGTCGTCCAGACAGTGAATATGCGGCTGTGCAGGTGATGGTGCTAACCTTAAGCTTGGCCTTCAACTTGGAGGTCTTATTGGCTTTAGTGGAGATTTCTCGAGACACCATCAACGACGCAGGTTGCGTGCTGATAGCCCTGGAAGCTAATGGTGAGATCTTGGACAAAATGGATGCCAGCATGTTTTGAATAAATGAAGGAACGGTTGGCGAAAAATTTGGTCTCCCAGAAACGCAACAACACACGAATTCTGGGCAAAAAAAGCCCGCCCCTGGTGGGGTGGAATAAAATGGTCACAGTGCGGTCACCTGGGAGAAGCATACTTTACCTCTTTACTTCTCTTTACCTCACACTGGTAAACCATGTCTTCCGATAGCGACTACGACGACGACGTAATGGTAGGAGTCATAAAGTCTTTGAACTAAGCATGTCAGATTTCCGAGTACGGTCAACTAATGTTGTTTCATGACAAATCTCAGAATGAATTCGACGACACCATGGACGAAGATAGCATAATGGATGATTCGGACGATTACGAAAACTCTCTAGATGACTCTGGTAAATGCCATTTTCTAATTTGATCACTTTTGTAGTTTATTTAAAAGGGAGAACAACCAGTGATCTGAAATGTGCATGACAATTGCTGACCAATTGCCGCTGTTACTGTCATTGCTGACTGCGCTTACATAGGTGACGAGCTAGAATACTATGAAGACGGAGAGGATCTTAATTTTGATGGAGTCATGGCTGAAAAACATCGGAAAAAGCTATATCAAGTTGATTATACCGTGCAATCTTCAAAGCATCTCATGGGCAGCCAAGACAAAGAAGTTGGTCAAGTGGCCAGTATTTTAGGTATGTATCTGGGTGCAGTTAGTAAAAACGATATCACTCCCCAAGACCACATTGTCAATAGCCCTTTGGGCTTTAATTGAATGTGGTAGGAAAATTTTGTAAAGCTGTTCAATGACTATTTAAAATTAACCTCCCACATTGTTACCCCCTCTACTCTAGGGATGCCAAAAGAGCATGCGGCAACACTTTTACGTCACTATAGATGGAACAAGGAAAAGTTAATCGAACGCTACATGGATAATCCGGAAAAAGTACTTCGCCTCGCTGGCGTCGTAACTGACAAAGTTCGTCGTATAATCCCCGCGCGAGAAATATCTACTCCTCAACACCCATTTTCGTGCGACATTTGTTGCGATGACGAAGAAGAGCTTGAAACCGTTGCTGTGTCTTGCAACCACCGGTTCTGCCGAACTTGCTATGAGCATTATCTTAGGCAAAAGATCAGAGAAGAAGGTGAAAGTCGAAAAATTGAATGTCCTCAAGATGGCTGTAAGATCGTCGTAGATGAGAAAACGGTCGAAGAAGTGGTCGATAAAAATACCCACCTCAGGTTGGTAGATGTTTTTTTTTTTCCTTTTATCATGTGTTCCGACCTTTCATCTGATTGTTGTTCAATATCATCTGTACTTAGATACCGTGAATTGCTCAACCGAACTTTTGTCGACGACAACGATCATCTTCGATGGTGCCCAGCGCCAAATTGTGAATTTGCTGTGGAATGTCACATACCATCAACATCCTTGACCACCATAGTACCGACAGTTGAATGTGAATGCAGCCATCAATTTTGTTTTGGGTGTGGTTTACCAGATCATCAGGTATGTTCTCTTTAAAGAAACGCATCCTTTATCAGCGTTGTTTCAAAGACTGTACTTATCATGTTGACATAATTTTAGCCTGCAATATGTCCGCTAGTTAAAAAATGGCAAAAGAAGTGCGAAGATGATTCTGAGACTGCAAACTGGATATCAGCGCATACCAAGGAATGCCCAAAATGCCATTCTACTATCGAGAAAAACGGTGGATGCAACCACATGACTTGTCGAAAGTGCAAATACGAATTCTGTTGGGTGTGCATGGGTAAGACTATCATGGCATAATTTTGAGTTTGATTTTGTGTTGAGTGAGAATATAAAAGAACCTTGTACTCACCCTTTCTTTTTTTTTCCAGGCCCCTGGTCTGAGCACGGAACCTCTTGGTACAACTGTAACCGATATGATGAGAAGTCCAGCCACGAAGCAAGAGACAGCCAAACACAGTCCAGAGCAAGTCTGGAGCGATACTTGCATGTAAGTGCATTGTCCTAGCTTTTTTCTCATCCCTTGCGTTTCATGTGGTTCGATCTGACCAACCAACCTTCCAATTCAGTACTATAATCGATTTGCCAATCATCAACAATCAGCCAAGCTTGATCAAGATTTGTACAGAAAAACGGAAAAGAAGATGGAAGAAATGCAACAGACCAGCGATCTGTCATGGATAGAAGTACAGTTTCTAAAGAAGGCCGTCGACACGCTGACTCAATGCCGAATGACTTTAAAATGGACATATGCGTTTGCCTTTTATTTGTCAAGGACAAACGAAACGGTCATATTTGAGGTAAGGCGATATGGAGCACATGAGATTGGTTGTAGCCGTTGAGTACTAAATTTCAATATCTTTCATAGGATAACCAAAAGGATCTCGAGATGGCTACAGAACATCTGTCTGAATTGTTAGAGAAGCCTTTGGAAAGAGAAAAGATTGCAGAATTGAGACAAAATGTGCTAGACAAGACAGTGTATGTCAAGCAGCGACGAGAGATTTTGTTAGAGGACACAGCCAAGGGCTTGCTTGAAGGAAGGTGGACTTTCTTTGTCGATCTCAAGTAGATCATACCTTACTTTCTTCTTCCTTTCTATATTTCAGTCTTCATTCTTCTGTTCAATTGAATTACTGTTTTTCTTTCCTTTTCGCTCGCTGATATTTGCAAACCTACCGTTTTTCTTCTTTGCAATTTCTCTTTTTCTTCTGATACCATTGAAAATCGCATAATAACAAACCTGTACACCCCCTTCTCTCCCAATAACCGAAAATCTTGCCTGTGACTTGTTTCTTCTGCTCATTGTTCAGTGCCTGAGTTTTTAACCGTTATTTGAGATTCAACTTGCACCGGCATAGCCTTTCCACCTAAACAAGTGCTATCACCACATGTTCATGCAACGCATTAGCTTCCGGGTTGCCTTTTCCGCGTCCAGATTCACTCGACCGCCGTGTAGCCGCATTCAAAGCTACATGACCGTAGCGCCGATGGGCAAGCCAGGTCGGCCGAAACGAACGTGCGTACCCTCCGTCATTCCCCTTCATTCCATAACGCTGTCTTTCACATACTAGCATGGCTATACTGTTTGTGGATCAACTTGATTCTGATTCTCTCTTTACTAGATTGCCGCCGAGTGTGAAGGAGAGCAGCATCATAAGCAGCGTCGAGAGCGAAATGTCATGTTCAACAACGAAAGCAACAGAACCCAACCATGAAAGTCAGGCCACAGTCTTTCAGCAGAACATCGATAATCTAGAACTTGTTGATTACAGCCAAACACACAAATTGTTTTGCACAAAAAACCCAGTAGAGACGAATGCCATAATCCGAAAAATGATAAAGTAAGTAATAGGCTATGTTACATATGCGGCCAAACTACTCTAAAGCCGCATATGTAATAAGCCGCGGCTGGAAAGACGGTGTTTGCAAAATGATCATTTGCTCACTATCCTTCCTCCTCTACCATGACAGAGAAGGGCAAGTGTTCGGATTAGATCTGGAATGGCGACCAACGTTTATTAAAGGAGGAAAGGAAAATAAGACTGCATTAGTGCAGCTTTGCAATTCGAAATCAATATTGATAATACAGATCTCTAGGATGGGAGGTATGAATGAATATCTTTGATACTGGTTTTCGGTGGCCAGCATCGTTTACAGAAGGAAGATGACTCTGGTTCTAATTGAACTTTGTCCTGAATAGTGTTTCCTCACGAGCTGAAGAGTTTATTACAAAATCGAAATATACTCAAGACAGGTGTCAACATCAAAGGTAAGCGCCCTCTTTCAATGATTACGTTTCTTAATATAAGGCTTTAATGAAAATGTATATCTTCTTAGGCGACGCTCTCAAGTTATACCGGGATTTCCGAATATTGACAAATGGACTGGTCGAGCTTGGTACTCTTGCTCGTGCCACCCATGCCGACGAATTACAAGGGTACAAGGGCCTATCTTTACGTCTGTTGTGTGCTATATTTGTAAGTATTTCCGATAAACCTATAGAGATGGAATTGCTATCCCGAGAACGTCATTGCTGACTTCTTTGTTATTTTTTTTGACTACAGCTCGGCAAATCTTTACCAAAAGGCACAACTCGCATTAGTAGATGGGACGCACCAACCCTCAGTAGCAAGCAAAGACAATATGCTGCTGATGATGCATATGTAAGATACCATTGTGATTCAATTTGCGCTTCTTATATCTCCTGTACCGCAAAACACTGAAGCCCTATTGTCTCCAACTATTAGGCTTCCTTTGCCGTATACCAAGCTATTGATGATCGTGGAAAACCAAGTTCAGACAGTCATGTACATATCAGCCATCTAGCCGACGACAAAGTGGGAGAAAAGTATAAGCGAGGAGGAGATTCTAGAAAGTCCAAACCGTCATCTTCCCATACCGTAAGCTCTGTCGAAAAGGTACAAATAACTCGCGTAACCATGTACATTTGAACGTGAGCAAACACACTAACTTTGATATATCTGCTAGCAAAAAGTCTTCATACAGGAATGCATACCAGATTTTATAGAAGATGAAGAGCATCAAAGGGTCATTGACGAATCAATAGCGATTCAAGAGAGAAGCACGGGCATGCCATTTACAACTACAGAAGTGCTGAGAAAGAAACAAACCTAGCGTAATAATTGTAGTGTAGTGCATAGCATAGATTGATTACAGCAATATTTGTACAATTTTGTTTATATATCAGACGATTCGGAAGGAAATCGTTACACCTTCACTACTGTACAACTGACTGGTAACATATTAAGTTATATACGGCGACATTCCCTATTAAATGTTGGATATTGGTGATGCAGTATAATCGTTTGGGTACGAGACTTGCAGTATATCGTTTGGAACAAAGCGCAACTGGTAAATGTCAAAATGGCTAAAGTATTGGCCAATACACAGGTTACTGCATAATTGTTCTGCTACCTCCATATTTCTTCGAATGTCGCATAGGCCTGGCCGGAAATCTAATGTTTCAATTTGCGTACTTTCAAGGAAGACCTTGTGTATCGTGGTAGGTTGATCAAAGTCGTTGTCATAGTCTACGGAAACGAATGGACAAAGATGGTTGTGAGCAAGATGGGTGAGGTAATACACAATCTTATGGTATGGATCGATTCAACTTACTTAGCTCCCATCCAATAACAACTCCACATGGGCCATTGGATCCCTTTACAATGATAGTTCCCACTGGCCATACGTGATGTTCTGCAACATGGTCATAGATCCTGGGTTTTCTTTTGAGTTTTTTCTTTTCAGAAGAAAGAAGACCATTTAGTTTGTTGGCACGAGAGACCCAAGGGGATATTAAGTTGATGTCTTCTGGATGATATTGTACCGCAATCTTGATGCAAAAGTCTTCCAGTTGAAGACGGGACGGTGGGTAGCTGAGAGCCATTTGCAGGGAAGTGGAATACCTTGTGAGCATTAAATTGAGACGTATGTAATCATCACGGCCACGGATTTGAGTATTTGCGTCAGCATTCATGATATTTCGCATACACCGCGCATAAATTTCATTCGGTGTCATGCCTGGCCCTGCATTGATCCGAACAGCCACGCCATATCGGAGGATCAACTGATTTTCGCATTGTTCTTGGGTAAAGATGCATTTTTTGTAAGTATCCTCTATGTCTTCGATGCTGATTGCATCTCGTGCTTTGAGGTCTCTTACACATTGGAAAAGGTCGATGAACATTTGTCGTTCTGTACTTGGCTCTGTGTGCCGAACGACCACATGCCCAGGAAAACTCATAATATCGACTCCTAAAATATTCGTAGCATGAGCAATAGCTTGGAAAACCGCTGCCAGAGATAACGGAATGCCTCTCCTATGTCGGAGAACCGAATGTATCAAGCTGTTCTGGATGTCATAGTAAATGTCAGCAGCTCCGAATCCCTTCTCCAAATGAAGGAACTGCACGAGACGCTGCACTTTCTCAAATTCATTCACGGTCGGTGTACTCAAATAGCCTTCTTCAAATTGCTTGGCGAGCGACACGATTTGGTTATGAACGTCCATATCATTCACAGGGTCTATGGCATTGGCTAATACAGCCATGCCGACATAGGTCGGCGCAGTTGGCGGTGGTCCATTTGTTCCTGCTCCAAGCCTAGGTTGCGTGCGCCAGAAGTCATCAGCCAGCCGTTTCTTGATACGATGGATAATCCGTCCAGCATAGTATCTCTCGGTAATGGATGACTGCACAACAGGACATAGAGGTGTGATTCGTTAGTGAGTTACAAATTGTTGAACAACAAATCTTTTTAATAAATGTTACGCATACCTCTTCTTTATTGTTGTAAATAGAGGTCAAGACATCCAATGCCTTGGTACGATATTCGTCTGCTAAGAGAATGATCTTGGCGCATTGTGTTTCTTCATTGTGAAGTATGTCTTGTAAAGTATGCTCTACAAACATATCGACTTGTATTCGCTCAATGAATTCCTTACGCCAGTTACAAGCCGGATCCGTCGGAATGGGCCATCGCTTCCATCTGCATTCCAGTGCACGTTAGAAAAATAAGGTCATCAGCAGTAACTGTTGAGTATCAAAAGTCTATCTCGCCTTTCTGCAACGTGACGCTTCCACAATCTCGAGGAGTTGGCAGTGGAAGCAAACAGTCGACTTACGCCTATGCAATGAGTTAACGATACGACGTCTATTTGTTCAAAGATGGTGTACAATATGTTCTCGATATGTAATGGTGATGGCATAGATTCAACACTGAATGTAAAAAAAATGGAGTCTACTGGGAAAAAAAATAAAACGGTATAGAGTTTTTATGGTACGCGGGCTCTATGGAGAGTCCCAAGAACAAATATCATAAAACAAGTGAATTACAACACTGTTTTTTTTTCACCAAATCCCCTCTAATCTATTTGGTACGAGTAGTTCTCTTTCTAGTCTTGGGAGACTGCTTAGGGCTGGAAGCCTTCTTGAGATGCTGCTCAGGGATCCAAGATTCGTCAAGAACCAAGTTACCAGACTCGTCACGGTGCTTAACAGGAGCAGCCTTTTCGGCAGTCTTCTTGCTCTTCTTTGATTTCTTTCCAGCGGAACCGAAGAAAGCTTGTTGGATGATATAACCAACACCAGCAAGAATAGCAGCCAAAACAGCATAAAGGAAGAGACTGATTGCAAAACAAATAGCTTATTAGTATCAATCATTGTGGGGTAGTATCAAAAATTTCGACCAAGTACTCACAGTTGAACATCGAAGATAGAGTGTTCGGGGTCAGTGACAGTGACAGTTCCGTTATAAGCAATACCGCGAAGAGGAGTCTTGTTCTATTACAAGTGTTTGATTAGTCGATATTGACGACGTACACTAACATCGTCTGCAGTGACTTACCGAGTCAGAAAAGTCGATGATAACAGTCAGGCCAAGATCTTGGGGAGCAAACTCAGAATGGAACTGGTAGGGGATAGCAACCTTTTGCTTGGCAGGAATGGTAAGATCGTACTTGTAGACGGAGAGCTACAAAAGTGAATAGCAAAGGTGAGTAAGGTCTTCATTATGCCGAGATTTCTACTCGGTTTCTTCATCACAGAATCCAGAACAAAAGTACATACGTTGCGGACGATGGTAGAAAAGTCATCAGCCTTAACAAGAGCACCAGAGATGTAGTTGACGGTGTAAGTTTCATCAGCTTGGTTGTCAAAGTAGACGTTAAGCTTGTTCTTATGGCCGTTTACGATAACTATTTTTCAAAAAAGAAGGGTATGCTTGAATTAAATACTTGATTCGCGATCTGTAGACACACCACTAGATATTGCGACTCTTCTATACTTACTTCCAAAGGGATTGTTGGGAAATTCTCCATAAATATCGATTGCACCAACATCAGCCTCTTTGCCTGCATCTTGTGCGAAGACTAGACGAAAGGCGCGATTATAGGTTAGTAAAACGTATACAATACTCGGTTAGAAGAGATGCAACTAAGCAAGCGTAGATCATAGTTTTGGATGGATCACGATTATGCATCTGGGGCAGATGAACGGGCCGGATGCCATCCAGCAACTAATACTGGCGCCCACTCGACTAAAGATCTCAACTTACCAGTAGCGACTAGAAGGAAGATAGCCAGAAGAGATGACCAGAGTTGTACTTTTGCCATTGCCAAAACCAAAAAATTATATGAACACGAAAACAAACAGCGAGATAAACTATGAGAGTTCGTAGGGAAGATGTACGAGCGGAACTTTTATTTTGCGCTTGCGGCGGTGACCCCATTGGTGCCAGCACGACGAACTGAGAACCAAAAAAAAAAAATTGGTGGAAGAAAAAAGTTGAATATTTACATGATAGTGTGTGATAAGGGTGAAAAATGATACATAATATATAACTATTCAAATCGGATAGTGCGCTTAGAGAGTCGCGTACGATGCTTCCAAGCTTGTCGATATTGATAAGACGAAGTCATAGTAATGCTTTTTGTAAACGCGGCTGTGACGAGTATGACGGAAAAAAGAGTTCTACAGTACCGAACCAAAGTAGCCAATGTACGTGTATCACTGCGGTGATCGGGCTTGATCTGTGCTTTGGATGATAGGAGCATGGAGATGAATGCATGTATGGCCAGCCCGACAAATTCCATCATGGTGTTAAAATCCAAAGTGGTGTCATCGTCCATATTTTCGCTCGCCAATAGATGATCTAAGCTCGCTGACCGAACACTGGTTGGATACTCGGCTTGAAATGTGATTTTTTCAACGTGGGTATCAAATCGCACCAAGTTGGTAGTGGAGGGCGACGGGCTCAAAGATTTAGTTAGGCGTGTTTTAGTATGGTTAAAGCTTGTAGAGCTTGTTTTAAGCGCAGGCTTCAAACCAGGCGTAGAAAATCGACGATCGCTGTGATCTAATAACACGCCTTGAGAACGAGCACATCGTTCTTGAAATTCCGTGTCGTTTTCACATTCGGAACAGTACAATGGTCCGAGCAACCAAGTGATATCAGAATCTTTTTGCCTAAAAATTGTACACCAAATAAATCAATATCGCTTTGTCAGACGAATATGGCAGCCCAAAAGCGGGGAGAGACAGTAAGCTTTGCCACGATGCCTTACCAATTTAAATCGGACGGATTGACTCTTTTGTTATTTTTACCGAGGCGATCAGTCGATAGCATAGACATTTGTCGCCAGAGGGCATTTTGATATCTTATCAAGCGAGTGTGCTCGGTTTTTAGGCGACGATATTGATCTCGACCAGACGTCAAAGGTAGTTCATGTAAGTTTTGCTGAATCCGTAATAGCTGTCGATGATTTTGACTGTAAGCTAGATTTAAATCTGAGACGTTCCAGGAATGAGAAAGATAGTCGACTGATATCTGAGGTTTCATTTGAAGAGAGAGAGATGGGGAGAGAGAAGAAGGAGATAAATTGACTGAGGGATGGAAACCAAAAAAAAATAATTGAGGTCAGTTTATAATAGTGCTAAATCTCTCACGTTTGAGTACAGCTAACAAGCTGAATAGATACGAAGGATTATTTATAATTTTATTATATGCAGTCAGAGTGTGTGTGGGTCAATCTGCTTAACAATGGTGCGATAACCTGCTATGCAAAAAAAAAAAAAAATCATTATTATTATGCTGCTGAGAAAAGTCGGAACGGGCCGTGTTATGGACCAAGGCGTTCCAGGATAAAAACAGTAAAGGGTCGGGTCCGGATTTTGTGGCCATAAGGATTGCTTGTCACTTTCAAGCAAAATTGTAAGATCGCCTTTCTGCATTGGGGGGTCTCGACCCATTCTGCGGCAACCCATTAGAGTTTGAAAAGCCCTTTAAATATATGATGTGATTGTTTTAGGGCGGACGCGCGGTGATAAAGTACTGTAATTTGGTGAGGTTAGGTTGGATTTATGCCGATGAACCGTACTTTCGCAACCTGGCTGGTTTGACTGAGTAGGGGGAGAAAGGAATGCGGTCTGAATGAGGCATTCCGATATGCCATACCTAAACATCACAAGCAGAAGTAAAACTCACACACAAAAAAAAAAAACACGCAAGCAAGGCGCACGGTCGTCCAACGCAGGCATCCACGCACAAACGATGCCTGCCCAGACAATCCAAATTAAGCAAGCGCAATGCACACAAACACTTGCAATATTGAGATTCAGTCTTCATGCTATCTTTGGGAATCTCTCCATCGATACCCAGCCAGCGGGGTGAATACCCACAAGTAAACCCTCTCCGATACCACGCTTTACTATGCTATCCCCCCCCCAATCTCGTTGCATTGGGTAGGCAGTACAAACATGACAATGTTCTTATTTGTTTGTGATCGCAAATGATACGAACATACTTCATCATGACACACTTTGAATGTTACAATAACAGATAAGCAAAAGCTATCAATATAAGTCTACAAAGTTGGCGGGGAACTGTTGAATAGAAAAAAACGTTATCAGTGTTTGGGAGTACACCATTCAAGAACTTGTTCTTTTTGAGCATGTGTGGAAAACACATGTGAAAATGTTTAAGGATAAGCTTATTATTACTTACTGTTCCTTCACGGTCGCCGATACGACCTGTCCACCAGTCATTTTGACTCGATGTCCTCTTCACGATATGGATGATATCCCCCCTCTTAAAGCTTAGGTCTCCTTTCTGTTCCCCCGCAAAGTCGTACATTGCTCTAGCAGAATTCTTTTCTCGCGGTGCTTTATCCAATCCAGGATATGCTGAGTCACTGCGCGGTGTTGTACCTTGATATGACTGCTGACGTGGAACAAATCGCTCACCACGAGAATTGGAATCTTCGTATTGATCTCCATACACTGGTTGGTCATTATACATAGTGGACGATCCGCCGAATTTTGCATCTAAAGCTCTGTACAGAACCTGCGCCTGTTCAGGTGGTGGTATGCTTCCATTTAGTAGCTGCTTGGCTGTCACTTCCTGCCGGTACATTTTGACGTTATCCGGGTGTCTTGTTATGATAACCGATCCTTCCAAGCTTACCCCTGGGAAATATATATAAAAAAGTAGGCATAAACAATTAGCGTTTTTTACTTCATGACGTTTGCTTCTACGGGCATATACCTGCGAAGAGTCCTTTCGTCTTGGAATAACTGTATATCGCCGCAACTTGAGTGAGAGCTGCCACTCCGGCGGCTTCCGCATTTCGCCCGACTGGTCCTACTGCCACTGCATGTATAACAAAAAAATATGTAAACAGAAATTTAACATTGCCTTGTGATGATAAAAAAAAATGGCAGTAATCATGGGGACATGCCTATCCACTGGATATCTACCTGACAGATTTCCGCCCAACGTGATGTTGCCACTCTGACTGAACGCCTTGACAGCTTCCTACATTATCCGTGAGCGTTTTGACTCATGTGTCAGCTCAAATTTCGTAAACTTGCTCACTTTGGTGTTTAAAACTATGACAAATTCTGTCAATTCCGCACCTATCGAATCCCGTACAATATTTGTTAGATAGTTAACTTAGATATGATCAACGGCGCCAACCCCCTTACCGATTTGCCCTCCAAATCCGGCTCCAAGTGTACCGATGGCAGACGGAGCTGACCAACCTATACGATATCAGGTGTTAAATGACATATGACTAGCTAATAACACAGTATGAAGCTGATGTCGAAACTCAACTGCCATCAGGAAGCCTAAAAGTGCGGGAGGAGATAGGCCGGTGAGTTGATTGTGGAGGCTGCGTGGTGGTCAATTTACTCAACAAATGTACCTAGCAATCACCAATCCTGATCCTGCTCGCCCCGAAAAGATGAAGCCTGCTTTAAGCACAGTAAAGATAGCTAATCCCTTTGCCTTGGATAGTATGGTGGGTGGTATTATAACATCCAGTCCTTCACCTGGATCTGTTTTTGGGTCGCGTGATTTAGCTACGCAAGGACTTGGCAACCACACAATGAAATATTTCTTGGCTTAAGCCACGTCAACCCACCTATGAAAGAATTGAGGATCGAAGCAGCTTTCCGGCATTCGCCTAATGTTCTGATTGAGTGATCATTGTGATATGTAATGCATCATGTTGGTGATCCACAAATATACCTGCTAAGCTAGACGGCAGAGGTGAGGTAACCATGTTGAAGAAAGAGGTATGCGTGCAAAATATCAAAAAGGTTGAAAGACGAGGGAAAGAAAAGCAAAATATCGACTTTCAGTTTTATCTGAAACCTTTTGGATTGAGATATAATTTTAAACGGAAAACCCTTCGTATAAGCCCTTTTTCCAAGGCTCCCCATTGCTTCTCTTGGCGCATTACATTCAAAATCTTGTCAGCCTTTATGTCCAGAGTAATGAGTGATCGTTGCTAGAATAATTTGTTTCTTTTTTTGAATGACAGGTAAGGTTTTCCCCACACACAGGCTAAATGTTTGCTTTGAAGTATCCTCGGACATTGGTAGGCGGCTGATGAAATTTCAACCCCAAAAATCATCCTCGGGTTAACTTAACCCTCGTAAGCTAAGCTCCGACTTTAACTGAACAAGTGAGAGCTCAAAAGGGTCCAAGCTCTTTTTACTTATTTCTAAGTTCCAAATGTGTTCAGGGCATCCAACCATTCGAGAACCTAACACTCTCGCTAATATAAATGAAGTCAAAGTCAAGCATATACACTTGGATCTCACTGTCGATTTCGTACAGAGGCTACTGGGTGGCCATGCCACCCTCACTTTTGAACCATTGCAGGATCAAGTTGAAAATGTCGTGCTGGACACTTCATTCCTCAATATTGACGCCGTAGAAATGAACTCTAAGCCACTAGACGTAAGTAACTTCATTGAAAATTGTCTCACGGTCTAATTTGTGCGACAATACCTTCATTATGTATTCTTTTTTAATATAACGTTCTCGCGTTTTATGCATCGTCTAGTTCCACTTGGCTGAACGCCATCCAGCCTTTGGTTCGGCTCTGCACATCAAGTTAGCTGAGCCGATCCAGCAGTCGTCCAATTTCGATATCACCATCAAGTATACAACTACTGACAGATGCACTGCCTTGCAATTTCTTGAGCCAGAGTAAGCAAGCTTCCGCCGTGCTTTGTGACATTTTGATTTTCACGTTGTTTATTTTGGTTTTTTTTTTTCACAGGCAGACTGTGGGAAAGCAATTCCCATACTTATTCTCGCAATGCCAGGTATGTGGAGGTCAACAACCTCGATTAGTTTCAATCAATGTTCAGTGTTCTAATGTGCTAATCCTATCTTCTCTTTCTTGATCCACCTCAATGTGTATAATAGGCGGTAAGTTTTTTTTGTAGCGTTTGCTTGTTATCTCTGCGGCCGTACAATATGATAAATTTCGGAAGCTTATCTCTTTGAACAATGTCCGCTTGAAAATTAGATACACGCCCGATCGTTTGTGCCTTGCCAGGATTCACCTTCGGTTAAACTTACCTATTCTGCCAGCATTGCCTCGCCGCTGCCAGTTCTGATGTCAGCTATCAAGACAAGTGAAGAACCCTCTGCAGCCTCTACAGCTGGTCAGCCATGTTTCACTGTTTACAAGTTTGAACAGCGCACTTCAATCCCCTCCTACCTGATCGCCATTGTTTCCGGTAATTTGGCGGGTCGTGAAATAGGTCCCCGTAGCACTGTTTGGTGCGAACCTGAGATGGTGGATGCTGCTGCTTGGGAGTTTGCCGTAAGCTGTTTGACTTGATTTCAATGAATAATAGAAAGTGATTCATAGTTCCTGACGCATATTACCGTTAGGATACCGAAAAATTCATCGCTGCTGGTGAGGACATCTTGACATCGTATGAATGGGGACGTTACGATTTACTCGTACTGCCGCCTAGTTTCCCTTACGGCGGTATGGAGGTAAGTTTTTGGCTTCAGTACAGCGGAATTTAAGGTACAATCAAGGTGCATAAAGCTGACCGTCATGGACGTTACCTCTAGAACCCTTGCTTGTCGTTCGTCACACCAACACTTCTGGCTGGTGACAGAAGTTTGGTTGCTGTCGTGGCTCATGAGATCTCTCATAGTTGGACCGGTAATTTGGTAACAACCAAGTCTTGGGAACACTTTTGGCTGAATGAAGGATGGACTGTGTTTGTAGAGAGAAAGATTCTTGCCCGTCTCCAAGGTGAACCACAACGTCATTTCTCGGCTATCATAGGCTACAAAGCCTTGACCGACAGTGTGGAGCTTTTCGGTCATGATTCACCTGCAACTCTACTTAATCCCGACCTGACTGGGATTGATCCCGATGATTATTTTAGCACAGTACCTTACGAAAAGGGATTCAACCTCCTATTCTACATTGAACAAGTTGTTGGTGGACCAGAGGTTTTCGAACCCTACATGAAGGCACACATTCGCCGTTTTGCCCACACTAGTATTACAACCTCGGACTGGAAATCGTATCTGTACGAGTACATGCAGCAGCAACATGGTGACGACATGGTCAGTAAGCTTGATAGCATTGACTGGTATCAATGGCTAAAGTGTCCAGGTATGCCCCCTGTGCCCCCCAAGTTTGATACGACTCTTGCCGAAGCATGCTATTCCCTGGCGACATGTTGGAAGGACGCTAAGGACCGTGGGGATTCCGAATACAATGGCACAGGCAAGGAAAAGTTTTCCGAATTTACATCGCTCCAGAAAGGTAAGCTGCAGAAAATGCAATGTAGTTTGTTTATCTTCTAGACCATTTTCCATCGGCTTAACCCATCTGTGATGCGCAGTGATGTTTTTGGAATCCTTGATGGAGGCAGCACCATTCCCACACGAACTTTTAGCGTCCCTTGATGCTTGCTATCAACTTACATCAGTTCGCAACTGCGAAATTCGGTTCCGATGGCAACGGTTATGTCTAAGCTCGGATTACGAACCGATATATCCTAGTGTCTGTGAACTTGTCACTGAACAAGGTCGTATGAAGTTCGTACGACCGCTTTATAGGTAAGATTTACAACCTTGGTCTGTTCTGTAAGACAAGAGGCTTGAGAATAACATGTGCATTTATTTCCATGTAGATATCTTAATCAAGCAAAGAACGGATCGGAGCTGGCTAAATCTACTTATCTCGCAAATAAGAGCTTCTATCATCCTATTGCCGCTATGCTCATTGAGAAAGACATTGGCATTGCGCCTATGTAGTTTTTGCATTTGATGATGCATAACATAATTAGCTAAAAGTAATTTCTAGACGTATTTCTTTTCTGGATAACAGCTTTATATCACTCAACAGTATCTTAACATGAACGGTTTCTCTTATATCTCGAAAACAAGCGTTTATTCCATGTAAATCGCTGAGGGAATATAGACATGGTCGCTAATGAAACCAGCGAAAGGAATTGGTGGTAGTCAAAAGCAGAATGCCATAGATAGCCGTGTGTGTTTTTGTTTCATTGAAACCATGCGCCTTTACAGCTTTGCTTTTGTGATGGCAGCGACTTCCTTTTCATTTTGCTTCAAAAACTCTAAGGCTCTCTGCAATAAGAAATAGTTTTTGTTACGATGAGCGGCGTGCGTTGAGGGAGCACAAAAAAATCATATCTGCCCAAAATAGTAATGAATATGCTTACTTCTTGACCTCCCGTTTTGTTAAATACCTCTTCCAGCTTTTGCGCCAGCATCAAGTCGCCTCTGACTTTGATCTTGCCAGACATGTAAGCGCGCACGCCAGTCAAGCTGAGGGCATGGCACTGTCAGCCAATGTTTGGATACCTTTCATTGAGTATTCAATGCTCACTTACCCGCCGGTGACAAAGTTGACGAGGTCGCTGTCATCAATGGTAATGCGAACGGTGCGTGCTCTGGCAGCTTTGGCCTTTTCCTTGGCCATTTCGGCATCCATGGTTATGATTGGCTCGACCTGATTACCTGCATATCAAAAAAACAAAATTATGAGATTCGCGGAAAACTGTGGGGTAGCTGAGTTTCCCAGGATGGGCAAACGAACCTTGGAAGAGCAAACACCTAGATGGGGAATTTCCAAAGCCTAGTATTAGCAAAATCAATGCGTTCGGGTGTATCTTACGTAGCTCAAAACTTACCACTTGGCCTGGGGCTTCTTCCTCTTATTAACAGTAATTACGAAGAGGCCTTTAATGTTTGGCCACAAGGACTGATCTGGAGTTGGAATGCTCATTTCAGCTACTATTGAGGTGCCGACTGGTTGCTTTCATTACCGCAATCTTACCGTCTGCCAATTGGCGTTGGAGTTCAGGCATGAACATGCTTGAAAGCAGTTTAGAATTAGGTGAAGACGCCATTGCGGAGAAAGTGTGCAAAGGAGAGAAAGAGAACTGAAATGGCCGCAAGTGTGGAGATCCAGAAGCGAGGTGACTGCTGTCGTTAGGGCACTGGTGGGTTTTGGAGCCAAGGTGCAATGTAAGGCACGTGAAATTGCCACGAAGGGGAACACCGTAGAAACTTGGTGTGCGCCTCCTGCGAGGCGCTCATTGTTACCCTTATTTGCTTGAAGCGCTGGGCGCACAGACGATCACCGTCGGGGAGTCGACACTTTTTTTCTACCTTTCATTGGCACAGCTATCATAATCCATTCTTCCTGTCGATAAATATAGAAGTATTGCCTCTCATCCGCATAGTGAAACTAACAGGTTTTCTCGAACATACGTGTATGTTGGATCAGGCAACTCAAAGATCCCGATCCATCGATTGCGCTGCATGAGTAACTACCGAAGGGACACGGTAAAGACATGAAGAGAAAAAAAATTACAAGACAAGGCATCCTCTGCTTATACGGTCAGAAGACCTTGACGCGAAAAAATAACGCGAACTATTATTTCTTAACACGAACATCTTTGCAGAGCCTGTTCCTTTCTTCACCCACTTTTCACTATTCTCACCAAAGTCAACTGTAAACGTCTCACCATGCCCATGTTCCCACCTAATGCTGATCCGGCGTATCGAAGACACTTTACCGAAAATATTAAACAACACTTACCTCTCCCTATGATCGGAAACGAATTTGTCAAGGTGTACACACGTTGTCGTTACTGGCCACGTTGTTCCAACCGAAAATGCAAATTCGTTCATCCAGTTTACGATTGCAAGTTTGACAAAGATTGCCCATATGACACTCTTTGCGCGTTTCGCCACACTTCTGATCCCGTTCCCGATAATTTGACTGGCTATTACAGAGGACGTCGAAAGACTAAGGCGGCAGCCTTCAGTCCAAACAGCAAAAATCCGCAATCCAATGACGAGTGCATAAATGAACACACTAAACCAGAGCCTGAATCTTGGCCTGAGCCTGAACAAGAGACGAAGCCTGAACCCGAGATCATGGGTTCTGGCGCCAATCTTGAAGTTGACCCCTTAACTCCAAAGCCCAGGACCAAATTCAACCCGCGCTTGCTTTCTCCCAAGATAGCGAAGAGAGCTCAGCCAAGGAATACTGAATCCAGCACGGAAGCCAGCTCGTTTATCACTACGTCAACGGCAAAAAATACTGAGTCTGTCAGCTTGGCATTAATGTTTCAAGACCACGAACTACCAGGCTGGCCAATCGAACGCAACAATTATGCATCCTCATTTCCAAACTCCATGTTCCTCTCTAATTTCTTGGCACAAAAGCAAACACCTGCATCAAGCTCTTTAAATTTTCAAGATTGCGGTACATTGATGTCTTGGACAACCTTGCAAGAAAATATGACCTTGGGACCAAATCTGACGGTAGCCTCCATGAAGAAGATATGGCAAGACATTCCAAACAGCTACTCACGACGTGAATTAGCTCGTTGAATTTAACAGCCAACGGAAAGAAAAGGAAGTGTGAAAAAAAAGGGTCTACCCCAAAAAGTAATCACCGTAAAATATGAAACTGTACGTACGATAATATGTTCTTTTTTTTTGGTCCAAAGTATTCTCTACTCTCGCCTGATACATTCGGGTCTTCCTCTGATTGCCCCACTTTGACTGGGACAGGCAGCCATGCTTGTGAACAGTACAGTAGGCAAAGGAGTACAAATGGAATCAAATAATAATAAAAATTAATGGGAAAAATTCATATACACAATAGACGGGTCTGCGTTTTTGGTTGTCTAGATTTTTTTTATTTGGTTTACATGGTACATTCAAGACGATATAGAAAAAACATCTATCACAAATATTTGCAATGGTTGCATTGGGATGTCAACACTTAGTTCCCTCTGCTTCTAATACATAGATCAGAAGATATATTAGCTCGATAATTCCTAAATTACACAGCTTTCCTTGTTTTCTCTCTCCTTTTTTTTTTCTTGGTTTTTTACAACTTGGCTTGCATGCCTTCGCCCTTCCATCGGCCTTCAGCCTTGCCAGCATGGACAAGAGGCTTGATGCACTCCTCGTAGGAGTCAGTGACCAACTTGTGATTCAAGGGTTCCTGTTCAGCCATCTCGGTCATGCTCTCGTAGACCTTTCCGTCGTATCGGCCCAAAGCAGAGTGGAGGTAGTAGTCGGGAAGAGCAAAGGCATCAACCAATGCAACAGCATCGGGGCGGACCTTGGAAAGAAGGTCAAGAGTCAAATCCTTTACCATACCAGCCTGATCGGGGCTAAGGTATTGGGAGACGAGGAAGTCAGCCAACTCTTGTTCAAGAGTGTGAGAACCGAAGAGCAAAGCCATGTTTCTAAGAGCTTGCATAGTGCTGGAGGAAAGATCGCTGCGGGCAGCTTGGAGTCCAGAAATGAAGTTGGACAAAAGCACAAGTTGAGTGTGTGCCTTGGAGACACGAGCGATTTCCACAGTCATAGAGTTCCAGCTCTTGCCTTGGTTATCAAGTTGGTGGACAAGCTTCTGGGTCATAGAAGCGGCACGGAAACGGAAAGCGTTAAGGAGAACTTCAGGGTTCATGAAGTCAGCAGCTTCGACAGCAGGGCACTTGGAGTTGGGGTTTTGAAGGTATTCGTACAAGTAGCCGGATGTGAAGTTCATATCGCTCTCCTTTGTCTTGTTAGCAGCAACGCTTCGGAATTGCTTACCAAGGTAACGAGCGGTTTGCTGAGTCAAGACGTAGTTGTCACCTTCCCAGGTAACGTTAGGCAAGTAATCTTGATAGAAGGAGCCAAGGCCAGAGAACATGGAGTAACCGTGACCACCGCAAGCACGACGACAGTCCTCAATGCCCTGAACGGCCATAGTGGTACACAAACTCTTGAGACCGGAAGAGCTGGCATGAAGATCAGCAAGAAGGGTGAAGTTGCCAGCATTCATGTTGGCCTGGTTCTCATTGTAAAGTCTGAGCATTTCACGGCCAGTGAAGAAACAAGCGTAAGCTTGAGCAATGATGGGAAGCATACGATATTGTTGCATGGTATAATCCAAAACGGCAGTTTCGACAACCTTGTTTTCCCACTTACGGGGGTTAGCAGCATCAACGAACTGGTTGCGAACAGCAGAGTAACGGATAGCAATGGTAGCAGCCTTGGCCAAAGCAAATCGGACACCTGAACGAAAGCGAAATCAATGCATGCTCGTACAGCCACCCTACAAAAGCATGATTTAAACTTACCCATAACAATGTTAGCGCGAACAAAGACCATAGTACCATAGGACAACTTGGCATTTGGGGGTCGGACATATTCACCAGTGCCTTGCTTAACTTGCGCATAACGGGCAAGGAAAGAGATGTGAGGAATGCGGTAGTGGTCGAACATGATGAAACCGTTATCGACAGTGTTGAAACCGAACTTGGGACCAATATCACCAACAGTGATTCCCTTCAAAGGACGATGATCTTCCAAACTACGGATTTGGACACAGAAAGGATGGGGTCCGAAATCCTTTCCGTTAAGAATAAGACGAGCCATGACGATGGCATGGTTGGCAGCCTTGCCGAGACCACCAATCCACCACTTACTGGAGGTCAAGGTAGGGGAGTGAATTTCGAACTCGTTTGTCTCATTAATATATGTAGCAGTAGTTTCCAAGCCTTGGACGTTGGAACCGTGTCCAAGCTGCAATTTCGTCAGTCAGCTGAGTGAAGTGATACCGAAAGTTTCAACCATAAAACCAAATCTTCAGACATACCTCAGTCTGGGCATAACAACCAATAATCTGATGCTTCAAGGCAGGCTCGAGGAAGAGCTTCTTTTGCTCGTCAGTGGTTTGGTTCTTCAAAGTAGGCAAGAACATACCAGAGTGCAAAGAGAACTATTGATACAGAGTGAATGAGCATCCGGGTATTATTCCGAAACATACCATCTGGATTTGGATGTGTAACTTACAGGAGAGCTTTGATCATAAAGGAAGTTGGCAATTTGGGAGTCAACATCGGTCCACTTCTTCTCTCTAATAACGAAGGCAGTATTAGTATTTCATGCACAGCGTAATGCAAAGCAACCAGGACCGGCATTCTTACCGAGCGAGTTCGACCATGCGCTTGTCCTTCTTGAATGCATCAGCAACTCTCTCGTTACGGCCTTGGTAGTATCGATTGGACTTATCGAAAGCGGGTTCGTTTTCTATGACTTCCAAAACTCGGCTGAAGCGGTCTAGCCACTCCTCACCATACATGAACTTTGTGAGCTCTTGGGTGTTGAAGGTAGCCTTTGCACGCTCGGCGGCCAAGACAATATCACCAGCAGGTCCCTTGGGGTCCAACTTCGGGAACTTTGTGGGGACGTTGTTATTAAATGTAGCCATGTGTGATTAGCTTCAAGGTTAGAAAAGGTGGGGATTCCGGGGCAATGGTTGTGGACCTTTAAATAAGGAATTTTGTATCAACTGGTTAGTAAGGCGAATTGTCAAGACCTCGTGACTGCTGGGGATATTAGGGGACATTTAGAATGGAACACCGCCTTTTGTGATAGTACACTGCGCGTTAACGCAGAGATGGTCTAATATATGGTATTGTCTTCAATAGATCTACGTCTTCATCCAACTTTTCAAGTTTCTTATATGAAGGATTTATAGAAAAATGATTTTATTATAGTGAGTATTGGAGAATGTGACAATGACTGAGACCCAATTCATTTTCAATTGTTTCTTTCTCAGCAGCTTTCAAAGAATCCACGTACGATTATACTTCAGAACTCCGCTGAAATCGTTTCCCAAGGTACCTTTATTTTTTACCCTTGTCTTTAAGCCCGAGAACGATGGTACTGCCTTGTTGGAAATTGTAGAATGCAAGACTCTTGGAATTGTTCATGACAGTTCCTACGCCGCCAACGGAAAGCTTCTGTTTACCATATGGCATGCCCACTTTATCAGCGATGCGGTTTTTCAATGTAGAAACCAAAGTGGTGAGTGGCAGGTCATCGATGGTTATAGTTTCCCCAGTAAGCTTGTATTCTGGGAGAGTTGGTGTTTGAACAGTGAGAGCAATAGGATCCTGTGAAAAATAAAGTCAGCTCGGATCACTGTTTTACACAAAACCAAGTGTTCATTCTAATATGAAAAAAAAAAATACATACCGGATGTTGTGCTAGCCATTCGTCTTCAGCCAATGGAACACCATCATTTCTCGGTTTCTTAGCTCCAGGAGCTTCTGCACTTTCCTCGTCTGCTTTGCGGGTAGCTCCTACTTCATAGCCGCTCCCAGGTTGAGGTGGTGGAATAGGGCTCATAGCAGCAGGTGGCATGCCATAGCCAGGAATTTGATTAGCGAACAGCCGAGAATTGGGCACGGCTTGTGGTGGTAATGGCGGATATTGGCTGTAAGCTTGAGGTGGCATTGCAGAAGATTGGAAGTTGCTCGTGGGTGGTTGCGGTTCTCTGGAAATGGATGCACCAGCCATACCAGAAGGAGGCATCTGCTGTTGTGGCACTTCTGACTTCGCAGTTGCCTGCGGACCTATAGAACTTGCGCTGTCACTGCATATGGAGAAAAAAATTAGTAACTGTACGTCACGTAAATGTTTAAATTCCTGTGTACACCTACCCAGTAAGACCCTTTGCGCGATGAATGGCTGCAATTTGTTCCTCAATAGTAGCGCCTTGAGCTGCTCTCTGTGATGCAAGGTTGATAGAAGCAGTATGGCCATCCCAGACAACCTTCTCCTTCTCTCTGGCTTCTTCATTTCCAACCTTCTTTCCGATTTCAGTTTCTTCAGAACCAAAAATATCGGAACGATAGCCAGAAAAGTTCTTCAAGATTTTAGCAACGTCAGTTCCTTCTTGCAACAAATTACTGTCTCGAAGTTTGGCTTCTGCAGCTTGCTTCTGTTCCTTCCATTTGCTATCCAAAAGTTCGATACGCATATGCTCATCCATTTCTGACATTGGAATGGCTTGTCCACATCTGGGACATATTCCTGTCTGCTCATTGACTTGTCGTGTGGTCGATCCCACTTTGGGTCTGTAATCTGTACGGATCTTAATCGGGCCAGTGGTATCTGAGATTCTGATGTCCTGTACAGCTGCTTGCTGAGGCATTTCTTCATCATCATCATCATCTTGCATATCGACTTCTTCAATCTAAAATGCAACATTTTGTGAATAAACTTTCTTAGTTGCATATGTCCTACACCCAATAATTACCTCCATTTCGTCATTAGCTTCCTGTGTTTGCTCCAATTGTTGATTTGTTTCCGCTATGGCAGCAAGCCTCTTCTGCTCTAATGACATGTTTTCTAATTCTGATAAGCTCATCGGTGGGGGAAGGTTCAATTTTTCGTCGTCTTGCGTAAATTCTACAGTTTCAACAATGACAAAGTCATGCCAATCAATGGCAGCATAGGCAGCTGATAAAAACAAAATGATGTGAACAACCGTGTCGTTTTGGCGTCATATTAGGTCCAACTTACCTCTCTCCTTTTCATCTGCATCTTGTTGTTTCTTCTTCTCAGCTTCAACCCAAGCAATCCACTCTACTCTAGCCTTGACTCGCTCAAGTACATCATATTTGCTATCGACGTTCTTCTTCAATCGCTCCTTTATGTCTTTGGGTGGTACAAGCAGTTGAGTATACTGCGTGACAAGGCTCGTGAAGTAATTGAACAAGCTGTGAGATGGTCGTAAAAAGTCGAATTGATAATTTCTGGATTCTCTCTGAGCGAGCTGACTCATAAATCGTGAACCATTGCGCGCAACGAACTGTGCAGTGTGCTTGATGATGTCTCTATTATCAGGGGTAGGGTTTAGTACGTTGATAGATTAACAAGGCCATTTCAAGAAGCACTTACAAGTCTTGAGCAGACATAGTTGGCATGTCGGAAGAAAACTCAAACTTCGATGGCTCTTTGGGTGCCTCTTGAGCCTCGTCCTCCTCTGGCTTCACCTCTTCATCGTGCTTGACACCAGCTTTGGTTGCTACATCAATAATAGTCAGCATCGATACTAAACGTACATAATGAATCAAAGTACAAAACATACTCTTTCCTTCCTTAGTTTGCGTTATTCGTAACTGGTAGTAAGCATGGTAAGGATCGTTGGGATTCAAAAAGCAAAACCGAGGGTTGTGTCGTTCATTTTCTCGAATTCGATCTTCAAGGGTTGGGCCTTTTCGTGCTACGAAATCAGCTGTTTTATCAACAATTTCTGTTTAAAAGAGAATTCGTCAAGGTAAAAGTGAGGAAATTCAAAAGAGCAAGAGCCCTGTACGATCGAGTCATAACGTGTAAAACAGCAAAGCAAGATTTTAAAAGGATACTGCGCACTTCAGGTGGTGGATAGATGATTCCTTTGATTGATTCCTCTTGTTCGACATCTGGAGCTCCATTTTGATCGACATCCATCCCGTCAATATCATTATTGAGACTATTTGACGGATCAGCTACAAGTGTTGCAACCATGATGACAGTGTGTGCCCAAAAAGTGCAAGATCGTTCCAAGTTTTTGAAGCTTTGCTTGCAACGACCAATATCTCAAAATCCCCGTGACTGTTATAACGAGGAATCACGTGATTTGACCCACTTCGAATGTCATTTTTGGTATCCAAGCGTTGTTGCATAGATGGTTTTGAGTCATATGAGTTGCCATAACTCATAGATGAATTAAAAAATTGTAAAAATAAAAGTTAATTCTACTAACGGTAGATCGTGAGAGTGTGACCGTAAGTGCATCATCACACTCGCACTTGTCGGAATGCTAAGTGACACACCAAGAAATATAGCACAAAAGAAACCGGCCATTGATCGCGATTTATGGCTATATACGCAACCTCTTGCCATTTATTGCAATATATCTGGTGGAAATAGATATTTTTCTGTATAAAAAAACTGTAGAAGAAGGTCAACGACCATCGCTATCATGTTCGCCGCACCTGGCTCATCCACCCACAGCGACGGTCATTGTAATTTGAGCACTACTACAGACTTTTGCTTTCATTATGAACAGCAGCTAGATGTTTTTTGAGAACACACACGCTACCCGGGATGGTATTGTCGGAGCAGATGAATTTGCTGACTTGAGTCAAAAAGATGGAGAGGTACAAATCGGAACAGGTAATAAATTTCTCATAAAAACCTCGTGTCTACGACGATTCTCGACAACCACCATTCCAGCCTATCCAGGTTTACCTCCATTCGCCACACAATAATGTCAAGCAGAGCATTGTCACTGACGCGATTCAGACCTACTCTCTCTACGCCTTCCATCCAACGGTCGGTTAACTTGTCGTTTAGACATAACAGAGCGGTAAGCTTAGGAATCAATAACTCTATATGATCGACATTGATCTCACGAACTATGTAGATTCTTTTAGGAACAACAAAGCGATTCGCTTCCTACGGAAACTATGGCTATGGCAATGAATATGATTCTTTTGGAAACAGCGGAGTGTCTGGAGGATGGGGTACTAGTCGTAGAAGTCTTCCACGTAACACGGTATGTTAGGACAAGAAGGCGTTCATGCCAAACAATTTGAACTAATTGGTCTTCATTGTCAATTGAATAGATAATCAAATTTGTTCCCCAACAAGAAGCCTGGATCATTGAGCGTATGGGAAAATTCCATCGTCTACTCGAGCCTGGTCTTAACTTCCTCGTGCCACTCATCGATCGTATCAAATATGTCAAGAGCATGAAGGAAACTGCAGTTGAAGTGCCAAGTCAAAGTGCCATTACCCAAGGTAAACATTGTCCTTTTATCAGTATCGAAATTCATATTGTTTAACGTCAATGTGTATCAGACAATGTCACTCTCGAGTTGGATGGTGTTTTGTACTTCAGAGTCATCGATCCTTTCAAGGTTTGTGTAAAGCGCAGCAGTATATGGCCAACAAGTAAAATTGTTATTAATGAACAATATAATGGTTTCACTAGGCGTGTTATGGGGTTGAGGATGCCGAGTTTGCTGTCACGCAGTTAGCACAGACTACCATGCGTGCTGAAATTGGACAAATGACCCTTGATCGTACTTTAGCCGAAAGAGCCCACTTGAACGCCAACATTGTTGATGCAATTAATGGTGCCGCCGAAGACTGGGGTATTCGATGCCTTCGATATGAAATTCGTAAGTTTAAAATTTAGGCTATGGTTCACGGTTAACTCCCTGTATATTAACCCGTAAAACTAGGTGATATTCACCCTCCTAGCAAGGTGGTCGAATCTATGCACCAGCAAGTTTCTGCTGAGCGTACCAAGAGAGCACAAATTTTGGAGTCCGAAGGTAAACCCTTCAAATTCAAAGCTATTTGAGTATGTGCAGCAGTAACTAACCAGTTGATATAGGTGCACGACAAGCGGCGATCAACGTAGCAGAAGGTCGTAAGCAAGCAACTATCCTTGCATCTGAGGCCGAAAAAGCAGAACAAATCAACAAAGCAGGTGGTGAGGCAGAAGCAATTCTACTCAAAGCAAAAGCAACTGCTTTAGGTATAGAAAAGGTTGCTGAAGCCATTGGAAACAATAACGGAAATGAAGCAGTATCTATGTCAGTTGCTGAAAAATACGTGGAAGCCTTTGGCAAGATGGCTAAGGAAGGTACAACTCTTATTGTTCCCGCTACTGCTAACGACGCCGGTTCTATGGTTGCTCAGGTAATTTTTTTAAGTTTTAAAACCATCATTATTCATTCTTTAAAATACTTACCGTATGGACTCCTACCAGGCATTGTCGGTGTACAACACTATTAACAAGGCAAGAATACCCAGTCGTCAAGCCTCCAACTCATATGTATCAGCAGCCGAAAAGATGAAGGAGGAGACCACTCGCGACTTCGTTAATGCAGCTAAAAAGAACCCTGATAATTTAGAGGATCAGTAGTAAATATCCAAAATAAAATGGTTAATTGCGAAGCCAGCGAGTACAGATTGTAAAAAGTTCTCCGAAAATTTCCCAACTGGAATACGGTGTCGCCCCCTTTTCCAACAAGCCTTGACTGTCTTTTGTCGAAGACGTAGTTGGCATTGCATTTTGACTACTATCGTACAATACTATTAACGCTCAGAATCGACACTACTCCAAAGCACTAGATTCAATACTTTTATTACTGTTGCTCGAATTCGATACATTGTCAGTACAGGAAGGAAAACACATATATGGATCGATTAACGCAACTGCAAGATGCAGTCGACGCGGTACGAACAATTTCACAACCCACTGGTTGCATGCTTGCATAGTGACAACCAAATTGACTTGGTGGATCATTTAACGTCTCGATTACTCTGTACTCATCACAAACTCTTTCACTTCAAATGCAATTAGATGGCTCGCATGTTTACCAACAGCATTTACTATGTACATGAAAAGTCTGCCATGGCTGCCCTGAGCGATAATATACCCGTTATACACCCAAAAGGTAAGTTGAAAATAGAGGAATGGGGTATTACTTCATTATCACAAACCCCTCAATTTTGACCATGATACTTCGAAATGCCTCCTCTAGTACAAGCTGATCCGCCAGATATCTTCCAACGTAAGTTATAGAATTCCCCAGCCGGCACGATCAAATTAGAATCTAATGCAAACTCTATATTTTCAGAGAATATGAAGGAATTGGTTTCGGACATAGTAAAGAAGGGCCAGGAGATTGATCGGCTTATAGAAGCATTGCCAGGCATCAGTCGAACAGAAGAAGAACAGGTAAAATCAAGAAATGAATTTAGACATTTGGGAGAATATGTATACTGACTCAATATTTAGATTGAACAATTATCATTACTGGAAGAGGAAAATGCGAAAGCTAACCAAGAATATGAGAAGGCTGTTGCTGATACTGGTAAGTGATGAACCCCATCAAGTGTTGAAAATACATAAACAACCACAAATCTGAACTGGGTATAATTGCTACCAACAGAGTCCCTTATGGCGGAAATAACGCAAGCCCTTAGACGCATAACGGATGAGCAAAGCAAACAAATTTATGAAAAAAGTAATTGAATCTTAGAAATAAAGCGAGTTCCTGTATCATAAAACGTGACAATTTGTGGAGGTCGAAGATCGATTGCCTTACCTCTCTATCTCCACGTAGCCACTTGTAGTTTGGTATCACCAGACTTGGCCGCACTCCAAAGTTCAAAGTTCAACAGCACAGTTAAATTCAGTTGTGACAGCAGGACACACGTTACCCTTCACATTGGCGTTGAATTATGTTCCGGGATGGCACAGGCTGAGGCGCCTACCTGCGATTGTTCCCTCGGGTGCTTGCTGCAAATGAAATACTTCACAATACAACGATGTTTCTCCAATTTGTAAATTGCTAGCCGTTCCATTGATAATAGCTGCATAACCTTGTATAACCCACTTTTCGTATCAATGCTAGGTCATATAATGCTTCTTCGACCAAAGATGCATTATTACGAGTCAACAAATACTCTGTTACTAAAATTGGTAATCGCTTGCCAAAATGATGCATAGCGACTTCATTACTCTATCAGAGACAACTTACGTTTGGTATCCAGCCTCCTCCTTAACAGTCAGGGATATTATAAAGGTATTACTTCCGTCCGAAGACCACAGTTAGCAAAGCTTTCAAGGCTTGTTAAATATCACTTGATTATTCTGATCTGCATTTGTCTCATCTTCCACTCTTGCTGCGTTGGCTGCGCATACGACATCCCTCACGTTCATTTACTTTAAATATGATTGTTCGTTGTTTTTCTATGTTGATGTTGAATTTCAGGTGCATTATTTATTATAAGATACTATTATTTCTTCTCGTGCTTCTAAAGACCTTCTATGAGTTGTTACAGAAAGTTAATCAATGCTTCGTGCGAGCGTCGATTCGAATTGTAGAGTAAGCTTTTGAAGTCAAATTTCTCTCGACTATAAATTACCTTGAGGTACGTCATCTAATGATCGATTACAACAGCTTTTTGCTAAAAAGCAGATCTATAAGGGTTCTTCAGCCGGTCCGATCTTTTGCTTGTCAACCTTTCTTGCGATGGCTTTGCTCTTTTGTCTTTACGATATTGCATTTTTATTTAATCATCATAGTTCCTCCTACATTCGTATGTCCATAATGCCAGCCTCTTCTTCTTCGCTAATTTCTTCTTCGTCCAAAAATCTTCGGTTAAGAATTTGCATATCTCATGATCGAATTTCTTCTAATTCAACCATGTCAACATCATGAACAGGAGCATCACTAATCAATTGTTTTGCTCTATTTAATGTATTGCTAGAAAAAAAAAAGGAGGAATACCAAAGGGGCTACAGTTTGTTTATTGACGGGAAGCCATACCTAATCTCATTCCGGCTTACGCAGGTCCAACAGCAGGGATGTTGTACGCCATGTATTGGGTTATTTGGATTGTTCGAAGCTTTGTGATTGTGTAATGGTATATGAAAAAGCTTTCAAGCAGATAGATTAAAGTGATCGAACAATTTCTCCAAAGTTGGCGAGTGTTGTTCTTTTTGAATGGAAAGATTAAAACGGCGCGGATATTGCCTACCATAAAATGTAACTTGTCAATCGAAAACAACCCACTACCAATTGTTGTGTCACCACAAAACCCAAATACTTTTCCGTCATTTTACTGAATTGACCTTTTGTTCTTATCTTCTTTCGCATTCACAATCATGGCGGAATTTTCAGGTAATGATCCATCCCAGGATGGATCTAACCCAAGACCACAGGCTCCAAGGAACATACATCCTTCACAGTTTGCTCGGTCTGACCAGTACCATGAGTCCTTGGGACCCCATTATGATCCAGAGACAGATATGTTTCTGGGCGACAGCCCACAGTCCCTCAAGCACAAAATAGGCAGTTTTGTAGGCTCCTATTCAAGGACGTCCATGACCTTCATGGCCGAAAATTTGTCGATACCCGTCTCTGCTGTAAGTTTTATGGAAAATTAAACTTCTTTCCCAGTCAACAAACCATAACTGACTACTGGTCCGGTTTCAGACGAGACATTTAGAGGATGATAACGACTTCGATAGACAATCAGTGATGACCCATTTATCACGATGGGATTCAAGGTGAGTTTCGTCTTACGTACAAATTGAGAGAGATATACTTAGTTGGCTGATTCAATAACGTAAACACACTACCGCCTTGCAGAAGAGATACCTATCCGAATATTGAGATCGAGCGTCGTTCAAGTGCGGGATCATACGGCGTAGGAGAGTACACTCCGCTGCTGCTACCAAAGCTGGACAAAATCCCGACTATATCCATTACATCCATTGCTGAAGACTATCATTTTGATCCGCACTCCATTCAAGGGGCTGCTCAAAAATCATCGTACATGCAATCTGTATTTAATTCCATCAACATCCTTATCGGCATTGGTATTCTGTCACTGCCCCTTGGATTTAAGGTGAGGTTCAAGCTGACTTTGTATGAAGTGTTGTCTCTGGCGTCCATAACAAGGATTTTTGATAGTGCGCTGGGTGGGTCGTTGGTTCCGCGGTATTTGCATTTTGCTGTGGCTTGACGATGTATACGGCCAAATTGCTATCCAAATGTTTGAGTCGTGGTGAGAATTCTCGCACCTACGGCGACATGGGTGATGCTGCTTTTGGCTTTCGCGGTCGTGTGCTCGTCTCTATGTTGTTTTTGACGGAGTTGATAACTTCTAGGTAAGTAACTTAAAAACCCTTTGCGTAAACACAAACCCAACTATGAAAAAAAATAACAGAAGAAAATAGTGTGGCTCTCGTGGTTCTGTTAGGCGACGGTATTCAGTCCCTCGTTCCAGGGTATGACACATTGGTTGTTCGTTGTATATCGTGGTTTATCGTCACCCCAATGTTATTCCTACCTGTGAGACAGCTATCATACACTAGCTTGTTCGGTATCATCAGTGCCGCCGCCCTGTTGGTAATTCTCATCTATGACGGACTTACAAAATCGCATGCACCTGGAAGTTTACTTGAACCTGCCGTAAGTGTCTTTCTCGTGGATATCAATGATTCGATGACTACATGATCTGATTCCCTCCTCCCGTATAGGATACATCGATCTGGCCATCGGAGTGGAACACCGTTCCTCTTAGTTTTGGATTGATCATGGCGGGGTTTGCGGGACATGCTGTTCTGCCGTCAGTACACCATGATATGGAGGAGCCAAAAGAATATAACAAGATGGTAAATACCACATACGTAATTGTTACAGCGGTATATGCTTTGATGGCTTCTGCCGGTTATGCCATGTTTGGTTCTGCAACAATGGAAGAGGTAAGGGGTGAACTATTTGCAATTTTTAAGGTGGTTGTTGTTAATGTACCTTCTGCTTTCTTAACCCGTGTTTCTCCGCATCAATTTTTTCTAGATCACACAAAATATATCAGCCACTCCTGGATACAATCAAGCTTTAAATCGATTTGCTGTTATTCTTATCGCTCTCAACCCAATAGCCAAATATGCCTTGACGCTCAATCCGGTCAATTTAACCTGGGAAATTTGGCTGTTTAGTAGTGATAATATTGATCACTTCTGCGGTGGCGATCGCCGCAAAGTTGTGAAGGTTTTCGGCAAGATGCTTGTCAGCGCTTTTGTAGTTACGCTTGCCTATTTAATACCCGGATTCGACAAAGTCATGGCACTTCTCGGAGCCTTCTTCTCCGTCACGATCTCCGGTAGCTTTCCTTTGTTGTGTCACATGAAGCTATTCCATGACACGATGCCCAAATGGGAATTGGCGTTGAATGTCGTCCTCTTTGCTGTATCCGTTTCAATGGCCATCCTTGGTACCGCATGGAGTTTTATGTAAATGATCTTTAATGTAAATAAACTCTGTGTATTCATCAGCACACCACCCCAACTTCTTTGAAGGTTAAAATGAAAAAAAAAAAAAAAAAAAATTGGTGATGAGATTTTGATAATATTTTCAATATGAGCGGCTAGAATGTTGATCGAAATAGGGTTGGATATCATCTGAATTGTGAGATGGAGGAAGGGTATGCTTCAGGCCATGGAAAGAAAAAGGTCCTTAAAGCATGAATAGAATAGGGACATACCAATCTCAGACTACCGTTAACAAGACGTGTGCAAAAGTAAGTTGGATGAAAATTTGGAAAAGTTACAGACGAATATTTAGAAAATGAAAATAAAAAGCGAAGAAAAATGTTCCATTCCTCAAATATTTTAAGAATTCCAGTTGGGCTGACCTAAAGCGGCTGTAGAGTCATCGTTCAGAAGGGCGATGATCGCTTCCTGGCTCATGGGTTGTTGGTTGCCTTGGTTAAGATGTCCCTGCGGCTGTTGGTTATTGCTGGTGGATGGTGCATTGATGTTGGCTAATTTGTTATAAAGTGCTTCTTGGAACTTGGCTTGGAACATGGGGGAAATCGACATAAGAAGACTTTCCATCGTTTCAAATGGTTTATAGAGTGTAGCTTCAATGTGCTCCAAAACGGATTTAGTGGTTTCAAATGAGTAAATTGGAGAGCAGGATAGGACCTGAATAAGCGCGAATAAATCAGAATCCGATGGGACGGGTAATCAGAATATGGGTAGGCATGGGAACGGTGATATGGTTATTTTTTTGAAATATTCCAAGGTAGCAGTTCCTAGTACATCCAGCCCAACCATGCTATGAAGAGAGCAAAAAAAATAAAACATACCTTATAACCTTGATCGTCAACTTCTATGATAACTAGAATGCCTTCTAGAATGGTCAGGTCCAGCCGGCCAATATAGTTTTCCTCGTCCTTCACAAAGATGGCTGCAGATCCCGGGACAATACCAAAGTCATAATCCTTTGTAATAGATTCAAGCTCCTCAGATAACGAGGCGGCCCTCATGATCAGTCACTCTTAAGTTTCAGTTCGAGAATGCGGTGCTGAAAAAGAATGAATAACCTTTAACTGCCAACTTTGTCGTTATGTGAACTCCTGCAAACCAGGTGCTGACAAAAATGGACAGCCTATTTTCGGGAGGCTACCGTGACTGCCTATACAAATAAGACACCAGACCCATATGATTCAACTTGATTGAATGCCCTTGTCCAAACTATCTTTCAAGAGACACAAGAAAAGGCAACATGAAAGTCAAGACGGTCACACGGATAATATAGCCGACGAAGAATATGCTTCTAGCAGCAAGAAGAAAAAGAAGCATAAGCGACATAAATCTCACAAATCAAAGCACAGTCACCATTCTTATAAACCACCCATCATCAACGATGACATAGAAGGATGGGTACCCCCTTCTGATTCTATTAAAAGGGACGAAACTGAGTGGAACGAAAGGCTTTTTGATGCGATGGTAGACGATGAAGGCCAAGATTTCCATTCTTCACGCTTCGACTCTTATTGGCAACCTACACCCGGCGATGTTCCCACCGGTAGCCAAAGCGTAAACCAAATGACGGATGAAGAATACCGACAGTATATGGTTAGTGAAATGTATAAGCGAACGCATGCAGATGAAATACGTATCGAGGAAGAGAGACGAGAAAAACGGAAGAAGGCGAAGGAAGCTAAGGAAAAGGCCAAAGCTGAAGCCAAAGAACAAGAAGCTAAGCGTGAGCGTGAACGCGAGGCCGTTAGAAAACTTCGACAGCTTCAGAAAATGGGATCTTCAAGGAAAAAGTATATGTCAAACTGGGAGGCGTTGGATATTGCGTCCACTACAGTAAAGCGCTTACGACTCAACGATATACCTTGGCCATTTGTCGGCTCCGAGGTTTCCAAGATCGCTGTCAAGGAATTCTTGTTATATGACATACAGGATTTGGCAGAACAGAAAAAAATCATTCGAAAAGAGCAACTAAGGTATCACCCGGATAAATTTATGCAAAAGATATCTGCTCGATTGGTGGATGACGTGGAAGAACGCAAGTTGATCAGTGATAGAATCAATCACATTTCAAGTTGTTTGAATGACATTTGGAAAGAACTGTAGATAAATTGGTAGACATTTAGTACCCTCAGTGTAAAATATTCATAAATCCTTATAGATTATAATTTTACTTCAATACATTCGTCATACATATTGTGTTTACGAAATTGATTGTCGTACAGCTTAGCTTGGAATAAGTACATCTGATAAGCTGAGGCAGAAGAATAGAATGCAAAACCCGATATGTACGGAGAAGAGCTTTGCGAAGGGCACGGAACCAATTCACACTTGTCATATAGATCACTATTCACGAATTGGTACAATATTACAGGTTTATGTTGATTCAATCATTCTACCTTTGCTTTTTTCAACAGTATAATAAAACTTTTAAACATCATCGTCAATATATCTCCAGATATTGACTAATCCATCATCACCGCCTGACGCCAACCAATCACTGTGTTTTTCAGTCGGGAACCAGCTAACGCTATTGATGTCAGACACGCCATGAGCATCGGATACTGAAGCGCTAATATCCCATGTTGGCGCATTGACGGCTTGAGCCGAGGATACCTAGTAAAAAGATATCACTGTTAGACACCTTCAATGTTGTGGTCTGACATATTCACAACTTCTTACCTCAGTAAAGATCTTGATGTGGTTATCCCCGCTAGCACTAGCGACGCGGCCATGGACTTTAGACCATGAAACAGAATAGATACAGCGTTCGTGCTGACCTGAAATAGTACATATGTTTTTCCACTTTGAGGTGTTACCAGGTGTCGCAACACCCTCAGGGTTGTTAGGCTTATACTGCTTCCAGAATCTCAGTGTGGTGTCATCAGAAGCAGAAACTGCAAAATTATTTTGTGTCAGAGAGGAAGTCCTTTTGCAGGATGAGTGTATGCTGAGATGTGTTTACCGATTTGCTCTCCTGTCTTATCGAAATCGATGGACCAAATGGTGGAGGTATGTCCTTGCAGGGTATCAGAGCAATACCAATCATCGTCGTCTTCACGCCATATTTTGATGGTATCGTCGTAACTTGCAGACGCAAGAACTTCCTCATGTGGATGCCATGCTACCATCTTGACGTCTTGAGAGTGCTCTTGCAGGACACTAAGGCATTCAAAATCGTTGTCTGCCTCCACTAAGAAACAGTGATCCAATGAGTCTTCCAGCTATTGACAGTTCGTCTCTGTTTGTTCCTCATTGTCATCTATCCTATCCTTACCTTCCCAAATCCATACACTTTTATCTCTGCTGCAGGTGGCAAGCAAAGATCCATTTGCTGACCAAGCAACTGATTTCGTTTCGTTTTCGTGGCCTTCGAGCGTTGCAACGCATTCCCACTCTTTATCTCGTTCTTCGTATTCCCAAACACCAGTTGTTGAATCGAAACTGGCAGTTGCGAGCTCTTTGCCATTCGGTGCCCAAGCAACACTGCGAATGGTTCGTTTATGCGCACCATCTAAAACATCGACACAATCCCATTTCGAGGTATCGGAATGAGAGGTGTTGGCCCATATCCGAACGGTTTTGTCTCCGGAGCAGGTAGCTAGCATATTGCCGTTTGGGCTCCAAGCAACCTGCCAGACTCTGTCATTATGACCTAAGGGTGTAATCAGTTATTAGCAGAAGAAAGTGTATGACGGAAGCGATTTCAGTGCAGCACCCTACAAACATATAGTCGTTGCAATTTATAGTTTGCTCTTACCTTTGAGTTGTGCAACAAGTTCCAATCGTGGCATGTTAGTTGTGCACCAGCCAGTGACAAAAAATAAGATACGATTGATCAAAGTCCCTTTGTCAGAAATTCAAATTTAAGCAAGCCACCAATCTGTAATTACAGTATGAGTTCTGAGTTACCGTTTCACCCATATTCCCTACCATTACGACTATGACAGAACCGACTTGGGATGAAGAAGATTCAGGAGAGAGGGAGCATCTTGTAAGGTAAAAGCGAGTGTCTATTGACAGGACGTGCCTACACATTCTCCCTGCTTACCATTTAGAAATCTTGTAGCAAAGTCTTGGAACTTCAAGGCTCTTTGCGAGGTAGCCAACGCGATGCAAAAGAGACGCCTGCTATTCAATTTCGTTAATCCCTCTTTCTTATAGCTCTCATATCTCGAGTTGATTCTGCCCAGAGCGAATACCAATCACTTAGCCATGAAAATCAAATGCTTCAAAAGTATATTAATAACTCCCTGACCTCCACAGCGGTATTTGGTGCTACAGGAGGGGCTATTGGAAATCTCAGCACACAAGGCAGCACTGGAAGCAGTGTTCCAGATGCAAGTTCCGGAAAACCTGCGAGTGGTTCGAACGCTTCGCGCTAGTGTAAACTCCATCTTGTACATTGCACACCACTGAAACTCCTCAACCACCAGTATACCGCGATAGCCAATTGTATAACATTATTTTTTGACGACACATTATCATCTATTCGGCTCACTAAAGTGAATGAATGGCAACAAATCTAGTACATTTGCTCAAGTCATCAGCGGGACAAAACCATCTCGCTTTACAATCAATCGTCGCTTTCATTATCCACTGCAACTACAACATCATTTAGACTCTCTCTACTTAATTCCCGTTCCTTCAATTTCTTGATCCGCTTTTCTTCATCTGCTTTCTCTCTTTCCGCTTGCCGCTTCTTATATCTGTAACCACTCGTGTTAATGACAGTAACCGTATATAAAGTTTAGGAATAGGCACGTACATTGAAGAGTCGGGATTCTTGGCTGGATTTGCACAAGATCTTAGTCGACGATCAATCGTTTTGGCTTCGTCTGTGGTAACCAACTTAAATTTGCTCAAAACGCCGGCAATATCGTCTTTGATATTTATTAGCATGGCCTTTTGATCTGCGAATCGAAGGTCAATGTAACTAGGAACAGAATGTCAGTAGGGACGCTCGACAGACGATGATTATTTGAGGTTCAAGAGTCGCATACCGGTTGATAGATTCTTCAATAGTTGGTTCACTATCCGCCACCATAAAAGCCGCCAGTGCAATTTGAGACGGTTGATAAATGAATGGTACGTCCGTTAGGACCAGTTTGGATATGATTGCTTGTGCCTTGTTGTAGAGAGATTTTAAGCTTTTCATTTCTGTAATGACAGACTTATCCTAGATATTAATATGCAGTCATTGCAATACGCCATCGGGATGAACAAAATGTACCTGTAGATCCAAGTAAAGACCATATGCTGCACGATAGGGGTGATATATACAATATTCAAATTTGAGACCTTGTGATACTATGAACTCCAGGTTCAATACACTGTCAGCTGAAGGAACACGCAGCTTTTGACAAAACTCGTCTATAGACAGACGCTCGTTTTCAGCTTTGGTGGCCAAGAACAAGCAAGTATATCTGTTGAAAGATTGAAATTAGACAAAGTAAGCCGTAGTCTTTGACAAAAAGCTCGTTGCTTACAAAACATCTTTAGGGTGATAGTCCATAACCGTGTTGTTGAGGAAAAATCGCTTCATGTACATTACCGCTGTATACTGTGGACAATTTTACTTTTAGTCAAAAGATTGCAGTTGTCGGCTGTACTCAGCATGTTTAAACTTACCATTACGACATCAGGTAACTTGACCATTTTGCACATAGTCTGTAAGCGAGATTCGTAAAATATGCAAAGAGATAACTCTTCGTCAACGTTCAAGAACTGCAGGGTATCCTTGCTGTTGCTTGAATCTTTACTGGCTTCCTGTGAGGAGTTGATTATTGTATCAGTTCATGCTTCACGTTGTATTCTTTCTGTCGAGAAAACCGAAAGTACATGTGTGCATAGATTTTCTGGTTCTCACAAACTCATTGACTACGTACCAATTCCTGGTCGTAGTTTGTCTTCACTCTCTCCACTGCCGTAGCGTTGGCTGTATCTCGAATGTCGTGAAGTTGAGCGTGGCTAAAACGCCAGTGCCGAAATTGAGAGCTTTGTTCATAAAGTAAAGGAAGAGCTCCCGAAGCAGGAATTTCTCCTGTCAATGTGCTGTCTCCTGTTGTAGCCATACTGCAGCGTTTCCGTTGAACGGAAGCGCTATTGATTCTGCTGTTCCTCGAAATTTCAGGCTTGCAAGTGACTGCTCCAATTTTTCAACAAAAAGTCTCTTGCTATGACAAAAACTGCCACCCATACCAAAACCTTCATAACTAATTACACAACATTCATGCAAGTTGCTTCGGCGGCGACTCGAGCAGCTATACGTAGTGGCAATCAGCGTTGCTGGACCAATGCCAGATTTCTCACTGGTTTCCGCAATCGGTTACCAAGTGTCAGTTTCTCTACGCGACTTCATTTGGAACGATCTTTGCAAATAACGATCAAAGTTACGCCAGTTGCAGTGCAACAAGCTAGGTACTCAACATCAACGCAAGAAAAGGGCATTGCAGACTTGAAAAAACAAGACTCTACCGAAATTTTGGCTTCGTTTCGTACAGCTTTGGAAACTCAATCTACTTCAACGTCGCAAATATATGAACTTTTGCAATCTCGAGATTTACTTCAGCACCTTAGCGAAGAAGATTTCGCAGCATTTCGATCATATCTATGGAACAAAAAAGCATGGGGAAGTGAAGAGATGGTTGAGCAAGTACTTCAAGACCAAAAAAAGGCGGGTCACTCATGGACGGTGCTGCAGTACAACGAATACTACATGTCAATGTTATTTCAAGCCAAGTACGACGCCATTATATCCAATTGGGAGAAGGATTTTAGCGAAAGCGATATCAAGCCAACTATTGCTACCATCAATTCTGTGTTAGCGGCGTATATACAACTTAATCAATTGGATAGGGCCAGGGTTCTGCTTTCCCACTGTCATGAATGGGATGTGACCCCCACAACGCAAGATTTTCAAAGACTCGCCCATCGCTGTTTACCACGAAATACCAAGGTTGTGAAGGAAGCTCAAACTCTTATTACTGATAATGCGTTGAAGGATCCAAAGGCAATGAACCGACATTTACAATCGCTGTTTCGAGCCAACAAGCTGACCGACGTTCAGAGAATATACACCCTCTTGACCAAAAGTCAAAATGAAATAGACATATCAACTTATACTACGTTGCTGAAAGGCTACATTGACAAGAGAAAATACGACCAAGTGAGCTCAATATATGGAGACATATGCAAGAGTGGCCTCCGTCTTAATACGTATGTAGCATCATTAATGCTAGAAACGTATGCAATGCAGCGAGATAAGGGTCAGCTGGCTACCATTGTGCAAAGAATACAAGCAGAAAAAGTAGCTTTGGATATAGCACTGTATAATCAGTTAATCAAGTCATTTCTAGCGACACGTCAGGTTCCTCATGCGCTTGCGGTGTTTCAACAGCTACAGAAAGACCCTAATGTACAAGTCAACGACGTTGTCCTTAACACCGTGATCAATGGCCTCCTCAACAATCGTGAAACTGATGCAGCGAAAAAATTATACACTCAGATGCTTCATTCCAAGATTCAGCCAGATATGATCACTTACAACACTTTGCTCAAAGGTCTGACCAAAGCCCGCGATTTCTCAGGTGCCTTCACCGTCCTTTCCAATTTATATGAGCGGTCTCTAGAACCTGATGTTGTGACATATACGACACTTATTGACGCCATATTTGAAAATCTTAATCCAACATCTACCGAACAAATACTAGGACTTTTCAACCACTCTGGATCGATGAAGCCAAATATTTTTACTTACAATGTGCTGATAAATGGTTGGATCCGGCATAATAATATGGCGGAAGCAGAACGTACCTTTAAGGATCTACTTGCATCAGGGGAGATGCACCCTACGGTACATACATATACTAATATTATACAAGGATATGTTCAACATGGAAATCTCCCCAAAGCCATGAATACTTTCCGAATGATGCTTCAGAGTGGTATACAACCAGGTAGAGCAACATACCACTTCATCATTTCAGGACTGATCGATGATGGCCGACTACCAGATGCTGTCGAATGTCTGAAGAAAATGAGAGAGAATGGAACAATGCCTACAAAGGACACTTGGTTCATGCTTCTGAATGCTTGCGCAGAAGCTAAGCAATGGCAACTTGGTGGGCAAATTTTGAAGCATCTGGATGACAGCAAGTTTGAAGTGCGTAGTGATGCTCTCCTCAAAGTATACCGGCTCGTGCGTGGACAATGCGATAATAGAATTTGATTTCGTTATGTACAATAAAAGTAGAACACCACATTCGTTGTGTAAGCTGTAAATGTTCTTGAGACCCAAGTTGCCTGATATGGCATAACTGAAAGTTGTGTGTCCTTTTTTTTGGTTTTTTTTCCATTTCCTGTGAACTGGTCTTTTCCTTGCAGAGACTTTTTTGCAATAGAAAATAACACGCCTGAACACTCAGTATTCCAGAAAAAATAGTTGGTGAACAAGCTGATAGAACTCAAGATTCATCGAGTTCTCGTTCCGCAATAGCTGGGTAGCTGTTCCCCCCCCCCACCTATATTGTTAAATATTTGCAACCAAGTATCACCCCCACACCAACAAGTTCTCACTCGTTCGTCTGGAATCAGGTAGCGATGGCAACATGTTCAGCTTCAGATAGCTTGCAGTACACACTACCAACTGCTTGTACAACACTGAATAGTGAGTCCATTGCTTCCCTCGACATCGCGTGCGGACGCCTTCCTATGGAATTAAGCCATTTACCCGCTCAGCGTCACCCACTTCCAACATTGACGGATCTTCCAGACGACATTCTGCTCTATATTTTAAATAACTTTATACCGTTAATCGATCTGTGGCAATTGCTACAAATATCTCAGCGAATACGATCTTTGGCTAAGGACGTGATTCGACGAGTGTGGAAGATTGATTTACGGTCTAATACTGAAAGCTTGTTCCGTATTCAATTCCGTGGAGCCCTTATCACACTGGATGCTATCTCTACCAAATTGCCTCCGCTGGAACCACATCGTCGTACACCGCCTTCTGTAAATGTCTCTCCTTCTCCGGCACATAGTATTTATTCAAGGCTCGGTACTGGATCTACCATCTCAATGCGAACAGCCGAAGCTGGTCCCCTTCGGATAAACCTCGCAACACGATCTGATGGTCCAGCATTATCAGTTGATCCATCATCAACAAGCGGTATAGCCCATTATACCGATTCATTAGAAGCATCTCCTGTTACCCCGCACGACAGCGGTCATAATTTTTGGTCCTCACCCTCCGCTGATGGATCTGACCATGATGATAACATACCCGATCCTTCACCTGAAACCCGTCGTGAGCACCCTGCTCTTGCCCAATTTAAGGCCATGGCTGGTTCACTAATCGAAGAAGAATGTCTTCATCAGAGAATCATTCGCGGTATTGTCTCTCATACCCATCGTTATGTCTTGATTGAGGACATTGACACGCGGAATCGACTACGGGCAGCCGTAGACACAATATTTCACCATGTGGTATTTGTTTCATCTGGAACGCACAGAGAAGATCGCTGGTCGAAAGCGTCAGCAGCAGCCTTTGTCCGTCTTCTCAAAAGACTGGATACCGCCTTTCCTAATCATGGCAACGAAATGACATACACATTGTCTGATAATTTGAAGGCTTTCCTGGAATATTCTACTTATCGCCTAATGGCCGCTAAACGATGCGGTCACCGTCTTTGGGCCGTTCGTACTGTAGACACACTCTCATCTTGTGCTAATCTTATAGGCGCTGCGCTATTGGTCAAAATTTTGACAGAGCCGCAAGTAGAAGGCGCTATAAGGAAAATGTGTGAATTGCTCAAAGACAATCAGATAGAAACGCATGTACGTCAACGAATACTAACTACGTTACTCAATGGATGGCTGATAGATCGTGAACCCATTTACACCGATATATGTATCTTACTTCATCACGAAATTGACAATTGCATAGCTTTGCAGCTATCAACGTAAATAATAAATGACAATACGTGTTTTCTATGACGATCACTATGATTGGCCCTTTATGACAAGGTACGATTTGGAAGTTCAACATCATTATTCGAACACCAATGACGCCGGTGGCGCAGGAGGTATTGAAAGGACAGATTTGTGCAACAAAAACAACTTTGTTTTCATCGTCTGATCTTAACTTTATTTCAAGCATTCGAACTTCGCTGGAATGATTGCCATTCTTTTTAATTTTGGGAGTATCAATTACAACCTATTTTATTATTGTAGGAAGGCTATGGAATGTCAACGTCAGAGAAGCTATGACGACATTTTCATTCACAGATTGCTGTGTTGAAATATGAACATCGTACGGTCTCTTTCCTATTTAATCCTCCGACCGACCCTACCGATCTCAGCGAAACCGCTATTTTGCCTAGCCAAGTAAAGTAAAGCAGGCGAGAAAGATATAAATTGATCTTCTCCTGGCTTGTTTTTTGCTTTGCATTTACTTCACAGACCACGACTTTATTTTAATTCCCTCTCCATTTCAAAAAATGAATTCTGGCAAGGATATTTCTAGCAACGGCGTACTCGCTCATGAACACGAATCCATGTACACTCGTGCCTTGTGGGAGTGGACTAACAAGCAATTACTTCAAGCCCGTCGAAAGTCTGAAGAAGCTCATATGCGCAAAACCGGTTATCAACCACGAAGGCATAAGCACCACCATGACTACCACAATTAGCTATGGCGTTGATCATACCAATACTAACTAATGCTGGATCTGTCAGACCTGTAACATATTATTTTCTTTCTTACATATATTTGTCTCACGTAGACATTGTCCATACTTCCTCGAAGCCAAATAGCAAACCTGCATCGTCTTTTTCTTTTCTTTCGTACCATGATCTATCACGTAATACCTCAAACCAATGATATTTTCAATGCTTTTGTACATACTCCCTTTTTCAACAAATAAAAAGCAGAACATGAACATACTTTTTCGTTACATCATTTTCAGTCATACGCATCATAAGGCTGTGTCGAGAATAGTGGACATCCAAAAACTCCACAAGTTGGCACACTTTGTAATGATTATTCGTCGACAAGATGACGGCTTTATTGTATACTTTACAAAAGGTGATGTTTCTTTTTTAAAAAATGTATTGCCTCTCTCATCGAGAAACATGGTGCTTTGTACAAGATGGATGGGAGAACCAAATACTGGCCAATGAATCAAAACCGCATCTCATTTAAAACTCTCCAAAAATAGGATGAAAAGAAAAAAATCGAGTGTGAATATGCATGTGTGGAAGAACAGATGGGTTTAGGCGACGATTTGTGCTGGTGACTCAATGAGGTTGAGCACTTCCTTGTGGGTTCCATCACCCTTGGCTTCATGGAACTTCTTGAGAAGACCGTCAACCATGTCCAAAGACAAAGCACCGTGGACATCAGCGAGAGCCTTGATCTTTTGAGTAACTGCCTTAGCATCTTCATCAGTAAGGTCAAGGTTGAGTTGTTCAACACGGTTCTTCACAGCATTCCATCCAGTAAGTCTGTGTCCAATGCTGACATATCTCGTCATACCGAAATCTTCTGGCTTCAAAATTTCGTACGTTGATGGGTTGTTCAAGATAGCTTTAGCGTGGATACCAGCCTTGTGGGTGAAAGCACAGTAACCGGTGATATAGTTGTTGAAAGGAACGGTGACTTCAACGGCCTCAGCAACGATGTTTTCAACATCTCTGATCTTGTGAAGGTTGTACTTGTTCTTGACATACTCCTTGTCACCAGCATACATACGTGCAAAGAGACCACCGAGAGGAGTAATTCCGTTTCTCTCACCAATACCGAGGACGGAGGTATCAATATGTGTAGCACCAGCTTCCAGAGCGGCATAAGCGTTTGCGATAGCGCATCCAGTGTCGTTATGGAAATGGCACTCAATATCGCAGCTGACAACACTTCTCAAAGTTTTGACGAGTTCGTAGACTTGACGAGGGTTGGCACATCCGACGGTATCAGCAATACCAACACGGTTGACACCAATCTTGTCAACAGCCTTGTAAATGCTCAACAAATCGACAAGATCTGAGCGGAAGGAATCTTCAGTTGAAAATCGAACTTCGAGGCCAGACTTCTTGATGAATGTGATAACTTCAATAGCCTTGGCAGTGATATAGTCCATATCCTTGCCATGAGAAAACTCTCGGAGGTAGGAAGATGTTCCAATGACGACATCAAGACCATCAACACCAGTGGAGATGGCAACCTTAGCATCATCCATATGGCAACGAATGTGGGTAAGAATTTTGGCCTTAAGACCAAGGTTGGCAATAGCGGTACAGTCAAGACGAGACTGCTCGCTGGCCATTGGTGAGGTCAACTCGAGATAATCTACACCGATGTCATCCAAAGCCTTGGCAATCTCGATCTTCTTAGCAGTATCGAAGAAAGCATTGGCGAATTGTTCACCCTCTAAAGAAAGTATTGGGCTATGAGAATTTTTACTGGGCTAAAACTTTTGTCTCGAAAAAACTTACCTCTGAGAGTAGACTCAATGATCTTAAAGTTGGAAACATTGGACATAGGGTCGGGATACTTGGATTGATATGGAGAGACAATAGGCTCTCTTGGGCGGTCAGGATTGTTTCCGTTGGTTTGTCCGTTCGTCTGTTCAGGCATGTTGTGTGAAGAGGTGAAAAAAAGTTTGGGGTAAACTAATAAAAACGAAGGAAACTTCCAGGCTTATATAGCGTCTCACACAAACCAAACTCGTTTCAGGCGATTATCTTAGTAGATGAAAGTCACAAGACAGTCCTACAAGATCATCTCGCCCGGTCTTCCATATTTGGGCATCGCCTTCAGATCAAAAGATTTAGCTGAGCCGGTACGCGCGTGTTGCTCAGACGCGGACCCACACTATTGACTAAGAAATCTCTTGCTGGTAACAGGCAGATGAGATGACACTTCTCCGCATACCTTATTCGTACTTAGTTTACATCACCAATACTTCAATCACTTGCACGTTCAGTTCAGCTGTTGGGACCCTTGATGTGGATAAGATTTGACAAATAACAGGTAGTATTTGCAGCACAAAAATATAAATAACTTTGTGGAGAATAGCCACGAAGCCATTAGCAACAATGGGCAACCTTCAAGTTTGCGCAAGATGATGTGATAAACTTCCAAAGAAAACCCTAACCCTGCTACTGAAATTTTTCATTGCTGGCAATGAAAATTTGTCGCTTTCACCGTTAACCAACACCGCACCGATTAAAGTTCGTAAGCACGTTCACAGAGTACAATGTTATATTCAGGCGCGGTTTAACCTGGCAAACAAGAGGTACTGACAAAGGACAAAGTGAAGGACTTCTGCTTTGTTCTCACGAAGGAGCTGCAGAACATGACTACCTGAGGCCCAACAAAAAGTGGCGTGGTGTTGGCACGAAACAAGTAATCCTGAGAGTCGAGTAGCGCTTTTGTATGTTGGGCGTTGGCCACGTTCGTGCAAGCCCAACAATCACCAGTTGCTCCACATGTAGTTGGAATGCCATTCTCGGGTCAGCGATTCAACCATTGCAGTGGAACAATCGTGATGCACGATGAAATAGCGCTTGTGAGAGGCGTAATTTAAGAAACAAAACGAACTCAAGACGCGTAGTGGATTATATTAAATGAAAGTTAATATTGACAGCTGGCTACAAGCGACTTGCATCGCACTGTTCGGCCCCTTCGGACCATCAAAATACGATTGCCTATGCACTGGAGTGCGAATTCAAGGTACAACTTGTCCCGAAGTTAAACAAAAAGGATTTCCTTTCTTCATACCTAAAGATGTGCTGAATGAATAAACGAAGGTACATAGCTCTTGATCTCTTGTTGCTGACTGTGTAGATAAGTCAGGCTCCATTGTTGTATAGCAGCAAGCATTACTGTTTCTGCTACTTTCCTTCATAGTTAGCTCAACTATCCTTGCACCTAGTCACGTCTATTCATTCATTTTTTCAAATGATCATTCTATTTAAAATTTATTATACAGTCATTAAAGAGTATATAAGACCAGTGGACTGGACGCGGACGTCTCTAGGGTAAATAACAGCTTGCGGTCCTTGACAATTAAGCCTGACGAAAACGCGAGTGAAGCCAGGTGTGTGGTTTTGAACCATTAGCGCCCCTTTTGAAAAATTTTGACATACGCCTGTATTGGTGGGCAATACTGTAACGTCGCCTTCAACTGTACGGTATAGTATCACCCCATCAGCGGCAGATAGTTTAGGACCACATGAAAGAATGATTGATGTGAGGACTAAGATGATGGAGAACCTTCCCATGGATGAGTATGTGGGGTAATGTCGGCTGGATAAGTGGCGTGTAGCTAATCGGGCAGGAAAACATCTATATTTATAATATGAATCTTGAGACGCTATTATGATGAAAAGAAAGGGGTAAATGCACTTGACTGCTTATGCAACTCAAAGGAGAAGAGTTTATAATTGTAAGATTTGAACGCAATCTGCTGGCGAAAGTTAAAACCAGAGATATGAACCTAAGTACGTTTGCATCTCCAAGAAAAAGCTTCCTTGCGCAATGGCGGCCGACAAACTTAGAAAATAGAGGGAACGATGATAACAGTAAGATGGAGTACCATTCGAAAGGACATGGCTTGCTATACATTAGCAAACAGGTCTATGTATACATGTGAATAAAAATCTAATATCATTTCACCCTGAGGATATCCATTAGTAACGAATTTTTCCCATTTATTATAGAAATTTTGTGAGGTGCTTAATCGTTATTGTTACCACTACTTTATTTATAGAGTATACAACTTTGTGTCAAAATCACTAGGATTTCACCATCATTATAGACCAAACCTGTGGCAGGACAAAATAGGATTTTCCTGGATATATAAGCAATTTCTGACCTCTACATGCAAAAACTGAACAAGCAACAATAAAATTAGGTGTGGTATTTTGAATGACTGTTACATCCTTTGAGAGATTTTGGCATCGATCGATTAGAACAGGAAGCATTTTGTTTAAATTATCGTTAGATATGTAGTGTATTGCTCCACTGTTAGCGGTAGAGAACCGGGACCGCAAGATAAAATCATTGCTCCCATGGCAAAGATTAAAGTGATGCTTGCATATGAGACGATGAGTATAGACGGTATCTTCTAAAGTGATTACAACAAAACAAAGACAAAGAACCGCATCTTATACTTTACCAATTTGAAAGTAGTAATCGGCAACAGGAGAGGGGAAAATACAGTCGACTGCTTATGCAGTGCATAGGAGAGGACCTCCTTGCACTGATCAGGATAATCAGGCTAATTTTATCAATATGCTCCAGTTAGCATTTGTAAAGATCTACTGCAGTTGTGGCAATTTAATGAAGTTTAATCAGCACAACAAGTACCCTATACTTGGGAATTTGGGAAGAAGCTATCTAAAGGGAACAGACATTGGCTACTTTGTCGATCAGGGTAGAAGTATCCTGCGTGCATAATGCGGTTTTATCGGTTACTGGCATAGCTGTGATACCAGGGATGATAGAATAGAGAGTGCTGGAAGATTTCAAATGAACGAGGAACGAAATTCTTTGCCTTAATTTATGTATTTCATAGCGTGCACTAAAGCTTTCAGGTACAACAAGTGTATTTCTGTATGATGTGGGAACAGTATCCATTCTCGATTCATAGCTGTATCTTCATTCGGTTTCATTCTTCCTAATGAGTGTAACTAATTTATTCACGAACGATGGAGATATTCCTGATTGATACGTAAACTTCAGAGTAAGTCTTGTTGAGACTCTTGGAATATCCATGTTCGACATAAATGACAATTTCATGTTTTTTGTAAGCAATGTGCAATCAACGCTGTTTCTTTTGGACAACCATATAACTATAAGATTCAGGATTGAGAATTGAAGGCAATAAGTATTCATAACAAAACAGAGGTATGCAACTAATCGCCTACATTGCTCAAACGTGGAAGCCTCACTGTTGAACGGTTACCAATGCCTTTTATATTAGAGCAGCGACGGTTCCAATTGGGGAGAAAAAACCATAAAAAAAAAAAAAAGCGGTCCGGCATTGCACCGAGTTTTTTTTTTCCACATCCAGGTGAAATGAAGGTAATTGACAAGATCAGAAAGGCAGAAGAAGAAGGACGTGTTTACTGGTCCTTTGAGTATTTCCCTCCCAAGACTCAACAGGTAAGATGATAACTGTAACCTCCTGTCGATTTCATCACGGTATTGCTCACAATGACTCATATACCGTCATTGCACCTTAGGGCGTAGTCAACCTTTATGACCGCATGGAGCGAATGTATCGACTTGGGCCAGAATTTATCGACGTTACATGGGGTGCTGGTGGTGTTTCAGCTGACTTGACCTCTGAGATTGTATCCACTGCTCAATCTGTCTATGGGCTGGAGACCATGATGCATTTGACATGCACCAACATGCCTAAGGAGAAAATCGACACTGCGCTCAAGGTAACAGGAAGCTCCACCACTTACTAATTTGGGATTGAAAGAGAATACTGTACATTTGCTTATCATCAACTTCTACAGCTTGCAAAAGAATGTGGATGCCAAAATATTTTGGCTCTTCGAGGGGATCCTCCTAGAGGCAAAGATACGTGGGAATCTTGTGAAGGCGGATTCCAATATGCTGAGGATCTTGTTAAATACATCCGTGAGCAGTATGGAGACTATTTTGGTATTGCTGTTGCTGGTAAGGACAATTGTAAGATTGACTCCTCTATCTCGCAAGGCTTCGTTCCTTACCACTGTTGGATTCGCAGGACATCCTGAGGGCCATGTTGACAACCCTAGCAAAGAGGATGATCTTCAGCATTTGAAAGAAAAGGTTGATGCTGGTGCTGATATCATTGTCACTCAACTGTTCTTCGACATTGAGATGTTCTTGGATTTCGTTAAGCGTTGCCGTGCTATCGGAATTACTTGCCCAATTCTTCCTGGTATTCTTCCCATTCAAAACTACAATGGTCTCAAGCGCGTCATTTCTTTCAACAACAACTATGTTCCCGAGCACATTTGGAAGGATCTGGAGCTCATCAAGGACGATGATGCTGCTGTGAAGGACTATGGTATCGACTTAGCTGTGAAGTTCATTAAGAGAATGTTGGAAGAAGGCATTCGCGGTTTCCACATCTACACCTTCAATCTTGAGCGATCTACTAGATTAATTTTGGAGAGGTTAGGCTATACCGCACCCAGCGAGAATGTTAAACCTCTACCATGGAATCCCGTAAGTTCATGTCTACTTATAGAAGTACAGGCTGTGTTCTTCTTTACTAACTTGAACTCTCCTTATCTAGTCTCTGCACGCAAAGCGAACAAAGGAAAACGTTAGACCCATTTTCTGGAAGAACCGAACAAAGAGTTATATTCAGCGAACAGAGTCCTGGGACGAATTTCCTAACGGTCGTTGGGGTGATTCTCGCTCGCCTGCTTTCGGTGAGCTGGATGGTTATGGCGTTTCACTCAAATACCCTACCCCAGAGTGTCTGAAGATGTGGGGTCATCCTACTTGTCTGGATGACATTGCTATGCTTTTTGCAAGATATTGTAAAGGAAAGTTGGAGGCTTTACCTTGGTGCGCACAACAGCTTGATCGCGAAACCGACATAATTCGTCAACGTCTTTCAGCAATCAACCTTCTGGGATACCTCACGATCAACTCACAGCCTGCCGTCAATGGTGTTAAGAGCAGCGACTTGACTTACGGTTGGGGACCCAAGAACGGTTATGTGTTCCAAAAGGCCTATCTAGAGTTTTTCGTAGCACCAGAACAACTAGACGATTTGATCGCCAAGATTAGCACCAACCCGGAAATAACATACTTTGCTGTTAACAGCAACGGTGATTTACGAACAAACACTCAGAGCGATACTCCCAATGCTGTTACATGGGGTGTGTTCCCTGGCAAAGAAATTCTTCAGCCTACCATTGTCGAGTCAACTGCTTTCATGGCCTGGAAAGATGAAGCCTTCGAACTTTGGCAAGAGTGGGCACGAATTTATGAGACCAATAGCGAGTCTTCAAAATTGCTGACTGAAATTCACGACAACTGGTACCTTATCAATATCGTCAACAACGACTTCCAAGATGAGGCTGGAATTTGGAGATACTTTGACCTAGAAATTGACGGAGAAATCTCCAGAAGACTTCGACGCTCTTCCGCTGATGCTGCTAACTAGACTCTGTGAACATACACATTTTGTGACAACCCCAAGCTCTGATATTGTCTTCTTCTTTTTGTCTTATTCTGAATAGATATATCAGCCTTTGGGCTTTATACACTGATGGTGCTTCCTATACTGTTTTTTCCCCCCCTGTATTCAACATACATGCACCTATGATCAGTATTTTTTAAGATACTTTTACCACCTCCTCTTTTTTCTTTCTCTATAATTTGTTTTTTCCATGTTGAATTGTAACCTACCACCACCACCTGCACAAAGTAATATTAAAAACCAATCTTCAACAGAATCCAGCTGCTCGTTCGCACACATCCCCGGAAGAAAGTTTATGGCCGATCGTGCGAACATTTCCCCATTTGACTGGCAATTTTTTATTTGCCAAATGTATGAGACCTTGGAGCAAAAACGATTCAAAGTTTGACTCTTGAAAAGAGCTGATAAATGCCACTACTATCAATATATGTATTCCATTGCTGCGTACTGACCTTGTCCTGTCTTTCAGTTTTGCACGCGGCGATAAATTGCGACGTTGAGTGACTGGGCTTCAAATCACCATAAAAGGGATTGTTCTCTCAGTCACTGATACCTGTCTCGTTTCTTTTTCTCTTCATGCTTCGCTTGTTAACACGTACACAGAAGCCGCTCTGGCTACGAGCATACTCCACCAATAACTTTTCTAAGGTCCTGAAGTCGGCTGATGAGGCCGTCAAAGACATACCAAGTAACTCCAAGCTGCTAGTCGGAGGATTCGGCTTATGCGGTATTCCAGAAAATCTCATTGCCGCGCTCAACAAGAATACACATGTCAAGGGGTTAACCGTCGTTTCAAACAATGCTGGAGTAACCAACTTTGGTCTTGGACTCTTGCTACAAACCAGACAAGTCAAGCGTATGATTGCTTCCTATGTTGGTGAAAACAAAGAGTTCGAGAAACAGTACCTTAATGGAGATCTGGAAGTTGAGTTGACGCCTCAAGGCTCGCTAGCAGAACGAGTTCGAGCTGGTGGAAGTGGAATACCCGCATTTTACACGCCAACTGCTTATGGTACATTGATACAAGAAGGCAAGCTTCCGATCAAGTAGGGTTTAAGATGCTGTGTAAACGCTTGTGTCAGCTTCATGTTGACATACATTTCGATTTAGATATGACAAGAATGGCAAAGTTGAGATCTATAGCAAGGCACGCGAGGTGAGATTAATGAGCTACTGACTATAATGTACCTTCTGGAGCTGACCATACTGGTGAAATCAGGTTAGAGAGTTTAACGGACAAAAATATATCATGGAAGAAGGCATCACAGGAGACTTTGCGTTTGTGAAAGCTTGGAAAGGTGACGAAGAGGGAAATCTGATATTTAGGTGTGTACACGTACAGCTTTACTGGTTTACACATCAGTCTTCAGTGAAGCTTTCTGGTGCTCAAAGTACACCTCATTAAATGATTGTTTCGATTTTAGGGGTTCGGCTAGGAACTTCAATCCCGTCATGGCAAAGGCAGCCAAATGTACAATTGCCGAAGTTGAAGAGATCGTCCCTGTTGGTACTCTGGACCCTGACCAAATACATTTACCTGGCGTTTATGTTCACCGTCTTATAAAGGGCGAGCACTATGAAAAGAGGATTGAGAAGCTCACTGTTGCAAGTGATGGTAAGGAGAGTGAGAATACCGACTCTCCTGCCGCCAAACGCCGAGAGAAGATTGTACGAAGGGCGGCGAAGGAGTTCAAGGTAATTGTAATTTATCGAAATATAGACATAGATCATACGCTGACGAGTTCTTTATAGGATGGCGATTATGTGAACCTTGGTATTGGCATGCCTATGGCTGCTAGCAATTATGTTGAAGAAGGAGTAAATCTCAAGCTTCAGAGGTAGGAATCCTTCCTCTTGGGTACATCAATTAACTTATTTTCTCACGGTCCTCATTGGCAGCGAAAATGGAATCCTTGGCTTGGGACCATATCCACAACGTGGCCAAGAGGATCCAGATATGATCAATGCCGGAAAAGAAACGGTTACTCTGACAACTGGAGCATCTATCTTTGCAAGTGATGAGTCGTTCTCTCTTATACGCGGCTCTCATATTGACGTTACCATTCTGGGGGCTCTACAAGTCTCCAGGAAAGGAGATCTTGCAAACTGGATGGTTCCACGCAAGATGGTCAAAGGTAGAGCAAAATTATTGTCTTATGTCTGTAGTATATCCAGAAACTGAAGCTTTCTTTATAGGGCCTGGAGGCGCCATGGACCTTGTGGCTGCCAAGAACACCAAAGTGATTGTTACCATGGAGCATGTTGACAAGGTATAGTAGTATAAATGTCTTCAGAAAAATGAACAACAGGTGATAGTTTCAAACATGCTCATATGTCACTCTTTCTTACCTTGCTATGTATCAGAACGGTAATGCCAAAATCGTCAATGACTGTGACTTACCTCTCACCGGTGTCGGGTGTGTCGACACAATTATCACGGATCTCGTATGTTTGTTTTTCATTCCACGCTTCATCACCAAAATAGTCTAGAAACCTAACCAGTGCTATTGCCTCAGTGTGTGTTCCAGGTCAACAAGGAAGGTCTGACATTAACAGAGCTAGCCAAAGGCGTTACCATCGATGAAGTGAAGCAAAAAACAGCGTGTGTTTTCAACATCGCACCTACACTAAATACCTTTTAGGTAGGCCAACACTACGAGCATCAATGTAACAAGAAGAGCTTTTGTTTTGACAAAACAGTTATTCTTTATGAAAATGAGACATAAATACAACTTGTTTTAAGCGATGATTGGAATGGTTGGAGAGCGGTAATAACGAAAATAAAAGAATACGAAACAGAAATCAATAGAATGAAAAGAAACATACATCTTTGTACAGAAACATGAAAAAGAGGAATGTACGAGAATGGGGGTAATAAAAAAAAAAAAAGAAAGAAAGAAAAAAAAACACAACGGCAACGACAACAGAAAGCAAACAAGAAGTATGATACAATACGATATGAGCGAACGCCAAAACAGAGATAGAAGTATTTCAAATAAGGAACAATGTTTTCCGGAAACATATAAAGAAAACAAGGTTCAAATAGCGTTCGTGGATGTCGCAGTGGATATAATGGAAGTTTACTCTAAGCCTGAATCTTGAGAACTGCTCGCAGTCCTTGTTGGATTTCATTAAGGGTTAAGGCTCTTTCGTGACTCATTTGCGGGACAGGCGGGTTATATACATTGTTCATTGGCGGTGTGAAAGGTTGTTGGTGTTGAGGTACCAAAAGATTGAAAAGATCTCGAGACCTGCGTTGCAGTTCGACTTCAGTTGCAGCCTTTTGGGCATGGTTGAAACCAGGGAGAGGGAGCTTATTGGGTGCAGGTGCATTGCTAAAAGTTGGGCCAGCATACTTTGCATCTTGCGTAGCAGCTATGGCCACTTTTTGACGGCGAGGCTGGTGACCAGCAGCTTGCTTTGCTTGTTGGCTATTATGGTATCTTAGCAATTTAGTCAAGGCTGGACCAGCCGATGTATTAAAAGTTGGGCTTTCATATACGCACCTGTTAATATTCATAGCATACATATCATAAGAAAGCTGGGTATCAAAATGGTCAGAGTCATCAGATTCCGTTCCACTGCTAGCATACGATAGCTGGGGAACATTGTCCTCGGCAGACGAAGAGCCACTAGAATTAGCGGACACTGATGACTTGCGATGGGAAGAGTTTGCCTTCTTTGCGTTTCGAGGGGTATTCTTTCGTGGAGAAGGTGATGTCACAGCCTTGTTGGAAGGCTTCTTTGGAGACTTTTGTTGTGGTTCAGTGGGAGGAGTCATGGTAACAGCGCCTTTTGGAGTGGTTTTGGGAGACTTGCGGTTGGATTTTTTATTTTTGGGAGTACGGTTGGCTTTGGACGGAGCCTTTTCTACTTTTATGTGTTCTTGGGGTGTAGTGATATCCATCAAGGATAGGCGCTGTGATTTTAAAGGGTCGAGAGAGAGAGAGAGGGAGTTGTTGGTTAAAGAGAAAAAAGAAAAAACGAATGTGTCAGGAGGTTCTTTGGTCCAGGTTCCTTCGTTTGGTTCCGTATGCGGCTGAAACTCTCTCCGATTGGTCCAGTCTGAATATAGCCTCCCGCTTAGGACATAATATTGCAGTTCCGCATACCGATGGATTTATTGGTCCTTTAAGAGGCTTGTATTATTAGCAAACCCTGAATGATGAGACAGGCTTTGAAATAACATACAAAGCCATGTTTTTGATATTTTGTCAGTAAAATGCTTTGAAAATCCATGTGCTATCCCTTCTTCATTTACATTTGTACGGAGGTTGGTAGTTTATATAAGGAAATTTTGAATGACGATGAAAGCCCGTGATCGTAAATAAAACCTGCCAATACGATTCCTTTCAGCAAGCCTGAAGCCAGATCGACGCAATAGCTCCACCTTTCTTCTATCGCAATATGCCACCAACAGAAAAGCCTGCTTTACAAAGTCTACAGGAGAAAGTTTCTGAAGCAGGAATCTCGGTGCTTGAGTTGACCATGGATAGTTTTCGGTTATTGTTTAAAGGGGACCAGATTCTGACTCGTGTTCGAGGAAGTATCCTTCCTTCCATCGCAGCCCCGGTGGTACTTTTTGCGGTCTACTCCTCGTTTTTTGCTGCCATTCGAAGTACAGGCAAGTGTATTTGAATATATCCAAGAACAGGAAAATGATCGATCTGCAGCTAAAACATACCTGGTGTTATTAGGCATCTTGCCCTCACTGGGAGGCTCGGTCATCTCATTAATGTCAATGGCAATAGGACTGCTAGTTTCCTTCAGGTAGATCCCTTGCAAAACCACCTTGTATGGCGCTTTAAACTATCATTTTTAACCTGACTTTTCATACCAACAGAACCTCTACAGCATACGGTAAGTTTATTTAGTCTTAGCATGCAACGGCAATGATAGCAGCATTTGATCCTTTATGTTGGTGTCAGACCGATGGTGGGCGTGCCGTGGACTGTGGGCATCCATCTCATCTACTTCTCGAACTATGATGCTAAACCTATGGCTCAATGTTCGAGATACCAATACGTCGACAGAGATTGATGAAGACAAAATAACCGTCATGAAATTGATCGTTGCATATTCATTGGCCCTGAAAAACCATTGCAGACGAAAACCTGGACTCCATCACGCTGATCTAGCAGAATACCTTCCACCTAGCTTTGTTGAATCATTCGATGGCAATTCCCCCAAAATCCCTCCACTTGAGGTTATCAAGCTATTACATCAATATGTGATCATGTTCGAAAAAACTGATAAAGTGGATCCTCGAAGTGCTGGCTCCTTATTGGCGGGAATCAATACGTTTACAAATGAGCTGTCTAACGCAGAAAGGATCTTAACTCCCTGGCCATTGGCATATTCCATTCATCTAAAGGTACAGTGAGCAAAATATCATTTGCGTACCTGATAAATTCTCTAACCCCATGTTTTCAGCAAATCATAACCCTCTATTGTCTTGCTCTACCCCCGCAACTTGCGTCAGCCCTTGGTTGGTGGGTGGTACCAGGTAAATAGATTACAAAATAGACTTGTGTGAGATGAGACAAATTAATGATTTTTCTTGTATGGCTCAGTGACATGTGCTGCTGTATTCACATTCTTTGGTATGGAAGCCATCGCACTTGAGATTAGCGATCCATTTGGATATGATCTGAATGACCTGTAAGTACTGAACAAGGCCGCTGCCACTCACTTTGGTCATCCGTGTTCACTGCTTTATATAACATATCTTCAATGCTACATTACAGACCCATTGACAAATACTGCAATGAACTCAAGACAGAAATGCTTGATATGATGGCAACGACCTATCGTCCTAGCATGCAACGCCCAAACGTCAATGATTTAAGAAAATTCTAATGACTATAACAAAGATAATAAATAATCTTCGATCACTTTGAACCCGCACACGAAAAAATAAAGATGAAAGTCTCGCACACACTGTGTACTGACGGACTTTTGGATCCATGTCCAACGCGCATTTATAGAACAATTGCATACATTCAGAGAGAAAGAAAAGATATAGTGGAAAAAAGGAAATAAGAAGGAAATGAAGGAAGAGAGAGATAGAGAGAGAGTTGTGATAAAAGGGTACGGAGTGCTTTGCCTGTTTGACATCGTGATTCTAATATCATGCACCAACGTTCTTCTTCTTCTTGCCTCGCTGTGCGCCTGCTGATTGACCTGCCATGTTAACGTACTTTGATTTCTTTTCCGCCGGCTTTAAGATCTACAATGAATAGACAGGGTGAGCTGATGTTGACTCTCATGAACACTAGTTATGACGTGACAGGGTATAATCTTACCTGGAAACTACACATGAGGGTTTGGTCGACGCTCATCATGGCGCCAGCGTTATCGAATTCACCACAATAATTTGGTGCGGAGAACAAGGTAACCAACTGTCTCTTTGCGAAAAACTCATAACCATCTTCAACAACTTGATGTGCACGACAGATGAGGTCCATATCGTGCTTTTGAAGGAAGCGAGTAACAACATCAGGTCCAAAAGTAAATGAAACACCTCTGTCGTTCTCACTCCATCCAGTGATATCTTTGTCGGGATCTGCCCATAACAAATCACAGAGAAGACCTAACAGCAAATGCGTTAACGGTGTGAAAAATAGGCACTAGACAGTACAGGTGAGCCTCATTGACTTTACCTGTGTCAGGAACATCAGTAGGACGCATGACTCGGCGAATTTGTTCCATGCTTTGCAAGTCAGGAGAAAGACCACCGTGCATACAGAAGATCTTTTCGTCGATTATAGCGGCGATTGGAAGGCAGTTGAAACAGTCTGTGAAAGTCTTCCATAGCTTGATGTTGTACCGTCGTTTACCTACATAGTAAAGAGTGATGAGCAAGTGTACAGCTAGATAGATGCTTCTCCATCAATTATGGAACTTACATTCGTCGTAGAAGCCATATATACGATTTATGCTTGCATATTCGTGATTTCCACGAAGAATAAAAAAGTTTTCTGGGTATTTAATTTTGTAGGAGAGCAGCAAACATATGGTCTCAAGTGATTGTTTGCCTCTGTCAACATAATCTCCCAAAAACAAATAATTTGCTTCTGGTGGGAAGCCTCCATATTCAAAAAGTCTCAACAGGTCATAGTATTGCCCGTGTATGTCACCTAACACGTACTAAATATTGAGTATGACAGGGCAACGGTATCGTCATTATGAAACACCATTATCTTACCACAAATCTTGATGGGTGCCTCCAACTCCAAGAGGATGGGCTGACTCATGAAGATCTCACGAGCCTTTTGGCAAAGAAATCGAATTTCATGTTCGGCGAGTTGCACTTGTTTACCAGGACGACTTCCTCTTACTAGAAAAGAAAGAGATAAACGAAAATCATTAATCAGGTTGAGTTCACAATGAAATATTTTGGGTAGGCAGCTACTGTGTAGCGTTGCAACATTTTGGGATGATGAAGACTGATCCTCAAGAATTACACAACTATGGGACGCGCACGGTACTATTGTACATTAGATTTAAAAGGATCTCCTCACCTTCCAGCAATCTTTCAATTATAGTATCGACATCAACATCGACGGGATCCGCCATGACTCTAGGGAGAGAATGAGTTTGAATCAGTGGGCCACAAAATCAATCAAAAAGTCAAATAAGATGGGGCGTAATCTCAATGCTGGAAGGACGGCTACGTTGACTCATATCTCAAAAGGCAATAAAGGAACTATCCTAAGAAAGAAACTAAGAATAGTCGCACTGAGATGTCGGAATCCAGTGAGTGTGCCGCCAATGTTGACTGGAGAAATCTATGAGTAATCTGGCGCACATCTAACGCGTGGTAAGAGCTGAAGAGGCGAATGACTCAAATACAGTATGTTTTTTACATAGATCGTACAACCGGTTTCCGTTACATGAAATAAAAAAGACGTTGAAATGGGGGAAGGGGATGTATACGTACTTGAGCACCGAAGTTGTAGTGAAGAGGTTTTAGCAGGGAAGCGGAAATGGTCGAGACCAGACGAAAAATTCAGTGTGTTTTTCGGACGGATTTGCCTGAGTTTGAAACTCAGTCCGCATACTGTCGTCCTATATTTTTCACAGCCCATAGCTTATTGAGCCCTTGATAACGTTGTTGGATATAAACTTAGCTACTGGCTAATACATCAAGTAATGGATTATTGTGGTTAATTCAAAAGCTGAAGTTAACCGTTGCCATCCTTTATTATTGTGGAGTATAGTAGCACTCTCAGTCTTAATCGAAGGCTGGCCAATTTTGGCAAATTCTCAGCAATAAGACGAGGGGGGGGGGGTTCCAAGTGGTACACCCATTGGGAGGCACAACAACAGCAAAGGCTTATACAATGCTTTTTTTAAATTACTACCGCGGCCACATTAATAAATGTCGCGACTATGTGCAACTATAAGGAAACGGTCATTTACAGGTTGTTAGTTTATTGCTGGTTTGAAGTATCATTTCAATTATTCTATCCAAGTTGGCTTGGTAAGCATTTGATTCTACTGTAACCATAGATAATGTCAAAAGTTGAGAACCCTGTAAATAGCTAACAAGCTTTGAGATTGTGATATGATTGTTTGTAGAACGTAGGCTGTTCTTCCGAGCGTAGGTGTTCACTTGTAGGTTCAAGAAAAAGATGGAAATAATAATTCTTGTACTATTCGCCAATTTTCAGCTCTTTTGCACTGCCCTGCCAAGGTGTATTGCAATCCAAAAACATTATGCAAAAATAAAAACATTGCCGCTACCATGTTCAGTTCACATTATATTACAATTATATCGTCTCTGACTAATCACTATTTCTTTTTGGTTTTTCTACCGCCTCGTGGTGCCGCTGACCCTCGCGTTGACCGCCTTCCTGTCGTTGTTTTACTGACTGGCTCAGGTGTGGCATCCGATCGTTTTCCTCGTGGTCGTCGCACTTTTTTAGCTGTACCACGACTATCGGTAAGAGAGGGCTCCAAACAAATCCAACAAACAAAAGTCACGATGCACTCACCTTCCTCTGGCTCTGGAGTCGATGCATTTGAGCCCGTTATGGATGATGTTGGTGAAGATTCTTTCCTTGCAGCCTTCTTTTTTAAGGGAGTTATGGTTGGCGATATGGAGCCTTGCTGTGATGATTGATCGTCTTGTCGATGTTCGAAGATCAGTTGCTCGTAATCATCCATAGGCAGTGTAAACTCTCCTGCACCGGGCTGGTCCATATCCATATCGTCCTCTTCGTCCGCTTCTTCCTAAAACAGAAAAAGAGTAATAAGATATCGTGCCTCATGATCCTCAAAGCGTACCACAGGAGTCAAAAACACTAGGTAGTTACCAATTCGTTGAGAGCTTCAATTCCATAGAGGTGCTCAAGCTCCCGCCAGATTTCCTCTATAGTAAGTGGGGAAGGGTTGTCTTGGTTGTATTGGCGCTGAATACTTATGATCCTAAAGTGCTTGTGCATGCCTAAAGAACATGTCAATCAATCACAAGCAGACAGGGGCACACTGATTTATCAAGCGAGCTTACCAACTGGCTTGCATTTCGAGATGGCGTTCAGTAATGCGAGCTCTTTTTGTACCTGCCAGTCTGACTCTTCACTTTCAAAGTGATCAGCATTTAACACGTCTTCAGACTCTCTCTTGACATAGTCCACGTCTGACATGGCCGAACGGTACTAAGATTTAAAGGTTATGAATCGATTTTGCTCGTGTTGAGGAGGTACTACAATTGCCTTCGAAATGCCAGTCACAGAGCTGCCATCAAAAGTAATGGTCAATACGTTGAAGGTGGCTATCATAATGACCATATACCAGTGTATATCAGGTTATAAATGATGTTAATAGCCATATAATTACCCGTCTACATATGATACATAATTTGTACGTGTCTATCGCGATAGCAGCCACAAGCAGACATTAAAGAAGCATTGATCCAGGGCAAGCATGGAGCATCGTTTAGTTTTCCCGTTGTGTAATATTTTTACTGATAGCGTACGTCTTGACAGAAGCGTGTATCTGTACTCTCTAATGAGTTTTTTACGCGTTTTTGTTGGACCCTCCTTAGGCTTTAATACTTTCTGGTCAAAAGCAAGCAGAATTGAGGCGCTCCAGTTTCCTAGCCAGTGTTCACGTGGCAGTGAGAATTGAAGCAAGTCAGCGCCATTACTTTTTGCCTTCAATTGGAAATCGAAGTGTGCTTGCTCTGCTTTCTTTATTATGTCTGATAAACCTGTCGTTGTCGTTACTGGCTGCTCCCAAGGTGGTATAGGTACAGGCATTTCAACTTGTGCCAGCTCATCCAGCATTGTGCCATTAACAGTAACTAGGTTTCAACCTTTGCCAACAGTTCGCCGCCAAAGGGTGTCGAGTCTTTGCTACCGCCCGTAGAGTGAACGCTATGGACGGTTTGGAAGGTATGGTCTAGTTCGTTACTAAGCTCGGTTTTCTCTATAATTAAGTTTTCCTCAAACAGCATTTGGTTGTGAGAAGGTGTCCCTGGATGTAACAGACGAGGTATCCATCGAAAAAGCGGTGGCCGAGATTTATGAAAAGGCAGGTCATGTCGGTAAGTTCTTTGGCTACGAAATTAATTTTTAGTCGATTGAGATCTTTAACTTTCTCTCAAAATCAATGATGAAATCAAAAGATATTCTTGTCAACAATGCTGGAGCTCAGTAAGTGTACCTACGCGTATCAGTCGGACCTACGTGAGGTTCATTTGTTGAACCGTAGTTTACTTGTATAGTGCTATTGGAGCTATGTTGGATACGGATATGGCGTCTGCTCGTCATTGCTTAGAGGTGAATGTTTTTGGAACACTTGCTATGTGTAAAGCTGTCGGTCGCCGTATGGCTGAGAGGGGATCTGGCAAGATTGTAAACATTGGCTCTGTGGTCGGATACGTCTCCACACCATGGGCAGGTATAGATCTTCACTCGTGTTGTAATGAGGTAACGCATGCCATTCATTATGCTCCTTCTTTCAGGTATTTACTGTCTATCCAAGGCTGCCATTCACTCTATGACAGATACATTGCGCATGGAGCTTAAGCCATTTGGTGTCCATGTTATGATTGTAGCACCAGGTAAGCTTAAACCATAAGAAGACTGGTCAATGGTTTTACTGAGTTCTCACATGTGTGTTTAAGGTTCCATCAAATCAAACTTTGGTGACGCAGCAATAGCGACTATCTCGTTACCAATCGGTTAGTTCGAAGTTTGTCTGGGGGATGAGAATTGTTGAACTATATATTGACATCGGCCTATTCAAAGATTCTTTGTACAAACAGTATAAGGCTGTCATTAACGGAAGAGCAAACGCTTCGCAGGGCCCAAGGGCTACTCCAACCGAAGTGTTTGCCAAGCAAGTAGTGCAGACTGTATTGAAGAGTTCTCCACCTAGGTATTTTACATTTGGACACCTCACACCTCTGTTCTTGATCTTCTTCTACTTGCCAAGATGGATCACCGACAGATTACTTAGCGCAATAATGGTGAAAGCAGTGAAGGCACCGGAAAGCGAAGCAGGAAAGAAGAACGAATAAATACCTAGCGATATGATGTTTTATTTTGAGGTCCAGAGCAAAGGCAATCTTTTCAATGGCCATATAAATTATGATTATATAATATCCAATTAACATGGTTCTGCATAATTGCGTGCAATGGTGTGCATTTCAACTAACTTCAAATGTAGGTTAGACATTGTACTCCAAAGGGTAAATGAAGAAACAGCCTTAGCTGTTATGTTTGATTCTATAAATCTCAGTTGTTTTATTTTGAATTGATGTTAAGTTACCGTCTATTGCGAGAAGCCATTTTATCGGCAGCAGGATCACTGCCACCCATGACCTTCTTCGAGATGATGGTATCATTTTCATCCAGACCTGCATCCATTTTGAGCTTCTCAATCTCCTGTAAAATAGGTTGGTAGTCCTGGTATCGCTGCTCGGCCATACTGAAAGCATCTCTACGCAACGCCTTTCCGCGAGCCATGCCTTCTTCATCCTCCTCGAAGGCTTTTCTTGCCCAAAATTCAGCTATGAAAGGATTTGATGAATTAGAAACGGAGGGCTTATTTGTGGATACATCTCATGGTCAGAACTATTCCAAAAGTTTAACTTACAAGTTCTGGCATAGAAGTCCCTCAAGCTTTCTCCCAGGTTCGGGGTACCAAGAGCATCCTCCTCTTTTGCTTTCGCCTACAATGAACATAGCCGATGAATAAGACACTAGTACTGGATTTAAATTACTGCATGTAACGTTACTTACGTCTTGCTCCAACAGCTGATTCAGTTTGTTCATAGCTTGCGCTTGTTCGTCTTCTTCTTCTATGACATCAGGTACCGCCTCCTCCTCTATGACTACATCGGTCATGTTCTCATCCTTCTTGCTTTCATCCTTCTTTTTCGACTTTCGTTTTTTTGCTTTGCTGCCTACACTTTCATTTTCATCGTCTTCATTATCACTCGCAGCTTCATCATCATCTTCATCGTCGTCATCATCTTCATCATCTTCATCATCTTCATCGTCGTCATCGTCGCTTTGTTCTCCTAACCAGATTTGTTCGTCAAGTTCACTGCTCTTCATACACGTATATTCCGTCATTTTCTCTACATTGATGCTCCAAAAGTCATCCAAAGTGAATTCCTTGTCTTCAATTTCGAGAATGCCACCATATATATACAGTATGCCTTTCTGCACACAGGTCATCGCATTATAACGTGCGCGTGGAGCAAAATCCTCCATACTATCGTCTTGGGGAAGCTGTTGCTGTTGACCGGTTTTGGGTGCCTCATTGCTCGAATCATAGCCAGAGCCTTCATCACTGTCATTTGAATGATGTTGCTTTTGTGCTTTTGCTTTCTGTGCCTTCTTAGCCTGCTTACTCTTGCGTAAATTCAGCGGGAACCATCTACCGTTGTCAATCTGATATGTAAAGCTATGTTGAATGCCACTGTTAGCAGGGAGTTGCTAGACTCATGCGCTACTTTGTCAAATTTCCTTACAGTTCGTTGAAGAAAGTACTTTCAAGCTTTTCTTCGCTCACATCCTCGTCGTATACACCGCCGAACAAGATGCCTCTATTTTTGTAAACTGCCATTGTTGCTCCACTTCTTGCACTACAACAGCCAGATAGGCATGCAATTAGCTGCCTGCTTGCTACACGCAACTTGTAATTGAAAAATTAGTATACTACTTACGTTGGAGCAAAGCCGGATTTCTTTCGCTTCTCCCATTTGATTCCTTTCAAGTCTGTGTTCATCTTCAGCAACCAAGTGTCTAGATAGGATGGTTAGATGTTTTGTATGCACACTGAAACCTCGGCTGTACATTGCTTTACCTGTATGAACAATGCCCTTGGCTCGTTGTCCCTTGGTATATTGCTTACAGTACCCTCCATATAGAATTACACCATCGTTACATGGAATAAAGCAGAAACCGGACCTTGCGCTATGACATACTGTTAGAAAACATCCGTTAAAATGGGCCATACACTACACATTGCTTACGTTGGGCGATTCGATGATTCAGGAACCTCGATTTTGGTCCACTTGTAAGTCAGCGTATCAAAAACCCATAGATCGTCATAGTAGTTTGTCTGTACATAATTATCGTAAAATCCTGGAAAAACGGGAAATTGTCAGACTACTGCTCTTCTAAATCCAAAAACCTTGCGCCTTCACGACACATACCACCAAACAGAACAATGAAGTTCTTCCAAACCTAAGACAGGATGTTAGTATAAATGAGGCAAGGATAGCTTTCAGGTCCCAAATTTTGATACACATACTGCCATGCGATGACCTGATCTTGCTGACGGTTTTTGCTTAACTTCCAACTTATCCCATTGATTAGTCTTCAAGTCGAAAGACCAAAAGTCCTTATAATGGAAAAATTGTGTTTCATTGGGAGATATAAATTCACCTGCGACATATTAGTCAACCTATTGGTGAACGCCCACTGTAGGAATTATTGCAGTAGCCATACCTCCAAACAAAAATAGCGTTCCTGTGGGCATAATCGCTATTTGATGAGCAGATCTCGGACCAGGAGAATTAGGTGAAGTAATCTTCTTCCATTCATCTTTGTCGATGCTGTATCGGTAAAGGTCATTGTACATATGCACTAAAAAAGGTGCATGGAGTGAAAATGTCAAATTCCGTTGATCTACGTACAAACTCGGTTTCAATATGTCAATGCAGGCTCTTACCCTTTTGTCCATCATAAAATTCACCTCCAAAGAGGATCAACTCGTTGGTATTCGTTGGATGCGGAGAAAACGTTCCATTCGCCCGTCTACTGGGAGGGTTTCCAATAATTTCCTCTGTAACTTTGTACTGCTCTTCTTGCTTTTTGGACGGCTTTAGCCATAAGGAAAAACATTTTCAAGCTATTTATTAGGACTTACTTGTCTCTGGAAAGCGGCGAGGATAGATTCAATATCTTCTTCAGGCTCTTCTGCCTTCTCCTTGGACTTCTTGACTTTCTTGTTCGACTTTCGGTTTGCCTAAATCGGATCTGTTAACTACTGGTAGTTTGGAATGTAAATGATCAATGGCCGAGAAATAACCTTTTCCTGAATTCTAGCCTTGTGTTCGGCATCATTCTTCTTTTTCTTTCCTTTTGCTTTTGCCATGACACAATTGCTCTGAATTCTTTCTGGCGCTCGATCGACAAAACTGACAAAACCGAAAAACGAAATATCCACGTGACAGAATGCAGTCACTCCGTCGGTCGTAACATGTTCTTTTGGTTTCAACCCGCAAGAATATGAACAGTCTATTTCACTTTCATACTACTCCTACTTAAAATGAGAAGCATTATCAGTATTATCACTACAGTTGCCTTGACCGCTCTTCTTTCTCTAAATGCCTATGCTGCCAAAGGTAAATACAATATGTGCTTTTCGAACCTGCTGAGTCTCTCCGCCCTTGGCATTTAACCTCGGCCAAGTAAATTCGTCATCCTTTGGTCGACTCCCTGCAATCATTTCAGCTACATTGAATATTCGACTGTACACCATCTATTCAAGCTGCCTTTTTTATGCTATTTATGTACTTGTAATCGTTAACTAATCACTTACTTTATGTCTCAGCCGGTTATACAGACTTTATCATGGTGTTCAACCGAGATATTTCCGACAGTGACTTCAAAAAGGCTCAGGATGATGTTCTCGCTGCTAACGGTGTAATCAACCATAAATATACTGCTGGATTGAAGGGTCTATCAGTTTCCTTGCCCGACAATAAGGATGGCTTGGTCAACACATTTGAAGCTAAGGACTACGTCAAATTCATTGAGACTGACCAAACTGGTAAGCAAATGACATGAACAAATATTCGTAACCAGCATCAATTCTAATACCTTGCCTTCTTATAATCCAGTTCATACTCAAAATTAAAAAAAAAAATTCTCCCAATTTTTTTGGAGTTTCTCGACGTTTCACCTATCTTAACTTTAGTAGAAAACAACTTAGCTACTTCCCACACCTCCTCGTTGTAAATGTGTATCCCGCTTAAAATATATATCCTTTTATGAACTTGATTTCTTATGATGACCGGTAAAATATACTAAAGCTAATTATTCCGCCTCGAGTGGAACGCTGTGGTTCACGCCATAATAGTAGACGCCTTCCCGCTTAGCAAATGGCATATCCCAGCCGCCTTCTTCTGTTGGAACGATAAGCCAAAGTCGCAACAAATGTCTTGTTAATTCTTGGGAATCTTTGTAAGCACTTCTGGCATGCAGGATTTGGTGATTGTGAACAAACTGCATATCACCAACTTCGAGCCACATCTCAAGAGCCTCCTTCTCGCAAAGGTTTTGCACATATTTCATAGCTTCAAACTTTTCATCGGAAACTGGAATTCCAAGTCTGGGAACAGTCTCCCAGAAGTGAGGTCCGTAGAAGGTAAATAGCTTATCTTCGTAATATGTCATTGGAGGCGCCAAAAGGTAGGGAACATCATTGGGTCCATGTTCCCCCTTCTTATCCCAGTGCCAGGTTTCTTTGAATAGCTCAATGATATCGGGACGCTCCTCCTTGAGGCGGTTATATACAGTGTGTGAAGATATGACGGATGATTGACCGCCCTCTTGACTGACCTGCAGGCAGAGAAGGCCGACAATGTCGGTACCATCGACGTGGAAAGGCTGAGCTTTACGAGTGGCATATATACGAGTGGTGGGATCATTAGCATCATAAACAGCCTTGGTCAGGGAGCCAATGGAGATATCCTTTACGTGACCCAAAACATGCCCTTTGCCATTTTGTGTTTTGCGATGTCCTAAAGATATGAAATGACTGTCAGTATAGTGTTCAAAAGCATAAAATCGAGATTTCCATCTAGGTACATACCCAAGTGTGTACCGATGCCCATGAATGCAGCGGCTTGTTCCTCCCGGGTATAGTTATTGATTGGAAAACCACGAATGAGTGTGAATCCGCGGCCCTGAAGAAGAATTTCCTTGTGCCTTTGCAACACCTTTCCGAATTCTGGAAGAGGGAAGGACGCCTTGTCGATGAAAATGAGTTCCTTGTTGAGGGTGAAGAAGTGCTTGATAGCAGCATCAATTTCATTGATCTCTGAGTTACTGAGCTGGTAGACCCATTCATCAGGGTGAGCCTCGAGGTATTTTCCATCCCACACGGTTGGGCCTTCTATTTTTTCGGGCCATTGAAGGGTGGTTGGGTTCTGGTTCTCCACCTCAGTAGAGAATGTTCTCCAACCGTCCTTTGCTTGTGTTGGTGCTTGAACTTGGGCCATAGTTTAGTGATGAGTAAATTGATGGATTGATTGTGGTGAGTAGGACTCGCCATCTCATGCCTTTATATGTATTTTGCGCACTAAGTGATCACGCAATTTACACTGAAACTGAGGATAACGTCTCCGCACATCCGGCTGTTTCTTTGGAAAATGGCGTTGACTTTGTTCATCTGGTATGCAACACGTCGCCAAGTCAAACTCAAAAAAAAAAAATTGGACGAATTTATCATGGTGGCAAAGAAATCGACGGATGATAACAAATCCATGGGAATAGTGCAAGTCCTGGCCTCCATGGCGGTGCTGCGAGATCTATACGTCGGTGAGGGCCAGTAAAATGAGGTGCACACTTGTCAAAGATATGCGTTTGACGGAAATATGCAAGCCTTTTTATACCCTGCCTTTCCTCATAGTGCGTTATATGCCGTCAACGTTCGCAAAAGTGGAAGAGCAAATCAGATTGGTGGTACACAAACGGGCTACAAGTAATAAAATCTTTGGTGCAGAAAAATTTCTGAGGTCTGGTTACATGGAACTCGTTGTGTGACAATGTGTATTTCCTTGTATTGATAACTTGCCAGGGTGTTATCTACAGATTTTGTTTGAATTGAATTGAATTGAACAAATCGGCTGTGCATCTTTCGTGGGCAGTGTTATGCTTGACTCCGGTGTCTCTCACGCTTAATTTGGATAGGACAGAACGAGCTTTTTTTTTTTTTTTTTTAACAAAAAATTTGGAGGTTAGCATTTCCGCTATGGGCTTTGTTTGCGGCCAGATAGCCTTAAAACAACAAAATGTCACTCTGCGTTCAATTCGCCAGCCATTCCAAATGGTGTGGTGTTGATAGAAAACAAATACCGGTCACCACATGCATTTCTTGGCCTTTCTGTTCTCGGAAGAAACCACATATTTGTAACGCCCTATTACGGTATTGAAGAGATTCTACCTTATGAAATTCGATGCTATAACGCAATTGTAGGTATAATCCGGCTTTTGCTTTCGTCCTATAGAAAGTACCCTTGAATCATAGCCGTGGAAAAGATCGACTTATAAAGACAATAGCCTTCATCCAGTGTCTTACAGTGAATGATCAATGGATTCTCTCACGTAAAAGTCTATCGTTTACGACGTCAAAAGTAAGGCGCTTCTAACACAGGATCCTTCGTCGTTTCTTTGACCAACCTCGATTATTCATAGTTTCTACGTTGAGATTCAATATCGGATGACTGTAACTTTCATCTGTATGACAAGTTACTTCAAGCTTTCCAGTCCCGATCACGTCATCTTACGGCAGATCAACTAATCTCGACGTTAGCCCAAGGTCAGTAAGATCAATAGTCTGCCTAATGATACGGATAAATATCTGCTGCAATTTGAAAGATCACGTTAAGCTCTGTTGCGATGATGTATTCGAAATATCAATCGGCTTCGTCGGTCACGCAAGCGTATTATAATATCACCAGCAATATTTCAGTCATTTACAGTATTTTGCGTTATGAGAGTTAGTCAAGCTTTGAGTCTATTATTGAAAAATGTTCTTTCTAGTCTGATGTACATATTAAAAGTGCAGAAAGTGGTGTGTATATAGTGCAAGAGTGATGTAAGCTATTAGTGCTGATTGGATATGATTTAGAAGCCACTGATCTTTCTAATAGCTTCTCCCTTAAGCTTGAGGAGTACGGCTAAGCACATAGCTAGAACCATAAGGGCGGCAAAGAGAACACCAACATATCCAGGTCCAAGGGTATTCAACATTGGCGTGGCTACGAGAGAGAGGATACACGCTAACAGCATGCGAAGGAAATTGGCACCAGCAGTGATGGATGCTCCACGACCAGGTGTAGCATCAACAAGATATGCGCTTCCAGCAGAGAACACTTGACTCATACCAAAGCATTGAATACCGAAGCCAACGATACATCCCCAAACACTGATCCCGTATTCACCGATCCATCCGAACATCAAAACACCAAGAGGAACGAAAAAGAAGCCAGCAGGCCACAAGTTGGCAGTGAGACGATCTTCCAGAAGAGCAGCACCACCGCGAAGTCGTCGAGATCGGATCAACAGGGCATCAGATAATTTACCTCCAATCAAGGTACCCATAAAGTTACCGACACCAGCACCCAAATATGACAAGCCTAAATAACAAAAAAAAAAAAAAAAAGAATAAGAATCGATGTTTGTACTATAACCACGAAGGATCAAAAGTTTACCTGTTTGCCATGTGTTGAGTCCAAACTTTTCGTCGTATATTGTAGGAATGATAGTTTCGACAGCAAACATGCCTCCGAAAGCAACAGCAGTCATGAAGGAAGCAAGGAAAACAAAAGGATGGAAAAGTGCTCGAACAGGAGCAAAGACATTGATAGACTTGCGCTTCTGAACGGTAGTGGCTTCAAGATCAGCTTGGTCACCGTTGTTATCTGTCTCAGCTTTTTCCACCTTCTCGTCCATGTCGTTGGATACAGCATCCCACTTAGCATCGTCGCGATAAGTCTCGGGCAAAAAGAAGAAAACAACGAGGAATCCAAAGCATCCAAAAGCAACTGAAAACCAGAAAGTAGCTCTCCAACTTTGAGAACTCAAGGACAGGAATCCACCAATGATTGGACCAACGAGTGGGCCAAAAAAGTTTCCAAAGAAGAAAAATCCAAAGGCTCGACCACGTTCCGTAATAGCATACATGTCCTAGAAATTGATTGACTTTTAGTTTGGACTGACGCCAAATAAGTATCTGATCGTACGTATTTGATCACTTACTGTTATAGTTCCGGCACCAACCGAAGATGTACATGAGGCACCAGTGCTTTGAAGGCATCGAAGGACAACCAGACCCCATACATTACTGACAAGAGCACATCCTAATGAAGCTCCAATAAAAATGACCAAAGAGGCCAAAATAAGGATTCGTCGAATTTTGTAGTGATCTGCTAAGACAGCCCAGAAGATGGGGGCGATACCCATGAACAGGACGAACAAACTGGTGGTCAAGGTGACAGCCACCGCTGGTGCTTTGAGGTCCTCGGTCATGACCGGGATGGCTGGGAAGTATAATGTACTCGATAGACCGGGTAGACATGAGCCAAGGCACAAGCACAATAAAATTAAGGATTTTTGTCTTGAAGTCTTCAGGCGAGGATCTTCATCGATAGATGGATGAATCAGTAGTCGGGAAGCAATGGCCTTCTTCCATGACGGCTTCTCATTGATTTCTTGCTTTCCCACTGTTGAATCTGACGTCGTAGCGGTGTCCATTATGAAGAGAAGGAAGAAAGAAAAGTATTTCGCCACAGCATAACAGAAACCTAAAGACTGATTTCCTTTTATAACATCAGAGTGAGACCGCAGGCAAAAAAAAATTAGGTCGGCAGTTGATTTTTTCCGTGAATCCTCAGCGCAATTTCGGTCAACGGCTGACTAACGTTGGCGATGCCTGTGTAAGCGCAACATCATTCGCACGGTCTTTCTTTGCAGTTATCAATCATTTACACAGCATGTCATGCGGCATCCTATTGCCTATACCTCTTGCCTGCGCCATGTCTACCATTTCTATCTTATTTGAGTTTTCGCTTTGACCGCGCCAACTCGGCCCACGTTTGACTCTCCGACGGCTGCTCGACACACATGGCAGAAGCGGTGTTGATCCCGAACTAATACACTGGACAGACCCAATGTAAGTGTGTCGACGGGGGTATTCGGAGGGACGGTAAGTACGACAATTGATCGTCAATTTGGGGGCACCGGTAATAGGAAGACTCTGTTTTACATCCTCATATCAGTTAAAATCATTCATCAATCGCAGGCACTTTGTCATCACTACGCTCGGTTATGCGTGATCGGATTAATGAGGCGATCTGATAAGTAAACACAATGTCACACTTTTTTTTCCAGAACACAAGATGTAGGGCAAAAATGATATATTCAGGTATATTTGTTTTCTATATTGCATATGATGCGAATTGGACAATATCACGAAGAAATGGAAAGATAATGGGGGAGGGGAAACAGAAGAAACAAGATGAAAGAAGAAAAAAAAAAACACTGCGAAGAGGGTTTTGGGTTTTGGGTGTGCCTCTGTACATTATAACCCTTTCAGTTCTATGGTACATGTTTGTATGTGTGTGTGTGTGTGTGTGTGTGTGGGATAGTGAGCTTTGCTGACTGGTTTTTAAAAACAAGATTTTTGTGGAGGGAAATTTGAGTGCATTGATGGAATGTTACTTCTTTTAATAGAAGTCAACGAAACCTCTCAAACTCTTGACTGAGAATCGTCTTGAGTTGCGCATGTTCTGGTTATACTTTTCAGTGACGTCTTCACCAGGCCATCCTTGCCAGATAGAGTTCTTTTCAGCAACTTGACCAGAGGCAACCAAAGTATGTTCGAGCAACACAGAGTCTTCCTTCATGGAAGCACCAGATAACAATCTTGATCCAGTGCGAAGAACAGAGCCAGCGCCGATATGCAATGGGTTGATGGAGAATTGACCACGAGAATTGATATGGCAGATCAAAGAAGCTTCATCGACAGCAGTATCGTTTTCCAAAGTGACCAAGTCAGGCTCAGTCATCATAGGGTCACCACCATTAGGATAGAGACAGACATTCTTGCCAATGTTAGCGCCAAGGCAACGGAAGAACAAGACAAGCCAGGCACTACCGCTGAGAAGGTTGAGAACACCTTGACGGAAGCATTGTTGGAAAGTGATGAGAATTTGCCATCTCTGGCAGTAGGAAGATTCATCCCAGTTATAACTGCCTTGCTTTCTGCGACCAAAGAGACACCATTTGGCAGCAATTTCAATGACGAGACCAAGGAAGCAGAGTATGCAAACGCATGCACAGATGACAGCAAAGATGATTAAGAAGGTAAGACCTTGACGAGTACCTTCGTATAGACTATATACGGCAGCTTCATCAGTATGCTTCAAGAAATAACGCTTTTCCATGACGGCAGCAACTTGAATAGCAGCAGTGACAGGAACAGACCAGTAACAGGAGGCAATGATGTGCAACAAGCAATTGTAGACGACAATCAAGCTAAGAGGAATAACCCAGAATTTAGCCTTGTTTTGATAGAAGGCGCGACCGAAAGGTGTAATGGTGGATTCGTCATCAGCAGAGTTGGTACCAGCATCCCAAAGGAGGGCATTACCACCGCGAGAGCCAACCCAGACAGAGTTATCAGGGAAATGGAAGTTCTTCTTTGCAAGACCACCAGAACCGAGAACAGCTTTGCGGCCAATAGTAGCACCAGGAAGGAGAACACATCGATCAGCAATCATAGCTCCATCACCGATCTTAACCGGAGCAGAGATGTGAGAGTCAGAGCAGACAACATGAGTTCTTGAACCAAAGACGACATCATTTCCAATTTCCAAAAGGTCAAATTCGATGACACGAAGTCCAGAACCAGGCCAGTAGACACGTTCACCGATCTTGGCACCAAGAGCACGATAGATCATGCTAACCAATTCGTAGTGAGTACCGATCAAGCGAGTGACACCACCGAGGTCACCACCAGGCATGAGCTTCTCCATGAGCCAGTACTTGAGGAGTGAAATTTGACGACGGTCACGAGGTCCAGCTCTAAACTTGCCAATAAAGAGACGCTTCAAAGCGATGACGGCAGCCAAGTAGAAGAAGGGTGTGACGTTGTCACGAACAACAACAGCCAAGAAATGGTAACCAACACGCTCGGGTTCAGCGAAGTAAAGGATGAGTTCAGCAAACTGGTTTTGAGATGCCTTCTCAAAGAAGACTTCACGAGTGAGCAAGAAGATGACAGCAAACCAAGGAAGGAAAGCGAAGAACTTGGCAAAGATGACAATGGGCCAACCAAAAATGAGAGAAACCAAGAAATGAGGAGCAGGGAAGTTCATACGGTTGAGCTCGGAAAAGTTCATGCCTTGAGTGGTATCCATATGAGCGCTGCCACCAGCAACGACGTCCATGTTGTGAGACGAGGTAAGAGGTCCCATAACGGTACCAGCGGGAATATGAGAACCAGCAGTGACAATGGACTTGAGACCAATAGAGGTATTGCTACCAATGACAATTTCTGAGAGGACCATATGACCTGTCTTGAGAACAAATGGACGAATGGAGCAGTTATCAAACTGGCAATAATCGCCAATGGTGACAAGGTCAAATTCTTGAATATCAGCATGGATATCAACTCTGCAGTTGGTACCAATGGAAGATCCCATCAAGGTCAGATAGAAGGCATACAAGCGAGGATGCAACTTGAAGATACCACGACCGCACATGCGGCAGACTTGATGTACAAACCACCAGCGGAGGTAGTAAGAACTCCAAAGAGGATAAGAGCCAGCGCGATAACGACCAATAACAGCCCACTTGGTGATGATAGCAATGAAGGGAAGGACCAAAGCGGTGGCGAAGCGAGCAATGAAGAGAGAGAGAGACAACTGGATAACACGAAGAACATTGCTGCCCTTTCTGTCCCAGCTTGAAGCAACAGCGACCAAAAGAGACGCAAACATGAACCAGCAGAGAGTGATACGCAAGGGACGCAACAAGTAGATACTTGAGAGTTGGACCAAGGCAACCAAAGGGTTCCACTGATTCTTTGCTCCAGACTTTGGACGATTCTTGAGACGTTCCTTGGGGTCTTCTTCATCTTCTTCAATGTTGATGGCACTGTAGCCATGAGTAAACAGGTGATGATCACTTGGCAATTGTTCGGTGCAAAGTTTAGCCAAACCAATAGGCGTTCTGTTCTTCTCTTCATAGATGATGACAATAGGCAAAGCGACACCAAGCTTGGAGCGGATTGAGGAGATGAGAGCACCAGCCTTGAGAGAGTCACCTCCGTATTCAAAGAAATCTCCATTAAGGGGGTAATGGGCTTTTTCACCCTGCATGCCGAGGACTGAAGCAAAAATATCGCGCAGAGCCAATGCAACAGGATCACCAGTGCATTCCTCCAAATCGGCAACTTGCTCCTGAGCGATTTGGTGGAGTTCCTGTTCATTCAAGGAACCATCTTCGAAACGAACGATTTCATCTACAATGACGATACGTCTTGGCATCATGTAATCATGGATTTGAGTTTCCAAGTATTGATGAATATGGATGGCTGTTTCCTTGACATCGATTTCTTTTTCAGTGTCTTGTGGAGTGTTGACGACGAAAGCCACCACTTGATGGTCTAGGGGGTTCCTGAGAGCAGCGCAGTCGGCCACAGCTTGATGAACCACCAAGGCTTGGACAAGGTCACTCATGTCCCAGGAGACACTGGTGATAGCAATGGGGTCGGTAAGAGGAGTACCTTTAGGAGGGCAGGCACCTTGATACAATCGTTGGGCAACATTGACATTGCTTTCAGAGTCCTTGACTTCCGGAATGCCCATGCGTTCAGCCAACTTGATTCTGAGAGGCTTGTTGACAGCATTTTTTGGAATATTATCCATGTAGACAATGACTTGAGGCAACTTGGAGTGATGCAAAGATTTGCTGAGGAAAGATCGCAAGGACTTCAGGTCAACACGAGTATGGCCATCTTCAGGGACAATCACTACACCAATCGTTTCTTGAAGAGTCTCATGAGGAACAGAAAAGGCAATGGTTTGGGCAACCTTGGGGTGAGCCACGATGGCATTTTCAATTTCAAAGGGAGAAATAATTTCACCACCACGGTTGATGATTTCCTTGGAGCGACCAGTGATATAGAGGTAGCCATCATCGTCGACATAGCCCATGTCGCCGGTATCAAACCAGCCATCAATAAAGGTATTGGTGTTATCGATGCCCTCATAGCCATCGAAACAAGGAGGTCCACGAACCATGATATTACCGACAGTGCCGTTCTTGGCAACCGGCTTGTCCCCAATAAAGATGGCAATCTCGGGTCCAACTTCCAAACCCGATGTGCCCTCTCTGTTGAGAGCATAATCACGTGGAGGGGTGGAGATCGGCATGCATTCTGTCATACCATAAGAGGGCAGAACGGTAGCAGCAGGAAAGAAGGCTTTGAGATCCTTGGCAAGGGAGGGTAGAAGACCACCACCAGCGTTACAAATCATTTTGACGAACTGTCTAAGTTTGACAGAGACTTGACGCATGTTACCCTCTTGAAGGATAGCATGATGCATGGTAGGCACGGCATAATACCAAATGTTGACACCGGCTTGGGCCTGGGCGATATCCCAAAAGACAGAGGCATCAAAGCCATTGCATAACATAACAGAGCCACCAGAGAAGACGGGAGCAAATAGGTTGCGGACAATACCGCCGACATGGAATAGAGGCATCATGTTGATATTAATATCGTTTGACTGCAGGCCCCATGAGAAAGCCACACAAACAGTGCCGATACAAAGTGTGCGCAAACGGTAGGGCACCGTCTTTTTCTTGCCGCTGGTGCCAGAGGTTTGCAAAATCATAGCAAGGTCATTTGGACCATTGAGCTCTCTAGCGTTGGATGACTTTGAGCTAGACTTGCGACGTTGATATTTTGGAGCTTCCACTTGCAAGCTTTCAACAATTTCAATTTCGGTTTCAGCGCTATTTGGGTAAGAGCCATTGGCCACGACTTCATCGGACACCAAAGTGAAACCAACTCCAAGTGAGTCAGGTTTGAGACCAATTATACGCAGGCCGCCTGCCCGCAGGACTTGTACCATGCGATCATTGTCTTGCAATTTGCTATATGGAACGATGACTGCTTCCACCTTCATGTTGCCAAAGTCATGTAGCAATTCTTCGGGGGTCAAATTGGGGTTGGAAGGGGCGCATACACAGTAGGCTATGACACCAAGGAGGCAAAGACCAAGTTCCGGGCCATCAGGAAGACAGACACCGACACGGTGACCGCGAGTTAGACCAAACTGAGCCAAATTAAAAGACTTTTCCAAAAAATTGTGGACTTGTGCGTGTGTAATATGGTTAACACAGTTGGCAATTTCGGCTGACGGAGGTCGAATGATCGCCTTTGTATTGGTGACGTTGACGAAATCCAAAAGTGTATCAAACTGAAGGTAATGGTCCACCAGGTGCCCCATAGATGGGAAGTTGTTAGCATGCGGCTTGTCGGTGGAGGGGGTCCTGAATCCGTTATAGGCATCGTCCAGCAATTCCATAACTCTATCAAACCCATTGCTAGTAATGGTACGAGTATCACTACTAGCCGCACTCTTGTTCATAGACGACTGTCTGGAGCATGTGACGGGTGGTTGCGGTTGATAGGCGGGAGCGGGTGAAGTGGGCCTGTGGTGATGATGATGTTGTTGTTGCTGCTCAGGTGGAAATGATGCAGCCCATTTATAAAAACTATCATTTTCATGAAGTGTCAACGCTGAATTCATTGAAGACGATGCGTTGGAAGCACTCGATCCTGGTCGTGGTGGATATATTTCAGATTGAGATTCATGACTATTGCGTCTTTGCTGCGATTTTCGACTGAAAGACCTAAACATGTTGATGTGAATGTGGATATATGTATATGTCGATGAAGATTGAACAAGTAGAGAAAATGAACAGAAATCAAAAAGAGTGAAGAATAAGAAAGAAAAAGGTAAAGTAACAGTATTTTTGTCTTTTCCTTTATGACCTTTATGTCTTTCAGCAGGGAGAAACAGAAAGACAGGTCCTGCTTCTGCTTTTCAGGTGAAGGTGAAACTTTTTGGATCCCCGATCTTGTGTGGGTGCACTTTGACGATCCAACATAAAGGGCGGGGGGGTAAATTAGACTGAGACCCGCTGCTACTAAATTATCTCGTTCTGGACCACCTATCTTATTGGCTTGAAAAATTTTATTGCGTCTTAGATCGGCTTTCCCTTAGCTTTTAGGCAAAAAAAAATGATTTTAAAAAAAAATAAGGCAGTTTCATTCTTTCTTCTGGCGATAGGTTTCGTAGAACGGAGATGAGGTCCCTGGAACTACCACTTTGTAGGTGAAATTGTGTCATTTTTCGAAACAACAATAAACAACAAACATGTAATAACATCAATCTGAGGTAGAATAGGTTGTTATTGGGACCTCATCCCATCTCTCTCCCCCCCCCCCCCAAAAGCTCCTTTATGGCAAAGAAAGTCCCCTGGTACTACCTACCTCATCTCGGAATAAGGTCAACGCAATAGTGGTTCCGTCACTTGAGGCCATGTCCCACTGCCGACAAAGGAATTCCGAATGATGAAAGCTGAGAAGTGCCAAGCATTTCGATGTAACGTTTGTCGGCTTCAATCTATTTTCAGGCTTGGGTTACACTGGTCTGAAAACGGCTGTGCCAAAAGGGAAGTTTCTCTTTTCTCTTTGAAACAGGAGTCGGTAGCCCTGCCCTTGGCTTACTGACTGACTGGAAAAAGCACGTGTAATAAGATTGGGTTGGATCGACAGCACGTACACGTTGTCAATTTATTGGTTACAAACTCTTACGGTTTGCCCTGTCTCTACTCTTCTTTTCATAGATAAATCGTCAGACCTAACCGGCGCTGATATAGCACGATTCCCAAGTGAATAAGGAAACTTACCATAAAGAATTGTTTCTCAGCTAGTTCGATACCAATGTGTTTCGCCTGTAGTTCTCCACCTTCGCTGAATTAATTTTTTTTCTCTCTATCTTCTCTCATCAGCCAAACTAAACAATCTCCGCATGCGGTCCCATAATCACTACTTTCTCCGGCTTTTCTATCCAAAGCCCGGTCCGAGCCCCTAACCAGTTAGCAAGGTGAAAGCGAAACATACTATATCCGTGAAGAATAAATAAAAAGGAATTTATATTTAAAACCGGCAAATATTGCCATCTTGGTCTTTTCCTGATTCTGCTCCAAGGTAACAATAACAAGTAATCTATATGGGAAGCGGTAAACTTTTCGTCAGACCATGACGGGATCGACCAGCTGGGATGGCCTAATTTTTTTTTTCAACTGGCGTTCCTGGATCCCAAAAAATACATCGTCAAAAACATTACCGTCTATAGTAATTACATCACAAGTCGGTGAATGCTGTCAGATACAAAGTTATCTGAAACCCTGACAATCAACATTTCGAAACATGACGATCCAATCTGGCTGGTCAGGACGAAACAAAGTATCAGGTCAGCCAAGACTTTTTATTCTATGCTAGGCGACAAGAAAAAAAAAGGAGGGGGGGAGGAAAAGCGAGCCTGAAATTGATAATCATATCGTGTATACTCAATATGGAAGCATTCGATCATGTACTCTGTTTTTTTTTTTTTAGCAGCAACTTTGCACTAGCTATACCATAACGTAATGCTGACTCTCACATAGCGACACTTCTTCTCAACCTTCCTTTCGTGATGAACCCTTTCCTGGCTGCGTCTACACCAATCCAAGTAAGATGTAACTTATTCGTTCTGCCCCTCGTGTTTGGTATATGACCGTACCGTATAAGACAGAAATGGGCCGTCTGTTGTACGAAAATGCAAAACATACATGGGTAATGTAAGCATCACGCACGGCATGTATCGGTGGAATCCCTATTATGCGGGAGGCTATGCTACAAACTGCTATACAGCGCACATAGTCGCTTACGTAGAGAGCGCGCACATAGTTGCTTACGTAGCGATCAACTGCTCATGTATTAAAAATATTTTGGGTAAAAATAGCTCGTCTTACGCCAAGCAAGTGATACTTTATGCATGTATCCACATTACCCTCCCTCTCAACGCGTACACAAACGTTTTACTGGATTATATGCAATAAATGAAATCTCAATTTTAATATCCACTCGGGTTTGCCGAACACAAGTGCCGAAAGTGTCCGTCGAGAACATCTCTCGTGGAGCATGGTAGAAAATTTGACATAACATGTGCTTCCTTCACCTTTTGAGGCTGCTGCCACCATCAGGATCGCTGATGTTTGTTGACGTTCCCTCCAAAAAGCTTTGAAAGCGTCAACGTTCCAGTTTTGTTGTTTCTTTTTTTGTTTTTTGGCTTTTTCACCCTTTCGATGGTTGCCTGAGTGTTTGGATGTCGCTTTGATAAACAAAGAATATGTCTCGATTGAGGAAGGCTGGGCTGGACAATATGCCGCAGCTGAAAGTCCATCGTCTACATAGACATACAGCGTTAGTTATATGTAGACGTACGCCAAATTTGCCAAATATACTCAAGATGCACTCTTGCATAAAAGCCTGTCATGCGTTGCCCATCGACATTTTGTTCCATCCATTGGTGAGGCTTCGCGCGGTAATTAAGGGGTAGACGGCTTGGCACCATGTCTCTCTGTCGCATTCTATGGCGAAAATAGCCAAAAATATCAGCATAATTATAACCAACCGTGTCATTTCAGACGTGCATATCGGCGTTGGAGCTGCATGTTAGCATCTAGCCAAGCTTGGTTTGGCTTGTACCTGGTAATCGCAAATGCAGCGTACACCACTCACATTGTATGTTATGAGTCTCCCCATAATTCATCTAGGGTAAAGCACCGAAGGCGACATTCTGGAAAGATTTGCCACCTGGATTGTATTCTTAGATGTTGCCAATCTTGTACTGTTTTGGAGATCCTGGTAATGATCGACATAACCTGCACATTGGTTGACGTGTCGTTTTATTTTTATACACCGGAAAACCCTATAGTTGCAGTAGGCGACTACGTGTTGTTGGCATTTGCAAGAAATTGAGATATACAGCGGATACAATTGGCATTGAGCTGTGTACATTTGAAGGATAGTGGTAAGCGTGGCTGCCCTGAGTGCCTAACTGACCGATGCGATATGCATTCATGTTATCAATCATTCGTCTCGCTTTGATTCGTTGTTTAATGAAGCTCGTGTCACCTCATTGCTTTTAATTATGCCAGCAGTGTCATGAGATATGCCTGACTATTGCCTCCCGTTGCTCATCTCGAATGCCAGCATTTACGCCACTGGACTGCTTTTCGCTTTGATGACGCCAGCAAATTTTTTTAGGTGCAGTGATTTTTGGGCCTGGAAATTTTTGTTGGCGAAATCGATTCAAACGCAAAACAACCATGGCAGCATCAATGTGGAATAGCGTTCGCGCCTTGACACGATCGGCTGCGCAAAACACCTTTACACACCCATCAGCATTACCTTCCCGATTCTTCTCTTCTCAAGCATGCCGATTGAGTGAAGTGTCACCCATTGAAGCAGCAGCCGCCGAGTTGGCAGCTGGCGAACTGGACCAAGCCGCTGAACAGGAATTCACTCGCCAGAATCCTATTGTCTCACAACTGGTCAACACCATCATGCGCGACGGCAAAAAGGCTCGTGCTCAACGCCTTGTATCCGATGCATTGGCTGATATTCGAGTCAAGACCAACACAGACCCTTTATTGGTGTTGACAGAAGCCATTGAATCAGCTTCGCCCATGTTGAAACTCACATCAGCCAAGAAAGGTTCCAAGGTGGTTCACGTTCCTACTGCACTTCGAGAGCGACAAAGACGACGAAAGGCTATTGTTTGGATTTTGGAAGGTGCCGCGAAACGTCCCGAAAAAACCTTTGAAGCTAGACTCAGTGGTGAACTTTTGTCGGTCATCAATGGTGCCAGCTCAGCTCTGACCAAGAAGAACTCTCTTCACAAAATGGCCTTGGCCAACCGTGCTAATGCTCAGGTGTCCTACAACATGCGATAGTTTGTTTATTCCCGAGTCATGGGAGACTGAGAGAACAAGACACCATTCAATTCCGAAAACACACTAACGTCTTCTATCTGATTGATCCCGAAGCTAATGTACAGTACAATTTGATGTGGATTTTTTATTAAAAGCAAATTATAAAATAAAAGCACAATAGAATTATTTTTTTCCTTAGACCCGCAATCACGCCCTTAGCATGCCCCCTTCATATCAGCTTTTTAATATGTATACTTTAGTATGGTGTGTGCAATTAATGTTGGCCACAGGGATGTGATGCATGGAGGATAAGCTAAAGTACTTGAGACTCATGACATTGAGCCACCGCAATAATGGCTCATTCTACCTCATCGTGGTCAGCAAACGCACGGAAGTAGACGGCAAGCGTTACTTGTACTACTTTACACTTACCATCCGCTCACCTGCTGATGCCTATTTACGCATCATATGGGTAGTCTCATCAAAACAATGAGCTTAATCGAGCCGGTGGCAAAATGCGTATAAAGGCAGACCAGCTTGGATCTTTTCTCTACATACATCTTTCCATCGTTCTCTTCAATCTATTTCAATGGCCTGCTCGTAAGTTAATGCATTGTTGCTTCTATCACCGCTCCGACGAAACCACACTAAAACCGGCGATCGTGTCATAGATGTGGTAAAAAGTGTGGATGCGGCTCGGCATGCTCGTGCGGATCAAGCTGCAGTTGTGCCAAAGGCAAGAATTGAAGTCACCAATGAAAATCGATCAACGTTATAGACTAGTGTCAATTAGCGTTTCAACACCTCTCCCCCAACTTTTAAGATAGTACGTAAAGGACAATGAAATTGAAACATGGGCCACCACCCAGTAAACCAGTCTTTCTCGGTCTCACATTTTTTATTGTTTGTTTACATCTTATTGCGCTCTGGTACCTTCCCTTTTGAATCAAAGTGTGGAATATTCAGTGTGACTGAGGTTAAAATTTTTGGGGACATGCCATTCGTCCGTTGGTCAAAACGATGATCAGGCCCGAACATCCTATTTGGAAAGCTTTGGTAGCATCCATCCTCTGAAACCTCCGATACCATGAATAGTGTTGCATTAGGTCAGCTTCGTGTTTGAACTAGGATGAATCAAAGGAATTCAAGAAACTATCAAAGAAACATTTTGAGTCCATGATGTGAACCGACATGATTCGGGACCATGGCTTACTTTTCGCAAATATAAGGTGATAAGAACATTCCACCCGCCGGGTAAAATTTGATTCAACCGTGACGCATGTATGCATGGTAAACCACATGGAGCGTCAGCAGAGTACCTGGACCATGTCGGAGAAGATGTATCCAATGGAACTCTAGGGTGGAGCTTACAAAAGTTGGTCACATGAAATCAGAATTCTCAGCTCTGGCAACTTTGATGTGGGGAGTTTAATTAGATAGAACACTTAGGGTTGCATGAATTGAGTAGATGACGAACTCGTGGTTCTCTCACCTGAGCCACCAAGCATCATTGCTGATAACCAATGAGATTGGTGTTCTTCGATTCATTGGAAATGACATGATAATTTATTGTACTATGACCTTTTTTTGAGTATAGTGCAATTGCATCCAATAACGTACCGCTAGTTTGAACCATTTTTTACTATGACCAGTTTCTCAATTGCACAGCGATTGTGCATTTGTGGGCACGTTGGGCTTGGTCGGACAGTGTATAGGTTGAATTCCAGTTGGTTGTCAGGGTATAAAACGTTAATCATTTTTTTACGTCTTGGAACCTGTGGTGATGTGTCGAAGACAGTGACGCACATTTTTCTGTCTAGTAAATGTAATTCTGGTTACAATCAATGTAGGTAAATATATAAGAAATTGGCACACTGCGTTCTGCACTAAATGAGAAGTCGAGATAATGAAAACCAAGCGAACGACGACTCTTACGTTAGCGAAATGCTATTCAATAAGTGAGGATATTTGCGTTATGGTTTCAATAAGTTTAGAGGCTCAACGGTGAGCCAAAAATACCTGAACACATGTATTGAAATGTACTATACTACAGTCGTTTGACTTACTTTACGGCTTCTGCATATTCCTTGCGCTACAAGATACTTTGTTATGCATGAATTGCTCCGGAGTCACGAGCAGGAACCGTTATTAAAAATAAAAAAATGAAAATCAACGCATCATTACTATAGAGCCGCTGTTATGAACGAGAGACAAATTGTCAAAATCAATGGATGTGCCTGCGCATGCCACATTTTAAGTATTTAATATATTTCAAAAATTGTATAGCTTATTTACATGTTAGATGATTTACATCAGCTCTTGGCAAAGCGTCAATATTAGACGGCTTCAGTTATGAACAAAGATAAAACATTTCACTTCACTAGGTTGTGTGTATCATGGCTTTGCTTGTACCCATTTTTTGTTGAAGCTGAAAAGCTTTGTTTCAGTATACAAATTAGACTACCGTTAGGATTTTAGTCTAAGCGCAAACGAAAAATGGACTCAGCAATCCACAGTGTGCCGACTGGCCAATCGATCAAAGATAGTGCTAGTTTCGCCATTCCTGGTAAAGTTTTGTGAAGCGCAATAGGACGTTTGTAAGGTCCAACGCCGATGACCTGCATTGTGGTCCATGGTACGTGACGTAGAAGAACTGGTGAACGGTCTAGTCCATCTGTCGGGAATAACGCTGTTTTTCACCGACGATCTGAGTGATGATCGTTTGGCTATGACGGAACGGGACCATGGCCGTGGTTTCGCAGACTCTTGATTTTTAGTCTCTAAACTTTGATCCAATGGATGTAGCGGAGCTTGCGTGCATGCATAGGTGTTGATGCCTGAGGGTTTATTCTTTAAGTCCAGATTGATCATGTCCAGTAAAGTGGACTGGTCTTGAAGATCCATGCCAAACGACGATGCTTGGTCATTTAGACTGGCTATTTCTTTGGTTGATTCAAACATTGAATTGCCTCCAAGTGACTCTCGATTTCGGTGACGATTATCTTCCAGCTCACGGCTTGCTTCTGACGATTGTTTCATACTTTGCAAGACCTTGCGAAGGTTTTGAATGGTATAGTCCATCTGTAAGGTTCCCATGTCCCTTGACGACTCGCGGCACTTTAGGATTAAGATTTCCTTGAGCAGAGTCTCTCCCAACACCTTTCCTTCTTCCGCATTTACAGACCGTACAATATTCATAGCTCGATCATATGCTCCTCGTCGATCCAGTAACATGTCATAGTCAGCATCTCCTCGTTGGCTAGACTGTCGACCTTTGGAAGAAGCCACAGCATCTTGGCCAGACTTTGATGTACAGTCCTTGAATTGCTTCTGGTAGCCGTCAATACGATCCTGGATCATCTCTAGCGATTTGGTCAACTCCTCCATCCGAAAGTTTAACTCAATAGTTTTGGTGTCGGCTAGTTGTCCACACGCGTGCATCACGCTTTCAGCTTCTGAAGCCAGCTCTGATCTCTCCATAAAGATCATGTTGCGCTTAACGATTGAAAAGATAAGGGGAGAGTGAGTTACGTTGGGCAAGTTGATTAACAAGAAACATTGATGGACATACCTTGATCAGTAACTGCTTGTATTCTAACGCTCGTTGATCGGCTTGTACATATTGATGCACCATTCTGAAAAAATGACAGCCATTTTTGATCTATCAGCTCGGGTCTTGTGCACATACTACTCGTGTACTGTTATAAACCTACCTCTCTAAACTCTGCCTTTTTCTGTTTGCTCTGGTCTTTGTCGAGACGTCTGATTTTGAATACATTGGCGTCAACGGGCCATTGCTGTTTGCAAAAGCATGTTGGCCGAATTTGGACTTTAGGCTTTCTGGCAACTCTTCACACACAAATCCATTCCGGAACGCGCGGTCGAGGATGGGGGTCATTTGTTTGACTTGGCAAGTAGCATGCATAGCGTCGTCGGATTTTTTTTTCAAGGCAGCTTTGGCCGCTTGTAGATCTTTACTTAGTTTCGTCTTGCTGTCCAATAATTGGTCTCGTTCCAGTTGTATTCTAGCCATCTCGGTATTATGGTCAAGCTCCAGTTTTTTGATTTTCTCGCCTTGTTCTTTAATACAATGTTGAAGTTTCTTCTTTTCTATCTTCATATATTCAATGGTTAATCTATAGTTTTTGCACTGCTTTTCGTTTTTAGCATTGGTAGTCTGCGTGGTTGATAAGCTTTGATTATACTTTCTTCGAAGTTCGTCCATTTCGGCTGCGAGCTTTTTCAATTCTACCTCACGCATGGTGGCGCTTACTGGCATGATGGTTGGCACGTTGGGCTGCTGTAAACTTTGCCTTCGAATTCGCCGGTCAGGAGAGGGGGCTCCTAACCGTCGTTCCTGTTGCAATTCGGCTATTTGATCTTGCAGTGTATGCAGTCTCTCCTCATAATCATTCTTCATGGCAATAAACTCGGCTTGTGACCGCTCAATATGGCTGACCAGTTCTTCTTTGACCAGTAAATCAGATTGTATTTGGTGCAACATTTTACGTTCATGTCTTGACACCGGCTCGTAGTGATAATCAAAGGATTCACCACCACTCAAGCGAACGGATTTGAAAACAGCATTTTCGTCTTTTCTGACAGCTGATTCGGTTATAGCCGCATAGCCACTTGAAGTCACTTTAATTTGGTCAGTCCACTGAGGAACAGTCTAATATATGCCGTATTTAATTAGCGTTGAGTGAGTGGCTGCTTAATTGCTTAGATACTATCCCTTTGTCTTACCAATACATCGAGTCCTTCAAGAATATTACTCTCCCAATCAATGGGTGTGGGAGGTCGCTCTGCCAGCTCGGTCTCCTTGAAGTCGTTGTTAGAACTGCTCCATTTAGGCAGTTGTTCTGTCAAGATTTTTTGTAATCGGGACATCGAACCCACAATGGTGTTCGGTTGCATTTCAGAGTCTGAGGAGGGCGAATATTCGCAAACCATGGCATGTCTCGAATATAAAAAAGAAAGAGTGAGAGCTAGGAGAAGAGTGTACGCCCAATAACATGTGGATAATTTCCTTGGGTATAGGCCAGACCCCTATATCATTCCCCCCTATAAAATGACCCTGCCTTTGCATGGCAGAGGAGTAGGCATGCTGCTATTCCTCCCAATAAGGTTTACCGCATCGGTATTTGGCAGGTATGATGGCGAGGAGTCCCACATTTTTTATCGTATGGAGATGTAGGGCTGTATTATATGGTGCTGGTAACTAGGGAATCATTTTAGCTTCGTAAGCGTACGTTGCTGTATGTGGGTGGCTGGCGGTGGCTCCATGTTTGAGGAAGCAGTAGGATTTCCTGAGGCTGTACTTGCTCGGTTTGAAGATAATAAATAAAACAATCCAGTGCAGCAATGCTGTAATTTGTAGTTAATCGAATTTTATTCAATAAGTACCTAAGCTTTGTTCTATAGAAAATCATATGGGGTCATAGCTTGGAATGTTCCAGTCAGAAGACTGGAGTCTTTCTTTGCCACTCCAAAATCTTTGTGGGCGCGAGCAATAAAAGTCGACATGACGAAATTTTGGACTCGCAATTTCTGGGAAAAAAGACTCAGAGTATTGGCTGTTCCTCAAATGGTACTAGCCATTGCGTACTGAAAACGCAGGCGAGCGCGTATAATTATATTTTTGAGACCACGGTGGTCAGATTGTTTTATTTCTTTTCAACTCTTTTACATCTTTCACCCCATGGACTCTAGTAGTGCTCATGCTCGGAGGTTATCGCTCTCCGTCATAGTCAGAAACTTGATAGCCTACACCGCTGGAACCAGCGATAGTGCAAAAGAGTCACAGCCTACCGCAGTTACGAGTTGTGGTCAATTTGAAGAAAAGTACATATCATTCCCGCCACTAGACGATGCATGCGAAGACACTGCCAATGGGCCTACAGCAAGGATCCGTAGCAACAAACCGATTCCCTGCTAAGAAGATACCTCTTCTCCACTGTACATATTTATGATTTTATTCGAGGCATTTCGTTTGTTTGTTTCTTTTTACCATAGTGTTTTTTTATATTTGTACGGACGGACGCACTAGCCGACGTAAATTCTTTTGAACAACCTGTATTTTTTTTATTTTCTGGACCATCAAATCTCTTTACCTTTATGGATGCAACGCCAGCAGTATATCTGAAATCGCAAGTGTATATACGAAATTAAAAAAAGAAGTATTGTATTTCAGACAATCCAAACATACCGTGACGCCACTCATGGCAGAACTGCAAAATTGCCCATCTCCCGCACTCGGTGTATACGGATGGGGAAAAGTTGACTTCTTGGGTGACATGTGCACAATTCGGTCAACTTTACGCATGATTTTATGATGGCATATGCAAACCATAGTACAAGTGCACAGAAAAAGTCGTACGAAGGATAATATCTCCGCGCACTGGCATTTCAAAATATGCCCTGACAATACACCGCCGTATATCTCCATCAGTTTTCTCCCGCCTCGGTAGTACCATGGCGATTCACGAACCAGCGTGGCCGGTAGTACCACATTGCCATGTCGTCACATATCTGTGTCGCACTTTCAATGTGGAACCAACATCCACCACTTATTCATTCGACTCTGGCCAGCTTCAGAGTTGGTATGACGTTCACATCCTTGTACTAGTCATACCCTCATGGGCTGCTTGGAGGACAGTATGCAAAGATAATTTAGGCGTACGTAACAAACAGCGTCTGGGTGCATATTTTAACCATGAATGACTAATAGAAGGTCGGTTTTTTCTTATTTCTCGTACTTTATATTTGAAGCTAGTGTGAACATGGCCATGTGCTCAGTTTTGCTCAGTAGTTTTTCATTTCACTTTTACGATATTTCTCTAATACCATATGATTATACAAGTATTAACATCTCACCAACAGTACATACCGCACTATTTGTTAGAATACCTACGATCATGGTGTTGGTAGCGATGTGATATATATTCATTTCGTAAACAAATGTGAAGGGAGGTGTATAAAAGGGAGTACTGTGGGGAATGAAATCTGATTTTAGGACATGGTAAGCGACAGCAAAATATCAACTCCAGTTAGATTAGCTGCAAACCACCTGGCAAATGCATCGCTAGAATATAAGGGCTATGACATCAATGCAGGGAAGGGTATAAAATAAAGAAAAAATAAGGTTCATTATGGAAAGATATGGGAAAAAAGAAAGTGAAGGCTTTGTTTACTTCGTTGTGAACCAGCATCTATACAGCCATTGTCTGTTATCCATCAACCGACAGAGTCTGTCTTCTACAAGTAGTAGCAGATCGTGGGCGATCGAAAAAAACTATATCCAAACATACTGGCGGCTGGTGCGTTGTTCAAATGACGCTTTACTGGAAAGAGGGCAGTGTAACACCTTGGGAAACTGATCAAGGATGACCCAAGAAGACGGATAGTAGGATGGATCAAAGCATATCCCATTTCTAAGGTCTATTAGTATCAAGAGCATTGAACGTCTAGGCCAGCCTACGTCTTGAAACAATGGCTCATGGTGGAAAGAGATAAAAACGTGACATCGTTCAGAGTCTACCTCAAAAGATGCTGCAGCTTTTCGGCAACCAAATATGGAACTCTGATTCCAAGCAGACGTTGACGCTTGACCAAAGCGCTTTTTTTTTCTTTTCTTTTTTTTTTTTTTGACTTGAAGCGCTCTTCTCCTTCCTCTTCTCTACAACCGTACTTCACTACCCCACTCAAGCGAACTCGTCATGAATCTTCGGAATAGAGACTATACCCCATCTCAAATCCACTGATCCTGACGTTTTGCTCTGCTTTGTTTCAATCAATTGAATTTCCTTTACCGCTTATTACAGTGTTACTTTTCAGCTTCATAACCGTTTTCGACATTTGAGTCATCGATCTTTCAATACCATTGGCATTTGTTTTTCCTCATTCGTTTCTGCAAATGGGCCAGTTACTTAAACCACAAGAAATAACTCAAGGCGAAAATGATTCTCGGCTGGAAACCAACGAGCTGGCTGGTCAGCTCCAGATTACAACCTTATCTGCCCCGCCGCCCTCTACACCCATTTTCCAAACTGAGTCAGCACGGCACGACCAACAAACCCTCCAGGACATCAGCATAACCTTGAATAACTTGCTACCGAAGCGCCCCATTAAAGATGAAGATGATACAGTTCTGCCTCCACATCCGCCTCCGACGCCACCCACCACCATATGGCTTGAAGACCTACAAGAAGGCGATCAAGAGCTCTGGGAGCTTTTATAAATTTGCAATTTACAAGTGTAAAAATCCCCCCCCCCCCATACTCCCCGTTTCATTTTGTTCCTTTGTCAAACATTGCACACTTCATAATCTTTTTTTCTTTTTGTTTTTCATCAATCCATTACCCGAAATTCAACTAGAACTTGTATTGCTCTCACTTCATTTCAAACTCGTCCACCTCATATATCACTCCATATCCTCTTGTTATATTTTTCAATGCTTTTTATATCCTCTGCTGGGCTACCAGCCCGAGCACTGCAAATGTATATCATTTACAGCATAGTTATTCTGTCCACGACCAGATTTTTACATAGCTTCTCTTCCGTTTTCAACATACATTAAAAAAAAAATTAAAACTTAGACAACGAACGCTGTGATTATTTTTTGACACACGATTTATTTTTGTTTGAGGACACACGATAGTGGTTTGGGATGATTTGGACACACAATGTAGGATAAAGGATAAAAAGAAAAGAAAAAGTTGCATATGAAAAAAGTATAATGGCTTCAAGTTGGATATTCTACAGTACGAATTAAAAGCCAGTGAAAATCAAAGCATTCAGCAAAAATGGGGATACAGAGAAGAGAAAGAAAAAATTATGGGGCGGGGAGGAGAGTCTACTGTGCCAATGCAACAGCAACACTGTAAGCACCGCTATGGCTTATAGACACCTTGACATCCTTGACGCCAGCAGCATCAGCAGCTTGTTTCGCTTCACCTGTCAAGGTGACAACGGGAGCACCATCTTGACTAGCACTGACTTCGATATCAATCAATGGGGCACCGGCTCCTTTGCTTTCAACATGGCCGTAGGACGATAAGGCCTTGAAGACAGCTTCCTTGGCAGACCATCTTCCAGCGAAACTGGCTTGAGGATCAGGACGAGCACGGCAGTATTCAATTTCACTGGCAGTGAAGTTGCGCTCAACGAAGGTATCGTTATCGGTATTCACCGCAGAAGTAAGTTCTACATCAACACCAACACCCTTGTTACCGGCTTGCTGTTGAGCAAGTGATTCCAAAATGTTCTTGGTAGCAGCAACATCACCGGCAATGGGAGCAGAAAGAGCAGTGGACTTGTTATCAAAAGTCCAGGTCTTCTTCTCCTTGTTGTATTGAGCACGAGCGTTGGGGTTCAAGTAAACTTGATGTTCAAGCTCAGCGCTGTACGGAGGCTCATGCTTAACTTGGACAAAGTCGCAAACACCAGTGAGAGAGTCATGGAGGTATCTGTAAGACTTGGCTTGACGTTGGATGTTCTTAACACGGTAAGCATTGTACTCATGTTCTTCCAAAGAAGCAAGAACGTAGTTGGGATGAATGAGCAACATTTCACCACCTGCTTGACCGAAACCGAAGGATTTGAGGAGACCAGCCTTGATACCATCCGTCTGAATGCTCTTGGATGGGTAGACAATATGTTCGAAGTCACGCATGACTTCATCAATGTTATCAGCGTTACGGTTTCCAGGAACGAGACCAGAGTTGATGACTTGAAGCATGCCGTTGGTCATCCAGGCAGCAGCAGGTCCCTTAGGGTGACCAGTGAGATACTTCTGGAACACAGCGAGCAAAGCATTACCCTTGGAACGACCGAGATGAGCAAGTTGGCTGTTGAGCACACGAGATTCATTCTTGTCGTTGGCCTTGGTAGAAGTACCGTGGAAAGAAGCAACATTGATATCATCAATGGTGAGGCCATAGACAGCCAAGGCACCACGAAGAGCAGCAATGTTGGGGTTTTGTTGCCAGAAATTCATGCTCCAGGTGTTAAGAGCTTCCTTCTCTTGACGCTTAGCTTCCTTGTGGATGAAATCAGCACGTTCGGCCAACCATACATCTTCAGAAACTTCGAGTTCACCATTCGCCTTGAGATCCTCCAATTCCTCACGCAACACATCGAATTCGCTTTCGACCCAAGACTTAATTTGAGAACGACGAGCCTTCAATTGACGAGCACGGTACTTGAAGTCCAAAAGAGGAGTCTTGACGTTGCCAGACTTTTCACGAGCAGTGGTAAGGATACCAGCACCAGGAGCAGGAATGGAACGACCCTCCTTGTCAGAGGCAGTGTTGGTCAAAGCAACGATACCATAGATAGGAGCACCAATTTCAATAGCTTGGGAAGCAGACATGAGAATGTGGTTAGCAGCACCGTGAGATTCCATGAAACCGTTACGAGTAGAAGTAGCAGGACGAGACATTTCACGTGGGGTACGACCCTTCTCGAATTCTTCAACAGCGTTAGAAGTAGCCTTCATGTTGGCGAATTCGTAACTAGATTCCTCAGTGATATCTTCAGTACCACCAGCAATCATGATCTTGGCCTTTCCGCTAACGATACTGTCGACGGCCATTTCAACGGAGACGGCAGCAGTAGCACAAGCGTTGACAGGAGTCTTCATAGGACCAGAAGAAGAGAGCAACAACAAGTTGACCCAAGCAGGCATAGTGTTGATGAAAGATTCTTGAAGGATGTCCTTTTGAACGGGTTGATCCAACAGACGATCACGGAAGAGACCACGTTGAGCCTTACCACCACCGACACCAGAACCAGTTACGTTACCAACTTCAGAGACGTGGACGTACTGGTAGAATTCATAAGGATCGGTGATACCAGAAGAAACAAGAGCTTCAACAGTGGAGACCAAGTTGAAGAGAGTGACGGGATCGACTTGATCGATGATGTCCTTGGGAACACCATAACGAGCAGCATCCCAGCCAGTGGGCAAAAGACCAGCAACCAAACGATCGAAACGAAGAGCCTTGGGGATGTAAAGGTTAGCACCCTTACGAAGAATGACAATCCATGATCCAGATTCGGTTTCGTAGGTGTCAGCCTTATCACCATGCTCTTGCTTGAAGTGAGCAGCTTCCTCCTTGGAGCACTCGAAAGGTTCGAGGTCATGATCAACAACAATTTCTTGAAGGAGAGTCTTGTGCTCAGGATTGTAGTTGTTCATCATAGCGGGTTCTATTTTATGGGGAAGACGACGATTATGTGTGAGGCAATGACACTTTTTTCCGCTATTTTTTTTTTTTTAAAAAAAACCGCCATGGGTAACTTACCGATCAAACGAATACCACTGTGTTCCAAGATTTGCTTCTCATACTTGCTCTTGACATCCTTATCTTCGACAGGCTCATTGGTCTTGGCATCAACCCATCCAGCATAAGGAGTACCGTTCTTGAGGTTACCGTTGAAGTGCTTGATGTAACCCATGATCCAGGCCATTTCAATACAGCCTTCAAGAGAGAATGAGCCATAGGCTTCCATCTCCCATCTGGTTCTGGCATTACCCCAAGGAGAGACTTCACCAAAACCGGTGACGACGACAACCTTGTCGAGATCCAACATACCCTTAAGGTGGCTGAGTTGCTTCAAGTTCTCATAAGGCTTAAGCTTGGGGAACTCGAAGGTCATGTTGGCACGAGGAGTGATCTTGTGAGGCTTGTGCTTACGCTCAGCTTCATCACCGAAGGTAACCTTGAAATCAAGGGAGTTGTCAGCATCAATAGCCTTACGAACTTCAGCAGTTTCGCGGATTTGCTGACGAAGGTTGTTGGAGATTTCTTGCAAGTTAGGAATGAAGTGGAGACCACCGTTAAGATCAGCCCAAACAGGTTCGTTCTGGCAAAGCTCGACGATGTCAGGGTGCATGAGACCCAAAATGTTGAAGGACATTTCAACGCTGGAGAAGGTGCGGACACCGAGTTGTTCAATGCCTTCAGCGATTTGGTTGTTGGGGCTCATCAAACCAGTACCACGAGTCCATCTATATATCGGAAAAAAAGCGATGCAAAATAATATATGTTCAGTACGACGTTTTCGCAGCAAACCTCACCATTAAAATCATGACTTACCCAATGACGGCACCAGCAATGACCAAGTATCCAGACCAATCCTCAGAGTACCATCTGTTGAACAAGGTTTCAAGAGAAATCTTGGTTTCACTGTAAAGACCATCGGAACCGAAGGTACCGTGGTTAGGTGAAAGAGGAAGGATGACTTGAGCAGGACGAGTGTCAGAGCCAATGGCTTGCTTGTGAGTCTTGACGTTACCAAGCATGCGAATCAAGTTAGTCAACATCATACGATGAGCGAACTCAGACTTGCTGTCGATGCCATCGATCTGGCGACCGTTCTCAGAGAGAGCGGCGAAGGGAATGATGAAGTCAAGATCCCATCCGAGACCCTTAGGATCGTAGATGTAGTCAATAATAGCATCAACATCTTGCTTAGAACCTTGGTTGAAGGGAACAACCACCAATTGAGATTCCTTGGAACCATGGAATTGGTAAATGCCTTGGAAGTATTCAGTAACTTCACGGCTGAAACGAGAAGTGGTGACAACGACCTTGGCTCCACCAGAGAGCAAGCCCTTCAAGATTTCAGCACCAATAGAGTCTTTACCAGCACCCGTGAGAAGGACACACTTGTTAACAAAGGTAACACCTTCCTCAGCGATCTCGTTCAACACATCAAGATAGGTGGTGGTAAGACGGCTGCTGAATTCCCAACCGCTAGGGTCATGGGGGTTCTTCTTCTTGAGATGCAAGAAGGGAATGGTTTCAGACTTGACAGCCTTAGCAGCAAGCTTCTTGTGCTCAGCGGGACGACCAGAAGAGGACAAACGACGTTGACGACCCTTGGTTTCCTTGATGATGTTGTTGGACATGTTCATGGCACGCAAGACATCGGCATAAAGTTCCTTGACGGCAACCTTACTGCTCTTCTTCATCTTGTGTTGACCACGAATGATCTTGTAAATACGACCAAGGTTTTGTTGAACCTTTTGACGGTTGGAGTATTCAGAGATCTTGCTACCGGTAGCCATATCCTTGACATAGTCAGCAAGCTTTCTGCAACCAGGACGAGGAATTTCCTCATACTTGATATCACCCTTGTCAGACATGGTGGTCTTGGGACCAGTGGGGAAAGTGACTGTAAAAAAAGGTTGGTTAACAAAAATTAAAATCATGTAAAACACAGAGACATCGTTGGAGATCAAAAGCACTTACCATCCTTGTAGACGGGAGAAACAGCCAAAGCTTCAGCGCAGTTCTCAAGAAGAGCTTGACCGAATTCCTTGGCAAGACGGTAAGTCTCACCCTTATCAGCGGCACACTTCTCAACGTTGTAGCGCATGTAGTCGAGCAAAGCGGGATGGGCACGGTTCATGATGTGCAAGCACTTGGCAGTGACCTCACGATCAACAATGGCCAATTCACCAAAGATAATATCGTACCACATCTCCAAAGCATCTTGACGAACCCAGTTCCAGTAAGAATCGTAGCTACGAGCCTTAGCAGGGCTGAAAGCAGGCTTGATACCTTCAGCATAGAAATCACCGTGTTCAACCAACCACAAATCAAGTTCAGCTTGAAGCTTAGCAGTGACCTTCTTCTCTTCATCGTACTTCTTGTCACCCTCACGCAAATCACGTCCGAGGTAACGAGCAAAGATGTTGAGTTGCTGGTAGACCAAAGATTGTTGCTTGGCCTTGAGAGCATCGAATTCCTCGCTGTTGATGACGGCAACAGCAGCGCCGGCAGCTCCAGAAGCACCTCCAGAGGCACCTCCAGCAGTGATAGTGATACCGGTCTTCTTAGCATAGGCTTGTACGACAGTATCGAGCCATGCCTTGGCTTCAGGTTCAGCACCAAGACGAGCAGCAGGCTCCATGGTGAGACCCATCAAGAGGGCACCATCAGTACGACCAGGTCCGAGACCATAGGTGGTAGTGAGGTAAGACTTGGCGTTGTTGAGAGTGAAACCACCAGGCATCTTGGAAGAAATCATCTTTGCGATCAAGCTGCTGCTGTGCTTACCAAGAGCACCAGAGAAAGTTCCGGACAAGGCGGCACCCAGCTCATCAAGAGGGGTTTCTTCAGCCTTCTCAGGAACACCGTTGTTGAATTCCTTTTGAAGATCACCAAGGATTTCGTTCTGAAGAGTAGACTTGCCACCAACAAGGTCCTTGATAGCCTTGGCCAAAGGAACTTCATCGACGGACTTCTTGAGCTTCTGAGCAATGATAACATGAATGACTTCAGTAGCAGTAACTGGAACATCACTAGAAAGATAAATTGAAAAAAAATCAGTTATCGCATACATCAATGAAACAAGTAAAAATTTGGGTCTATAACTTACGTGACAGGAGCAGCTGGGCCAGCACCGGCAGCAGGAGCAGCGGCAGCAACTGGAGCAGCAACTGGAGCAGCAGACGTGGCAGCGGGAGCAGAGCCGGAAGAAGCTGCGGGAGCTTCCTCTTCAACAGCATTCTCGAACATGTAGTAAATCTCCTTGGCATCCTTGGAGAAACACAAGTTGGCACGACGATTGATAAGAGCATCATCATAAGCTTGGTACTTGAGGTTCAAGGTGCGAGAAGCCATGCCGCACAAAGTAGGAGCAGGTCCCAATTCGATAAGACGTTCAACCTTGAAGGTCTTGAACAATTGATCTTGGGTCTCGATCCAGCGGACAGGAGAAGCGAACTGATAAGCCAAAAGTTCAACGAGCAAAGTGTAACCAAGGCGTTGTTGTTGACCGGCAGTAGCATACTTATCATCAGACCATGTCTTGAGGACCTTGCCGAGACGAGGACTGGAAGTCAAGTTGTAAACATTCTCAATGTATTGCTTGCTGGTGCTGAAAGGCACAGCAGTCAAGTTAGGAATGTACTTGGCAGTCAACTGACCAACATTCACATAGGTAGGGTTGATCTTCTTGGCCAAGTAAGTACGGAAAGGTGCGACACCACTCAACAAGAAGGAAGAATGGAAAGGAACATCAATACCGGGAAGAGGGACGGTGGCGTGACCGCGCTCAAGCTTAAGATGACCTTGAGCAGCTTGCTTAGCACGAGCCTTCTCCAAAGCACCGGCAATGATATCGTGCAATTGCTTCTTGACTTCCTCAAGAGGCATGGTCTCCATGAGCTTCTGAAGATCAATCTTGGAAACCTTGAGGTAGTTAAGGACATTGGCAAGAGTGTCCAAGTTGGGCAAGGAACCAGCAGCGACGTATTGCCAGTTTTCAACGTTGAAGTTGACAATTTCAAGGACATCCTTGGATTGGCTGGCAATGGCATCAACAACATAACGAAGGGCAGTATCGTTGAAGGACTTGGCAACACGAGCAGGGTTGACAGCAGCCATACCATAGTTGGAGCGACCTTCCTCGTCACGCTTGACGGCCGATTGCATGGTCATACCACGATAGAACACAACGTCAACCAAGGATTCAATGGGAAGCACATCACCAATGGAAGCAAGAGCAGAGTATTCACCAAGAGAGTGACCGGCAAAAGCGCAGTTAGCTTGGATAAGTTCCTTGGAACGCATGTCTTCGAAACCAGCCTTCTCCATCAAAGTCAAAGCAGGTTGAGTGAATTGGGTGGCAGACAACAAACCGTTAGGAGAACGGAAAGTGTAGAAGGTAGTGCGTTCATTGATGTCAGGGAACAAGGGCAAAGTCTTGGTGGAACCATCTTGTTCAATAACATCGTAGGTCATGCTCATGTAGTTTTGACGAATGGCATTACCCTTGGGTCCACCAAAGTGAACGGTCTTTTCCTTGGGGTTCTGACGAACAATTTCCAAGATAGAGAAACCATAGTTGGTCATGAAATGGCTATCTGCTCTGTCCCAAATATCTTTGGCAACAGGGGAGCTTTCGTACAAAGCCATACCCATACCTTGTTCCTGAGAACCTTGACCAGTGAAGACATAGGCAGTGGTAGGCTGATCAACTTCAGCAGTACCTTCAACAACCTTTTCACCGTTTTGGTTAAGGGTTTCAACCTTCACAATCTTACGGCCATTCTTCATACCAGTGTGAGACAACTTGGTTTCAAGACGGTCGGAGGGAAGAACCATACCAACAAACTTGACGTTGTAGGCAACAACACGTTGAGGAACGTTATCAGCAGCGAAGATTTCAACGAACTTGCGAGTAGAAGCACTAGTCCACATGCCGTGAGTGATAGTACCAGGCAACATGGCCAAGTCAGCAAAGTAAGGGTTGACGTGAATGGGGTTGTAATCGCCAGACACAGTAGCATAGGGCTCGTTGGAAGCAGGAGCATGCACGACAGAAGAATAGACAGCTTCGGCGGGCATGACAGAGTAGCCACCATTTTCAAACTCGGAAGCTTGTTCAATGGGTTGAGCATTGCGCTTGAGGTACTCAAGAACGGGGTTGCCATGGGATTCACCAGCTTCGTATTCAACGGTACCAACTTGGACGATTTCCTTGGTGGAGATTTGCATGGAGACAGTACCAGTGGTGCGAACCTTGGAGTAGACAGTGCGGTCCTTGAAGGACATGTCGCTGTTGAGACGGAAAATGAGAGTAGAACCAGGGCTGAGCTCATAGTTATCCAACTCTTCATTCCATTCAATCCATTCCTTGGAGCGAAGCACAGCAATATCCTTGACAGCATTCAAAGTAAGCTGCATAGGGGTTTCAACGGTGCGTTGGAAAGTGTGTTCGTAGTCCTTGAATTGTCCACGGTACAAGAATTGACTGGTGACTTCAAGAACGGGCTTGCCCTCACGAACAATAGTACCCTTGACTTCGATCATCTTGCCAGATTCAGTGTTGAGAATAGCGTTGATTTGAGCGTAAGTATCAACAACATCGCCTTGCTTGAGAAGTTCGGCACCGTCAACAACGCGGAATCCGTTGGAAAGATGGACCAACTTCAAAAGATCACCATCAATGACCTTGGGGAAGATAGCCTTGATAATGGCCTTCCAACCGACAACGATGGCGAAATCCATGGGGGCGGACAAAATTTGACCACGATCGACATAGATTTCAGCTTGGTTACCGACAGCTTGGCAGAATTCCTTGATGAGTCCAGCATCGACGGTTTCACCAGTGCCGATGAGCTTCTCGTGAACGGGGATGTTCAAGAAGTCGTCATTGGCGGTCAATCCAAACCAAAGCTTGTAGTAGAAGTCCTTAATGCGATCATTGCGACCCTGTAAAAAAAAAAAATAGATCATACCGTCGTTTAGAAAATAAATGCCTCAATACCGTTCCCAATCGCCAATATTGCGGGTTAACTTACCTCCATAACTTCATGGATAGGAGCATAGCCAGTTTCGGGCTTGTAGTTGAAGATCATGGTGAGAGGAACAAGACCATCAGTGCGCTTCTCGAACAAAACAACCTTGATTTGATCCTTCTCAGCGGTGATCTCAATGGAGGTGACCAATTCGTCGCTTTGGCCAGTAGCACTCCAGAGACGCTTGTCTTGAACGATAAGAGAGGTCACCTTTCCGGCAGCCTTCTTAACAGTCACCTGTTGACCAACACGAGGTCTGAACAAACGCTTCATAGGGTTATCAACAAACTTCTTGTCTTGAACGATGAAAGGAGAAGTGATAAGAGCGCGCAACCAGGTGTATTGAGCACCGGCAAGCGTCTCGATCCAGGTTTCTTCAGTGGGAAGCTTGCTCTCGGAATCACCAGAGCTGAAGACTTGGACGTCTTGAGCGTCTTGACCTTGAATCAATCCCTTGGTGACAATTTGGCTACCACCGAGATATTCGATCTCTGGGATCTTGCTATCATCATCGTTGTAGTAACGCTTCTTCAAGCTAGCAATGTGGCTCTCGTAGATTTCACCAAGGATTTCACCAACAGGCTGGTCACTGCGAGTAGCATACTTGACAGCCAAAGGACCTTGCAAAATACAGGTACGCTGGACATCTTGATCGACAACAGCAGCCAAATCCTCAGCTTGCCAAAGGGAATCCTTCTTGAACCAAACATCAAAGTCCTTATCCAAAACAGGAATGAAAGGAACAGGCTTTTGACCGCGGCGTTGGCAAAGAGCAACAAAGTGCAAGACATCCTCTGAAGTCAACAATTGAGTCTCAGCTTCAGGGTAGCTAGCAAGGAAATCGGGAACAAAGTCTTGAGGAACTTCCAATTGAGAGTAGCTCTGCAAAGTGGAAGACTTCTCGGACTTGGTGAAACGTTCTTCAATACGGCGAAGGAAATCACCGACCAAGTTGCGCAAGGTAGGGTCGATCCAGCGGGCTTCGTGCTTGACGTAAACAAGGTCGACCAAACGGTTGACAACTTCAGTGTAAGTCATATCCTGAAGATCAGCAACGGAACCGTCAGCCTTCTTGCCGAACCAAACCTTTTGGAAATCAGCATTGAGACGCTTGATGATATAATCCTTCTTAGCGACAACAACAGGAAGACGCTTCTCCTTGGGAAGGTTGAAAATGGTTTCATCAAACTCCTTCCAGAGACGAACACCACGAGTAGCGATCTTGTGAATGGGTTCACCCAACTCGGAGCGAACGGTGATGACACCACCAGCGGGACCGGCATAAGTCTTTTCCCAGTCATTATCATCAACACCAGTGGCATCAACAATAGCCTGCTTAACATTAGGAGAGGCAAGACCTTCCTTGGAAACCATCATACGAGAACCGAACAAAATACCATCGAAAGGCATGGGAGGGTAGTTGAACTTGAGAGCCCAATCACCAGTGATGTAAGGCAAAGTATCGTCAGCACCACCGAATCCAGAACCAGCCACCAAAACAATGTTGGATTGACGTCGGATAGCGGCGTAGGTTTCGAGAATAGGTTGATGCATGTCTTCGAAAGAGTGATGGCCACCAGCGCGACCACCAGTCCATTGCATAATGACAGGCATGGTGGGGTTGGCAGCAGCAATGGCGATAACTTGACGAATGGTCTCAACACTACCTGGCTTGAATGAAACATGGCGAATACCAGCGGCTTGCAAGTTGGAAAGAATTTCGTTGGCAACATCCAAAGATGGTACACCAGCAGCAACACAGACTCCCTCCATAGGAAGACCCTCCTGACGCATAACCTGAACAAGTGGGTACTGGAATCCCCATTGACGAACGTTGAGGAAAAGAATGTTGAGGGTGATACCTTCACCAGGGTGAGTAAGGTTCATGATCTTATCAACCTTGGATCGGAGCGCCTTCTCATTATAATGACCGCCACCAGCCAATTCGACATGATAGCCAGCATTCATGACAGCAGACACAAACGTTTCGCTAACAGTGGAAGGTGTCATACCGGCCACCATAAGAGGAGCCTTACCGAGAAGGCGAGACATGGGGGTATCGACATGGATGCGACCATTGCTGATAAACAAAAGCGGATGGAACACCGTTTAGCGGAACTGACAAAAAACTTATCTGGACCCCCAAAAAAAAAAAAAAAACCGGTGAACTTACCAAGCAGTGCGAACAAGCTTAGGTTGGAAGACCTTGGCCCAGTTCTGAGAGTACTTGACAGCCTTAATATCGGCGTCGAACAAATCAGCCTTGTAAGACAACTCCTTGTTGTTGCCTTCCAATGCACCTGCCAAAATAATCTGGACACCGGTACCTTCCTTGTTACGGTGGGTAAGACCACCAATACCGGAAGTACCACCTGGACCGAAATCGATAATATGGGTCAAATCAGGCACATTCAAAGCTTGCTCCCAAATAACAGGTCGCGAACAGATCAAGTCGATCAGTTCCTTGGTCAAATCGGCAGACTCGCGAAGGTCGGCGCCTAGCCAAACAAAAAATAAAGTCAGTCACGATAGGAGATTAGAAAAAAAAAAATAACCAACCAAAAACATTTGGTTGCACAGTTGGGATCCCCAAAAACTTTGGGCACTCCATTGCTTTGATTGAATGAGCGTATCGGGTGCTTTGCCCCAAAGTTATCCCCCCCCCCGAATCCTTACCTGTATCTGTAGCGCGAACAGGAATGGCGAGGTCCTTTGCAGAGAATGAAAGGTTGCATCTCTCAATATCCTTGGTGAGAATAGGAGAAACTTGCTCCAAATAGCTGGAATGGAACGGAGCTGTAATGGGCAAGAAACGGGACGAGAATTTGATTTTGCGCTGGCTGAAAGGAACCCTGGATTGCTCCAAGCCGGTTGGTGCCTTTAGCTTTCTCAGGCTGAGATTCAAACCATACAACGACTGTGGTGGACCAGTGCATACAAAGGAACGAGGTCCGTTGTTAAGGGTGAGCTTGATTTGACGATCTGGAGACAAGTGAGAGTTGGTAGCCTCAAGATGCTTCAAAACTTGATCCTCACGCAAGTTGTTGATGGCAAGCATAGGCGTGGGGGTACCTTCGTTGTTGGAGAGCGAGTCTTCCAAAACGGTAGGGTTAAGGGTAGTAGGAGGGAATACTTGTTGAGCACGAGTACCCATCCAGAAAAGAAGACCAAGGGCCTTTCCAGAGTTGACAAAGAACTCTTCCTCAGTGGCAGAAGCGGAAATGACAACCGAAGCAATAACACCTTGACTATGACCAGTAGAGCCTGTGGAAGATAGAGCAGTTTAGATAACCCCTTCCTTCCGTTCAGCGTGGCTGAAACCCCCCACCCGTACTTACCAACAATGTACTTTCTGACTTCCTCAGGAGTGCGTTGAAGAACACGCAACATGACATAGTAGTGAAGAAGTTGAGTCAAACCAATCAATGGGAAACTGACAGGGGCCGAGATAAGGTATTGCAGATCGGGACGGCTCTCGGGAGTCTCCAACCACTTGAGAATATCCAAACCCTTGGAGTGGAAGACGCTGGCTTCTGAGCTACGTGCATGCTCAGACAAAACAGCAGCCATCTTCTCAATGAAAGGCTTCACAAGACCATCATATGTTTCATAAATGTCAGCCATTTCATCAAAGTACTCTTCGATGTTGCCTTGACCACCAAACATTGCGAAAATCTTGGTTTCACCACGACTAGCGGCTGAAAACAAGGCAGACTGAGAAACCGTCAATTGCTTGATATCTTTGGAGTCTTGAAGGGCAAACAAGCCGGAGTAATAGGCGTTGAGGACGATCTTTCGCGAGTCGGTGGTGAGGGCGCGAGTGACGGCGTGAACATCGTTGTTCTTGAGATAACGATTGCAGAAAGATGTGAACAAGTTGCTGGCAACAGAGATGAACTGTTGCTCCTTGGAACTGCGTTGAACGGCAAATCCAAGGAATTTAGCAGCTACCTCAATCTCGGCGGGCTCTTCCTCTTCCGTTTCATCCAAGTGGAACTCCTCCTTGAGTTGTTCAGCAGCCACCCAAATGTTGGTGGGAACCAAGAAGGAAACTTCGGTTTTGCTTTGCTTGATAGACAAAGGGCGAAGTAGTTGAGATTCCATTATAATAGTGCGGGTTCTAGTGTTAGGTGTTGTGGTTGGTGGGGGGAAAATGTAATAAGCGTGTATGTGCGGTGTATAATATCTAGTATGTCAAACTCTTTTGCGATGATGTTGCTTTCGATATAAGGCTTTTGGATGATGAAAATCTCTTCCGGATGGTGTGTGTGTCCGTGTGTGTGTCAGGAAAGAGATTTGTCTATGTCTAGAATGAAAAAGCGGGAAATACAACGGGAACAACGGGAGCACAAGGTCAGACCACAGCAAACCGAGGCCGAATAGCAAGGTGGAAAACTTACCCAAAGAACCAAAGTGGTTTGAAATACAACAAGAGAAAAGAAAGAAAAAGAGTGATAAAAACTAAAAAAGCTATGCTCCGCCCTTTGTATTATTTGATTTGAGAGCGACGATTGTTGGGGAAGACCACAGCAGAAAAAAAAAAAACTGGGACGGAGAAAGGGTTTGTGACAGCTTTCCAATGGTGGGTTAGGGTTATTTGTTCCAAAATTTTTGGGGGACAGGGCTCCATTGGGTGGAAAAGCCAAGCCCAACAATTTGATAGACTCAGACTGAAAATGGCCCCATTCAAATCCCCCTCCTCCAATCCCCCATTTTGAAGGTGAGATACCTATCAACCAACGTTAATGCGACCCAGCCATGTTGAGATAATAAACCTGAATACCATGGTCGGCCGATGGATAAAGAGCAAAGGAGCTCATACAAAACTAACTACATTGTCCTACACACCCAACTTCTTCTAACTTGGCGACAACGTGTTGGAAGCTGACCGGTAAGCTTCGTATGCCCAATAATATTAGACGCTTTATTTTATTTTTTAAAAGTCCATCCATTGTAGTGAAACCCAGCTTGACGTTTATTCCGGCTGCCGTCGTTGGTGACAACGGACGCAGCAAACGTCAAAAAGAAAGGATATTAGTTATCATGGTTGATCGAAGTGACCCGGAAAACCCCATTGGATCCAGCCAATGTGGAAATACTTCGGCCCAACCATTTGATGAGGGCCTTTCTTATGCGCCTAATGTAACTCCGACACCAAAAAATCATTCGAGTTGGCAACGCCTATTATTAAGTAAAGTTTACTTGGTGGTAACAACACTGCTATCATGCAAAAATGTGAGCTATGTGTTTTATGAGTTGATTTGACCGTACAACACGCTGGTTAATTTTTTTCTATGCTAAAACCTGGCAGTAAATCCATGGCATCCATCGATTTCAACCTGATCGCTTTGCTTTATAAAGTATAGAGAACACCATTTGGCATCAGGTAAGCGCAATTGCCGTCCATAGCAGAATTGGGATATATTGAAAAAAAAAAAAAAAAATGGGGATTAAACAGTGCACCGACTTTTCATGGCCCTGACGAGGAACGCCTGTTTGGGAATACAACGTTCGGCAGACACGTCAACCCCCATAACTCCAGTCGACTTGATTTCTAATGGATTTCTAACGATTTCCAATATGTTCTAATATTACAGAAATTGGCTGTCCTCTACCTGGAGAACGGTGGAAAGCGTTTTTATTTCATTCAATCGTCGTCCTCATCAAGTTCGGTTTTGCTTAGGACAGCAAAGAAAAGAGGTCCCCAACCGTCGCTAACATCAGGTAGACAGATCCACCCGTATTTTGTCTTTTCACCAATGGGAAATCGTTTCTTCTTGAACTTGAGCACTTCGCATGCAAACGTGTCCTTTCCTTTCTTTTGCCGCTTTTTGAGTTCTTTCAGTACTTGAGCAATGACACCATCGTTTTCCACGTCACTCAATGAGCATGTAGCGTACAACAGCGTTCCACCAAAGCATAATGCCTCTAGTCCTCGTAGGACAAGTTGAACTTGTCGAGCTGCCATGGTCTTGCTATGGCCCGGCGTCCATTTCAAAAACTCGTCTAAGATGGTAAAATTACCGCTTTCCTCTGCCTTGCTAATGTCATGCAAGAGATGTCGCTCACTTGAACAAGGCGCATCAATCATCACTCTATCGTAAAATTCAGGTGTAAAAGTGTGCGATTTGGTAGCATCGAATCCAGTCACCTTCACGCTCTCACCCCCCTGTGGCGATATCTCTACCAGAGGAGCTGGGAGGTAATCTTTGAGTACATTGCGTAGACGCTTTCTCCGTTCGGGAGAGATCTCGTTACAATGTAAGATGCTGGTCTGTTTGGTTCCGCCGGTGAAAAGTCGTTGACAAAGAGCAATGGATTTACCACCGGGGGCAGAGCACATGTCCAGCACAACATGACCCGGTTCAATGTCCAGTGCCTCGGTGGCCAGGACGGAGGCAGCATCCAAGAGATAATAATTAGTTAGGTTGGTCATATCTTTGCTAGGCGAAGGAAATGGGAGGGGTTCCTTCTTCTTCTCCGTCGCACCACCTTCAGGGACCGTTGTCTTCACCGTAAGACAAGGAACTGACACATAGTCCACGCGCTCAAGATCTCCTTGGACTGAGCCCAATACTTCTGGTAATAGGGACGAATCAGCAAACCGGTTGATCAAGGCAGAATATCGGGTTTGAGCTAGAAGGGCTGGTAAAAGTGAATTGTACCACCGATCATGTCCGTATTGGGTGGCATATTGTTCATAAAATGTGTTTTTAAGTGCCTGCAAACGCTCGTATTGCTTGGCTTTCGCTTTGGCACCTGCTTTTGATTTACTTGACGATCCGCTCGGTAAAGTATCGACAGTGGCGGAATCGAGCTCAGAAAGTGCTAAATCTTCTGCTAGCTTGTCTACAGCCTGATCAACAAAGAGTGGTTGGGCCATCATGATGAGGATTGACGGGCGTGAGGCTGGAAATGTATGTACGAGTTGTGACAATGGCAAGAACTGATAGCGCTCAGGTGTTTGACCTATTACTTTCCAAAAAAAAAAATTGTGACTGACTCAAAGGTTTTTGGCATTCGGTGCCTTACACTTGAAGCTCCGCGATTCAAACGAATTGGACGATATTGATACATTATTTTTTGAGTTATGCTTATAAGGTCTATTCTAATCTATTGTACACTATTCAATAACGCTTGAACATATCTTTTCTCTCGCCAGATAGTATGATTTGATTGTAATTTACAAGTTTTCAGGGCTTTCTGAGGTATCTGTTTCCGAATCCACGGATGTTGGCTTTGGCTTGCGCACTTTGGGTGCTTTAGATGCTTTGGGCGGCTGAGCCAACGTCTCCTTCAAGCAAAGACTATTAAGTGCATCTCCGGTTAATAAAGGATAGACGGATTCCTGTAGCGCCTTCATTTCTGCTTCGGTAAGCTTTCCCAAGACAAAATCCGCAACCACATCAAACGATCGGTCGTCGATATCCTTTGGCGGCCGACCAATACCGATTCGAAGTCGTTTGAAGTCATCTGTACGCAGGTGCTTTGCGACTGATTTGATACCATTGTGACCGTTAGCAGAACCGCCATTTTTCAAAGATACCTTGGCTAACGGTCGTTGTAAATCATCATGAATGACGTACAAATTAGAAAGCGGGACTTTGAGGTCGGCAACTAAGTGGAGATGCATGTAAGCTGCTGTAACATACATTTCAATTGAGTCCTGAAAAATCTTACCTGCTTTTGCCACGCTAGGACCACACACGTTCATCAATAGCCTGGGTTTCAAAAGCGTGATATCCAATTCAGTGGTGACAGAGTTGACTGGATCGGTAGACCGGCTATGCGACTTGTCAGTAACCAAAAATTTTCCGTTTGCGCTGACCGCCTTCCAGTTTCTTTGTAATGTCCATGTCATGTTGAGTTGCTGTGCGATATGGTCCAGAATGACCATACCCACACTATGCCGTGTTAAAGGGTGTGTGTAATTACCCAAGCCGACGATCTGCGTTTGCCAAGAAATATATCAATCATGTTAGTAGGTGATATGAAGGGTCACTAGAAAGGTGTTAAAGGTGCAATTACCAGGATGCGCTTGGTATGCATTTGAAATGGTTGACAAATCAGACCTCAACATAACAACCCACTTTTTTTATGGCTTTTTTGTAAGAGGAAAAAAAAATTGGCCAAAGCGGAAATTGGAATTACTCAGGGCGGCCGCAGCAATACGTTACTGAAACTGCGGCAGCAGGCTCAAAGCGAGTGAAGGATGACAGATCGTAATAAAAAAATATAGGCAAAAATTTATATCAATTAATTGACAGGGAGGTTGAATACTTTTTGTAGTATAATGCGGCAATAAACGTTTAGTTCAAGCTCGTTTACATTCAATATCGCCAATGTATTTGATATGAAGTAATTTCTAGAAAATATCGGCATTGAATGCTTGAAAGGTTTCTTAACAGTGTCTTTTCACCAATCTCATTTTTGTACTTGTTAGATTTATTATTGTCGTTTTACATTGTATTAGTCTCTTTGTTCATGCTAAAAGAAGAAGATCCCATGAAAATAACTCGAATCAACAAGTTTTTGGTAAAGCGATAAAATAAAACAAAATGAAATACAACTAAAAAAAGTATTTATTCGAGAAGCAAAAACTTATTGCCATCTTTTACGCTGCAGTACCAATCATCACTAACTGCGATTGAAAGAACCAAACATTCTATCCATTGCATTACTTTGGGCTGCTTTGGCTAATCCATCAATGTTTAATATCAAGATGTACATAAAAAAAAAGTAAACTATAGAAAAAAATGCCCGCATTGTCTCTAAAAGGGGTATTTATATCAGGAGCATCAACATACATCTGCTGGATTCCTTCACTAAAATCCAACCAACTGTCTCATAGTCTGAGGAATTACAGGAATAGATACAAGAATTACAAAAATGGTTCCAAAAATGACAAAAGATAAAGAAGCGATGGCGGCTGCGCGCGGGTTTGTTCGCAAAAGACTAGCTGTAGAGATGGCGTGTGAGGCGCTCCCCATGGATACGCCAATAGTGACATAGTCATCTTCCTTTACTCGCAAAAGCTTCAATAGGTATGGCCCTAAAATCGTGCCTAGAATGCCGGTCAAAATAACAAAGCAGACCGTAGAATTGGCATCGGCTTCCAACATGGTAGCGACCACCATGGCTAGCGGTGTTGTCACAGACCTAACCAAAAAAAAAAGGGGTTTAAGTTTCAATGTAGTGTTATCAGATCCGTGTCGGGCATTGTGCTTACCGAGGAGCGAGAGAGAGAGATTTGGCGGGTGACACTCCTAAGGCATGAGCAAAGAGAGGCAAGGTGAACAGACTTGCAATAGACATGCAAAGTATAGTTAATAGCATCTCGAATGCCTAGAAAAATCACAGCGCGTTAACAATGTGAGCGTCGTTTTTTTGAGTAAATCGATCATCCCCTGACTTACATGCTTTTTCAGCTCCTTCCTGTATCGGAACATGACGGTTGAAAGACTGATAATGCTGCAATCCAACAACGAGAATAGGACATCGCCAGCTCCAGGTATACGACCTTGAGAAGTCCCCTCCAAAAGAGTTAAATACCTCGCGCCGGTGGAATATTTAGACAGACCCGTCAGCAAGTTGCCTCCTTTGATGGCCTCGGTGACTTCCATACCCAACATGACAATGGCCGAGGCACTAATGATAGGGTGAAGGAAAAAGCGAATACGTTCGGGAACTTGAAGCGCCAGGTAATAGGACAGAATCGTCATGGAAAGATAGAGGGGTAATAAAACGAGCAGGTAAATGGGTGAATCTGTGGATACAGGCAAGTAAATGATGAATGATATCACAAGCATAGTGATATATACAAGATGAGCAATTTTCAAACGCTGCCAAATATATGATGTTGCTCTCTTCCATTTTGATTTGGCAGGTTGTTGCTCAAGTACGCCTTGTGTGGAGGACAGTGCTTCTGATTTATTGTCAACTGTTTCAGAGGGGTTATCTGTAGCATTGAGATGATCATCGTTTGGTAAATTGTATAGGCTTGGAGGACGGCCAAGTTGCAAGTCAGAAATGGATGTAAGTATGGAGGAATCGGTCTTGGTGGGTATACGATTCAATTCAATTTCCTCAATCTGTTGTTCAGTTCCTTCCGTTTCCAATTGAAATTCGCGGTTGACATGCTGTGCTATCTGCTCGGCATCGTCCGTTCTGGCAATATCTTCATCTCGCTTTCGAGATAGGTATTTGAAGGGTGATACTATGCGGAAGGCACGTACGAGCAAGGTGGATGCCGTCACAAAGCAAAGATAGCCTACAACTTTTAGAAGTGAGGCCAAATCAGTATCCTCTTAGAAATAAGGAAAAAAAAAGATCAAATGACTCAAACTTACTAAAGACAACGGCAATTTCACCAACTTCTTTCGCAGTAGGCCGCTCAATTGTAGGCAAGTTCAGGAAGGAAGGCATTAAAAAGATATTGATCCAGCGCAGAACAAATCCAGTGCCGGGCTCAAGAACGGATACCAGCTTGGAAGTTCGTCGAGCATCGAGGCGGTCAAAGATAAGGAGTAAAACGAACAATAACAGCATACTGGCTACACTGGCCGGAAACGACCGCAGAGGTGGAATGTGCTTAAGGACGACATCCACACCCCACATTACGCAAAACAAAGAAACAATGACAAGCGGAACATGACACCAGTCTCTAAAGATTCGTTCCTTGCTCCACTTCATTCCAATGCCGGGGATAGAGAGACTTTGGGTCCTCTAGAATTTGCCCCGACTTATCGGGTAAAGATTTTTGACAGTGAGAGGCAAAGCTCCGACAGTCAAAACAGATGTGGTAGGTAATCAGATGGCCCATCGTTGCCAGAAAATAAAACAATATTTACAAGTTTTTTTAAAACGTCTAGCACAGAAAACAAAAAAGTAATTATCTTAACGCTATTTTGATGTAATCCTTTCGCAAATGTGTGTATAAGGCCACGTTCTCTTCTGTTACCACTGCAACTCGGCAGTGGATTTTTCATTATCGAAGCTGTGGGTCATCGATCCCCTGTAAAGCTCCTTGATCACTTTTCCGCCGATCAGCGATTGGTCTACAATGGCCTCACAGTGGCATGGACTGACTCTGCCATACCATACTCCTCTACGGCCTTCGTTTGTATACAGAATAACGTTTCCAGCAAACTTGTGGCCTGGCGGATAAATGGGTAAGCACATGGTCTAGGTACGGAACAAAATTTCCAACAGCAGTTTTATGCTGGACCAAAAAAAAAAAACCTCACCTCCTATATGACTAACCATAACCAGAGCTGCTCCACCCTCGCCTTCATGTATGTCTCTTTGACGTAATATGTGATCGAACTCTTGAGCGAGGATAGGTGCTGTCACACCGCAACGCTTGTCACGCCGGCGATGCGAGCAGAGAAGGATCATCGACGTATACATATTTTTAACCACAGCGAGTTCAGAGTTGCCTTTCAGATCTGGCATTTCAGTGCTTGCTTGGGTGGGCAGTGGTGTGGCTAAGAAAAGTTCGTAAAATTGGGCAACATTTTTGGTTGTGACATTGGATACCAGAATATTATCAGGAAGTACAACAATATCCGTACTGCCAGGCAGAGTTGAGTGGGTGGCGGTTAAGGAGCTGTTGGTGGTAAGGATCCGGAAAGGAGGGGAAACCTTGTTCAAATGGTCCAGAAGGGCAGCGGTCACCGTGCCCTTATCATCGTCAATATGCGAGGGCCAATCTGATTTTCCTGTAGCGATCAAGACGTGGCGAGCATAGGGTTTAGTAGACCCTAAAAGAGGTGTGGTATTGTCAATCTTGAGGTAAGATGGGAATTGTTTATGGTCATGGCATGGATCCGGGCAGGCAAGACACAATTCCTCTTGGGTTAAAATGTCCTTGGGAGGCAACAAATCGTCTGGTGAAGCAGTACGAGAGATAGCAGTTTTGATTGCTGAGAATATACCAGACATTATGAGTAACCCAAGCAATAGGAAGAACGCAAGTAAAAAGAACCAAGGGTTTGAATATTTCGTCTCTGGAAAAAAATAAAAAAAAATCCCAAATTTGACTGGCACTTTATATTTTATCAGATCTTGTTTATTTAGTAAGGCGTCCCACAGGCGTACAGAAAATCTTGTTGCTGGGGATTTGCAAGGGGTTTCACGGTTAGAGCGCGGTCAATCGGTGGGGTTGAAGAATTGACAATAGAGTTAATTTGCTTGACAAGCGTCAAGTTGTCACAATTAAGAACGCAGCACAGCTCCGGATAACCGCGTTGATGAAGTACCACATCCCCGTCTCTCCGTAATCCCGCAAATTGTTGCAGAATGACGCCACACAATCGCCTCATTGGACGGTCACGGGGTTCCTCAACAAATCCAACCCAATTTCCGTGACTTTGGAGTTTTCGAAAGTTCACCGGTGCTACTGCAAGATCATGACCGCCGTTAAGAAGGCAGCCGATAGCTTAAGTTATCTCAACGATTACTCGGATAGTATGTATAGTTGACACGAAATGGAGGGAGAATTGTGAATTAAATCGACGCTTTTGCATTGTAGCAACAGAAGCTCTTCCGTTGGAGTTACATCGCAATTATACACTCATTCGACAGTTGGATGAAAGCGCAGAAGGTGAGAATATGGTCAATGAGAACTCGTTATTCAGTGGTACTCATGTTTCATCACGCTATGATTAGATCTTATGTCGACCGTAGCAGATGAATGTAAAGTTCTTACCGACAACAAAAAACTCAGCCGAGAAGAGCGATTGGAAAAGCTCAGGAATGTCAGCAGTCTTTTGAATGAGACTGTCAAGCGAGGAGAAGAAAAGTTTGCCTTGGCGAAAAGCACTTATGATACGGTATGTACGATACGATATTATATTCGGGAATACTGTTGGACCACGTCTCACAATGAACCAACTCGCCAAAATAGATTGATCGTCACTGTAGTCGATTGGACAATGATTTGCAAAAGTTTGAAGACGAGCAATTGATCGGGCCGGGTAGAACCAGCATAACACAAGCATCTGCTTCGGAGGATGATCGGGAGACAGGAGGTAGGTGGTTACAGCCGGAGCCAGCATCAGCCAACATGAAATAAACTGACTAAACCATATCTATCTCTCCCCCCTCATAGATAAAAGTAAGCATTCACCACCATTGTGGATATGCGTTGTCTCCGGTATACTGACCATATGTTGCTTTTTCTATAGAACGAAAAGGGAATGTTGAAGGTGCAATCATTCGGTCGTCCCTTACACCAAGAAATGATACAAAAATCTCCAAGAATTATAAAAGCGGACGATCAGGCAATAAGAAGCGGGAGAAGAAGGCAAAGGCAGCTTTGGAAGAAGATCAAGTGGGAACCAGTGGGTTTGGCTTCGGCAGTTCGGCAGAAAATGTGCAAGTGTAAGTAGAGTATGTGTTCGCTCAACTCGATGTTCATCGTTAGCTCAATTTTTGGTTTATCTCAGTGCGGTGGCCATCAGTGATATGCCAGTAGACCCGAATGAGCCAGTGTACTGCTTTTGCCGACAGGTATCCTATGGCGAAATGGTGGCATGTGATAATGACGAGGTATGTAGGTATAGCGGTTATATGAATGACTATGCTACGGACTGACGAGATTTTTTTTGTTATAGTGCGAAATTGAATGGTTTCATTTACCATGTGTGAAGCTGACATCTGTGCCACGGGGCAAATGGTATTGCGACAACTGTGCACCCAAAATGCAAAGCAAGTTGAAGCGGCTGTCTTAAAGCAGAACGTAAAAGGTAGTAGAGTGTGGGGGAAGCGAAAAAAGAGAACACCTCAAAAGAGTCTCCCCCAAAAAGAGGCACATTAGTGAACCTTGCGTGCACTGACAAAAGAGAGTTCACTGTCCAGGTCTGAGCGCTTTGAGCACCGTGAGATTCCTGCTCTTGATTGGACAAGCTGACAATGATACCCGCCCCTCCATTTTAACTCATGACGCCCAAAAAATTATGTATTAATTGCTTCGACCCTCTTCTACTTTTCATATTTGCGGGCCATGGCTTTTGATAAGACAACTTGTCCTCGGTGGAGAAAAGAAGTAGCCTGCTGCAGGCTTTTGAAAAACCACAGCTATTGTAATCTCCGCTCATCTACATTAACTGCATAGACTAGTAGTATTTTGGTGTTGTGTTTATTAAAATCCCAAGTTTTCAACAACGCAAATATCACCCCGTTCCAGATTTTTAGCTACAATGACGTTGCATATGACTTGTAGTGTTTATTTCCATCCGCACGTCGAAAAAAGGGAAAAACACCGTGGGATGGTGGGTGGTGTGATGAATCCGAAAACATCGTCATGCATGACAATTATGACAAGGCACCATTTGCAGTAGTCTTTCACGATTTTTTGACAGATTGGCCTTCTCAACTCGTGGAGGGATAAGCAAGGATGGGGATATTGGAATACGAGAATTTGTGTGTCCGTGCCTCATAGGGCTGATACGTCATGTGTGGAGTCTGTCCTCCCCTCCAAACGAGAAGTGCCAAGTTATTTTGCACTGAGCGATGGAATAGAATTAGGTTCCTAAATAGAAGATATTAAAAAATAATGGGAAGGGCACCCAAGCCAACGTCGAGGTTGAAATGGCCGATAAAGCCAATCTGCAGCTTCTAAGAAGCGATAATCACGGGGAGAGCCAAAATTTGTGACTTCTTGGAGCTTGAATGTCTTCGATTGGCCCTGTTTCAATGCTTTTGAACTTTGATGACTCCACAGAAGAGCCCGCGTGCTTGGGGTTCAACTTTTAGGCCTTTTTGAACGCGCGCCGTTGTCTCTTCTCCCTCCCAAACACTACCCTTTTCCCGTGGTATCGAGTTACCTGCCAGTCCATTGTGACATCCTCTCTAGCCTTCCGATCCCCGCCACTGGTCAGCCATGTCAGAATCGGACCACAGTCGAGATCCAATCATTTCGGAGAAGCCAGTGCTGCCTGCCGAAGACCGACCGAATCCCGTAAGCCGCAACATCCCTATTATTAATGTCACCAGGAATGACTGCATTCCCATCCCTTTTTTATTTTCTAACATTGAGCTTCCGATCCATCCCGCTTACTCAAATAGATGGATCCGTTGTATGATGAATTACTACACCAAGATTTCGAAGACAGCACTTCGGCCGTGGAATTCTGTCGAAACTTAGCGTTTAATGCCGGCTTTACCGTGAAGCAAGAAGCCAGCGCGAACAGAGTAAGTTCTACCAAGTCCATGATTCTTTATTTTGGTGTTTCAATTGGGCTTCTTTGCAAACATGTAGCCCCTCATTTCATGTTTTTTATTTCCAAAGAGGTTTCCAGCACTCGGCCATTTTTTTTTTTTCTTTCTACCCGATTTATCTTGACATTCCAAAGTGTCACTTGTACACAGCAGCATTATATCATGTTCACCCGCGCGCGCATATGTGTGTCTGTGGCGTTTAACTCGTTCTTGCTTGCCACCACGTTTCAGACGGATCCAATTTTGTAGACCGTTTCGCTTTTGTAATTCGGTCCGTGAACCATTTTAGTCTTGTTTGCATTTTGTTCAGCTGGCTCGCCTCCATTTCATTCGTTTCTTCCCTCCCCCCATTTTATTTTTTAATTACCTGTGCCACTAACATCGACTTCTTATTTATAGAATATCTATGTCTATTGTTCTAGGGAGGGAGCTCCAGACTCTCGACGGAATCCTAAAGCACAACGACAGAGAAAACGACCTTCAAAGAGATGCGATTGTCGATGGCGAGTCGTTCTGTATCAAACAGCAAATGAGCGTTATCAGTTCCGTCGTTCGCTGAACCCTAGTGCGTCATGGCACAATCACGAGATGATGCCACAGGAAGAAATGATCAAATATTGGCCTCCAGAGGTCACGGACATGATCATCACCCTTGCCGGACAAAGGATGGCCACAAATGAAATAAGACAACGTGTGCAAACCCGATTTCCCGAAGTACCATGGAATGAACGACGGTTCTATAATCGAATTACAGAAGAGCGGAAACGAACCAGGTACCGCGAAACGACGGATCGTGTCCATCGATTGACCAATTTGTCGGTACGACTTTGCTCCGTTGCGGCTGGCGCCGAAGACATGGCTGTCAAAGTCGAAGCTGAATTGAAAAATATGCTCAAGCAATGTTGTGATTTTCTCAAGGTGTCACCTGAGTCCATTGCTTCTCCTATTGACTTTAACCAGAAAGATAACATCGCCGACGAAATGAGCTCAGCTAGTCCTGGTCCTAAACCTACTAATGCCAAAGTTGCTGGTGATGATGATAAATCAAAGGGGAAAGGAAAAGGAAAAGCAGCCTTGCGACAAACAGCATCCTCTTCTTCGCTGGGAGATGGAGACGATTCGAGTTCCAAAAAACGCAAGCTGAGCGATATCATGCCAAAAGTACCGGAAGGCGTCAAAGGCTCACTGCCTGTTGTGGTTCCGTCTTATACCTTGTATATCAAGAGTGAGACGCTCAAAAAAGCGCCATCGGATTTGCAGCAACTTCCTTCCGAATCTCCTGCTTCTCAAACAATGACCTCACACGATAATATGGAGCTGGATTCTTCTCAGAATGCTGCCTCGGCCACCAGGGCACAAAGACGTTCTAGGACAAGAAATTCGTTGCAAAGTTCATCTCAAGAACATCATTCACCTCACTTACAAGCGCCTCACCTTCCACCTCCCCCCCTTTCACAACCGCTACCCCCACAATCCTTTTCTGGTAGTCATTTATCTCATCCAATGTCCGGCCAGCAGAATCCATACATGTATCATACTTTTCCTGTTCCCGCAGCTGTTCGAGGTGGCGACCCACAACAGTCTTTGGGCAACCAAGATGCAAGATATGGTATGTCATCTCCTATACCGACGTATGGTATGAACCAAGAGTTCTCGAATTATTCTATGCAATCGGCATTTTCATCGCATAGTATGCAATATGGATTTCCACCTGGTTCGAATATACCTCAAGGCTTACATCCCGCTATGATACCTGGTACCGATACCATGCTCCCAGATAAACAGCAGACACCTAATGGCAGGCAAGCCATTGGTGACTCACAACAGATGTATGTCTTTGACGTACAGCATCCATCCAACAACACGCGACAAGAATAATAGATCCTATTCTTTGTGCTTCGTTTTCTTCTACTAATCAACGTTATTATTGGGTCCTTTTTTTTGGAGATTCAGGAGGTTGTAATATACTCGATCTGTGATTGTAAGAGTTGTGTGTACACAGTAATGTACGTTCATAGATGTTTTTTTTCTTCTTTTTAAAAAATTCTTCTCTATTAGTTTTATTATTAAAACGTTAGTACTTTTGTTGGTTATGAAGACTGGGTTTATAGGTGGGTTGATTCGCCGTCTTGGTGCAGGCAATGCGATACAACGGATGCGAGGTGGGGTTTTTTTATCATCCAAGCAGCATATCAGATATTATTACTGCCTCACACATAGTCTGGCGAATTAGAGCACCAACAATATCGTGTTGCGATGTCAAGGGGGGCCAGCCAAAAGTGACTGTTTCAATTTCCGACCGCCCGCCTGTCTGTAAAATGAGTGGGTGCGGGGTGATCAGTACTTCCTTTCCTTCTCGTATCCTGTATGTATCCATCCATCCATCTAGCATGCAGCCGAAACGAGACGCAATCAAAGCAACAGCAAGGGATAGATGATGATGGAAGTGATGGATCAAGAGCTTGACATTCACCAGCCATGAGCCGTCATTTGCCATTCCAACATTGACCATGCTGGCCTTCAATGTTCCATCCTCCCATCCCATCCTTCGTCTCGATTCGGTTCGCACAGCTCAACGCAATATGCATGACTAGAGAATACTGACTCTCTTTTTTCCCCGCCTTCATCCAGTTGTATACATCGTCAGTGAGCAATGTCCAAGTCAAAGAACCACACCAACCACAACCAAAGTGAGTTTCACGCAATCAGCCTACCATTCGCAACCTCCAACTCTAATCATCAATGTAATTTATAGACAAGAAGGCTCACCGTAACGGTATCCACAAGCCCAAGAGCAACAGACATGCCTCACTCAAGGGTGTACGTATTCTATTCCTTTTTTGATGTTTATAATGCCGCATTACGGCATGCAGGCAGCTAACTTTTTATTGATACCTCTTTTCTCACCCCTCTCAATAGGTTGACGCCAAGTTCATCAAGAACCAACGTCATGCCAAGGCTGGTTCTCTCGTTGCCGTCAGAAAGGCCAAAGAAGCCAAGGCTTAAACTGGATTGTTTACCTTGAATAAAACCTCTTTTTCTCACTCCTATGCCTGCCTACATTTAAAATGGACCCCTCATTTCACTTCACAGCGCGTGTCAGGTCAAAATCATCAATGTACGACCATTTTTTTTTGTAATCAACTCCCACAGGGAGTATATATATCTTTGTTATGCCCTTTACACAGATTGTCCTCGGCAACCGTGATAAGTGTTCTAGATAGCACGTTGGAGGGGGGAAAAAAGAAGAGAAATTCGAAAGGAAGAAAAGAAAGGAATAATAAAAAAGTGAGGGGGAGGTGTATGAGAGCAAAAGTTGTACGTGTGTAAACACAATGAAAACCATCAAGACAGAATAAAAAAAAGAGTTTTTCGTTGCTCAGAGCAGGTTCAACCTGCTCTCAAATTACAAAACAAGATATGTAAAATACGACTTGTTCTAATAGGGAATATTCTGTAATGGATGACATGGTTAGACATAGTGTCATGTCTATTGCATGGAGGAGAGACGACTTACGTTGGCATCACAGTGAGCCCTGACATTTTCAAATACCTTGAGCATTTTGCGTCGAGCACCAAGGGCAGCCACGCCTTTAGCAACAAGGTCATCATCGGATAGGTTTACAATATCTTGCCACTTCATAGCTTCAAATACAGAATTGTATTTGTGCAAGCGCAAGCTTCTGAACCACGCGGAGACATCTAGACGTCAAGGTCAGTCAGTATATGGAGACTTCTATCACTGTGTCTCGCCTTTCTTATTTTTCTCAACTCACCTTGTAACAACTCCATATCAACCACCTCGGCGGCCTTCTTGTCCTTGATGGCACGAGAATTTCCTGTGGCAGATGTTCTTCTGCGACGAGTGCCGTTGGAACTGATGACCGAGGTATCGCTATGGTCACTAACGTAGTCAAGGTCGCCTCCGTCTAGGTGGGCATCGGCAGGGTTGAGGAATTGTCCATACGAATGTTGGGCGGCCTGCTTATCTAAACCAGGAACACTCAAATGCTTTCCAGACCACATGCCAAACGAAGAATTGCCAAAGTGGCCAGTGGAGTTGGATGCAGTAGGAGCAGGCGAACCAGAGCGAGAAACCGATCTAGACTGAGAAGCGGATCCGGTAAGAGTAGAACCGCCACCACTACCGGGTGGTGGTTGAGACCCTTTCTCTCTTTCATTCTCTCCAAAGGTGGAATAAAATCCATTGTTAGCTTGCTCATCGCTCTCCGGTACAGTACGCGGAATACCAGCTCCTCTGGACATGGGACGGCGTCGATATCCCTTTGAATCATCGTTCATCATGACGTTGGGTCGAGGATAGCCGAGATTATTGGCCAGCGACCAACTAGCGAGAGCATTCTGAAGATCAACATCAGAAACCGAAGTGGGATGCTCAATGCCAGCATCTCTTTCCGTAAAGCTTGATACAGAAGGGGTCAAGTTCCAAGGCGAATTGGTGGAAAATGGTCGATTGTTCATACCCTTATCCCCAATAGCAGGTGGAATATCACTGTTATACCAGTTGGTAACATCCGCCGACTTGGGTCGACCATTCAAAGAGCGGTCCCCAATATGGCCTACATTGTTGGCATTACGAGGGCGATTGCCATAGGACCAGTCGTTGCCAAGAAGATTGGATGAGAGATCACCACTTTCCACAACGGATCTAGGTCTTGCTCCAAACAGTGGGCTGGCGTGAGCAGACTTGTCATTGGTTTTCAAGTGCGCACGTGAAAGGAGGGATTGGTCGTCCAAAAGGCTAGCAGAAGTATTACCAAAAGTTGAAGGATGGGGTGACAGAAAATCGGTACCAAGTGGGTTAGTGAACAGACGATTGTACTCCTCAGTATCACCGATAGCGAAGGAATGACGGTCCAGAGTTCGACGGCCATGAAGCGTTTCGGGAGGACGACGCGTAACTTGACCAGTCTGATAGGGTAGGACAGATAAAAGCTTTTGACTAGCTTCCTTTTCTGCCTTTGCCATTGCACCGACCATCTGAGCCTGCAGATCTCCTGTACCGAGAGATAGGGTTAATTTTACTTTTTTAAAGGTAGGTATTCATTCCAAGGTTTTACCTTTCTCGGGGTGGGCTGGCGAGAGCATAGCATTCAATGGGTCTTGCGCGTGCATCTGCTGCATGACCGTGGAAAAGAAACGCAGCTGCACTTGCGACGAGTGCTGCAGTAAACTATAGATAGCAGCTGTCCTTTCAGCTTCTGTCAGAGCGCGATACCATTGATCAACATGATGTAGCTCTTCCTTGAAGTTGGGATCAAAGCTAGCGCTTGCCATATCCTCGAGGTTCTTTTCGTACAACTGAAGTTCGTCAAACCATTTGTCCAGGGCCTCGGCTATGAGAAAAAATAAACCAGAGTAAGCAAGCGGCAAAGGGAACAGAATCAAAAGATGCTCAAGATGACAAGTGCCATGTAGGATGAAGAATCCAGTTGCTTTGACTGGGCATGTATCATCACTTACTTTCTGCAGATTGCCTAGTGAAGATTTCTGTCATGGGCCGCGAAGGGCGATGAGATGGATTCATTTGCTGAGACATGTGAGCAAAAGCATTGGCGGTGTCCGCAGATCTGAGAGGCTTTGTGTCGGTGGTTGCGGGCGAATGCGAATGATCCGAGTTGGCTTTGGTATTGTCAGTATCAGAAGCAGGACTTTGCTGTGTTCTAGGGCTCATCAGCGAAAAAGATTCTGACAATGGCCGTGGAAAATTCGACATGAAGCTGAGGATTGCAGTCAAGGAAGAGGGTAAGAAAGAGCTGTGGGTTGGCAGAAATTTTGTTTGCACGTCCAGCCAGCTCAGCTCAGCCAGCCAGCCAGAATAACCGAAATTAACCAAATCGGCCCAAAATTGTTTCAAATTGTCTGTCAGAAAGACCAGAAAAGACTGCTTTATATGAACACGTTTTTTTCCCCCTTCATTGCAAAAGACTTCAATTACTACTACAATTTACTGCTCTTCATAAACTCGCTCCAGTCTGGCTTCTTTTTCTGTGTAAATGACATGATGCCATATGCTGCTTCGGGACTGTTCATCATCTTGACAAACGCCTTTTTTATATGATCCTGCGAGTTCTTGATGTCCGAAGCTCCTTTGCCACCTACTATCCTGACCAATTCCTTGATATCTCGCATCGCTCCAGGCGCCGATTCCTCGAACAAGTCCACATATCGCTGAACCGCTTGATCGAGTTGATCCTCTTCAACCACAGCGCTAAGGCAGTTTTGCTGAAGACATTCTTGAGCCGATACACGACGACCTGTCAACATGTATTCGTTGGCTTTGAATTGACCCACTTCAGGAACAATGTATTGGGAAATCATGGCAGGGATTAGACCTCGCTTGACTTCGGTGAGCGCAATGTAGGAGTTCTTGGTAGCGATACGGACATTGCAAGCGAATAGGAGACCTACTCCGCCGCCCAATGCTGGTCCATTCATACGAGCAATCACAGGCTTGGGGAATTTGTATAGATAGTCGTAAACCTCCATGCCTTTCTCCACGGCAACATCCGGAGATAGATTAGAGCTACCGCCGCCTAAATCCATGCCGGTGCAAAAGTACTTTCCTGCTCCTGTCAAGATAAGTATTCGAATCGTGTCGTCAACTGCTACTTTTTGCAGACTGGCTAGCAAGAGTTCATTCAGTTTGGAGGTAAGGGAGTTACCCCGTTTAGGACGGTTGAGCGTAATAGTAGCGACATGCTTGTCGATTGTCAACACTATTTCGTCCTGTTGAGCCATGAGAAAAAGGATCGAGAAATAAGAGGTCCATTTATTCACATGAAGCCGCCTTTTTATTCAAATAAACTCTCATTGCTCCCCTTTGCCTCACGTGAAATTCGCAGACACCTGGGAAAACCCTGAGATTGCCCGGTTAATCCAAGATACAATGCAGGGAGATGGGTAGGCTATACTATGGTGATGACATTTTTCACATTGGATGCATTCGAATCAGTTGAGCTTGGGGGCTATAGACGCTGCACTCAGGACACAAACTGTGTGAGGAAATGGCGGGCGGCCCCCGTCATTCAAATTTCATGACTTGGGTTTTTTACGTTATTTTTCCATACAAAAATAATACAGGCGAACTGAGCTCATTCCATTCATCCATCAACGTTTTGCGGAAACATCACCATGGCTGCTAGAATCTTGTCCACAGCTCTGTGCGCTTTGCCACGTCAGCGCATTGCCATCACTGCAGGTAAAGAACGTTAGCTTTTCACGCATGGCCACATTTGGACATCCTGGTGGCTAATCCAACACGGTAATTTTCGCTCATGGCTAACATGCTTGCCTTCATTGCCAACAGCCAAACCCCTTGCACTTAAGTCGACATCTCTCCTTGGCCGACAGGCATTTTCCTCTTCGTCTGCTCGCAAAATCGGTATGTGATTTTGTCCATGATTTTCTTGATCATCTCGACTGCTCACACGTTGAAACCCTATTGACCCCACCTTTCTTTTTTTTTTTTCTGATGACAGATATCACCCCTACCGCCGATCCTAACCAGAAATCCGGCAACGACCAACTTCATGAATACGGAAAGTTCATCATGTCGGCTATGCCAAAGTTCGTTCAACAGTTCTCGGTGTACAAGGACGAATTGACCTTGCACATTGCCCCTACGGCCGTTATTCCCGTTATGACTTTCTTGCGTGATCATACTGGTGCTCAATTCAAGTCAGTACAAGACATCACTGGTGTTGATTACCCATCGCGTGATAACCGTTTCGAAGTTGTTTACAACATCTTGTCCGTTCGCTACAATGCCCGTATTCGCGTCAAGACCTATGCCAGCGAAACCTCTGCTGTCCCCTCTGTTGTTCCTATCTTCAGTGCTGCCAACTGGCTTGAACGTGAAACTTATGACATGTATGGTGTCTTCTTCGAGAACCATCCCGATTTGAGAAGAATCTTGACCGATTACGGCTTCGAAGGTCACCCATTGAGAAAGGATTTCCCTCTCACCGGTTATGTTGAAGTCAGATACGATGAGGAGAAGAAGCGTGTTGTTTCTGAGCCTGTTGAACTTGCTCAAGCTTTCCGTAACTTCGAGGGTGCTCTTTCACCATGGGAGCAAGTTGGTAAGTTGTGAAAAAAAAGGAATCATTTCGATCCGGTTGCCATTCTAAACATTGTTCACCACCCCCATAGGCCCTGGCCGAGATGATACTCCATCAAAGCAACTCGCTGAAGGTGAAAAGAAGCAATAGATTCCATTAGTTATAAATACATGTTTTTCCCCCCAAATTTGATGGTTATATTAAAAAAAAAAAAACAATACACAACACGATGGGTTGTTTGCCGCCCCTCTCTCCCCTCCATAGCATCTGAGGGCAAAGAAGTGGGTTTTTAGGTGGCCACTGGAGTGGATCCATCACAGAGATGAACCCACCGTGTCGGCCGTAGACCGTTTAATTGGGTGGAGCCTTTGCGTCAAGTCACCTGAGATCGCGCAAAAAATCCCTCGGTAGCACTTGACCCTCATGCACCCGAACGATATATTGGACATTGGTTGAAATCACATAACATTCACATATTTCTATCTCTCCACCATTTTCTCTTTTCTCTCTTCAACCCTCTATCCCTCATGAACCCTGTATATACAGCCAAGGGCACCCCGCCTAATCCTATATCACCTTGCATCATCTACCTTGGTGCTGCGTCCACCCTCTGTATTCTAATCATCCTGGCTTATCATCGCTACCATATACACCGAACCGATGCAGCTCTCGACATATCAACACGATCCTACACATTTTATGAATACAATCGCCCGCCACGGTTACAAATCACTCGCTCATCCTACGGAGCAACCAAAGAAACTGTACAGCCGCCATCACCGGAAAGGGTGGTGGAGTGGATTAAAACGCGAGACAAGATGCTAAGCAAGTACGCTGCAGTAGAAAGCATGGTGTAGGTAGATGACTTTGTCTGTATGTTATTTCAGCTGAAAATGTTTTGATATTTCTCATTCACTGGCTGGCACATACAATTCTGCAAACAATAAAAGAAAAAATGACAGACAGAAAGAAAATTTTCGATTCACAGATAATCTCCAGCAACATCAAAGTTCTGGCCCACTGTATTATTTTTATGTTTCTTTATATTCGTTTTGATAATATGCAAGTATGTATGTAGACAGCGAAACTTGAAACAGGTTTATAACCCCTGCTACAAGCATTATAAGTCTACTCAAACGTTCTTGATCGTCTGTGGAATGGTTTGCCGATGGAGAAATGCAGCAGCCAAGCAGAATCTGATCTTATATGTATCAAAGAAAAATTTTGGGGCTGCCGGCCAACTCGTCCTTTTGTACTGTTTGATGGCTGGGATTCAAAAAAAAACAGATCCCAAACACGAGTTAAAAAATTTTTTTTGTCAGGCAGGCCAATGTACGCTTTCAAAAATTTCGGTCAATCAATGTTTAACAAAAAAAGTTCGGTTGAGTTTATAACAATATTGTTTGCACGCAAACATATTAATGTGTGGAGGATTAATTGGGGGAGAAGCGTTGAAGAGAAAAAGTGTGTATAGGTGTGTTTTGTTTTGACGTTAGGGTCAGAAATGTTACAACATTTTTTTGGGGGATTGAAAAGGTATTAAAAAATGGTTTGGTTACAACAAAGAAAAAGAACAGATGCAGTGTGGAAAAAACGAAACGGTAAAATGCCTTTGTACAAGAAAAGGGGATGCAATGATAATTACACATTGGAAAGATTGGGTTGGTAACAATGTCGGTATTTGCTTCGAGGAGTCCTTGGAGCTGGTATGGTTACCGAGCGCTAAAGGCAACATTGTCTTGTGACCTCCATGTTTCCCGAAGTTGCTGTTGTTGCAGGTATAAAGCTTTTTCTTGGTTACTTCGACCAAGGTGAACCAGCTGCTCGTATGGCTTGCGTGGTGGAGGGAATGGGCCATCAGTAATGAAAGAGAAGGCATCAGCCAAAGCCTTGCCGAGGAGAACCAGCGACTTTCTGTTTCTCCTCTTCCGCTTTTGCTCGATCTCGGTGGGCTCTTGGGTAGTTGGTACCTCACTACTCTCGACGCTCATCGCATTATGCATAGCGTCCGAAGGCATTGATAGCCTTGACCGGACACTGGTATTAGGGGAATCCTCTAACATGATTTCCTGATGTAGTGGCGATGAACGAGTCTCCATCAGTTTTCCAGGTCTGTTTGATGGTGAGTTTATGTTCTGGCTCAAAGCGTATTGTTGACGCTTCTCAGCTATGGCCTCCATGAGTGCGTCTCGGGTGTCTTTGACAGTGAGTGGAGGGGCCGGTGAGGTCGTCCTTTTAGCTACAAGCTGCTTGGGTGGCGGTGATGGTATAGCTGTGTCGAAAAGAGACTCAGGAGGAGTCTTTTCTTTGGGAATTATTTGGTACGGCTTGAGCCACGGATGGAAGATGATTAAATCAAGTGATGCTCTCGTCAGATCGGGCGCTAACAGGCGTCTCAGTAAATCCTTGACATCTATTGCAAATACCGTCAGTTGTTTGAATGTGAAACATGCTATGCACCCCCCCGCGCACCACCCGATACATACTGTCTGAATACTCGTCCGGTATCGTGAAATCAGCTGTCAACATTTTTCGGAACAACTGTTTGTCGTTAGGAGCTGAGAAAGGATATCGTCCTATCAGCATTTTGAACAAAGATATGCCGAGAACCCAAACATCAACTTGATTGCTGATGTATTTTCGGTGAGATATGATCTAAGTGGAATGGTGTTAGCAATGTCAAAATGCGTAGGGGGAGGGCGGAACAGATAGGGAGGTTTGCTTACCTCTGGGGCAATATATTGTACATTGCTGAACGAGGCAATAACATGAGTATTTTGGATCATTTTTACTATCGCAAAGCATCTCCATCGATCCTGATGGCACTTACCCTTGGAATCGTCTATATTCTCCTTCATCGTCCTCGTCAAACTTGAATTTAACCCATTCAACGTTGTCTTCTTGATTGAACAAAACCTCCATTTCTCGCGGAGGTCTTTGCAAATTTTGCTGCTTTCTAGCATATGGCGGGTTATCCAAAATAGCTGATGAAGTAGCATCCACATGACCGAGCAATTCGATTTGCTCTTGCTGCTGCTGGAACTTGTATGCAGCATGCAGCATTTTGGCAAATTTTCGTTTGCATTCCTTTTCGTTACCTATGAGTACAGGTTTGAATTGGGGCTCTAGTGATTTCTTTGGTGAGGTTGAAGATGGCGAAACAGGACTGGTTGTTGTAGTAGTGGTGCTATCTTCCGTCTCGGGAAGAATATCATCATCCTCCAGATCATCGGAATGGACTTCATCTTCTTCAGGGATAGTATACAGAAAATCCTCAATCGAGCCTGTAGAAGCTCTCTGTCGCGTAGTTGGCGGTGGGCGCTATTTTCATGTAGGGGAAAAAAAAAGGCGGGTTAGTGGAAGGCAACTCTACCCAACTTGTCAGATTTTTAAAGGGGTTACTTACTTTAAACAGGTCACTCATATCTGCTGGCAAGTTCTGTACAACTTTGACAGCATGAGAAAAGCCAACTCGTCTGGATGCACTAACCGCTGGTAATGGAGGTTCCATAGGAGACAAATTTCGCCAATCTCGGTTGGATGAAACGATACGAGAGTGATCTTTGACTGAACTTGCTTCTGCAATATGCCTGAAGAAGGCCTGCCTTCGACTTTTACGATTGGGCTTTTCAGATGATGACTCCTCATGTTGTGAACGATGGCTGATTTGTTTTGCAAAATTGGTCAACGCGTGCACTGGACGTTGAAAAAAATTAGGCATACTATATCATGAAAAAGGAGAGACTATATAGTGGAGGGGCAACGTATCAAGCCGCAAATGATGAAGATGAAGAAGAAGAAACAGAAGTGAGTGGTTGGTGCTCTTCAGTCAACGAGCGCTACCAGTGCTACGGCGAGCAAGAAGGTAGAGAAGAAAGGAAGAAAAGCTGGGTGGGAAGGGGGGGGGGATTTCCCATCTTTACGCTGTTGTTGTGCGAGTCCGGACGACGGAGATGGTTTCCGAGTGTACAAGCATGTGCTACGAAGGCATTAATTGAGCCTCAAGCAATAAGAAAAAAGGTGCCTTCACTGATATGCAGCCTTTTTCAGCCAAAACGTGCTGATGGTGCATCGAGAAGGGCTGCTTGAGATTTTCACTTGCGGATGACAAAGGTAACCAGCCAGCCGTACAGTTCAAGCCTTTGTGCGACATTTGATTTGGTGCATAGCACAAAAAGGATCTTTTTATATCGTCGTATTGGTGCCGATGCGGTGATCGTCAGCATGCGCGAATACCTAAGAAAAATCAGGGATCGAACGAACACCATACCTAACCCGAGACATTTTTGGGGGGATCAATGCGTTCACGTTGACAAGCTTCCCCCAAATGCCTGAACAAAACATCCGTTTTTTCACAGACAATGGCTTCATCCTTTCCATGCCGCGGTATATAGATTGTGTGTAGTATTTTTTTTTTCTATTCAGGTTTTGTAAAAACAATGAGCAATACAAAAAGTTATATTTGAGTAATCAAAGCAAAATGCTTTCGATTTTTTTAGTGACCAGCAGCTTCAGCATGACCAGCCTTGGAAAGAAGGTACTCGTGGCGAGCGGTAGCCCAGGTGTAGATTCCGTAACCGATACCGAAGGCGACACCAATGTAGGGAATTTGAGCAGAGACTCTGCGAGAGGTGTTGAAGATCATGGCGCGAGAAACACCGGCGAAAGGCTTTTGTTCGAAGGGTGAAAGGGCGTAAGTAGTGATACCCTGATAGAGAGAACATTGGTGATTAGTACAACGATTTGAGGGTCATGACCAATTGCACATGAAATGCTTGCTCACCTTTTGCTTGGGACCACCCATGTTACCCCACCAGCCTATGTAGAGCAAAATCAGTTAATAAACACAATGCGAGAGCTCTTCATAGTTGATATATGTCGAAGGACGTACCCATATATCCGTGACCACCCATTATATGATACAATCTGTTAGTTGAGAGTTTATAGAGAGTGTTTGATGTTTGGAGACGGCTGGTGTAAATACACCTTTGGCGACGTCATCAAATTTTGGACGTGGGCTGTGATTGGGTGGGCCACTGTCGCTTTATCCCAGCACTGAGAAATCTTTTTTTCTTGTTAGAGCAAAGAGAGAAAGAAAATGAGGTTCATACTTTTAAATAATTAGGGGCCAATCTGCCTTCAAAATGTTTAATGGCTTTCAATGTACCTTATCTGCTCTCACTTCCTATAGGCTATCTCAGAATTTACGACAGTGAACAAAGGATTGTGAGACCTGAGAACAACTCGGTGGATTATGATATGTATTGTATGGCATGGCTGCGATTAGCCTGTATGCAAAACGATGCTCTGGAGCTTTTCATAAGAAGTAAAAAATAGAAAACGATTGAAGCAAGCAACTAAATGTGGTAAATAGCCCATTCCATAAGCCTTATTCAGCGGTCTACTGCATTGTAGGTTATTCATAATATCATGCCGATTACAAGGCGAATAAATCAAATCCAGATATCATGCAGGCATATATATTTTTAATCCCAAAGAATATTATGCCAAGTCGAACACACTCATGTAATTTTAGAAAAAGCTCCAATTGTCCCTATGCCGAAAGACTTGATGATCAGGGATACTGATAGGAGCGTGGCGACAGAGAACTACTTCTACTCATCAAAAAGTGCACAGCCCACTCTACCCATTGTATCATCTTTGTTCTATTTTACTTAATGTCACAACACATTTGTATGCTGAGCCCAAACATCACAAAAAGTTTAATTTCTATGTGTTTGTTTGTTGACACATCTGAAAACGTCCATTACAGCATTGCTGGTATTTTGGGATCGAATGCTGAAATCCAAGGTACCGCTAAAGCAAGATGCAGGGATTAAGGTATAATAAGCTGAGGTGATGTTTCAAGGCTAGGATTTCAATAACAATAGAATGCATAGGGACAGCAGTCAGCCATCACGTTTTCCTTTATCTGGTGAATATGGCAAGAGGTGTTTTCTGAGCCCAAAGCAAACCACAGTTGAAAACATCATTGTTTCATCATGGGGTTTTAGATGTAGTATGGCCGATCTTTTTTGATCTCTCTACCTTACCACACGGAGGTGTAATAGCAAGGGGATAAGTGAGTGTAGGTAGGTACGATTTTTACAGGCCGATCAAATTGGGTTTGGTGCGACGGGCCCGTTGCGGATAATGGCTTATCACTCAGTTCGGGCTCTCGCTCCAGGTAAGCCATTTCAACAGTTTTTTCCCGATCGACTAGTTACACTATCTTTCTTTACCTCTCTTCTTCGCAAAAAGCGCTTTTTATTAAGGTAACTAGCAAGTGTGCTGGATAGACAATGATAGGGAGATGGTGTGTGATGCTAGTTGCTCATAGCATCTACATTGAAGAGCCACCCCTTGATTAGTATGATATTGTTATTAAATGTCTCACAGCCTCCTCGTGCATTTCCCCCCTTCGATATTTTTATATCCAGGCACTCCAGCACTTTTTAATACCTGGAATCTCGACCTACTTTCTCCTCTCCTTCAATTCTTTACAATCAGAAAGCTGAAATGACTGTTAGACTTTCATCTCTCGATGCCGGCTCAGTCTGGCTTACGCTCTACTTCATCCTCAACTTATCACTCACGCTATTCAACAAGGCTATTTTGAACGACTTTGGTTTTCCATGGACTTTGACCGCCATTCATACATTGTGTGGAGCTATAGGAAGTTATTCTCTTTACCTTGCCGGAGTCTTCACCCCGGCCAAACTTGGCGACCATGAGAATATGGTCATGGTTTTGTTCTCGGTTCTCTATACTTTCAATATTGCTATCAGCAATGTTTCTCTGTAAGTTATTTGGGGAATTATTTTTCTTTTTGAAAGCCCCACTCTAACCCTATCCTCGTTCATAGCAAGTTGGTGTCTGTACCGGTACGCATCGATGTTGAAATATTTGTCTAATTTAAACGAACCCAGTAGCGCTAAACCTAACTAATTTTACAGTTCCATCAAGTGGTCCGAGCCATGACCCCCGCTTTCACTATCGCGTTATCCATCATGTTTTTACAAAAGAGCTACTCTAAAATGGTTTACTTGTCACTTGTGCCGGTAGGGAAACTTGGTTTTAAAACAAGATCGTAGATATATGCGATAGCTCATCTGACATGTTGTTATTATTATGCTAGGTGGTTGCCGGCGTTGCATTTGCCACGCGTGGCGAATACGATTACACCTTTATCGGATTCCTTCTCACCGTACTTGGAACCATTCTCGCTGCTATCAAAACTATTGTCACCAACCGAGTTCAAGTCGGCAGACTCAAGCTACACCCATTGGACTTGCTACTCAGAATGAGTCCCTTAGCCTGTATTCAGACTATCATTTATGCTCAGCTGACTGGAGAGATGAGCGCCGTTCGGGAATTCGCCGCCGAAAACATGTCGACCAACATGCTTTTTGGCCTATTAGCAAACGGCGCCGTTGCTTTCTTGCTTAATGTTGTTAGTTTCACTGCCAACAAGAAGACCAGTGCCCTTACCATGACAGTTGCTGGTAAGTGAACACATCAGATGCGAAATGTTTTGGGTTAAATATAGAAATAGCTCCCAAAAAAAAATCCCACTAATTCGAACCAACTTCATTTTTTTTACTTGTTTTCAGGTAACGTAAAGCAAGTCTTGACCATTGTCCTTTCTGTTGTCATTTTCAACCTCCGTATCACTCCGCTAAACGGTGTTGGTATTCTCTTGACATTGGCTGGAGGAGCTTGGTATACGTGAGTATTTTTCATTTTAGGCGATTCGGCTTTTTATAAATATATATCGTATTTTTCTTGGCAATGACTTAATGTTTATCCGATACATAGGCATGTCGAGATGACCCAAAAGTCTAAGCAACAGTCTCCTGTACTGCCCACCACTATGACGAAACCCGAAGATGAAGCCTTATTAGATCTGGACTATAACGAGAAGAAGCACGAAGAGGATCAAAAATAAAGGAAAAAAGACGCCGCCCGCAGGACAAGAAAGAACTGATCAAAACAAAAATGAAACTCTCCATATTTTGCATCCGCCTTTCCTTGCCCAACCCCATATTAACTTGCAACCAGTTTCTTTCGTCTTTTTTTTCTTCCTGTGCGTTGTTGTCTTTTTTCCATTGACCTCAGAATCTCCCTTCCCACTATTTGCTCTTTCCTTGTTATACCCTCCCGATCTCAACCTCCAATCGAAAGAACGGAGCTATGTAATTTTGTTTTTGCTTTGCTTAAGTAGGTTTGTGTTACAATCGTGTACAAGTTCCTTCCATGCCAAATAGACAATGGTTTTATAACATTCCACCCGCCTGCCTTTGCCATTTCAACATCTGTGGATTGAGAAGAGATAATATCTGTTACAGTGCAAAGATTTATTTAAAATGGAAAATAAGTGCGTCGATAGAATACAAAATATGACAATGCGATTAATTGAGAGGTATTTTTCTTTCATTTAGTAGGAGTTGACTCCTTTTCTAGTAGGTCAGTTGTAACCTCTGAATTCTAGTTATTTGACGAGGACATTTCGCAATAACCAAACGAAATATAAAGAAAAATGTGATTTAACGACGTGGCTTACGGAACAACCAGACGAAGAACACGAAGGCGACGATGTTGAACAGGCAGAAAGCGCAAACAATGCCAAAGTCTCTCCAGCGGTTGTTGTAGTCCCATCCGATAGTTTGAGAGTAGAAGTCACTACCATCACTGTACTGACAAACCTTGCAGCTAGTGGTATCGTCGGGGTTGGCAACATAACCGGGAGCTGATTGGAAGTAAGGTGCAAGATATTGTCCGCAAGATTGGCCAGGTGGTGGGATGAGAGTGAACAAGTCATTCTCGTCACAAACAACCTTGACACCATATAGAGCATTGACGACTAGTCCTTCAATAGCGTAATGATATGGATCTAAAGGAAGAACATTAGAATCGATGTTATCTGTAGTTTAAAACAAGATGGAAACTTAGCCTTACCTAGCCAATACATCCATGAACTCCAGAAGTGTGGCATAGCAGATGGGGGCTGAACAATACCAGCGAACAAGATAAGGATGGAAGTAAAGAATGGATTGATGACAGCAGCCATGGTAGGAGTTGAGGAGAATGAAGCAATGGCGAAACCCAATGAGACAGCCAAAAACAAGAAGACGACAAACAAGATGTAGAAATAGCCAATACGTTCAGAGCCTGTGGGAAGTCCTGCGGTCCAGTAGAAACAGAACATGAAGATAGCGGCCAGGACAATGATGTAGGGGATTTCAACGAAAAGACAGGTCAACGCAAATGGACCCCAACTGTAATACTTGGAGGCATATTCACGACGGAACCATTGCCGTTCTTGCATGAAACGAGGTTGAGCCAGAATAATAAGGGAGTTAGACATGATAAGACTGGTGAAGACACAGAACATTCGGTTTTGCATATCCGAAGCAGTGTTTCCAAGCTTCCAGAAAGAGAAACCAGAAATCAGACCACAGAAGCAAACATTGAAGAAACGACCAACGTTGTACGTAGGGGATCTCCACCATGAGACGTTCATGCGCTTGTAAACCAACCAGAATTGACCCCAGAAATTCAAAGAGTAAGCCGAGACATGATGCTTAGCGTGTTGATCAACAGCTCCGTGGATGTCTTCCAATTCTTGTTCAATAGCCTTGGATTCAGGTGAATCAGCCCATACATCGGCCCAATCCTTGGTGGCTTTTCCAGCAGTACCAGCACCGACAACTTCAAGAATGTATTCAGCAGGATTAGCACTAGGGGAGCACTTGGGACCACCATGACCTTCGAAATATTGAATCATAGTTTGGGAATCAGCACCAATTTCACCGAAGTAAGCAGTACGTCCACCACGGACCAAAAGGAGCAAGTGGTCGAATTGTTCAAAGAGAGTAGCGGAAGGTTGATGGATGGTACAGAGCACGGGCCAACCAGCATCGGCAAGCTTGCGAATGAAGCGGACAATGTTGTAGGAAGATTGAGCATCGAGACCAGAAGTGGGTTCATCCAAGAAAAGAAGCTTAGGCTTTCCAACCAATTCGACACCAATAGTAAGACGCTTGCGTTCTTCAACAGAGATACCAACACCAGATTCAATATCACCAATGAGAGCATCGGCAATCTTTTCCATTTCCATAAGCTTAAGAATTTGTTCGACATACGCATCCTTTTCAGCCTTTGGAACGTTAGCGGGTTGACGGAGATAAGCAGAGAATTTGAGAGCTTCACGAACGGTAGCATTAGGAGAATGCACGTCCATCTGTTCACAGTAGCCAGTAGTACGTTCAAAGTCAGGACCGAGGGTTTCACCATTGATGTAAATGCGTCCATCAATCTTTCCGATGGTCTTGCGCTTGGCCAAGACGTCCAGAAGAGTAGTTTTACCAGCACCAGAAGATCCCATAAGGGCAGTCAAATGTCCAGGTTTGACAAAACCACCGATATCGTTCAAAAGCTGACGAGTTCCGCCCTTGACAGGGACAGTGTAGTTCATATGATGCCAAGAGAAAGTAGTACCATCGGCCACGTTCTGCATAGAGTCATCAACCGCTTCTTCTTGCTTAGTAGTGGCCTTTAGATCATCCTCTTCGGAAGCTTCAACAGGAGCTTTACCCTTCTTGTAGACCTTGGTAAGTGAGCCTTCCTTTACGAGATCAACATATTCCATAGCAAGAGCAGTCATAGCAGTAAACAAGACGAAGAAGCCAATGACAGCGACAAAGTCGATCCAACGTTGCCATGTTTCGTAACCATAAGTAGCGGACAAGTAGTTATCACCCAAATCGTAGGTGTCACCAGGTTGAGCACCCTTGATGGTACAAGTACGGTATCTAGGGTCGTCATAACCAGGTCCGAAAGGAATGGAACTGCCGAAAGATTCGCAAGTATAATGCTGACCAGTCATTTCGTTCGAAATCAAAGCCTTGTAACCGTAAGCAATAGGGTTGATCCAGTAAATCCAGAAGAGCCAAGGATGCATGAGATTGTAAGGAATCTGGTAACCAGAGTACACCAAGAATGCAATCAAGAAGATACTGGATAACTGAGAGGCAGTAAAGAAATTGGGCGAAACGGAACCGAAGAAGCGGAAAAATCCGTTCATACACATGTTGGTCACGATCAAGATGATCATGAAAGTGAAGTACTTTCCAGCAGTCAAATCCAAGCCAACCATGAAGTAGACACAAAGTTGAAAGATAATAACTTGAATGACAGCGAGAGGGAAATCGGCAATAACCTGAGAGATGTAGAAAGCGGATGGATGATACAGTGCAAATGACTTGTGCTTTTCCAAGACACGGCGGCCTTGCATGAAAGTAGCCAATTCAGATTGAGCAATAAGAGCATTGAACAAGAGACAGAAGAAAAGAACACCACCACGAGAGAAAGCACCGACAGCAGTAAGCTGAAGTTGGTAAAAGACAGATGCCATAATAAGACCTTTGACAATGACACCACCATATCGAGAAATCAAGGATCCCTTATCACCTGTATGAAGAGAAGGTTTGGTTTATAATTAGGAATCATACCAAATATTGAAATGAAAGATAATCGAGTAATGGAAACTTACCCCAAATAAGCTGGAATTGACGGATGGTAAGAGCCTTGACTTGCTGAATGTAAGTAGCGGTGTAAGGAGACTTGTGTGGAGCATGCTTCTGATGAGCTTCCTTCATAGCCACTCTGAAAACTTCAGCGGGATTTTCCTTTTCAATCTTGGCTTCGTAGTCAACTAATTCAGCTTCCATGTTCTTGAACAATTGAGACTCCTTGTATGCGCGCTCAAATTGAACTGAATTCTGAGGAACATTTCTTTCTTGACCTGGAACAGTTTGACGTTCAAGCATGTTACAAAGACCAGTCAAAAAATCAGGAGTGGATTTGCGATCTGGGCAGTAGAAACCCATTTCTTGGAAGTAGGGTTTAGCCTGTGCCGTGGGACCGAAGTAGATGCAACGTCCTTCATCGAGAACCATGACCTTGTCAAACAAGTTGAAAATACTATCAGATGCTTGATATAAAGTAGCAACGGTAGTCTTGTGTAGAATGTCGGTCATGATACGAAGAGATCGAACATAATCGAGAGCGGATGAGGCATCCAAACCGCGAGTGGAGCAATCCCAGCAGTTGATGGTGGAACGCGTGGTCATCTGTTCAGCAATGGAAAGACGTTTGCGTTCACCACCGGAAAGACCACGGACGAAAGCGTTACCGACCAATGTGTCCATTTGTTTAGTAAGACCAAGCATATTTCCTAGCATGTAAATAACCTTGTTGACGAATTCACTCTTGGATTCTGATGGCAAACGCTTTCCAGGAGCCTTGGTACGGAGAGCAAACTCAAGAGTTTGCTTGGTGGTCAAAGTAGGATAGTTGATATCCTCTTCTTCGTTGTAACAGACTTCACCTCTATAATGCTTGCCGAATTCCTTAGCTTCGATACCACCGTAGGTGATTTCGCCTTCGATGGAAGTAAAGGAGGCTCGCATGTTGGCGAGGACTCGAAGCAGAGTTGTGCATCCAGCACCGGGACGACCGAGAACGAGAAGCATTTCTCCATCCTTGCAGAAACCAGTGATATCGTTGAGAATGGTACGGTCAGTTCCTTGGTGTTTACCCCATTTCCAGAACTGTACGGTATCTGCTAACCAGCTGTGGACGGTTGCAATGTGTTTGGCGTCGGCTCCAAGACCCTAAATTAAAAGACAAAAAATGACGAAAGAAATTTTTTTTGGTTAAATGCGAAATTTTACCACGCCATATTGGCTGCGACAATGAAATGCAGCGGAAAACCTACCTTGACAGTCAAATTTCGCCAGACCAAACCCAAGTTCTTGCGATTGATGCCAGCCTCTTCACTTTTAGTTTTGGCATCAGTCAAGTAGTCATTGAGATCAAAATCAGCAGCTCCTCCTTTCTCTCCTTGACTCATAGACATACGACGAGACTGTTGAGTCATTTCTCTTCGTAATTCTTCATAATCGTGAACCGCCGTTTCAATGTTGACAGCATTACCACGACGTTCTCCAAATCCTCCGCGTGTGTCTGTGCGAGAAAGATCTTCACCCATGGTAACGGAAGAATCTCTGTCTTGCTCAACATCGACTTCGCTAGAAGCGTCTGAATGTATTTGTTGCTGATTTAACCAAGGCTGTTCGCCTGGTGTGTGCTGCATGCTGTGGGCATCCATGATCAACAGCTACCTCTTGTCGAAAAAAATAGGATGTGATTTTCGATTGAAAGATGAGTTAAAAATACTCTTTCAAAAGGTAGAAAAGAGAAAATGAAAAAGATAAAAAGATTTTTTGCAGCGAAGAACACTGATTGCATGCAAGAAGTACCCTGTATTTATAACAATTATGCGAAAGCGAACTATCTTACTGTAAAAAGTTTCGGTAGAATTGTTCGACCTTGAAACGTTTTGCCAGATCCAATGCGCTCGGTTAAATGCATTACTTAAAATAGTAATTGTCCATGGCCAGCTATCGATGATAGTTTAGCCGCCCATGTCAAAAACGGGAAAAACTCCTGGATTGAAAACTCTAGCATGATGTCAATTTTCTTTCGTTTTTCGACATCGTTTTCTTCAGAAGCCCCCATGATGTGCTGTAAGACGTAGTTGATCATCAGTTAGACGCAAATACGTAATGATTTCGAGGAACGGGCTCATAGCTTGAAACCAACTTGTTTCATCTTCCGATCATCGTAGTTGATAGAAAAGTTGCCAGTTACTAAGCTCCTTCATAAACCGATGTACATGCCCGGAGTTACTTTCTACTGATTGCGCGTTCTGTTTGGTTGTGCATTACGCCTCATGGCTAATAGTGCACTCCCCTCTGTACCTTAACGTATGGCTCCAACGTTTCATAGCCGCAGCTATCGTACCATTTGTTTTTCTTTGTAACTCCTTTAAACCTGCCTATACACAATTGCATATTGCGGAGATCATTAAATGAAAGGACTTGAAATTTCTTGCTCAGTTGCTTCTGGTTAGTAAATAAGCGATCGGCCCGGACGGACCGACCTTGCCACCGCCATTTAAGGGCTCGACTTTTTTTGCTTGGCTTCTTGCCCTGTGTAGTCGGCGTCACTCATCCATATACTCATAATTGACCGTATCCTATATGCCTTTCCAATTGTTGGCCTAAGTTCATTTTCTTTTGACATATTGGAGGACGCTGAATTGATTCGCGCGGAAATACCAAAAAAAATCGTATAACTTTATATGGAGATGCCATTCTTCATGTATACACAATCTGAAATAGAGTACAGCACGTTTGACTGATGCATTTGTAATCAGAGCCAGCTTTTTTGATTTTTTTTTAATTGAGAAAAATGGTCCGTACTGTCGGGCCGTTTGCTTTAAAATAGACGAGGGGATAAATTCACTTGCATAGAGCGGCAAAATTGGCGTATTATTATGCAGCAATACCTCAATCACCACATGTTCAGTATTTACCACGAGTAACGCAAAATCAGAACACCCGCATATACAAGGTTTATCCTGCATGCAATGGCAGGTGGAAAAGCTTCTGATGGGCAAAGCTATCTTCAAAGTAGGATAACATTTCAACTCCGAAAACAACGATTCTGTGTTGGTCAGCAATTTCCAAGGCTGATCTTCTATCTCAAGAACAAAGGAGTCCCAAATATGGTGGCGAATGGGCCACTATCAGGTTTGTCATAGGCATTTCAAATCATTGAAAACGTTGTACAATTATAAACTTGTTGTATTCGTGTTACATTGATATGAAGGGTGTTATAGCCCTGATGATACAAGAAGAGAAGATGGTACAAGTAGAGACGATAGTGATTGTATGTGTGAAATGTTAACGATCTAATTGAAAAAAAAAAGGGGAGAATGCAAGGAGTTGAAAACAGAATTAGCCTATTTTCTTCTGTTTCTAGAATAAACGCTTAACGGCGACCCTTGCGGTTCCAGAAAACAAGCGCTAGGAACATCATGATGTTGAAGATCCAAAAGGCGGTAATGATACCAAAATTACGCCATTTGTGAATAGCTGACCATCCGAGTGTGTTGAAGTAGTCATTACCAACCGTGTAAGGACAGTAGCCGCAGAGCGAAGTAGCACTGGGATTGTCAATGTAGCCAGGTGCATAGGACAAGAATGCCTGGGCATATTGGCCACAGGTTTGACCAGGCGGTGAATTGAAAACGAGCAGATCTCGCTGGGTACAATGGACTTGCAAACCGTCCAGCTCGTTGACCGTTAATCCTTCAATGTAGTAGTGGAAAGGGTCTATATATAGCAGCAACGGAGGTCAGGTATATGCATGGCGCGATCCCCTCACGGAAGCCTTTCTGCCGGATAGAAAAAGGAACTTACCTAGCCAGTATACCCACGAACTCCAGAATTTCGGCATGGCAGAGGGGCTTTGGACAAGACCAGCAAAAAGAATGAGGAAGGTCACTAGAACCGGGTTAACCACAGCTGCCACTGTTGGACTTTCAGAAACAGCAGCGATCAAAAAACCAAATGAAACGGCCCAGAAGACGAATACTACCAATAAGATGTAGAAGTAACCACAGGCTTCAGGTGTATTCTTCAAACCAGCTGTCCAATAGAATCCACTCATGAACAATGCAGCCAGGACAATAATGTATGGTAATTCTACCAAGATACTGGATAGAGCAAAAGGTGCCCAGCCATAGTACTTGGAAGCGTATTCTCTACGGAACCATTGTCGTTCAGTCATAAATTTACTGCAAAGACATAACGTTGGGTTAGCATATACAAGGGGAGGAAATGTAATGGTCTGCGTATCACACATGTGTACTTACGGTTGAGCCAGGATGATAAGGGTGTTTGCCATGATAAAAGTACCAAACAGAGCAAAAAGTCTGTTCTGAAGGTCAATGGCTGACGAGGTCAGCTTCCAGAAAGTAAAACCAGTCATGAGAGAAGTGAACATGACATTGATCAAACGTCCCAAGTTGTAATCTGGAGATCTCCAATATGCAATGGACATACGCTTGAAAACCAATTGAAATTGTACCAACAAGGGTTGTGCGTACGTAGTAGCATGTCGTTGATGATCGGGATTGGAATTTTGGTGGATTTGGTCCAATTCCTCAGTAAGAGCTTGGGCTTGAGGGGAACCTGACCAAACATCAGCCCAATTTTGGGTGACTTTACCAGCAGTTCCGGCTCCTACTACTTCAAGAATGTATTCAGCTGGATTTGCCTGGGGTGAGCATTTTGGTCCACCATTGCTTTCGAAATATTCAATCATGGTGCGGGCGTCCTTGCCGATTTCACCATAATATGCTGTACGACCTCCACGGACCAACAATAGAAGATGATCGAAGTGTTCAAAGAGAGTAGCGGAAGGTTGATGAATAGTACAAAGGACAGGCCAGCCGGAATCTGCCAACTTTCGAATAAATCGAATGATGTTGAAGGAAGACTGAGCGTCTAATCCTGAAGTAGGTTCATCCAAGAAGAGTAGTTTTGGTTTGCCGACCAACTCGACAGCAATGGTAAGACGCTTTCGTTCTTCGACAGAGATACCAAAGCCGCCTTCAACATCACCGACTTGAGCATCGCCAATGCTTTCCATTTCTAATAGTTCAAGAATCTGTTCAACGTAGGCATCCTTTTCCGCCTTGGGGACATCGGCAGGTTGACGTAGGTAAGCTGAAAATTGAAGCGCCTCTCGTACAGTGGAAGCAGGTTGATGCACATCCATTTGTTCACAGTAACCAGTAACACGTTCAAAATCACGACCAAGAGCTTCGCCATTCATGTATTGTAAGCCTACAACTTTACCAATGGTTTTACGCTTGGCAAGTACATCCAAAAGGGTGGTTTTTCCAGCACCCGAAGATCCCATGAGAGCAGTAAGATGACCAGGCTTAACGATACCAGCAATGTCATTCAGCAATTGCAGCTCACCGCCTTTGACGGGAACGGTATAGTTGATGTGTTGCCATGAGAAGGTGGTTCCTTCAGCAACAGCTTCCATTTCTTCCTCGACTTGGCGAGTGGACTTTGCCGTCAAAGTTTGGGTGCGATTAATGTCATCGCTAGGAGGTTTGAGACATGGAGCCTTACCCTTGGCGTAGACTTTGGTAAGTGACTTGCCCTTGGTGCTATTGATCGCAGATAAGTAACATTAGATAAACCATTACAATCCAATATAACAAGAGAAGCAATTTTGCATTCACTTACACATTTCCCCACTCCATAACTGAAGCAGTGGCAATAGTAAAGAGCAAGAAAAATCCAACGAGAGCTATGAAATCTGGTGCCCACAGCTGCCATGTGCCATAGGAAAAGACCTTCCAGAGATAGCTATCGCCAGTGACATAGCTGGCTCCAGGATCTCCACCTTGAATGATGCATGCTTTGTATGCTTGATCGTTATAAGCTGTTCACAAATTTTGGTACGGAGTAAGTTAGTTTAGTCAGATTATCGTATGGCCCATTTCTTAGAGTCATACTAAAACTTACTTGGACCATTTGGGATGGAATTTGAACCTTCACAAGAATACTGTTGACCTTTCATTTCATTAGAAATAAGTGCCTTAAACCCATAGGTAATTGGATCAATCCAGTAAAGCCAGGACAACCATGGGTGCATACTATAGTACTGAATCTGATAACCGGTGTATGTAAAGATAGTAATCAATGCCATACCAGAAAGTTGAGTAGCCACAAAGAAATTGGGAGAAACCGCACCGCAGAAACGGAAAAATCCATTCATAGTCATATTGATAAAGAAGAGAATGACTGTGAAGGTGAAAAATTTTCCAGCATTCAATTCCAAACCCATCATGAAGTAAGCAGCAATTTGGAATGCAATAACTTGAACTATAGCAAGCGGAACATCCAGTACGACTTGAGCAAGATAGAATGCAGATGGACGGTATAGTGCATATTGCTTATGCTTTTCAAGAACCGGTCGACCCATCATGTACGTTACCAAGGCAGATTGAGAGATTAATGCGTTGAATAAGGCACAGAAAAACAGTGCACCTCCACGAGAGAAAGCGCCAGTGGCAGTAAGTGGCATCAAGTAGAAGCATGAAGCCATGATGAGACCTTGGAAAATCATAGTACCGTAACGTGTAATCAAAGCACCCTTGTCCCCCATAATCAATTGGTATTGACGAATGGTCAGGGCCTTGACTTGTTGCATATAATTTGCGGTGTATGGTGAACGGAAGGGGGAATGCTTTTGATGTTCAGCTTTCATTGCGTCCCGGAACTGAACACTAGGCTTGGTCCTTGCGATTTCTTCTTCATATTCAGCTAGTTCCTTGAGCATCCTTGAATACATTTCAGATGACCGATATCGCTCCTCAAATGCAGCGGCTTCTAAGGGTACCTTTTCTTCAAAACCAGGTTTCATCTCTCGTTCCAGAGGGTTGCACAATCCAGTCAAAAAGTCAGGCGTCGACTTTCGAGGCGGACAGAAAAAACCCATATCTTCAAAGTATGCTTTGGCCGTAGTGATTGGACCAAAGTAGATGACATGGCCCTCATCAAGAACCAAAAGTTTGTCAAAGAGATTGAAAATACTATCAGATGCTTGATAAAGGGTGGAAACGGTGGTGTTATGAAAGATGTTCGTAATAATTCTTAAGGAGCGAACATAGTCAAGAGCAGAGGAAGCATCCAATCCTCGAGTAGAACAATCCCAGCAGTTGATGGTAGAACGAGTGGTCATTTGCTCAGCGATGGAAAGACGTTTGCGTTCGCCACCAGATAGACCTCGAACAAATGCATTACCAACCATGGTATCCATCTGCTTTGTCAAACCAAGCATGTTTCCCAGCAAATACAATGTTTTGTTGATAAATTCACTTCTCGTTTGCTCTGGCAATAGTTTCCCAGGAGTTTTGTTACGCAAGGCAAATTCCAATGTTTGTCTGGTGGTCAAAGTGGGATAGTTCATATCTTCCTCCCCGTTATAGCAAACTTCGCCACGATAATGTTTGGCGAACTCTTTAGCTTCCATATCGCCGTAGAAGACATCACCTGTGATTTCAGTGAAGGATGCTCGCATACCAGAAAGAACCCGAAGTAAAGATGTGCATCCGGCACCTGGACGGCCCAAGACTAGTAACATTTCACCATCCTTGACGAACCCTGTCAGATCATTCAAGATCGTACGATCGGTTCCACTGGAGCGGCCCCATTTCCAGAACTTTAAGACCTTCTCGATGCCTGAGAAAACGGTTTCAATGGACCTGGCGTCGGCGCCTTGTCCCTATTTCAGTAAGTATAAAAAAAAAGAGTATGTCTCAGTCATGCGATCTTTCGAGAGAAATGCGGAGCCAGCGCAGTTTAATAATTCAAAGATTGGTTTAAGATTGCCCATACCTTCACTGTCAAGTTCTTCCAGATTAAGCCAAGCCTTTTTTCTTGGAGGCCTGCAGTACCTCTTTCCTTTGACACACCATGTAAAAATTCAGTCAAATCAAATGTATCGGGTGAACCTTCTTCGATTTTGCCATCGTTCGTCATTTTACGACTGATATTTGTCAGTTCTCGCTTAAGTTCTTCAAACTGACTGATGGCGTCTGTAAGCAATTGGTAAGCTATTGATTCTCCGAACTATATCAGTCATAGCTGATTAAGTGGATCAACGTACCATCGACATCGACTGCGTTAGCGTTCGATTCACCAAAGCCGCCTTGCGACTTGCCCAGGGAATCTGCATCGACCGCTGTGTTGGTTTCGCTATGATATTCCTCTATTTCATTTGGATAGGATACGTCCAAATGACTTCCCTTTTCGTCGATATTTTGAGCCATTCCTGCTGCTGATAGTAGAGGAAGTCAAACACAACGTTTAAAGAAAATAAGTGAAAGACAATACTGAATCGGCACAGGAATATCAACGACGAGCGCAATATTTATACTTACTGTTCAGCGGTCTCGGACCTTTGGCGGCGATCAAGGCTTCATTGGCTCGGCTTAACTAACCGAAGACTTACGCGAATAATGCGCTCGATAGTAGTCCAGATAAGGCTCGTTATAGTGGCATATCTGATGCTGAAGAGCTGATTATTAATGGCCGCTTAATATTACGCCGCTGAAAGGCATCCTTTACTGCGGCAGAAAGGACTATCTTACGTTACTTAGGTCGTTATCTTCACAGACACCTGAACAAAGTCTTTAAACGTGAAACATGTTTCAGACATGGCAGTATCCTCGCCAAAAAAAAAAAAAAAGACCACTCAAAAATTTTTAAACCTCAATATGAAAGGGGAGCTAGATTGGGACATAATCATTGTTGCCCTTGCCCTTTGAAGTTCTACCCGGAGAATTAATGCCGTTCCCGTCGTTCACCATCAAAGGTGAATCTTCCGCTTCCTAGCATGTTCACTCAATATATGTAGTAACTGGACATTGTTCGCTATGCCCCATATGTTGGCGCTTGACTGATCCTCACGGCAATTACTAAACCTGGAACTAAAGTCACATAAAGTCACACAGGGAGCTTCGCCAACTCTGCCTCCTTATGATATCGATGGACAAGTGACTTTACCCATCTATTTGTCGAGGCTCTTCCAATCTTTTTTTTTTTTCATCTCACTGAGGCGCTAGTTGAAAGCTTCGGGTAAATTTCGTTTGCATATTGTTCAGACTACTTCATCGGCTAATAATTTATCTTCTTGAAAAAATCGCCATTTCTTAGTAAACAACAGATTCACTTTATTTGAAGCTAATTTTTATATATATGACTGAATGTAAGTAAAAAAAAAAAATGCTAGCGGAAGTGCTATGCCAAAAAGCAACACTCATTACTGAGCTAAAGGGTCCCTGTCAAACAGAAAATTTCATACAACCACCGCTGGCGCATTTTGATTTTTGATTGTGGTGCCTCACCATCGATACAGAACGCTTGAGGTCCATTTATTGAAAACACGTGCAGTAATTTATCCCTCAAATTCATTCATTACCTTGAAAATTTAGATACCAACCAAGTCCACTGCTCTGGACAAAGACAATGATGATTACAATTAGAGAGCACCCATTGTCCGAGATTTCAATTTATTTATTTTCACTATTCAAGACTGTATAAGAATAAGCGGTGCGTTTAGGTCTGGTCCTTCATAATATTTGCAGCGAACAATCAAAATATTGTTTCCAACCTTTTCGTCTAGATGACTATTACGCACGGCATACGTTCAGCTCCTGGGAGTGAGCAAGCACTTGCTTTGAAGGAAGGCAAAGGCAACATACATCCGGAGTTCATGGAGGACCTGAGAGTGTCGAGCTATAACGCCTTGCTGACACCTTCGTACGTTCATGAAGAATTCCCAATGGTAAGTGCAGATTAGTCCATGCCAAAAAAAAAAATTATAAAGCTCCTAAGTGTCGATTGCTTTTTTCTTTTTTACGCTAGTCTGAAAGAGCTAAAGAGACAGTTTGGTTGGCACGACAAGTATGTGCCGATGTTCTTCGTGGCAAAGACGATCGTTTGGTTGTCATTGTCGGCCCATGCAGCATCCACGATATTGATGCAGGCATAGAATACTGTAAGCAAGCGACAATGTGACAATGTTTTGTGGCTGTGTTGCTGATTGCATATCGATACAGGCAAAAAACTCAAGGAAGTAGCTGACCAACTGCAAGGAGAGTTGCTTATCATGATGCGTACATACTTCGAGAAGCCACGTACAACCGTCGGCTGGAAGGGTCTAATCAATGACCCAGATGTCAACGGCAGGTAAGGATTGAAGGCGGAAAAAGGACTAGGGAAGCGAGTGTACGTTATGAAAATGCACGCATCTACTAACACAAGCTTTTGCCATTCTTCTTCGCTATTTACAAAAACAGCTATAACATCAACAAAGGCTTGCGCATTGCACGTGGATTTTTGTGCGAAATAACGGACTACGGCATGCCTGTCGCATGCGAGCTTCTTGACACTATCTCACCACAATACTTGGCTGATCTTATCTCTTGGGCAGCCATTGGAGCTCGAACCACTGAATCACAGTTGCACCGTGAACTTGCATCGGGCGTATCCTTCCCCGTTGGATTCAAAAACGGTACCGATGGAAATATCAATATTGCGGTAGATGCCATTCGCGCTGCCAGCGCACCGCATCACTTTCTCGGTGTAGCAAGCAATGGTACACTGGCTCTTACCAATACCAAGGGTAACAGCTGTTGCCATGTTATCCTTCGTGGTGGTAACGATGGACCCAACTACGAAAAGAAGTACATTGATACGACCAATGCTCAATTAGAAAAGGCTAAATTACCTCTTAACGTGATGGTGGATTGCTCCCACGGAAACTCGAGCAAAAAACATACCAACCAACCCATCGTTTCCTCTAATCTTGCTAGCCAAATTGCTGCAGGCGATCAATCCATATGTGGACTGATGATCGAGTCTAATCTCAACGAAGGCAGACAAGACGTTCCTCCAGAAGGCATTCAAGCATGTAAATATGGTGTTTCCATTACTGATGCATGCGTTGACTGGGACACAACTGTAGTCATGTTGAAGGAGCTTTCTGAAGCTGTCAAAGCAAGACGTGCAAAGAAGCAACAATCATAGCTTTGATAGTACACACAAATCTCATTTTTCTCATATGCACTGAATATTTCCATATCTTTCTACTCAATTTTTTCTATATTTCATTTCCCAATTTCGTTTTGATTGCCGTACATTACAAAACCAAACCACTTGATTGTGTGTTGTCATAAATCCGTAGTTTTAGCCGTAGCCTTTTTACGACGTCTGAGAGAACTTGGCATTTTGTTGTACTTAGCAACGATAGAAAGTGGTTGCTCTAATGCAGTTCCGCCAATTAATCACAAGATCAGTATTGGCTGTAATGTTGGATCGGGCATATTATCGTCTGTGCAGGCGTCATAGCATCATTGGTGAAGTGAGTCTTCTTTGTTTGAAGACACAGTTTGTATACCCGTTTCAGGTATGGTGCCTCGATATCACGAATATGGATCTAACCATTCCTTGATATAAACGTGATGTCCGCCTCACCTCTGTCATTATGTTTTGGGAACTAACTGAGTCATCTAAATATCGTCTTTCTGCTGGAAACAGATATTTTCAAAAAAGTCCATCAGAAAAGATTATGTACTGGTAACACGTATCGGGCGCACCCTCAAGTATCTACCGCTGTCTACCAATCAGCACTAGCTAATTGACCCATTACAGCTCCGAGGATGCCGGAATTGCATATATGAGTAAAGGCGAGAGCGGCCTTGATATTGGCAATAGCTTTTCATGCAGGGGCATCTATTGGACTGAGGAAAGAAATGTGAATTTGGGATACCTCTGTTAAAATTAGGTGTCCCCAACGGTTGTTGAACCAACCCTCAAACATGACATGGCCGTAAAATCCAGGAGGCCTCGATAAATGCAGGAGAGCAACAAAACACAGTCATAGTCTGCATTTTTAGCGGGAATTGGTGGATTTTGTGACTTAAGCTTGGACACCTTTGTCTCCAAGATGCGACCTTGCTGTGATCCGATGAGTTGACTATTGAATCAAAGTTGGTAGCATTGAATCTGCGATTGATTTTTTCGATGACCGTCCACCGGGAATCAAAAGCTTTGCCTCCTAAGCCATGCAATTCTAGAATTCTTCCGTGAGGATTCCGAAGTTTTTAAGGAAGCCTGTCACTAACGTAGTGATTTCTTTCCTAGAATGTTCTACCTTTGATCTATCTTCTTGAGTCACAGTCAACTTCATGGAATAGTCGTTGATTGTGATAAAATTCAATAAAATATCATATCGTAAAGCTGCCATCAGCTTTATGAATGATGTAACCCATTCCAGGTGATGCTTCATTGAGTGTTATGTCAAGTGCCTCGAGTGGCTCAAAAATGGGAAAACGGCCAAGACTGGTCTTGATTGGCTGTGCATGGGAGCTGAAGGCGGGGCGGGAAATATTTTTTTGGCTTAAAATCTGCGCCCCACCCGTTGGAAAAGCTGCTTATCCCTGCTTTCCTTCTGCTTTTCAATGGACGAACCGGTTAGCAATGCCCAGAACGAAGACTTTGAGCCAAAGGCTCCAGTCAAAAACCTGACTCCAAACTCCATGAGGTCCAACATGCCACACTTTTTTGAACGAATTGCGCAATTAGCGGTATGATACCTGGGTTTATAAATTGGCAGTGGGTTCCTTCAACAGGTTTCACATTAATTATGTTATTTTTAATACAGTGGGCTCGCGTCATGGAAAGCCGAGAGACACGAATTTATGTAGCTCTGAGCTTCATTACCGCCTTTGTATGCATCATTCTAGAAGGCATGGTATACAAAGCCCATTCGGATGAATCCACTAGTGTATACAACTCTATACAACAGGTTGATGATGGCAGCGCTAAGAACGACTACGGCTATATCGACCTCAGTCTTATACGAGTACGCAACGAAAATATCTTTTTCATTATTTACCAGATATTTCAAACTTATTATGGTATCGATTCGGTAATTGTCTTTTCATACTCCATAAAGGGAACATGTACTTATGGGAGAAGTCATGAATAGGTAATCCTAAAATATCAATTTTTATTCATATTCATCTCTATTTTAGGTCGTCCGTCAAAACTTAATTCAACTCCTTGCCCATACTGGATCTATCTTTTTCTGTGCCATCTTCGCGTTGGTACAGTTAGGTGAAACCCTCAAGTTCAAAGCTGAGGTGTGGTCAAGCGATAACACCTTTAATGTATCCACCGATAACGGAGGCTTTTATGAGGCTATTCGATATGAGATTGGTCTTGCCGCCACTATGGCAATTTTGACCTTGATCTTCGCATACCTTTGTAGAAAGTTGGCATTGCAGGTAATTAATGTTTCAATGGGAATTACAGTTCTATCGGTATATGTATATGGCATCTAACCAATGGTTATTATCTCTTATCACGCCACAGTTTGGTTGGAATATATATAAGGTAAAGATTACATCTTATATGGGCTTTAACAAGAGAGTGATAACATATTCAACGTGATTCTTTCCTTCACATAGCGTATTGGAGCTGACTTGGCAATCCAGAGTAAGTAGAGGCAACACACGCTCAATTGGAACAGGAGTGGAAAGTTAGCTGACCATCAACGTTGTTGCTTATTTTACAGAGCGTTACCGCATATACCAATTCTTCATTCTGAATCTCAAATTGGATGCATTCTTCCAGTTCGTTTTCTCAGTCTTCTGGCTGATAGTAATGGTACAGAGTGGATATCAAAACGGAGCCGCCGCTTCTGTCGTCTGGTTTGCAATTCATATCATCTTGACATTGCTCCTACTTCCCACCTTTTTCTTTGCTCGATATGGAGTACGTATGAAGTGACTGGTCCCATGCGAAAATGTCTATGTCATGTTCTAACCTCTAGCATTATGTAGGCGCGAACTGAGCGACCCGTTATTATGTGGTTGTACTTAGTACTACAAGTGTTGATTTTGGTAGACTTTTGCATCATCTTGCAGCAGAGCACATCGACTTGGGTGTTTTGGGTTCTCATTGGTAAGTATTGAGGGATGTATGTGAACTGAAGTTTTTGTAACATCAATGAAAGGCACTAAACGCTGCTTGTTTCATTTTTCGTCTCACAGTATGCGTTTCCATCATTTTGTCGGTGGTAAGTACCATGTTTATCTTCAAAGAAAGCCGTAAGCCAGTACACTAAAATTATTGCCATCCTTGCATATTTCTATCAGACTACCATCATTCTCACTATCCTACTCACCCGCAACTTTGGCCAAGGTTTAAAACCCCACAGTAAGCTAGCATGACCTTATATTACCTAGACTTGAATCAATCGGCCCCTAACTTTTGGAACTTGTAGTCCAAAGATTGTTTGATGAGAATTATCGCGACTTCTTTGATTCTTCCAGAAATCCCAACTTGAAAGAGCAGAACACTCAATCTTCTTGGGTGATCGATGACGTAGAAAGTACTCCTGCCAATTCTCCGCCTCCCACACGTAGTGCGACTAGAAATGGTTGGAAATGGGCTACCAGACGACCCAAGCAGAACTTGAGCAATGATGTAATGCTTGAGAAGACCAACATCAATCGATCTGAGACCCCAACTCAGGTCGATGAAGAACAAGCAGTGTCTGGTAATCAGTCTTCGGTGCTACAGTAATCGTATCTCTAGCATCCATTTACCAAATAGTAGCGTTACCCAATATCTCTTTACCTACCTTAGTAGCCGTAATTTAAAACCAAGCCTGTTGTAAGAGGCATCTTATTCATATCATATTTTGACAACATAACCCCCACTTTTCTTTGTCATCTGTGTAAAATAACATTTATTATCATTACTTTTTTTTAATTACTTATAAAAGTCTCTCTGCCAATCTTGCTTATTCAAGACATAAGTGAAGTTTGTAGCAGCCAGCTGGAAATATGTTATCAAGCTACTGCACATTTTTCGAAAAATGGTATATTGTACAAGGCATAACAATGTCTAGCTTATGGTAGCAATTATATGAGTTAGAGCTAAGTATGCTTCTATGACGAACCGCAAGTGACCTAAATTCTGTCCAAGCGCTCGTCGCGTTTAGGAGGTTTGCGATTTCCCTACCAAGACAATAAACGATGAGACATTGGGTAGATGGAGTGGAAAAAAAAGACAGCAATGCACAACACTTACAGAAACCATTTTGGAAAACAATTTGTCCATGACGCCTTTGTCAAGCTCTCCCCACTCGACCTTCCAAGGCTCGCCATCGACAAACTTTTCCATGTCCACCCAACTTCCAAATATTGGTCGATGATCCAAGGGAATCTGTCTTCCAGATGCCGTTGTAATGGACAAGATTTTTCTAGTTCTAAACGTGGCAATGATATGTATCTTTTCCGCAAGCGTCAGCCCAGTTTCAGTTGGATCTACGTTGATCCAGACGCGGTGCTCTTTGTTGATGGAAGGGACAGTGATTTGTCGCACTTTGCCTGCAAAGTCGAGATGTGACATGTCAATAACGTGCTTTACTCTTTACCATGTTCGATAGCTAGAAACTTACGTTCTGGTTTCCCTTTTCCTCTATCCTTCTCCTTCTTGCCCTTCTCTTTCTTACCTGCCGGTGCATGTTCAACACTGGAAGGCGTACTGGAGACAGCTGGACTCGTGGATGGAGGATGGCTGAGAGGTGGTGAAGGCTCAGTGCCATATGCTGGGAAATCTGGTGTAGAAATGGAATGTCTGTAGTGACCTGGATGAAGATTATGGTACTCAAACGGTATGGGATCGTGCGAGTGTAGCATGGGAGATGGGGTGGTTGAAAATCCTGTTTCAGCCATCAAAAAACCTCCGGGTATGGATTTTCGAGGTGGCGGCATAGGAGGTTCCTCTGGTAAAGGTTTGGGTGTGGCAGATGGAGTGATCATATGACTGACATTAGGAGACATGAACGTCGCAGGTGATGGCATACTGCTTATCTGTGGAGTATATGTGTATGGGTCTTGATGTGCATAATTGTGTGCGACATACTGATGATATTCATGCCAAGCTTGGTCTTCGGGATGAGTAGCAATACTAGAATCTGTCCATGGCTGAGGGGCAGATTGTCTTCGTGACTGTAATTCGTCAAAATTGAGTCGATTGTCATGGGGCATACGAGGTGTAGGATTAGCTTCTGGCATGCCTAAGATAGGCGTGGGGGGATAATAAACACCAGATTGTGATTCTGTTGTAGGAGATGCTGATGATGGCCTGTAAGAAGGCCGGCCAGTCATCTTCCACCCGCCTTCGGCTTCCTGGCTACTTATAGATGGTGTTGCGACTGGCATAGGTACCGACTGACGATTTGTGATATCACTCACGCTGGAGGTCATTTTCCAACCATCAGGTTGTGGCATGCCCGGAGCTTTGGAACTAACTTTCCAAGCATTACCAGATGCCGTAGGTTTATTAGACTTCCACCTTTCATTGGGCAAAGGACGCCGTGCTGAGCTTGGTGTCGCTGAACCTGTATTCATCTCGTAGTCATCGATGTTAAGGGTGAGATTTTGCAATTGCTCATGAAAACTTGGAAACTGATCGTTCATAAAGAAAGCCAACAAGATAGACAGCGATAAAATTAAAATAGAATATAAAAAAAATGGAGTTGATAAAACCGTTAGTACGATGCAGTGGGCCGCGTTACCAAATCTTGGCAAACGTTATATATTACCTGTTGAGCAGCAGGTGATGCTTGATAGCTTGACATGAGTGGAGCTTCTAGAATTTCTTCTTGGGTGATGAATATTTTTTTTTTTTTTGTATAGAATAGCTGTGCACGACTAGTACTCGATATTCCAGGTTTTGCAAAATCTCCTGAGGGCTCTACGAGTAACGACAATGATGATTAGCATTTTCAAACGAATGGCAGTACACGACAGATGAGTTCGCGCTTACATTGTAATGACGAGCTTTTGCAGCTGAGAATCGGTTATTTGGAATGTTCAAATCCAATGATTAATGGTTTCGATTTGGAACAGCAAAGAGGTTGAGAGGCGGATATAATTTGAGAATGAGCTGAACCCACTGACCAGCTGCGATTTCCAAATGTAGAAATGGAGGAAAGAGAAAACAAAATGTCAATGACAGCCCGACAGGCGGAGCAGCAACAGAGTCGGGTACACCAAGTAGAACCGTTTCCCACTACCTTTCCACAGTGAACAAACGTTAACGATATATATTCGTTATGAAAATACCGCCAATTATCAACTCATAAATTACCTACGGCGTCCAACAACAGTAGAAATGACAGGTATTGGTCAGAATCGCACACACGTTTTTTTTTTAATATCTGAAGTCAACAATGAGCAAATACAGTAGAGATTTATCCTAGAGATTTATCCCAAATATATTTTTTGAACTTCCTCCAAAGCACATAGGGGTTTTCAAAAACTACTATAGTCAAAATTATCTAGAGGTGAAATGTATTGTAAACCACGACTATTTAAAGCTTCTATAGTTCCACTAACAGGGCTACTTTCGGGTTCATGCCACCATTTTGTAGACAACGGATGCACAGAAGCAGTATCAACATACATTTCACAATCCATAGCAGGTTCATAAACGGGATGATATTCTTGGGGATTCACTTGGCTGCTAGAGTTGCTGGCGGAACTACTGGTAGAAAATGTCAGCGTTCCATCTTCAAAGTCCATAGCGCAGCCGTTGGCATTTGCCGCAGCAAAATAATCATCTCCAGGATAAGTTTCGTTTTCAAATTTTTGCCATATATCATCGCCAGCCGAACTTGAATCTATAAACGCACACTGAGACCCGATATTGATTTCTTCCTGGTAGTCGTAGTCGGATGTTGCTTGTGACGAGGTTGCTTGCGGTGATGCCAGCGACGAGTTCTGAAAATATCTTGATGTTGTCTGACGAGTTGGTCTGCGAGTAGAATGGTTTCGTATGGGCCCTATAGTTTCTTCACAGATACTCTCATTGTTCCGTTCACCGTTCATAATAACAGGATCACTCGTTCGACGCTTCGGATTATAGCTGTAATCCGGATACCTTTAAACGAAGTCGGTTATAGCGTTTAGTTAGTACACACATTAAAGCTAGTTGTATTGCCTTTACGAAAAGCATTACCGGCTAGCATGCTCTTCTTTCATTTGATTTGCTATGGCTCGGAAGTGATCTTTAATACTTTCTGGCTCATTCTTCCACATTTTTCCAACAATTTGCGAAACTTCCTTGCTATTGATATTTGGATGCTGCAGTAGTATGCTTCGGTGGGCAGCCATGCGGTATGCTATGAAGCAGTTAGAGGGCCTAGGAACACGCTTCTTGGCCTTTTTGACCGTGGAAGGAGCTGGGTGTAATGTTGTGGGTAGCCCAAAGTGTGACATGAAAGTATTAAAGAATAGGGCTAGTCGATGCTCGACAACAAATTTATTGTCCTCGTTCCAAAAATGAGCCCAGTGATCGGCAATCCGATGTGGCCTTTCCCCCCACCAAACTGGTAAGATACGAATCCACTTCAGCCATTGTCCATATGAAAATATTTGTAAATAGGCGTGAATAGCCATGCTATGTGGCAACGCGAAAATCCGACGTTGGAGATGACCCTTAATGGGGAGATTATCGGTGATCTGCTTATTCATGTCTTCGAAACGAAGGGCTACTACCATGCATTGAATACAATTACTTTATCGCGTTGATCTCTATACCAATTTTTACCATGATAAATCTACGAGCTGCCTTTGCTTTGATCTATTGAACGGTCAGGGCCTTTGGGGTTCTTTATGCAACGTTCTCGTCTGCGTGACTGGTAAAGATTCAATCTTTCAACACAGCCGCGGTTGTCAGTTTGCCATCCAACCCTGAACTCAAACTGTCAAATGGCATCCGCTGTAGAGAAAGGAAAGAAGGTTGCAGCCTATAGAGCTGTTGACGAAAACATCACTGCCGAACACAAGGTTATTGGAATTGGCTCTGGTTCCACTGTGGTCTATGCTGTGGAGCGCATTTTGCAGCGAAAGGAACTTCAGCACATTGTCTACATCCCCACAAGTTTCCAAAGCCGCCTTCTCATTACTGAAGGAGGACTGACACTAGGAAGCATAGAACAGTACGTATTCTTCTACCTTGGAGGTTATAGAATAAGCTCTTAACACACACGTAGGTTTCCAGAGATTGACGTGACAATTGATGGTGCCGACGAGGTTGATCCGCAACTCAATGCCATCAAGGTAATACTCAATGGAGATACTTCAACGAAAAGTTAGCTGTATCTAATTTATCTGGTTTGAAAGGGAGGAGGAGCTTGTCAATTTCAGGAAATGGTTGTTGCCAAGGCTGCGAAGAAGTTTGTTATGATTGCAGGTAAACTACACTTTAACTGTGGGAAGAGCTTATATATGCTGTCAACTAACATCGTCAAATTTAAGACTACCGAAAAAAGTCCAAGTCCTTGGGCACTGAGTGGGTTAAGGGTGTTCCTATTGAGGTCGTGCCTTTGGCTTACAAGGTCGTCATGCATGCCTTGAACAATCTACTCTCTGTCAAGCCACAGTTTACGAAGTTGCGCATGGTAACGTATCAAGCATAAGGGTTTTATATTTTTTTTCGTACGGGTGCAGTTGGGACTTACTTGTTTTCTCCGTAGGCTGTGCAAAAGGCTGGTCCCGTCGTGACTGACAACGGTAACTTTGTCATCGATGCACACTTTGGTCCCATTGCTGATCCCCACAAGCTTGGCCAGGAAATTAAATTGCTCACTGGTGTTCTGGAGGTTGGTCTGTTCTGCAGAATGGCTGAAATTGCTTACTTTGGCGAAGAGGATGGCAGTGTAGACATTTGGAAGCGACAGTAAAAAGACATATAAAATATAGTCGAGAATAGATTTTTGCCAAACCAATATCTTCATCATATATTCAGCCAGTCCCATTCATCCAATCATGAAATTACGACTTAGATCTCAATACAGGCTAGATGTTTTATGAAATACAGTGCTATGTGCTGGAGTTGGATTTGGACAATGGCATTCGGCCGATATTTCTGTCCACAACCTTTTCAACTCCACAGTCACACAACGTTCGTTCAGGAACTTGACTTGAAAGCCAGTCTAGTCAAACAACGGTACCAAAGCCTCAATTGCCATGGTTCGTTACAGATTCCTAATGCGCTGACGAAGCACTATATGCATCTCACTATAGCCTTCATGACTGACCTATTGAACAGGGATTCTTGACATTCTTACTTGCCTACTTGGCAATCTTGTGTAGCATTGTATTTATTCTACTTTTCGGTGAAAGTCCACGGTTACGGTAGGTGTTCCTCAGTTTATCTAATGAAACATGAGACTTATAGTATCAATTCTTTGCTAATTTGGTACTTTCTGGACACAGGAATACACCAGTTGGATCAGCTCACAGATTTTTGACGGAAATGCTTCCTCGTTTCATCATGTATGTTGTTCACCTGCTTTCCTCCTCAAATGGCTGTTGTACTAACTATAGCTCGCAGAAAAAATGGCAAAAAAGTCTTTGGGGAACGCTCCATTGCTCGTTTTTACGGCGTATACCAATATACCTGCGAATCTCGAAATCCATTTTTACAAGTTCGTGTTCATATCACAATCATGATTCATTCATCATCCATGTTGTTAACAAATCCACTGTAGCTGTTTTTTCTATTCCTATTCACTGGTTCTCTGTACTTGTTCTTCATTAGTGGATGGAAGGAGGTGCCTGGACCATTCCTTTCTCAATTCCATGTGTAAGCTGCCGAATTGTCCATCGAACAGATCCATCCTATTTGACTTTCTTGGCTGACACATGTTTGTATCACTCCAGGTATTTTATTCCAGTGGAAATCTTATTTACCTATGGATGCTACTACGCTGCCTGTGCTGCAGATCCGGGAATCATCACTAAAGATAATCTCCAAAAATATATGGATATGTACCCCTACGACGGATTGACTTTCGAACCCAGAGACTGTAGTACTTGCAAAATGCCGAAGTAGGTGGACTAGCCTTTTATTGATTCTAAGTCGGTAATGCTAAAACACCATATGCGTTGTAGGCCCGCCCGCTCCAAACACTGTTCAATGTGTAAAGGTTGTGTGGCACGATCAGATCATCATTGTGCCTGGGTCAATATTTGCGTTGGTCATAACAACCATCGCTATTTCCTCTCATTTTTATTCGCCCTCTGGCAGTTCCTTATATACGCTGTCTATGTAACATTCTCAATTTACAGAGGAAAGATCCAGCAATGGGGTTTGGATAATGCTGTCATCAAAGATGCATTGACTGGCAAGGAAATCCCTCTGAGCTTCCGAAAAGCAATGCTGGTAGGTACATTTAATCAACCTGATGAAAAACGAAGAATCCAAGCAATAACTCTACGTCTATCATTTAGTATATTCTTCAAGAGGATCGAATTATTGGAGCTCTCGGTATACTATCTGCCGTCGTTTGTGTTATCATATTCTGCTTTACTCTCTACCAGTGAGTCATTGTAATAAGCGAAATTTAGTAGTATCCACCGAGAAACCTAATCTGATTATTAATTAGGCTGTATCTGAGCATCCGGGGTATGACGACAAACGAGGCGTTCAAATGGGAAATGGTCCAGGACGGAGTATCTAAGGGAGAAATTTGGAAATTCGAAGAGAAAGAAGTCAAAAAGGAGATCGCTCCAAGCACTGCAACAGACTTCTTCTGGAGAGATGTGGATATGGATCCCAAAACTGGTAGAATCGCTCCAATGAAAGGTGCGCGTATGGTTAGAGATTTTGCAGAAATTCCTAATATATACGACAGAGGACTGCTAAAAAATCTGGCTGAGGTTTTATTCCCTGCCAAGGTTTAAAGGTAAAACTGCAATTACCAATAAAAGCCAAATATATCTTTCTCTTTTCCTCTTCTTCAATCCTCTATTCACGCATATCAGCGCTCATTTCTCGAAGTGGTCTCAAATATATTCACCATGGTTACAGCCATAATACCAATGTTTGCTATGGATCATAGTGAAATTATGGACTGGCAGACGTTTGTTAATCAGGTATGAACCCCTTTCAAGTGACTGAACTCGTATTTGTCAACCCCCTCAATAACCAATTCATTAGAACCCATGGGCAACGCAAGCTCTGGAACAGATGGCTGGGGTGGACGACCAGCTTCCAAAACAATGTATAGCAGTCTTCTACGTAATCGACACCACAGCTCGGGTAAGCTTAAACTCCCAAACTTAATACCCACGGATCAAATAATTTTTATTGATATCTCAGGTGAATACCTCATGAAACCAGAAAATCACCCACCAGTTGAACGCAGTGACCTGGTATCCAGACTACAAATTCAGAGCAGCATTTCGAAACCTCAACTGGGCATCAATGGAGCGTACTTTCAAGGTTGAGAACGACGATATACTTCAGCTGGAGAACCCTCAAAATATCATCAACGATGGTGGTGAGATATTTTTTTTGATGCACAAAGATGTGGTTACGGGCACAGTGGCGCTGGTCGTCGAAAACGGTGAATACGAAGCAACGTGGATGGCGGTCGCCAACAACTATCTTGGACTCGGATTTACTCATGCCCTTTTGGTGGTGATTACAAATTGGGCTCGGATACGAGGCTTGCCTGGTATAACGGTTTTGACGAGTACCACGTTGGGAAGTGCTGTATCCCTTTATCAAACACACGGGTTTCAGGTCACATATATCGATGAGAATTGTAGAGATGCACGGTATGACATGAGTTTACGGCTCTGCTTGTGATCTCTGTATAATAGCTTTGTTTAATAAATTGCACCAAACATCAAAATGAGTTAACAGCTAGCAGTCAAGCGGACTGACAATGCCTGGAAATTTTGACACTGGACGGGCTCAGTCAGTGCGCCAAAGCAAGGTTGTTTCGCACCGTTCATGTGGCTGTTGAATGAAATCAAGAATGGCCAGGGTTAGTAATTAGAAACAACTTCAGTGCACACCGTAACACATGCTCTGTTCGAGTTACTGACTATCTTCACGTCGCAACCAACTAGAAACAGGACAACAACGACTATTGTATCCCGGAAAGACATATACAGTTGGTCGACGGGGTAGGCAGCCAATTCATTCCAGTAAAGCATGCCTTGAGATTGCCACTGACTCAAGCAACTATTGCAGATTCGACCATAACCATTGAAGACGACAAATCTGTCAGCAGGAAACATGCTACTGTAGTTGTGGAAAGCACCGACTACGAAACTGGACTACAGAACGTGGTACGTGCTTCGAGCATAACGGGGCAGTCTGATTTTCGTGATGATGAAATTAACGTCCAAAGTAGCTCAACCCTAGCAAACGCTGCTCAGTTACGGTCAGGGATGAAGGAGCCAAGTATGGTACCTTTGTCAATACTTCCAAAGTGTCCCCTCATCAACCCCATGAGCTGCGGGATAATGATGTGATCAAGTTTGGTACCTTGACTTCGCTATGGCGCTTAACTTGGTTTCCAGTAGTGATTTGTTGCTCAGGATTGAGAAGCGCGGAGAAAGAGCAAATATATCGCGCAGCACTTGAATTAGGTATGCCGACATTCCATTTTACAATGTGGATGAAGACGAACTGACGACCGCTTTTACAGACATCAAGATATCGAAGGCTTGGGTTTCTGACATTTGTACTCATTTGTATATGAAGGAAACTCGACCGACGGAAAAGGCACTTTTGGCCATTGCTGATCTATGTCCGATTATTTCACTTTCTTGGATTGAGCGTATGCGAGAAAATAAGGATTCTACCAATTTTCACTTCCCACCCGTTGAAGAGCATCAGCCACCTTTGAATGCTGTTTGTGATAACGTTCCTGAAAGACCTAACTTTCTACCAATGCCACGAAGGAAAACAGTGTTTACAGATACCACATTTTACGTTTTTTCGGAGGAGCAGGTAAGCAAGCTCTCGTTGTGTATATATATTTTGAAAGTTACTTACCATTGCCACATCGCAGTATTATCGCATACATCCTTTGGTTTCGAAATGTGGTGGAGATATTGTACATTGTGAATTCAATATCTCACCTTGGGACTCACAAGAATCTATTCAGCAACTAATTGCCAAGGATATGGGTTCAAATATAATATACCCCCAGAGTGATCCTAACGAAAGTTATGATGCATACCACACGAGATGGAAAATATTATTTGCAGCGTGTCATAGGTATTAAAAATTTTATTTTTTATGATCTTCCCTTTATAAGACGGTTCCTAATTTCAATGCTTTCAGGTTAGGGGAGCGTCTCATTGCTGAGGTGGAAGTAGGATGGGCAGTTGTTTTCGGAACAACAGACGTGTACTGTAATAAGTATGCGCCCGAACCAATTGAAATAACTTCGCAGCCTAATGAAGAATCTCGATCAAAAGTAACTTCTACAAGTAAGTTGTTATTGAGTTGGACAGGAAAAGTACAATTGAAAGTACTCATATCGGTACCTAGTAGCGAAAGGTCAAGAAAGCATCAGCAGCAATGCCGCTAGATTACAATCGTCATTTGCAAGCGATATTTCAACGCCTGTTGTAAGGTCTCGACCGCCTGCCCCTCCATCATGGGTATTAGGGGATATAGAAGGCGATGTTGAACCCGACACTCCAGAACGACATGCAATCCTGAGCAAGCGCAGGCATATAGACGTAACTGAAGCCACCGAAAGTAATAGCACAGCAACTGTAGCAGCGAATGGAGCGAAAACTGTAAGTAAGCTACAGAGTATTAATACAACTGAGGAAAAAACAACTGATTGTTTGATTTATTTAAGAAACACGGTACCTCAAACCGCAATTTGAATGCCTTTTTGGATGCCATGTTCGATGATTTGGATGAAGTAGAGGAAATTCCACCAGCGAACCTGTCGCCCGTACAAAGTGAGCCCCTACAAATAGACGAGGCACCAGCGATGAATGCCGATATGCCAAAATCTTCGGCGAGTCGCAATGTTCACATTGATGAGCATAACCAACAAATAGAAGACCAGAGTGTGCATATTCGGCAGAAAGTAGCAAGTTTAGCTGACGTCAACAGACAACCATGGGAGGCTTCGTCAGATGAAGGAGAAAGAGGGATAGAAGCACAAGTGGCTCCAGAAGTAACCCGTGCTATTTCAGGCGAAGAATTGATCGTGCAAGAGGATGAAAATATGGAACCAAATGAAACCGAGGATACCATAGTAGCTTTGATCAAAGAAAAACAGCAAAGCTTCAGGGCTGCGGCTCGTCGATCACGAGAGGTAGCAGCTGAAGCAGACGAAGCATTCGTTCCCAGTGCAACTGAACAATATTCTACGATAGTTGTCCAGAGTTTAGTGAAAGCACCTCCTACCGCTTCTTCGACACGAACAGTGCAGGCAGATGATAGTGTTGTGAATTATAAACGGTTCCGTAAGGTAAGTAAGAGCGAATTTAGCGATGGTCAAGATTTTTCAAGAAATTAATCTTATTGTTTCGCAGACTGCAAGGCCACAACATAATGAGATGTCATATATTCGTATGCTTCCTCATGATGAGATGCAGTTGGCTATGCAAGGCAAGTCCTTTTGATTAATGCTTTTTGTAAAGGCGACATTCTCGTACTAATTAGCTTGCATCATTAGAGGTTTATTGGCTACAACGTGATCAACCGCAGAGGCGCCAGATCACTAGACCTGGCAGTCAAGGCGGCGAAAAGCTAACATTTGATTAAACTGCTGTTCAGCGAACACATGTAATGATATCTTTCTTTTTTTTTATTCTTTGTACATAATAATTTTCTGTGACAATACATAATATAGTGCTCACTAAAGAATGAATAGGACAAGTTGGAAACCAAAGGTCTAAATAGCGTTCTAGATATAGGGAATCAAAAATATACAAAATTGAGAAGCGCATTTGAAATTGGGATGTTTTTGTGCTATCCAGTTCCTGCACAACCTAATCTCTGTACTTGTTCATGAATTGCTTGTGGAAATTGGTAAGATTCTCACAGAAGTCATCGAAAAGGTCTTCAGGTGGCAAGAAGGTAGAACGGAAATGCCATGTGCCTTCCTTTTGACCGAATCCACTACCAGGAACAACACAGACGCCAGTAGCATCAAGCATTTCGAGACAGTAGAAATTATCAGCGGCTTTGCCATGGGCTTCTGCATCAGCAATAGCCTTAGCGGGTAAGCGAATTTGAGGGAAAAGGTACATGGCTCCATAGGCAGGATTACAGGTGACACCTTCCAAAGAGTTGAAGCAAGCTTCGAGTTTGCGAGATCTTCGTCGAAGTGAGCTGTAGATGGAGCCAATTTCTTGACTGTACTTTTCGAACGACGGGTCGCCCTGCTTGGGTGGTTGACACATTAAATCGACCAATATCTGACCGTGTACATTGGGGCAAAGTGAGACAGAGGCAATTTTATAAATCTGAGACATAACCTCAGGATCAATGGCGTGAGCTTCAAAGTATCCACCTCGGCGACCACATTCACCAATCATTCCCTTGGAAATGGAGTGAAAGGAGACAAGTTCCAAGTCATGGAAAATAGAATCCATGGACATGAGGACCTTTTTGAAACTATGGAAGGGGCGAGCTTCAGGTTCGTAGATGTTGGTCTGGTAGACTTCATCGGCCAAAAGGACGATTTGTTGGGTATAGCAGAATTCGATAATTTCTCGCATGTTTTCTTCTGATAAACATTGTCCAGTTGGGTTGCCTGGGTTGATGATGACCAAAGCACGAACATCTGTTCCATTTGCACGTGCGGTACTGACGCTCGTCTCTAGGTCAGTAACGTTGAGTGACCAGTCCTGACTTTCATCGAGGAGATAAGGTACAGGGGTTGCATCCAGGAGAGACAAAGTTGCCGAGTATAATGGGTATTGTGGAGTTGGAATCAAAATACCGGTAGATTTGTCTTTTACAAGGATAGATAAGATGCTTTGAACACCAGCCGAAGCTCCTTGAGTTAAATAAATATTCTCGGGGTCTGCGGCATAGCCATCTCTCTCGGCAATGAACTTGGCAACGTTTTCACGAATATGTGGGATGCCTTGAGAGTGAGAATAGGCACCGACGCTTCCAATGTGTTCCAAAAGTACCTCAGCTCTTTGTAAGGCATCTTCTGGATAAAGCTGACTCACAATGTGACGGTTCTCTGAAAGGAGAAGATCGGGGTTATCGCACAGTGAAGCTACCTGAGTTCCCGAAAAAGGTATTAGCCTTTGTCATTGGTTTCCACATGATATGTCAAGTGAAATACCGGAAACTTACCTGGCGAAAAAAAGTGATGGGCTTTTGTTGAAGTTGTTGAGGATTACCAATGTTGCAGTTGACAATGGTTTTGAATGGTAAGCTGTTCGTTTTGTTTAATTGGTCCCGGAGGGCTTCAGCCTTGATGGCCAATTCACCACGGACAGCGTATTCTACATTCTTTATATGAGCGTTCATATTGTCGATTCGAATAGTTTTTCTTCGTGGTTGTTGAGTTCCACATGCTATAGATTGATTATTAGTCATTTGTACATTATCAGATTCTATATGGAGCGGTTGAATAACTACATACGTTTAGTGTGATTTTGAGTGGATGATATTGGAGACGATGGGCGGATTAACGACGTATTTGGAGGAGCCATTTTGTAAAAAGTGAGAAGATGAAAAAGATGGGGAAGAAAGGAACTGAGGTCTTTAAATACTTTGTCCCAGATGGAACGAATACAAATGCGAGTGTGCGTGGGTCACAGGTGAGTGAGTGAATAAGGGATGACGGACTCTGAACTACAATAATTACTCATGTTTAAATTCTCAAATATACCACATTCAGCCAGCCCCCAAGCGTCGGCTACTATGACACATTCACGGGATGCATCTATGTAGCGATATAAATAAATCTATAACTTTTACTTGATAGATGAAGTGGCATTGAAATAGCAAAAGGCAATGTGCTTTCATTCCCCAGTTGCGTCATAGGTGTCCGGGACCAGATGTGAGCAAATTTGTGTGATTCAAATCTCCTCTCACTCACACACCGGAAACCTTGATAAACTCAGCTCCGATGGTTCCTCTAGACCTTTAACGGCATACTCAAAGAATATAGTTTAAGCATATGTGTAGCCACAGGAAATGAAGTGAGAGGGAGTTAGTCATTGTGGTGCGACAATAAAAATGTGTATTTGGTCTTTTCTAAAGGCAATAGGAGTTGGCGATATCTTCAAAGTAACTGTCTGTTTTTGGTATTTCGAAACGAGGTATATTCGTTATACCATGCCACAACCTTAAATTATCATATGACCGTGACCAATCAAATCTCAAATATAGACACCCTGTTTGGACGGAGCAGCAGTTGGTGGAGAGAAATGTGGGTGTAGGCCCCCGTTTTGAGAACTTACTATTGAGTTCGCATGTCTGGAAAGGGTTCTTTGATGTTTGCTCAAAATATTTTTGAGCAGTCAAATATTAAATGTGGTTTGACACCCTGAGTGTTGGGGAAAGGAATCAACGAGGGACGGAGAGGCAGGTTGCTTTAAAAATACAATATTATTGTGTTCATTTGTGACCTGAATGACATCTACAACTGTTGAGACCCAAATGCTTGAGGATATACATGTTTTCTTTTTTATACTATAAAATTCTCTTATTTGGATTTTTTGGAATCCTTAATCTTGTATTTGCCATACTATGAAACGATAAAGTCAGTTTACTTGTATTCAAATGTCTCAAGTCGGCAAAACATGGAAAAGTTTTCACTTACGTTCTTCTCAGGATCAAATACTTCCCATCGACTGGCTGGGAAAATATGCTTGTTTTTCTCGTACCAGGATCGTTCTACCACTTTACCGGCGTGAGACTAGGTCACCGGGTTGCATGGCGTTAACACAACTATTCATTCACACGAACATGCATTGTAAAGAAGCTACATACCTCATCCTTTTCGACCGTCGCATCATGTACAAGTCGAACATCGTCATGAACATCAAAGTTGAACAATGGACCAGATTTTCCTCTTGCTTTGTTGATGATGAAATCGTAGAATGTATAATGCTAGGTGGGTAGAGTGGACGTGCCTGGTTAGGTAAGATTTTCTCTGATGGTATTGTGCTCCCACCCGCCATACTTACATGTGGAATAATGAGATCCTCCTTAATGTAAAGCAGATTATCGACGTTAACAGAACGGAGTTCATGAATTTGTTGTCGACAAAGGTCTAAAAAGCGCGATATGGTGTCCCCCTTCTTGCACTGTAATCGGCTGTGTTAAAAACGTTTCCCAATATATCAAAAACACACCCTCCAATTCTACATACCTCAACCGTCTTACGATGGCCAGATCCATCCCAATAAGAGTATGTAATTTCTATGTCTTCATCTGATTTCAACAATATCAATTTGAGGACAACAACATGTGCGCCACAGATGGCTGCGGAATCGCCTTACCTTTGATCTCTTCTTGCCTCTTCAACCATTGCTTCCTAAGCTCTTCACGCTCTATTCTTTCCATTTCTTCACGCTCTCGGTCAGGAAGAAAACTCGTATTGACGTTGGGATCTTTGCCGAACTTCGGTTTTTTTATAACTTCCTTATCTTCATTCTCCTCTTCCTCTTCTTCGTCCTCTGCTGCAAACGAAAGTTTAACCTTGGATAGATTCTTCTTCTTCTTTTTCTTGATCTTCCCTTCACTGCAAAAATGCCGCCATTCATGGCAATGAGATGATGCTGTTACATAACGCTATCATCGGACATGACCTCCTTACCCTACTGTTGCCGTCCTGGCAGCCTCCTGACGTTGTTGTTCCTCAATATCCTCTTTGATTCTACGAAAATCGTTCAGTTCGAACAAACCGACAGTACTTGTCTTCAATTTTGAATCGATATCGGTAACAGCAGCCGCAAACTTGTCGGATCCTATGCGAACTTGATTGTCCTGTGGTTGGGTGTCCATTTTAGCGGTCATGTCACTTTGGAGAAATAATCCTCTGAGTTTGCGTTTTTCTAATGTTACGCATGCCTACCTTCGAAATCTGCTCCTTTTGCTTTTCGAATTCCTCCATCATCTTCTTTCGCTTTTTTTCAAGCATCCCATGTCGCTGTCCTTCAGCTCTTGAATCAGCCATGACGAACTAAATCACGGTTTGGAGGTTCAGGTTCCAGTCTGCTCACGCAACTCCTCAATTTTTTCCTCCAACAGAGTGACTGTCAACCCAGCCACTCGCCTGCAACCGATAAATGCCATTCTGGCACAAGGACGCCTTGTTGTTTCCCTGTGCATTGTCTCTCAGGAGCAGACGTTCTCATCTGTCGTATCATCCCTTTTCCATCACAGTGGCGCACTCGGTATCTATGGCAGAGCCAAAGGCTGGTACTCCTGGTACGCTACTGGAGAAGTTGGTGTTGCACTCTCCGCGTCCTAGCTCGCCTTCACTCAGGGCTTGCCATAGGGCTAGAGACTTGACTGCCGTGTTTCAAGCGGTGGCCAAAGAAGAGGCCGTTCACCATTATTCAAACGAACATACGGTTAGTGTCATCCTAAAAGATTGGCGTTTTTACTCTTCCACCCTGGCTTCAATGATTATTTACTTACCATTGTTTATTCTCATTTATCAAACTATGTTTTTAAACCTTTCGTCTCTGGTTTGTTCTTTCCTCTCCTTCTACTGCTGGACTATACAAATAACTAGAATGAGTACGTGCACCATAAGCTTGATGACCAAGACAATTTTCTGATCGGCCACTACTTTGAGGATCAGACCACCACTACCACCTCAACATCGGTTTTCTATCTTCATGGTGCGCCGCTGTCAAAGACATTTGACATTTGGGAAGACAATAAGGACAGTCATGAGTGGATTGAAGACGATTTTCTCTCAGACACACTGTATACTTCTGCAACCAAGGATAAAGAAAACTTGCCGCCGATACCATCCTTTTCGTTTGTGGAACCACTATCTCTTGCTAACAAGGACCATGTTTGTAGTACGAATCGCAGTCATCTTATGGAACTCCAATTGCGTAACTTTGTAAGCGAAGTGGAGGCACTCTGGAGGCGTAGCTTGCATACCAAAACGAAAACCACCAATTTCGGCAAACGGGGTGGACGCCGAAACCGCGTAATTGAGATGGCCGCTAAAGCCAATAGCCGATCTCGCTTGCCCAAAAGCCGCCACCATCATCGTGTTAACATTATATTCCCACTGGACGATACTAGATACCTCTATTCTCGACACAAGTAAATATATTTATATATGTCTATATCCCTTTTAGCTTTATAAATATCCCTCCTCTCTTCCCGATGGCTATCCCTAACTATATCTAGCTATCCTAAACATCCCCAACCTCCGTACGAGCTTCATTAAAGAATACGTATATGCATCCGCCTAATTCGAGGTCGTCCCCTTGAATTGAGATAGGAGAACTCTTTTTGTACGCTTCACAAAGCTCTTGCATAGCTTAAAAGCAAATGTGCACCCATGTGATATTGCCTGTTTGTCTGTTTTTCCAAGGTTAGCTGTGTTCATGTGCAAAGACTATACAGTCTTTAAAATTTAACACGTATAGGCTTTTCATTTAGTCACAGCATACACTTTGCCGCTCTTCCGCGCGATCTTTTCCAAAAAAGATTTCATTACTGACTTAAGAAGGCATTGTTTTACCGCGCTGGGTCGCTGTACCATTGTCCAATTTCAGTAGCGTAAACAACAAGTGCCGCCAAACGTGCAATTTCAATCCCTGTGTGACCCACCTTGCCCTCAATGTTCAATATAAATCAGCTATTGCTATGATATCGAGGGGCTTACAAGCTCTACTTCGGCGGAATGATCGCCTTTGTTTGAGGCAGCATCGGCAAATCGGGAGGAAAAGAGGTAGATAACCCTGTAATATGGCTCCTGATGTATTTGCCAATGTGTGGCCATCGATTGGTCAGTCAACGAGGAACTAACTAATGAAATGAACTTCACGCATACTACTATATCGTCATCAGGTCATCATATGCTATGAATCTAATCATTGAAAGCCGTAATGCGGTGGTCAGGCAAAATGCATGGTTTGCCCTGTCATGATAGTTGATCTTCTAGATCAAATACATATCAGAGGTATATGCATGGAGTGAAAAACGAAGAAGCCATAAGATACATTAAGTCTATTTGGACATGGTACTCTTCAGCGTAAATCACATTTGCTCGCCCGTCGTTTTTGGATTGGTACATTCGCTGTGCGAATCAAAGAATTTCATATCCCTCTCTAAATCTTCCTTTTATTTTTATCATGGCTTTACAAAAAGTTATTTTTTTAAGAGTTCTTCATCGTATTCAAAGTATAGACAACTCATCCCAATCATTTATTATTCGGACAAAGATGATATTCAGAATTACATGAACCATCTGTTATTATATGCTGTTTAATTGATAAATGGGTCACCCAGTTTCAGGTCTCAGTTCATTCAGGCTCTGCCATTCGAACGGAGATCGCCGAGCGATATTGGAAGCAAGCCTTTTTTTTTT